TGTAATCTACAACATGTTTTATTAGCTGATCTTTCTTTTTAATATAAAGACTTCATTTACCGCTGTCAGATAAATGTCGTGGAGTAAACGGTACAACATTTGCTTTCCACCACTGACTTTTTCCACCCCACAGTACATGTGCATATTAAGAGACATGGCCTGAGTAACCTGCTTGGTCTCACCAGTGCAAAAACAAACTTTGGGCCCCGGGGACATGTAACCCCGGGGCTGAAGTCAGCATTTATTCCCCCAGCACAGCAAGCATAATTTGCATTTTAAATCTTTTAAAACCTGAAGGCATATATCCATGGGCCCCAGAGGATGAACCTGTTGTTCTGAGTGACCTTTCCTCTCTTGCCACCATCAGGCCACAATATCCACTGGTCCACAAGAACCTGCTTCAGTTGTTGCTCAATACAACACAAGTGTGTGGTCTTAAACATTAAATATTTTATTTTTCCTGTACTGTCTGCAGGTGTTTGATGATGCAGATGAGCTGAAAAGTAAAGTCAGGCAGCTTGCTGTAGCAGTCAAACAAGCAAAACACCTGGTGGTTTACACCGGAGCCGGTATCAGTACGGTAAGCCAAAACTCTGCACCTTCAGTTTCCTTTTCCCTTTTAAACTTTCATAAGACTGATGATGGCTTTCCTTTCAGGCAGCTTCTATCCCAGACTACAGGGGCCCTAATGGGGTGTGGACACAGCTACAGAAGGGACGGACAGTCAGGTGAGAAAAGTAGTCCGTCACCTCTGATGGGTTATGAAGTCAGTTAAACTCCAACTGATATCATCTGTCTTGTTTCTCTTTACAAACAGTTCGTCTGACCTGAGTAAAGCTGAGCCGACCCTCACACACATGTGCATTAAGATGCTACACAAGGAAAAGCTGGTAAGTGAGACCAAGATGAATAATGTATACTAGTAGATCTTCAAATGTTTTTTAAGCATACTGGTTTTTATATACTGTGTGTCTGTGTTTGTCTAAACAGGTAAAGCATGTTGTTTCTCAGAACTGTGACGGACTTCACTTGCGTAGCGATCTACCCAGGCATGCCCTGTCTGAGCTTCATGGAAACATGTTCATTGAGGTGAGACACATACATGCTCAGACAAATAATCAAAACATTTTTTGATGGATCAGTATCAGCCATGTCAAGTCTGATCCATTTTTCATCAAAAACTGCACAGCAGTGAGAGCAAGCGAACTGCAGAGTTTCCACATAACAAACAATCTGCAGAGTTTAAATCAATAATACACCAACAATTTGCTTCACTGAAAGTTTGTTACAAGGAGGGGAGACAAGCTGTGAGTGAACAAAGCAACTGAGACAAAGGTTGCAGGCAGAGACGGTAAAGTAACCCTGGAAAAGTAACATGACATGCTGTTTTTTCCCTTTTATCCTGTCCCCAGGTGTGTACGTCCTGTTCCTCGGTCAGGGAGTATGTGCGTTTATTTGACGTGACGGAGCGGACCTCGCTGCACAGACACGGCACAGGCCGCAGATGCAGCCACTGTGGCAGCGAACTCAGGGACACCATAGTGCACTTCGGGGAACGTGGGACTCTGGAGCAACCTCTCAACTGGAAAGGAGCTGCAGAGGCTGCCAGGATGGCGGATGTTATCCTCTGTTTGGGCTCCAGTCTGAAGGTAAGTTTTGTAAACCACAGTGTGTCTGTAAACGTTGTAATGTTTGCCATTAATTTAATGGATCGTAACAATAACAATTTTAACTTTATTCTAAATAAGTCCTTTTAATGTAGCCATTTACGGACTGCCAACAGAACTGACACACTTGTATGAAACTCATTCTGTTATATAGATGGTAGCCTGATGTATGTAAAGAGACTCACCCTCATTGTAATACAGTCTAAATACTGTATATAATGAAAGTTGGTAAAATGTCCTTTCATTAATGCAACCTAATTTTCAACTCTGTCCATCCCTTATTTGATTGTGCTTACACAGACTTTATTCTTTACTGCAATGACCTCACTTTAATGGTTATATGAACAAGTTTGTATGTATAAAGTATTGTTTTACTCTTGTTTACATCAAGGACTTTCACATAAACACATTCATTGATGTGTGAATTGATATATTTAATATGTTTTGCATTTAATGGCTTGTGGGCTCTGTTTCTTGTTCTTGTAGGTGCTGAAGAAATATGCTTGTCTGTGGTGCATGAACAGACCAGTAAACAAAAGACCCAAACTCTACATTGTCAACCTCCAGGTACACCTAGCTTTGATATTGTAGGTGAATAAGATACAAATGAATTTGTATAAGATGTTGCTCTGTGGCTGATCGTGTGGCTGTGCTTTCTTGTCTAGTGGACACCAAAAGATGATCTGGCTGTGCTGAAAATTAATGGCAAGTGTGATGATGTCATGAGACTCCTAATGGAGGAGCTGAACATTCAAATTCCTTTGTACAACAGGTAACGACCATATGAAGAAATTACAACAAATATACACACATGGATGGATAACAATAAACATCTTTAGAATATTAAAAAAGCAGAAAAGCTCTGATACTAATTTCATACACAACACAATACTTTGGAATGTTCCCAGTGTACTCCCTTTCTCTCTCTCTCTCTCTCTCTCCACACACACACACACACACACACACACACACACACACACACACACACACACACACACACACACACACACACGGTCCAACTTTTTGACTCCCAGCTCAGTTTTCCTCATTCTGTCTCATCAGGGCAGAGGACCCCATCTTCAGGCTCGCTACACCTCTGCGGCCAGAAGAGGTCGACAGCTGTACTCGTGAGGTCATAGCTCCCCCTAATGAGCAGGAGGATGGTTCACCTGTTCCTGGGGAGCAGGCAGAAGAAGCCCAGACTGTACAGGGTGGCTGGTTTGGACGAGGCTATGGCAAAGGAAGAAAGAAGAAAAAAGCTGCATAATCAAGGGAACTTTATGGACACTTATGGTCTGGTGAAGTGATGACTTCCATGGGGAGGATGAGTGTGGCTGTCAGCTTTAGACTGCTTCACTGCATTGGTATGATTTAGTCAGATGCAGGTGTGTGTGTGTGTGTGTGTGTGTGTGTGCGTGTGTGTGTGCCATACAGTTGTTAGGAACAGCAAAATCTAAAAGTGGCTCTGGTTATGCTACTTTTATGGCAGCTAAGCTTGCTGTGCCCAGTATGGCTAGCAGAGCCAACATAAAATTATTTTGGCTATTTTTATAATCTCACTCACACACACACACACACACACACACACACACACCCTCATAGGCTTAAAAAGTAGCAGGAATCAGTTTCCTTGTTGACACACAACATATCCTCCGCTTTAATCAGTCACTACTGTCTTTTGTGACAAGTTTTGATGAAAAGGCATGAAAAAGCCCAAAGAAAGTTTTGAAACCGCTCCTGCAGCATTACCAGTGTCTCTGATGTCCCTCTGTATGCTTAAACAGTCAACAGCATACACCCTACAGGAGCTGAACGATCCTCTGAAGATAAGATGTTTAGTGTACCGTCACTTTAAATTTAAGTGAAATATGTATTTCTACCTGATTGGTTATTGGTGCAATACAGTGACTAAATTGAAATACTGGTGTTACTGTTTATGTATTCAATGAAAGTGATACCTTTCGGTGGAGTACAAGTGACTCTGTTTATAAGTGGCAAATGCCAGAAGAACTTCAGCAGTATATCATTGGCTAATTTTCATTTTCTGTGCTGCCACAACTTTCACTGAGAAGAGATTAAAAAAATTCAGGCGCTCAGACATTTTTACATGTATTTTTGTAGTCCTTTTCAGACATTTAAAACTTACATTGTTGAATGTACTTTTTTAACAGAGCCTGTTATTGTTGGTATTTTGGTTTACGTAAATTATTTCCTGAACTCCCAGTCAACCTTCCCTCTGCTGTCACTTATCCTCAGGTTACACCTTGGTTTACTGAAGTTGTTGAATTTGCCTATGTTTACATTTTATCAAATTTTTTCTGTAGACAATGCAGAGACTGTGCTGCTGTCACTACATTGTCTACAGCAGTTAAGAAGAAAGGTGATTTTTGAATTTATACTTATTTTTGTTTGTTTTTTTGTTTGTGTCATGTTACTGTACCTCTTTACTTAAGTGGTTGGAAACATCCAAATGCCTGTCTCTATTCATTTGTCTCAGGAAGATCCAGTATTATGAATGATCTTGTCTTGTACCACATAGTGTCAGAAGTTCTACAACACCATGACTAGCCATTATAAGCTAATGTTCAGCATTCCTAAAACTCAAACCAGTTGTGAAACTAGATATGAAGACTCCTTGGTTTTCATTGTATTTTGCAAAAAAAGTGTGACATTTGTGAGACAATAAATTGTTCCTCATTTTAAGTTATGTGTCTTGTTAATCTGCATTTTTGTTGTACTGGCCCTTGGTTTAACTAGTGAATTAATATTATAATACTATAGTATGAATTGTTTTTGTGTGTCTCAAAAGTCTACTCACTTAAAGATAAAAAAAAAGACACTAAACCCACTATATCTGGTATTATTGAAGCATATCACAGTCTACCTACGTACTGTGTCTGTGTGTTTAGGAATTAACTTCTGTTGTTCAATGTTTTACTGTAACTCACTACCCAAGGGATCATAGTCTAAAATAATTGACCTTTATGTTGTAATCATCAGTGGTGGAAGAAGTATTCAAATCCTAAGTAAAAAAAATAATGTACTCGCTACTGGTTGAGTCCATCACCCAGGACAGAAAACATTTGGTCATAAAGATTCTTCTTGAGTAAAAGTACTTAAAGTATTATCACAAAGTGCTCAAAGGTGATCACGCAGATATTATTATTATGTATGTTCAATTCAATGTTCAATGTACAATTCAAAATATATTACTCAACCAGTAAACATAGTAATTGCACAATGTACTTGTACACTGCTGGTTTGTTTATAGGTTGTATCTGGTCACGTGACGGGAGAGATCACGCAATGAGCGCGTTATGGTGAGAGGATTCGTTCGATGTGACGTAGTGTGGGAGGCGTTGGCCGGCCGGTGTCACCGTCTGTCTGGAGAACCGGAGACAGACAACACGACCTTTGAGAATACCGTTATTCTGTGAGCGGAACCGGATTCAACCAAGAGAAATACTCTGACTTGTAGTTTTTATTTGTACCACCACTTCAGTCCCCTACCCGAACCTGTCGAAATGATCAAGAACGGCCACCACGCCACCGACGACCAGCGAGATGAAGCCGGTTGCACTAAGCCTGAGGGAGCTTCCGTGTGCAGCCCGGAGAAAAGGAAGCGGGTGGTCCGGTTGTGGTGTGACGGCTGGTGAGTCTCTGCTCCCGGGGCCGCTGCTGACTTACTGTCGGTGCTCTGTCCCACAGTTTATTGTCCTGTACGCGGTCATTATGTGCTGCAATTCAGGACCCAATGGTGGGGTAGCATGCTAATGCTAGCTAGCTACTGACATTGTCAGTTGGTAACGCAGTAACCGGAGTTCAACTCCTCCGACACCAGCGACCGACTTAACGTCCGTGTTAGGTAGCTAATGTTACTTTATCTCAAAGTAACTGAAGCGTTATTTGTTGTTTTCTCATACAAAGAATAATATATTATTATTATTATTAATAACAATAATTCTCATTTATAATCTATGCTAGCAGCCCAACCCAAATAACGATGATGTGTTTGAGTTATATATATATATATATATATATATGTATATATACATATATGTTCTTATAGTTAGTACACTGGCTTCAGTCATACACTTGTTAATCTGGTTTTATGACGGTCAGTTAGGGACAAGGTCATTTCTGTCAGTCCAATAACCTCATAGTAAGGTGGTTGAGGTTATGAATGATATTTCGAAATGTGCTTGTGTGTATACGACTGTACCCAGACAGAAGTGAAACTATGGCTATTTAAAGGTTGGAAAGGACCTAAACTACACCCTATGATAGAGATGCTAGATGTTAACATATCTAAATTTCCTACCACTGACCCAGAGAAAGGTTAGGAAGCTTTATATGTGCATCTCTTGTGAAAGTGGTTGAAATGTCCAAACCACCTCTGCTGCCTGTAGACCTAATCCATGACTGTGTGAAATCCTGCTGTTAATTGTAAAGTTAAAGTCTTGGCAGTGTGAATAGTTTGATACCTGATGGGTTGGGTAACTTTGGTACTTAAAAGTGATCTGATGACTACTCAAGAATATTCTGTCTGTCGGTCTGGCTGTCAGTCTGGCTGTCAGTCTGGCTGAGATAAACATCTGGGAGTTGGTTGGGAACTGAGACAGCCATATCTCGTGGTTATTTTAAACTCTGCTGTCACACCATTGTGAGACCATGATCTTCACATGATTTGGCTGCTGCCAAAGAGACAGCGGACTCCTGATGTGCAATGCATACATTTTATTCCAGGACTCACTTGCTGCACAAGGAAGTGGCTGCTGATAGCTAGTTTGACATAGCCCATCTCATGTGGTGGTTATAAATAACTAGTGAACATGTTGTTCAGTTTGTTGCAATAGCAGCAGCGTGTGTGTGTGTGTGTGTGTGTGGTGGGCAGGGGTTCCCTCCTTTTTTGGGGTTAGAGGGGGACATATTATTGAGACATAGGGTATAGTTAATGTCAGATCAAATATTATAAGTCAAGGGAGAGACAGGAGCAGATAGGGGATATATGAACTATTATGAGACTGTGCATTTTACATCATTTAAATATAAGTGTCAAAAAAACCCTAATAAATACCCTGCAGGTCGCTATCTGTACATTTGTGGACTCGTCGTTTTATGGCTCGATCATGAAGTGTTTTGACAGCTGTAAAACGTCTTCAGACAAATAATCACACAGCACACTTTGTCATAAGGCATCACCTTACTGTATTTACCTTAGCTCTCTTGGAGCACTAAAACTGTCGTGATCACTCTGAAGGAGATATATTTACAACTAGGAGCATCGTGTCTAACTGATCCTGACCAGGCGAGGTGAGGGATGTTGGGGGATTATTGTTAAGTGAGACTTGCAGCTTGTGGTAATGTCATTATAGAGAAGAGGTCTGCCCACTGGAAGTATGGTGACAAACGGAGGGGCTTTTTTAAAAGTGGTCTGATTTGTTGGAAATAATCTACAGACACAGAAGTTTTAACAGAATGGTGAAGGTCTGAGAAATTTAATTGAAAATAAAAAGTGGTTCGAGTCTCTGGATCAACTGGGAAAACAGGAACAAGGGAACTGACTCCCTCCCCCCATAAAACTGTTAGCCATTTACAGTTTACATTTATAGTTCCACTATACTACTCAGAATGAGGATCAATATAACATAATATTTTCCTAACTAACTTCAGTCATGTTGGTTTAGTGTTATCTGTATATCTCTGTTGCCGATGTGTAATATGAACCCTCTCTTGCTAATAAATTATTTAATACAGTTTCTTTTGTATACCCTGGTGACCTTACCACCAGCTGCTCTTGTGAAGCTGCTGTCTGTGGTCGAACTGTACAGTCTGTACAGGAATGTGAAGCTCTAGGGTGCTGAACCAAAGCACATTTTCATCAGAATCTGAACAAACTGAACTGGAACAGAGCAACATCCTAATAGTCTAGTACACACCGACATAATAATTTTCTTAAAAAAACAGAAAAAGACTTTATGTTATATAACATAAGATGTTGCAGTAAGGGAGGAGAACTTGTGTTTCCTTCTGTTTTAAAAAGACAAGCCAGTAAATAAATATTCATCGTTGAAGTTACTGAATGGCAGAAAGCAAATAAACATTGCCACATTATACACATAGCATCTCTGACTGTTACCTTCTCCCAGTAACCTTTATCATTCATTCACCATGTTAAGAGGTCTCTCAATCTGTGTTTTGGGATATAAAACTGCTTGATTTACAGAGCATGTTTTCACAGTAAAAGGCCACACACTGTGCTCTTCCGTGCAAGGTCATTATAAAAAGATAACAATAAAGATAAGATCATATTCAGCAATAAAGCAAGCAGAATTGGCCAGTTGCAGGGTAGCTCTGAAAGACATAAATGTGCTTACTGCAAAGGCTACGTCACGTATTGTTGTGTGTGTTTATCTCTTTGTTTATGTCTGTTTTGTCCTGTGTAATGTTTTATTTGCTGATTACGTTGTTGTGTCTTCTTTCTGTCTCCACAGTTATGACATGGTGCACTATGGTCACTCCAACCAGCTGCGGCAGGCCAAAGCAATGGGAGATTACCTCATAGTTGGAGTGCATACAGATGGTAAGACTGACACACACATACACACATTGTGATATGGATGTTTCTGTGAGACCTTTTTGTAATCAACTCTTAAGACACTGATGTGATATGACACTGACACTGAACACTGAGTTATCTGATGCAATCACATCCAATTATTATTTATTTCTAATTAAATAAAAACCAACACAACTTTGTAGCTACAAAGACATTGCTGTCTTGTAAGCTTCTCAATCACAAGAGGCTAAACAGCTGTCAAATGTTAATGGCCACATTTCTAAAGTCACATTTATACATGCAATGTAGGGCACTGATACAAGCGGTACATACATGTGACACGTAAAATTTTGAAGTTCAATGAATATGTTGAGGGGAGAAATGAAGACAAGAGGCTTAAACAAAGGCCTCCCAAAATTAAAGATGAGATGAATATTTGTACGGTTGCTGTGTAGGAACTGATAAAAAGTAAATGCATTATTCATAACTTACTAGTGGCCTTATGCGGTCTTCCGGTTGCTACTACTGGCTGTTGTGAACACAAGTAAAAAGTCACAGCACTGATGGTTTACAGACTGCTGCTCTCAAAGTTGGGAGCAGATGTTCACATTTATGAGGAGGTGAGAAGGACACTACCACATCCACCACAGACATCAGATTTAAAAGATGATATTTGGTGCAGAGTTACATTTGGAGTTAACTAGCTCACAACTAGCTCAAGTATTGTGTTGCGGTAGTTGTTTCAATGGGGAAAAGAGATACTAACTTATCAATATGATGAGGATGCAGGTTAAAGAAGTTCACAGCCAGACAAAAGTATGTAAAAAATACTCTTCTGTTAGCATCAAGATGGCTAGCGTTAGAGTAATTATTGTAGAGATTGGAGTGGAGAGGATCTGTAAGTTATTGACATTATTTATATTCTTCACAAACAACATTAAATCAGGTGATTTGACAACATGAAGTTAAACACATCTTTTCATCATCCTATGTAATATAATATACATTTATTTGTAATATGATCTGGAATAATTATCTTGTTACACAATAATAAGCCTATGTCTTGGAAAACTGCACTGTGTGTAGTAATGTAACTAATCAGATGAGTCTCTGCTCTGCACTCTTTTTGCAATGTTAGTGTTGTGCCAATAATTAACAATAGATCACCTCTTACTTCTCTCAAAGCTGAGATTTCCAAGCATAAGGGTCCTCCGGTCTTCACTCAAGAAGAACGCTACAAGATGGTACGGGCCATCAAGTGGGTGGATAAGATAGTAGAAGGAGCGCCTTACGTCACCACCCTGGAGACTCTGGACAAGTACAACTGTGACTTCTGTGTGCACGGAGGTGAATCCTGTTTCCTGTCATGTATCATTTCTGTGGAAGAATCCTTCTCAGTGATGCACATGATATGAACAAGCCTCCAGATGTGATGGACTAATGTCATTGTTTATATGTACCAGATGACATCACGCTGACGGTAGATGGTAAGGACACATATGAAGAGGTGAAGCGCGAAGGCCGTTACCGGGAATGTAAGCGCACGCAGGGCGTCTCCACCACTGACCTGGTGGGACGAATGCTTCTCATGACCAAAGCCCATCACAGCAACATGGTGAGTAAAGCTGCATATTTACTTGACACAAAACGGATGTATCGTAAATGTGATCGAGCCTTATTGTGCATTGATTACATTCTCCACATTATTTGTGCTTACACTCTTTAATTTACCTTTAAATTTAGAGTGATGGTGGGCTGTTTTTCTTCTTGTTCCTACAGTTGGATGTTTGAGCTTCACTGTGCAGAATAATGTACACTGTGTTCCAAATTATTATGCATACTGTTTTTGTTCTTTTTCTTACTAAATAGTCAATATAATTGGCAGTCAATAGGATTTTTTATTCCTCAACAATTATATCGTAATCTGGATTTTATTAAACACAATTACCAATTATGACAATGGAATTTGCAAAATAACTCAAAATGCAGTTATTTTATTGATAAGATGGCTTTACATCAGTTTGATTTTACATCTTAAAGCCTCTGGAGGATCCTCCGTTGAGAGGATCTTGGGACTCCAGAGGCACCAGCAACTTCAAATACCTTTTTTACTATTCATCAGTGGCTTTTTCACAGCTGCTCACTTAATACGATGAATTAGCTTTACAGAAACTTTCCTTAACACGCCTTTGTCTGAACGAACCCGTCTGTGCTCTGAATCAGACGCACATCTTTTCATAGGACGATGATCTCTCTTAATATTTCATAAAATATCCAGTGGTTTCATACCTATTGAAAGATACTGCACTATTTCACGCTTTTCATCTGCAGAAAGATCTTTTTTTCTTGCTATTTTGCATGAAACCTTGGACTTGCTTAATAATGTGGAACAACATCCTTAAGTAGTTTCCCATTAATTAGGCTCACCTGGCAAACTAATAAAGACAAACCTGTCTGAGATTAATGTCAGTGATCTAAACAGACATGGGAAGCAGCACAATTGAAAGCTTTCATTGAAAAACAAAAAATGTAATGTTTCTTTAATTGAAATCATATTTGCATAATAATTTGGAACTCAGTGTATGTGCAGAGTTTGACAACCTGAATTTAAGGGGTGGGGCCTATGAGCATAACAAATACTCTGGAAGTTAATCCTGGTCCAGGATGCAACTTATACAAGTGTGATGTAGAAAGTTGAAACCACCAGTGCACATACACTGAGAATGGACTTTACAGTAAAGTAAATCTTGTGTCCAGCAGGAAAACTTGAAAACAATGAACAATATTTGCATAACCATAATAGTAATTCATAGAAGCAGAAGATGCCTTTTTGAGGATTTTAACGTGGAAATTATACTTATAAATATTTACAACGTTGTTTACTTTGTTTGAAAAACACGAACACATTATTGTTCCAAGCAGACAATTTGTATATGTCTTAATACATGTCTGGAGGGGATCTTTAAAGGTCAACTACCGCGGCTATGTGTGTAGGCTTTATAGTGCAATCCCTTAACCCCCAACTATAAATCCCCCTGCAGTGTCTGGATGTGTGTAATAACTATTTAATATATGAGCAATGGGTTATTTGTTTGTTTTGCTGTTGGTCTTATCTTTTCCTCTAATAATTTCTGCAGGATAACCCAGATTACCAGCAGCATACAGACAACTTTGGAAAAGTAAGTAGCATGAGTTTTAAGTGAACCTGATTATTAAGGTCTGTTAGGACACCACCTAGACTTTATTACATTTTTCCAGTGAAATATATATTCATGTGTCTTTTCTTGTGTTCAAGGGTCCTAAAGGCCACAGTCCATGGACAGGAGTGTCTCAGTTCCTCCAGACGTCCCAGAAGATCATCCAGTTTGCCTCAGGAACAGAGCCTCAACCCGGAGACACCATCATCTATGTGGCCGGGGCATTCGACCTCTTCCGTATCCTTATTGTGCAGAGATAACCAGAACTGAATTATGAACTAGAGATCATTTCTGTGGTGCATGCTATCGTTGTTGCCTTGACCACAAATTCCTTGCAGATATTGGCCATGTTGACTTCCTAGAGATGGTCTATAAGCAGGCGGAGAGGCCCTACGTCATCGTAGGTCTGCACTTTGACCAGGTATGCCTAATTACATGCACTCACTCTCACACACACACACACACACACACACACACACACACACACACACACACACACACACATCTTGGCAAAACAGTCACAAAAGGGTGAGAAATTCACTCCTGTCAGCAGTTTTCAAGAGAAACATTTGGAACAAGTTAACGCAAGAGCAACTCAGACTTTTATGGTTAGACAAGAAAGAGGCCCCTCCTAACTGTTTGCAATTATGGTGGTCTAGGAATGTAAGATTGAGTAAATGTCAAAAGGGTAAAATTAATTATCTCTTCATTCTCTTCAGGAAGTGAATCGGTACAAGGGGAAGAACTATCCAATCATGAACATCCACGAGAGAACGCTGAGTGTCCTGGCCTGTCGGGTGAGAAAACACACACACACACACACACACACACACACACACACACACACGCACACACACACACACACACACACACACAGCACAGTGGGGTGTATCTTGAATCCTCGCAGCGCTGCAGGCTGAACTTGGCTCTGTACCCTCCATTCCTCCTGGTCAGCTATCAGTCTAGAACAATGATTCTCTGTGCCCCCATCTGCACTGTGTGTGTTTTGTTCAAGTTAAACCAACTTATGAGAACAGTACACAAACCAAACATATTACACAATCCTAAAACTGCTAAGTTGCTGTGCTCAGAGTTACTCAATGTCTGTTGACAAGGCAGAGAATTATCCAGAATTTAAGGAGAGAACATTAACAACACCTTGACCCTTGACTTGTCTGGTATTCAGAAGATGCTTATCAGATAAACTTTGATATTTAAACTAAAATGCTCTAACTGATGTGAGAGTTGAATCAGTAAAAAACAACTTGTGACGATGAACTTTCCCTTGCTATTCTTTTGCCTGTCTCTCTATAGTATGTGTCAGAGGTGGTGATTGGGGCACCCTATGCAGTGGGCAAAGACTTGCTGGATCATTTTAAGGTGAGTTGCTTTTATATGACTTTACGTTTGATCATGTGTTTTCAGTCCTTAAACTGTCCGTTACTTTGATTTCATCGTCTGTAATGTCAGACTTCTTTTTGTGGTTCATACCAAGCAGATGTAGTTGCCCACATGAGAGCTTTTACCAAACATGCAGACTGAACTTTGACATCGATGGTGTATGAAAATATGAAAGTGAAAAAGTGAAGGAGGATGGCCAGCACATTTTCAAATATAACACAATGATGTGTAAATTACGGACAGTGGATTGTGAGTTTTAAGGCACAATTTTAGGCAGAGTATGTAGTAAATTGGTGGAGGAATTAGTTCATCTACAAAATATAGTACCAGCAAAAAATGTCAACTACTCGTCTTTTGTTGGCTAAAAATATAAAACAGGACTTGTTCCTAAAGTAGAAACCTAGTTTATTAAGCTGTTATCCAGTATGAACACTAAGCCTTTAATTTAAAACTAGTTTCAGCTCACAGAGTTTTGTCAGAATTAGTTTAAAAACAGACTGAAGATTACTAAAAGCCTTTGACAGTGTAGGACAGAACAATAGATCACTGTATGGTCGCTGCATTTGAAACATTCTCCCTAATTTAATTTATGTAGAACTTATAAAACAGACCCAATGTGCAGCCATGTAGCGCCCCTTTGTGGACAGTTGAAATACCAAACAACAAACATAATCTTGACCATATTAAGATCCATTAGCAGGTAGTTAACAAATCAATGCCCTAGCCTTTTTCTTTATTGTGATCCAGTTTTAGTTTCAGGTAAATGCGTTAAAAAAAGGTGCTCCATGATTACTTCATTTTCTTATTTTGTTATTGACAAACTATAAGTGACCCTACATAGACTAGTGTAGATGAGAAATTAGTGATTGTGAATAAAAAAGATATAGTTAATAACAGGTTTAAGTTGGCTAAACTGAGCGTAGACATAGGGCTCCTCTGTGACACGCACTGACACTGAAATACACTTGCATACTGAATTCATATCTCTGCAAAGGATGGTTGGTTTAACCAGGTGTGTGTTTGTGTAACTGTACAGGTGGACCTGGTGTGTCATGGCAAGACTGAGGTGTTTCCAGACAAGGATGGGTCAGACCCCTACGCTGTGAGTACAGGGTCTTCTTATCTCTGATCAAAGTGCAGCAACATTATAATGTATTTATATATGTGTTTATTATAATAATAATATTATAATAATTGAGCTTATTTTAGGGTCATATATTCTGTTGGTCTGATTCATACCAAGGCAGCGTTATTGGCGATAAGTACACAAAATGGACTCCCAATATTCTAACAGCAATTGGCATGTATCCTTAAAATGGCTTTATGTGGTGTGTTTTGGTCACTGCTCAGGGCGCCAAGTGAAGCCTTCACCTGATCCATTATCTGCTTGTGCTAGGACAATATGTCACACATACATCACTTACTTATCAGACTTCTCTGAGCTAGGGCTAAAATATGTGACAAAACAGCATTATAATAAAGTACTGCAGTGCTGATGCCTTACAAATCTTGTTCTCCAGATGTTAGAACATTTTTTTATTTGGTACAGACCCCAATTTCCACTATTCATGAATCATATCCTAATCGTATTATCTGTCAAAATAGTGGCAATGTGATTTTATATTACCATATCGTGTAGCCCTATTCTGGGTTTGTATCTCAGTAGCCTACACAAACACACAACAATAAGCAGAGGAGAAATAGGGCAGACAAATACCACGACGTAATTTGAGGTTAAATTACATTAGCGTGGCAGATGCTTTTGATAGTAACAAGATTTCATTAAAAACTGGAAGTGTTTTCAGTGCCTCAATTCAAATGCTTAGGTCTTTTATAAATAAGGAAATCAGACATAACTGCCAGAATGCTATGAGTGCTAGAATGGGTGACAAAGTGTAGTCTTAAAAGATGGGTTCAATCTGAAAATAAGCATTTTGAAACTATCTGTGTCTGCACTCAGTACCTGTGGTCACTCCTGGACTGGTCATTGAAGATCCTTAAGTTGTTGCCCAAGACCTTATCAGCTACAATACATTATTGGTTAAAAGCTGACAACACTGTTAAGAATGATGTGTGCTATTGCTCTGGCTTTTTAACATTGCTCTCATTGGTTCAGGGGCATCATTCACAGTGTACTCATTTCTGCCCTCAGGAGCCTAGGAAGAGGGGGGTATTCAGGACCATCAATAGTGGGAACAATCTCACCACTGATGACATTGTCCAGAGGATAATTGAAAACAGGTCAGGCACTTCCTCATCATCTCATCATCATTTCATTTCTCATTTTGATTGATTGGATCATTTCATTGATCATTGTTTTTTATCTCAAGCTTGCTCATGTCATCCTTATGTACTTCCAGGCTGCAGTTTGAAGCCAGGAACCAAAAGAAGGAGGCCAAGGAGATGGCGGTGATTGAGGCGATGAAGAGGAAAGAACAGCAGGACCAAAGTGAAGCTGCAGCCCAGGCTGCTCACTAGTTAGACCTCAGACCTGGTTCTGTGTCTTCCGCATCCTGGTACACACAGCTTTAAGAGAGTGGACACCACTGACCCAGATGGACGGTCCATGTTGTCCTAAACTGGACCTGGCTGGGTGAAACAACCCAGTAAGTCTCTACCAGTCAACAGTGTGTCATACACGCTGCTAGTTTAGCTTCACTGTCTTCACTTATACAGACTACTCCAGCCTAGAATACATCTGCCTCGACAAGAACACAAAGAATCCGAACACTTAACATGCTACCATTCAACCTGCAAAGTCCCCTCAAACCCCTCATTCTCCACAGAGAACTTTTAATGTTATCTTCTCTCATGTATTGTTTTTGTCACTGAAATCACACACTACATGTTTCTGTATAGACGTAGAAGGGGTATATTAAGTTTGTAATAAGCCATAACTTATTGACAAAATGTTAATGTCCATAATGTTTTTAGATTTTAAAGCATATTTTAATGATCAGTCTTAGAAGTGTCATCAGTAACATTTTTAATACACTCAGAAAACGTAGATTTATTTTCATCACTCTCACTATATTTTTGTCCAATCTGAAAAAATGTATTAGTACATTAAATGGCCTGTGAAGTAGTCTTTTAATTTTAACTGTGGATTTTTAACTACCTGAATTTGCACCGTGTGTGTGTGTGTGTGTGTGTGTGTGTGTGTGTGTGTGTGTGTGTGCGCGTGCGCGTGTGCGTGTGTGTGAGCGAGAGTGTGTGTGTGAGTGAGTGAGTGAGTGAGTGAGTGAGTGAGAGAGAGAGAGAGAGAGAGGTAAGTGAGTATGTGCGCTGTAAAAGACAGTAGTGCCTCATTCCCAAAGCTATCCTGTAACTAATGTAAGGGCTGTGACTTGTATAAAAAAAATCTATACCAGAGTGTTTCTACATTTCTCGCTAAAGTTGTATTTCTTTCCTTAGTCTGCTTCCAAGAAATGAAAACTAAAAAGTCTTTTATCCTTCGAACTGTCAAACTGCTTCTGCAACTCTTTATAGATTGCAGAAGGTCACTCTCTGTTGCTTCTCCTGTTGAATTGGGCATAGCACCTGGAGGTGAATTGTTAATGCTGCGTTTGTAAAGTGTGTCTGTGGGCTGGAAGGCTGAGAAATAAATACATTTCTAAATGTCAGATAGTGGGGATTTTCACAACCTTTCAATCAATGTATCCCAATGTGTAAATTCCCACTTTAATAAATAAACTGGTAATATTGCAGAGTGTCGTCTGATGTCTGTTTTACAGCAGCAGTGTAATGTGTGCAGCCTGATGACAGAGATCTTTGTTGGATCAGCACATATTCACGGTTCACTGAGTCAGTGAAATGAGGCCGCAGCCGCTCAGAAAACTGCTAAATCCGAGCGGTCCTGTCTCATTGACGCTGCTCTCAGATTTGAACAAAAACTGCAAACTGTCATTACAAACACAAAGAGCCTTTAATCCGCCAGCCTGAGCACCCCAGAGGAACTCTTGCAGGAAGGATCCTATCATTCAACTGAGAGACTTTACAGGCCACAGTCTTTTTCCTGTTAGGACTGATCCTGAAACATTAAGATCTCACTCTCCACATACATTAGGTGTGAAGACAAACATTTAGGGGCCTCTCAAGTGCCCACAGGAGACCCATTTGCCAACTACTGCAGTGATAGATAAGAAAATACATGTAAAATAAATATTTTAAGTGGAAATGTTTGTATGTTTGTATGTTTTTGTCCGGCTGTGAGCGTTGGACATTCAGGTGTCAAACTAATGAGAGAAATCACATAATATGTTACATAATGAAATGTCAATAATCATATTTAAATATTGTTTTGGTGAGCATAAACTGTATATGCTTATATATAACAATAGGATTAAACGATAGGAAAGTAAAAAAGATTGTTAATTTATTGTAATTCTTTTAATCTTTAATTTGTGCTTTTTAATTGTGAAACGCTTTCACCTCTTCAGGCCTGTAAAACTCCTCCATAAAAAGTCAAATCCTAGAACTAATGAACACTGGTTAAATAACTCATTATTACCCATTCACTACCTGTTCAACGTTATCACTCTTATTAATATAGGTGGATTTTGGTGACCTCACATGGCTGTAACTATAACACATTCACAAAGTGACCTGAGCAGCTATGTATAATAATGCCATATATTATATAAACTGATTCTTTATAATTAAAATAACGGCGCGTAATGGAGTAAATGTACTCAGCCACTGGAGGAATTACAGGTGATATGTTTAGTTTTCTGAGCACGCACAGGTGAAACGCAGGGATTTACGCACTCAGCAGTTTGGTCCCCTGCACGTCACTTCCCAGGGAAGTCCAAAAACTTTTCCATCTGAGCAGCAGGCTTCAGAGGGAGGAGGAGGGGGAGGAGGCGCTTTTAGGGATTATCTGGGGTCTTTGCCAAGGCGGTAGAGCCGAGTTTGAACCGCCGAGGCGCACTGTGACATAAACAGTTCGGTGGAGGACAGTCGCTGAAAAGTTACCACCCCATAAAATCTGCGACAGGCAACGAAACAAACAAACAAACAAACAAACACTTGGAGCGATGCGTAAAATCTGTTCCGTCCGGACGGTTTGACCCACAACCTCTGCGAGTTTGAGGGATGTTTTGGAGATGGCCTGAGCTTTATTTTTTCTAGAGACTTCTCTGCACAGTAACCCTGCGGTTTGCGGAGCAGCAGGAGAGCTCGGAGCATGCAGGCTGTAGAAACAAACTCGGGTTGATCCCAGTCTGGACTGTTGTTTTCCTCTGAGGCCAGGCGGTCGGGGAGGAGATGAGTGCTGAGGATGGGACTGTGCCTCGGAACCGAAGTCACAGAGGAGAAGAAGGCGAGGATTCACAGCGCCAAGATAGACAGAGACCTGTACGAGTACGCCAAACGGGAGATGAATGTGGTTAAAATACTCCTACTAGGTGAGACATGATACTGATATGAACTCACCTTAACCTTACCTGAAAGTGAAGTTTGTGTGCACAGTATAAGGACTGCACCTGTGTCCCCCGGTGGATATTCTCCAGTAGATGGTATGAAAAAAGTCCCTATAAAGGTCCCTGCACAGGCTGGAAGTTTACAATGGTTTTTGGTTGAGACAGACTCATAAATCCTCTCTAGAAGCCGCTGTTTCATTTAAACCTTTGCAGATTCAACTATAAAATCTGACCACAGATGTATAAATGCAAGTTCATTATGTTTCTTTTCTAACATATTTTGAAAAAGACCCAGTTTAACCAGCTTTTACAACCTTCTCCAGGTGCAGCGGAGAGCGGTAAAAGCACCTTGGTCAAACAGATGAAGATCATCCACAGTAATGGATTCGCCAAGCAAGAGCTCATCAGCTTCAAGGTTGGAAACACACACACACACACACACACACACACTCAGACTACAGCGTGGTTCACCCTACCTGAGGTTTTTATCAGATAACAGTCAATTAGCATACAGCGATCTTGCTGTTATGGTTCCCTGTTGAAGAGAGTTGGATAACAATCACACGTCTCCTGGGAAGTTGCACAAAACTGATCAATATGTCATTTGTTCAGATTTAGGTTATCAGTTTCAAGTAAGAGCCTGAGTCCAATAGAGGAAGTCAAGAGGTCAGTTTATGCTGCAGGCTCGACTAAAATGAAATGGAGGAGATGGTTAGTTCCTGTGGGGGACTGAGATTTCTCATGATACCCAGGGTCAGATCCAAGTTGGTATGCAGTGGTTTGGCTCGCATCTGCTCTTCCTTCTGTGTGTGTGTGTGTGTGTGTGTGTGTGTGTGTGTGTGAGTGTGTTTGTGTGTGTGTGTGAGCGACTGAAAGCCAAATTCCTCCAGTGTACGAGGGGTAGGGATGGGGTTGGGAGAATGTAAACGGTTCAACACACAGAAACACACACCCCCAGTTTCACCCCATCAGCTTGTTTTTACTAAAGTCTTATCTTCCTCCACACCCCCCCTCCTTAAACCTCTTCCCATATTTTTACCCTCCTCTTCGTCCTTCCCTTTCCCCTTTGCTATTCTGTATCTTTTCCTCTGTTTCTCTCTCTACCTCCTCCTTTCTGTTACTCATAATGAGTATGTGATGACAGTAAAGGCCTTTATTTGCCTCCATCATGCGTCAGGTACAGTACCTTCTCTGTAATAACAGCCCTGTCAGAGCAAACTTAAACATAAATAAAGATGGTGGGGTATGAACCCACCTCAACACAATTCACATGCTTTTGAGTTTGTGAAACATCAAACTGAAAACTGCTACTAGAGTTCAAACCAAAAATGACTTTACATTATTTAGATCTATCTATAGGTACGGGTGTATGTGCAACAGATAATATCTGTCTTTGAAATATGCAAAACACTGTCAAGCTTTGTCAAATCTTTGGCAGTTGCTCATTGGCCAGGATTTTGCACTCTCACTCTGATATGAAGGTCCCAGTTGTTTGTACAGGCAGCTGGGATGTTTGAATGCATTCCTAGATATTAAAGACGCCTCAGCTCTTTCTCTTAGCTCCTCTCTCCTGCTGCCTCTTGTGTCTCATAGCAGTCACCTCGTCTGCAGTTCACTCCTGTCAACACAAGCACCATACTTTCTGTTATTGGACTGTGCTGGAGAAAGAAACATAACCCCTGAGCAGGTCAATTTATGCTTTTAGGCTGGATATCAAACCTCAAAACTTTTTTGGTACTGAATGAAATGCGTGAAGAAAGTTGGCACCCAATGCCTGATCTTTATACTCATGTTACCTTTATTTTTGATCAGATAGTTCCCAATTTGAATAAAACAGTTTTAGACTGCATTTTATTTAGGAAAAGTTCTAATACAACTTCTTGTGTGACACCATTTAACATTTGAGAGCGGTAGCTTCTTTAAATAATCTTTAAAGGTTTTGTAGAAAAAAAACTAAATGAATTTATCAAAAAAGTGTTTTTATATCATTACAAAAACTCACTATATTCCCACTAGTATCAAACAAGACTAAGGTTCCAGTACCCATACTGTTTAGTATGCCATTAAAAGATTCAGTCCCAATACATTGTATGCCAAATGCAGTATGCATATATATGCATATGCATATAAGCATCCAGTCACAATTTACAGTATGTAAGCCAGCCTGCTCGTCTGGCTATTCTGATCCAGTGTCCTGTGCACTGACCGATCACTGACAGATAACAGACAGAAGGCACAGATGGCAGCATTTCATTCAATTCCAATGCATATGTTATTTTACTGTCAAGAATGTAATAAGATAAGATAAGATAAGATAAGATATTCCTTAGTCGGGGCTGGGTCAGTCTGTAGCTGAACGTGCTCCTGAGATGCCTCAGCTCAGTCTAGAGAGGATGAGAGGGGTTGTCCATGATGGCTTTCAGCTTCCTTTTCATCCTCTTTTCATACTACTAGTACTTTAGTTACATACATTACACAGTAACAACAGAAGTGTCTCTGGGTGAATGGCATTGGGTTGTATCTCCAAACTTCTTTTTATTTCCGCACTATTGACTTCCACAGATGTATGAGCAAGAGGGTCAAAGTTCAAGGCGCAATGTTATGACACGGTAGTTATAACACATTTTCATTGTTCACAAAGGTGCTTAAAAAGCATGCATTGTTTCTTGCATTACTTTAATATAGTTAACATACAGAAAAATAGTATAATCAAGTAAAAAAGAAGAATTAAAAATAGATAATATAATGTTCAGGAGCAGAACCCGGTCATCCCTACTTTATCTATGCGGAATAAATTTCAGAAGCTCCCTTTTTTGTACCTATAAGACTATGTAATCAGTATACAAAGATATTTTACATGTGCAAGCATGTAGACATGCATCAATACTTGTTAAATACCAGTAGTTAAATTTCTTTTGTAGTCTCTCCTGTCAGTTAGGTTTTGCCTTTGTTCTCAGGTGACGCCCTTATTTTCAAGTGGAAAAATGACACTTACCCGCAAACCTGCCCTTCCCTTTCCCTGACCATCCCCAACTTCCCACAACAAACACAGCCACACCCTCCACTGCACACACACTGGCATATACATATGAGCTCATCGCTCTTTATCAGGCCTGCATGCATATTGTGCCACATGTGTTTCTTTCTGTCTCTGATGCCCTACCTGTTATCTTCAACAAGTGTCTGTGTGTCCACCAGTGCAGTAGTAAACATCTCCACTCTGCTCCACGCTCCCCCTTCTCTCAAATTTCCCCTGAAGGCACGATGAGATAACCCCCATCTCTTTAGCTCTCTGTCAGCCAGGTTTGTATTGCATTAGGACTGTGACAGGACAGCCTATTTGAGAGGAATAAGGGGAGGAAAGGTAGGAAAGGGGCTCCTCTTTGTCTCATCCCTCCTTTATTTGCAGCCTGAGGCTGTGCTATTGTTTTTACTGTGGATGGGTTGATGGACTGAGATTTTCCCCTTGATTCTCTTCCAATACACACAACTCTGTGTCAACAAAAGTAATGCTTTGTGCGTGTGCACATGTTGGTGTGGCAATGCATAACATTCATGAACTGAATTTGTATTTTTCAGCCTGGAATTTCTTTTCAGGTGTTTTGTTTCCTGAATCTGGAGCTTTCTCACCTGGAACGAGCTTAAAAGCTACAAACACGTACTTAGTTATACATTGTTAGTAGAATGTGGTTAATGATTAAATATCAGGCCACCTCCAGATCAGCTGCATTCTTTGTTGTTGTGTTTTTGTAGCAAATGCTCCGACACAAGACAACTGCTAACGGCTGTTTGTTTTCTGTGCTCTCGGAGCTGGTCCAAACAACAAGCTGGACAAGAACAATAGTTCAGTGTATCTGGATGGATTTAGAGATTACACTGTTGTAATGGGAGTTGTAATATCTGCACTGACGCACAGTGTACCACACAATGCTTTAAACTGTGGTGGTGATGGCGGTAGGGGTATTAATAGCCAGAGCAGGAAACAAAGGTTAGGAAGGTGTGTGAGGTTTCTGTCTGTTGGACTTCCTTTTAAACTGACACACACTCACACACACTCACACACACACACACACACACACACACACACACACACACACACACACACATACACACACACACTGGTGAAAACATGGTGTCTTTTTACTCTATACTTTTCCAGAGAGGTGACGTATAGCTGATGGTGGATTCAGATTACCATACAATGACACACCTGTGGCCCCAGGCTGTGTGTGTGTGTGTGTGTGTGTGTGTGTGTGTGTGTGTGTGTGTGTGTGTGTGTGTGTGTGTGTGTGTGTGTGTGTGTGGATGTGTCCAGACATACATTGGTCAGTAAAAATGAAAGAATGGCACAGTGTTTGTCTAATAGGAGTAATGTATTATGTGTTTAGAGAAATTGTACATGCACAAGTGTCTGATGTTGTAGGGGGTTTATCCGTGGCCTTCCTCCTCCCTCTGTGCCTCCCACCTTTACTGTCAACACTAAACTAAAGTAAGCCTTGAGTCAGGGAGGGAGGAACTTGGAAACAATTGATAAGGAGGACAAAGGTGGAGGGAGGGAAGGAAGGAAGGAAGAATGAACACTAACTGAAGGCAAAGACGAGAGTACAACAACTGGATCAGAGACATGAGTGCGGCAGTAATTTAATTAGTTTTAAGTCAAAGGGTGGACAGATTAGCAGCAACACCTGTACAATATAATGCAGTTTAATAAATCCAGTAAATGCTATCTTTGTATTGCTGTTGATTCAACCCCAGGGTACATTTTAGGGGCTGTAGTGTAATACATGTAATACATTATATTGACTACAAAGGTGCCCTGTGAAGTGTTCTTGTAAACTGTTTACATTCAGTGTTTCTCACCAAAATGCTTTGTGTATCCTTCTGATCTTATGAGTATGTGTGTGTGTGTGTGTGTGTGTGTGTGTGTGCATGTGTGTGTGTGTGTGTGTTGAGTGTGTTTCCTTTCTTTCATAGGATGGGAACATTTGCAAAGCTGACCTCTTAAATATTTTCAATTCTTTATTCTTCTTTTTCACTTCTTCTCCACATTACTGCCCTTCAAGATAACTTTCTTGTGGCTGCAGTATGATTTCAGTTCAGTACATAAGCCTTTCTCAAGTATCAGTCAGCACACATTAATCTACACTGTGAACCGCAGTGGGGTTTTTTGTTACCTTTGGACAGAATTTATGAGTGTGTAATCATCTAATCTGACACAGTAACCATCTTAACAGAACAAAATATGGTGTAGTCTGAACCTGGTGTTAGTCTTCCTCTTTGTTAAGCAACCTAACCAGAGCAGATCTAGGTTCATCGTCTTGCTCATGAGCACTACAACACTGACCACTTCATTACACACTCAACACTACTTGTAGCTTTTCAGAATTTTTTCAAGTGATGTACAAATGTTCTTCTCAAACCTCAAGTCTGCCATCACTAACTTCACCAACTGCAGGATTTTTAGTTATGTTTATGGTCATAAATCAAGATCCAGTATTTATTGTTTCTTAATACTGTAAGAATGTTATTATTATGAAATCACATATCTAAGCAGATGACAGTAATGGTGAGGGAGAGGGAGACAAACGCACAAAGCAGCTTATTTCTGACACAAATCAATACAGCGCTGTCAGCAGAGGTTCTCCTGAAAGAGACTAATTTGTCCCTAATGCCGCGGTGTCAGTAGCCCTCAGCCCAGCTCTCGTCTAAGATGTCACCTCACTGAGTTATCTCACCTCACACATTTCACCGGGAGAGCAACACATCTCAATCTGGACACTGAAACACAGAGAGAGAGAGAAGACTGTGATAGAATCGTGATGGAATGTGAAGCTTATCTTTAGTTGGCAGGAGAGTGACGGAGAGTATAACACGCACACACACACACACACACACACACACACACACACACACACACACACACACACACACACTCTCTCAGCTCTCTGCAGGAGTCGCTCTGCTCATCACTAAAGTCTCAAGTTTTCCAAGCCCTAAAGCAGAGTTATGACTTTAATTTATGTGAATTTATGTTACATGGTACTCACTGTCTTACACTCTCAGTTGGCTTAATAGCTGGTCCATGAGGTGTGATGGATGCAAACATACACAATATGCCCCACATGTACCTACATATACAGTATATATGCACAGTTTTTAAGGCACAGCGGAAGTGCACAAGTAATTAGATCGTAGTTGGTGGTCTGTTCAAGGCCAGCCAGCTTACCTTCGATTGTTACAAATATTTTGAGGGCCCACAGTGGAATCGCCAGCTTAACCCTGTGTTAATATCCACATTACAACAACCATAAAGCTTGTCTACAGCTCCGACATCTTTAAGCTTCAGTAATCAATATGTACATAATAATAATAATGGATCAAATAAGTATGTCACGTGAAAGAAGTCACTTACACTGACAAATGCACAGAGAATAATCACCTGACTCTGCAGTTCCCCTCCGCTCTTCAGAGCATTTTTCAGCTCACTGTTTTGGGTTTTACGGCCCACAACTTTGTATCCTCGCTCCCATAAGGTAATCTTCAGCTGCAGTAGGCAGCCTTTTTCAACAAAAGAGTTTTAATAAACCAACTGTTCACTACCTGCCCAGCACCAAACAGCAGACAACTGGCTAAAGAGCCAGCTAGTAGCATTGTTGGTGGAGACTGAAATGGAGCTAAAAGAGAGTGAATATTAGACTTTGTTGGGTGATCAGAAACATTCAGTATAATAATACTGTTGCTGTTGTCTGGATGTGTAAATACAAGATAAATTTGCCATACCAACTTTATAAAGTGATCATATGTCAGTGCTGTGTTTAGAGCTTGTTTTGTTTTGTTTTGGCCGAAACCTCAGTCAGTTCAACTTTAAATGCAATAACTACAGACAATATCCAAAAACAATCAACCGGAAAACCCACACTGCACTTGGGGAAATGTAATCATAAGATAAAGTGAAGTAAGTGTTTAGTACAGACAGCAACATTCAACACTACTGGCAGTGTAAAGTTTATGTGACTCAGGGTAAAGACATATTTTTTGCCCAAACTGTGCAATTTAGTTTTTTTGGTGTGATGTGGCACGACTAGGCTTTTTTCAGAATTTTAATTTTGTCCCGTTGCTATGGCAACTCATAAATTTAACTGATGAACTCTGATCTTGGCAGCCTGCAGTGCTGGATAACCTCCTGACCTCCATGAAGTTTGTCCTCCATGGCATGGGTGTCCTCCGGATCAACCTGGCTAACATCAGGAACAAGGTAGTCAACCTGTCTGTCTGTCTGTCTTTCTGTCTGTGTGGCATTTCATACCTTTCTTTTTTTCTGGTGATATTATCTGTCTGTCTGTCCGACTGTCCGTTCTTGTGAAAGCAATATCTCAGGGACACCTCGAGGGAATTAGAATTTCTTCAAATTTTGCACAAGCGTCCACTTGGACTCAAGGACGAACTGATTTTGTCAAAGGTCAAGCTCACTGTGACCTCACAAAACCCATCGTTGCCCATAACTCAAGAATTGAGTATTTTCTAAATTGGTCGCACAATGATTCGATGACACTTTTGACTCAAAGGTCACTGCGACCTGAAAACAACCTTGACAAACACGTTTTTGGTCATAACTCAAATATTGATTCGGTAGCTATTGGTTAAAGTTATGTTTAATGGGATACAGAAATGAAGTTATGAAATTTTTTTACCCGAAAGGTCAAAGGTCAACATAACTGTGAGATAATGTCAACACCATAACTCAGAAACAGAAGGGACCATATTTCATAGTTGGCGAGACTCTAAATTGGTGACACTTTTGGCTCAAAGGTCAAAGGTCATTGTGTGGTTTTTAGCCAATAAAAACTAAACAATAATTAGCACAATACAGGCTTTCATGTTTCTATCTCATCCATTCTGCTTCTCACTTCTTGCCTAAATCTGAGTTACAATCATCATCCCAATCATGTGACTGAACACAATGTAATGCAGTGGGCCTAGCTAATGGGAATCCTGTGAGTGAGTTTCATCTACAGCTCATAGAGAGACGTCACCAGGAGAAAACAAAAGAACCACATTTTGTATAAACTATACAAGAATCCATCTTTACTAATCAAGTACATGTGTAATGTATATTCATTGGAATCATACATATGTATCATCAATATAGTTATAACTTCCAATAAGCTTCCATTACACTTTATACCTTTTGATTTAGTTCCTTCCAAGTAGTCATCACGTATATTGTGGACAGACATAGATGTAAACTGCAGATTGACTGGCAGAGGCATACAACCGCAGGGAGGTAATTCTAGTTAATACAAAATCAGAGTCAGAGTTTTCTCCAAATTGGTCTCTTTCTTATTCAAATCTGCTCAAAGCTTTATGCTGCTGGTTTTACTGCACTGTGTCCAGATCTCCAGTAGAGAGCAGCATCTCAGCACTGCAGCCACGGCTGCTGCATCTGGCACCAAACATGCAAACAAACACACATACAGCGACAGTTTGTTTGCATGACAGAGGGCAGAAAGTTAGATGGTAGGTGGGTGGTTTGATTGTGAGGTTCAATTTGATTTAAACTTTATTGTCAAAGTTATCAGAGCTCATACAATATCCACCCACTCAGCACTTCCTGCTAGGAGATGATGACTAACGTATTTCCTCTATTAAATGTCACCAGTGTGTGTGTGTGTGTGTGTGTGTGTGTGTGTGTGTGTGTGTGTGTGTGTGTGTGTGCGTGTGTTTGTGTGCATGTGTTTTCACATGTGTTTGTGTGCATATCCATTCATTTGAGGATCTATACTGATTAGAAAGACTCCTAAACTTTTTCTGACTCGCATCCTTTTTTCCATCTGGTCTCCGCTCCTCCCTGACCAGCTGTCCATCCATCTATTAATCTGTCTCTGTCTCTTCTTGCAGGTCCACGCCCATTCTGTTCTGTCGTGTGGGCGGTGTTTTGACGAAGAACAGGTGCTGTTTCCTTTCCTTAGCCACGCCCTGTCCTGTCTGTGGGCTGACCAGGGGGTGAGGGCCGCAGCGGCCCGGGGATATGAATACGAGCTCAATGACTCGGCGCTGTAGTGAGTACTCTTCCAGCACACACTCACGCTGTGCCGAGGAGATGCAGGGGTCTAATTAGCTGGACTTAGCAGCTGATGCTCGGCCGTGTGCTCGCTGTCACTGGGAATCAGAGTCTGGATTGTGGGAAGGAAAGAGAGAGGGAGACAAACCCAAGTAAACCTCCACGACTCTTAAAATACAAACATGGTATTGTTTTGTATAATTTTTGGCTGTGTGCATACAAGGTATAAATAAATGTGAGAATGATTAAATATAATGTTTAACACTAGAACCGCCAAGGGTCAAATTTATCTGCAGCTGTTATTCAATGTTGTGTAACTTTGAATAAAATATTAAAGTCCCCAAATCTTTGACTTTCCTGCGTTATATAGCAAATGTCTACATATAGTCAGATTTAAATAATGGGCATATATACCTATATATAACTTATAAACACCAGCAGGTAAAATTTACCCCCAAATTATTTTCGCACTATTAATTTGTTGCTAATGGCAACACCTTCTGTCTACTACTGTGAGTGATAGAGCTGCATCTGTTGAGAGTCTCTGATGGTCAGTTTCCTCTTGGATCTATAATATTCTCTCAACTATATACTTTATATACTGAGTGTGATATTATAGCAGTACTATACTACTATAAAGTAGTGTCACCTTCCTAATCAAAGAATGTAGAAACATAATCGTGGAGAAGTGAGAGGATCATAGACACACAGTTGGTTGTAGTATTCCTAAAACATTTATAGAATATTTTTATCATCTTTCAGTAGCATCTGCACCCAGACTTAGGCCACTCTTTAACAAAATATTTTAGGGGAGCCAGACTACAGATAGAGTTTTTACTATAGATATTTGGTGTAACCTGGGAGTGGGGCATGTAATAGCCATACTGCGCTCAGCTGCTACAATTAATGTGACATGTTTATACTGTAAAAACTACAGTGTGTTTTGAAAAATAAGACTTATTAAAATGCTGGTGTTGTTGGGGCAGTAGGTTGCTCCCATTGGGCAAAGCACAGACTGCTTGTACCTTTAAAATGAATGCATTCTAATAGCAGGTAAATTTTACCCGTTGGCGGTTTTAGGTATACAGCCATCCCTGGCGGGTTCTGGTGTTAAATATGTGCATATTTAAGAAGAAGTCAAACGTGTGCAGGCACCATAATGAAAGTAAAGAAGTAAGGATGAAGACTGGAAATAAGAAACAAGTGAAGAGGGGATGCTGTGTGTGTGATGCAGAAGTAAGACGGAGCTGGGACCCACCAGGAGGCCGTCTGTTCTCATCCTCTGCCCCAGCGAGAGGCCTCAGCTCTGGGGTTATCTACACCGACAGGCCCACTGGTTCCCACTGAGAGCCACCATACATCACCCTCCGCTCTCCTCGGCACACACACGCACACGCACGCACGCATGCACACACACACACACACACACACACACACACACATACTTGTACTTCTACACTTGTGAGGACCCTCATTGACATAATGCATTTTCCAGACTCTTAACCTGGAAAAACAGGGAAATGTTTTGTAGGTCGACTATTACTCTCATCAGTAATAACAATGGTAAAAAGCTTTGCCCATTAAGCTTTTTTTATTGTATTTATTTATACATCCAGCCATTACAAAGCAACATCACCATTATTCATTTGAGGGCTTGTTTCTGGCCAACAAATATAAGTCCAGTATTCACAACTTGCTGTTTTGAGGGAAATATTTGACTCTTTAGCCACTAAATGCTAACTTTGTCTGTTGTTTGGTACTGAGCAGGTAGTGTGCAGTGGGTTTATCACGAGTGATCCCTTTCACATTGTCACTACAGAGTGGGTATAGTTTCCCTCAGCTCTTAGGAGCGTTTTAGTGTCTTTCAGCACATTGTTTTGGTTTTACAGTGCAGCAGGCAACAGTTTTCAGTTGTCTCTGATAAATAAACTCTAAATTACCTGCCCAGTACCAAGCAGTAGACAGACACAGGTAGCCACTGGTAAACACAGTGGAGCATTCAGCAACTAAAGAGCAAAATATTTTCCCTCAGAAGTTGGTGGAGGCCAAAATAGACCAAAGAAGAGCATGAATATTTGACATATATTCCTCAGGTGGCCACAAAGACAACTCCAAATGAATCGTAATGTTGCTGTGGATCTGTTAGAAGTTTAAACAACTGTTAGCACAATCAAACAAAGATATTGTGATTGTGTCAATGTTCAGTTTACAGTTTGTTCTGTTGCCCACGAGTGCCTAAAAATCAATTAGTACAGAATTGAGGGACTGGTCAAAATGTACTCACTTGAACAATGACCGCTCTCTCTAAACCTCAGAATGGTCCTCACAAAGTCAGAAGCACAAACAGACACTGGCAGGCAGTGTGTTTTTTTAAGCAGCAGGATGTGTGTCGCCATTCAAGAAACTGATTCAGGTTGACTAGTTGAGAATGTCACAGTCAGTTCAGGTAGCTGGAGACGTCACTGTGTGTGTGTGTGTGTGTGTGTGTGTGTGTGTGTGTGTGTGTGTGTGTGTGTGTGTGTGTGTGTGTTTGGAAAAAATTCCATCTCAGTGAGCGCGTGCACACACGATACAGTTGATTACACTAGCTGTATTAATAGCTAATCTGTGCTTGAAAGCCTAGCCTCAGTGTGTTATTATGGTAAACCACAGTGTGAATATTCATCGTGATGAGCTGCTACGCCCCCTGGGGCTCCAGCCTTATCACTGCGCACCCTACACGCCGTCTGGCAGCTGACACGGCCACCACACACGCACACACACGCACACACACAATGTACAAGTCAACACACCTGCAACTGATACCTGAGTTTATTCTCTTTTGATCTCATATTTGTCTGCAGCTTATTAAATTTTCCTTCCTCTTTCTTTCCCCCCTCGTTTCTCTTCTTTCACCTTTTTGCACCTTTCTTACTCTCTTTCCCTCCTCTTCCTCATTTTGAAGTTTCTTTGAGAACATGGCCCGCATCACTTCTCCAGATTATGTGCCCAGTGAGACGGATGTTCTGCGAGTACGACTGAGGACGACAGGCGTGATCGAGACCCAGTTCAAAGTCAACCACCTCATTTTCAGGTAAACACCTTTCACTTGGCTTTTCATTAAGATGTAATAGTGCGGGGCGCCCCGACAGCTCACCTGGTAGAGTGTGCGCCTCATGTACTTGGGGTTGGATTCCTGCCTGTGGCCCTTTGCTGCATGTCATCCCCTCTATTTCACATTTTCTGTCCCAGTCAAATAAAGTGAAAAATCCCCCCACCCCACCTCCCAAAAAAGAAAATATAAATATATATAAGGATATATATATAAAGATGTAATACTGCAGAATAAGGGTGCTTATAAGCACTGACTCAATCAGAGCTGCTGCCGTCAGGTCTGCACTCCATTTCTCTAGGAGTGCCTGTCGAACCAACTTAACTTCACTTCTTTAGCTGTGACACTCTTATCTCTGTCTACAGCCATGTGATAGGCCCGAGACGTGAGATGGAGATCAGCGGCTTTGTTCAATACGTCAATATGTCACATATCAGTCGGCTTTGCACTCATCTACTGACCGCGCACACACACACACACACATTCAAAAGCATCAGTGGCTCGGTCTTATCAGTGGAGAAGCAGAGGGAAGGTATCTAAGCCCTGGAGACTGATGTCAGATGAGCATATTCATCTCTGATCAATGAGCCGGTGTCACATAATACCAACTTCTTTATCATCCTCCAATGGCTGAACTCATTTCCTGAAGGGGCTGATGGTCATGACAGGGCAATAGATGAATGAACTTGATTTCTCTGCAGCCCGATTAATGCAGAGCAAACCGACATCAAAGCTAAAGCCAACACAGAAACACTAATAATGCTGAAAAATACTTAATTAAATTACAATTACAATTAAAAAAGTAATTATTATAGATGATACTGTTTTTTGGTAAATGTTGACAAATTAAACGCTATACCATACCAAAGTTCAGATATTCTCCATAATGCTACCAACATTAGCAGAGTTTTGGTGAATTATACTTTTTTGAAATACAATATTTTGATACCTGTATTTGTATATACATATATTTGACCTTATTTTTAATTTTTTAGAGACATTTTCTGTAGAAAATTGACACATGCTTGCTGCTGATTTGCACTTAAATCATTTCAAATTGTAGAAAGGGTAAAACAGTTAAAGATTTAGTTGAAAGGACAATACAAATACTGAAATAATGTCAAAGAGTTAGAAGAGGAAAAAAAGGTCAGCGGAGGTTATCTTAGTGGACCGTGAATGTCTGTACAAAGTTTAATGACAATCGATCACATATTTCAGCCTGGACCAAAGTGATAGACTGACAGACAGACTGCCTTAGCCTTCCCTAGAGCCATAGCCCCTGCGTGGCTAAAAATCATGTAAGTCCAAAAACAACAAATGATTGAAAAGAGATAGACACTATATCTCAGTATGAAATTTCCGTAAAGTCACAGACATCACATTGCCCCACCCTAGTTAGACAGAGCTCTGAGTCCAGCCAGATGGTGTCTCATGACAAATAGACCAGTTAAAGAAATATCTAAATCATCTTTTTGTATAAATGGATTAAAGGTGTAATCAGGTCTAATTAATGTTTCACTTGCTGTGGCAACATGTACAGAGTTACCTCGTGCCAATAAGGCCATTTGAATTTGACTTTGAATTTGAATTTATAATTTTATCATGTAGGGAAAACAGCAGCATGACCCAAATACTTTCTGCTACAACTAATAATTAACATTTTTCCTCTTATGCAGTAATTTCTTATTGAGTTTCCAGTGAACACCGAACATTTGCGGTTCCGCAGAAGTTCAAATCAAGAGGTCAGTGTCGTAGCGGCAGCATGAGGGATTGTGGGTGATTTTGCACAGTTTGGCTTTATTGGAAAGGTAATAGGCCATGGAGGGTTAACAAGGATACATTCAGCACCACACACAGTTCATTGTGTATGTGTGTGTGTGTGTGTGTGTGTGTGTGTGTGTGTGTGTGTGTGTGTGTGTGTGTGTGTGTGTGTGTGTGTGTCATGGTGTTTACAGTGTACATATCAAGACAATCTGATTACTTTCTTCCTCTTTCTTAGTAATGTCTACCTGAGGAGCACCTCTTTTCTCATCCTGCCACAATAACAACCTGTCCTTCATCTATGCTCAACATTACGTCTCATATGGAATTATACCAATAAAACACTTTACCTCTGCCTTTCATAAGACCGCTGTTTAGCATATAAACATTGTAGAGTGAGTCAGTTTGTCAGCAGATGACTTCAGTCTGGGGCATTTGTGTCACATCTAAATTCTTGCACGTCTCTGGATGCCACTTACCTGTGTGCGTTTTGGCATTTTAATGCCTTACACACATTTGATTCAGTTTGACAGTGGAATTTGAATATTTCAAATCAGGAAAAGTTTCACCAGCGAACGCTTTGATCATAACCGTATCTGCTTTGCTGTGCAGATAAATGCTGCTTTTTCCTTGCAGTCTTACTGTTTGCGTCACTGTAGAGTCACTTAGAGACTAGTTGTTTTTGTTTCTTTTTAATGTGTGTGTGTGTGTTTTCCTGAGACATTATGATGGTGACGTCACCACAAGGTGACGGTGTCATATCTGAGCGGGGGAGCAGAGTCCCAGGTGGTGCTGTAGGATGGAGCCAAGCCTCCCCTCTCACACCCTCTCTCTTATCTGCCTGAATTCTTGAGGAGATAAGTAATTGGGTGTAGTTAATTGACACACAGCTCCATGTGTGTGTGTGTGTGGTTTGGAGAGATCAAGCCCTTGGGATTGATGAAGAGCTTAGCATAAGTTGATGTAATTATTTAAAACTTACTAAAACAAAAAGGATATTAAAAGATTTGGAGAAGTAGATGGTCTGTTTTTATTAGAAAGCAGCGGGTTTACCGCAGGAGTTTTTCCATTCAGACATAAACAGTATGTAGTTTTTCTAAATAATAAATTAATAAAAGGTTTCCCTTATTTCAAGTAGAGACATTTTAAGTAAAGACACTGGATTTTGTATTCTTAAAATATTACTTTTCAGCATGTGAATATTATCAGCGTTCATTCAGCAGAGGTTTAGGACAGCAGCAGCGACTGCAGAATTAATATGGTAATGGAGATTTCTGCTCTGGTTTGGTCTCATTTAGTCTCTAGAAGGCCAATAGTCCAGTCTTCTTTTGTACGCAAATCTGCACAACTAGTGATAGACCAATTAGTCAGTCAGACAATTATCTGGCCGATTATCTGGTATTTTGTGATATTCGGCAGCAGCCGATGTCTGTGCTTACAAGGCTGATAAACAGAAAATGTCTGCACACACATCTGCAGAGGAAGCCTTGTCAGTGTTGTCGTTGTGGTACGATGGTAGCACTCCCCTGTGTGAGTTTTGGGAAGGGCGTGAAAAAGGTTGTTTTGAGCCCTATACTATAACTCTCATGCATCCTGCTGTAAATGTTTTCCTAAATTTCACTCGAATTTGGATCTGCTCCAAGATTTAATGGGTTTTCCTTGCTCCATGTTATACCTTTCCACAAAGTTTCATGAAAATCAGGCCAGTAGTTTTTCCATAATCCTGCTGACAGAAACACAAACAGCACCGAAGACATAACCTGCTTGGCAGAGATATACTGTCAGTGGGAAGAGGTAAATATTGAGGCTGCAATTGTAGCTAACACAATGTGAAACTGTCTCCTTCAGTTCAATGACTCTCTCTCTTGTTGGTTGACACTCAAGTTTTCTCATCTGAGCCAACATCTGTGTCCTGCACTCCTGTTTCTATTATTTACCAATAGTTTTATGTTGAACTTGACTTTTTTTTTTAAGTTTCTGGCTCTGTCATTATTGCTGCAGGATGTGTGCGAAAAGTGTGTTAAAAATGCAAGCTTTGACCATGTATCCCCATCATTCCCTGGTCTGTTCTGGCCTGGGATCTTTGTTGCATGTCATCAACCCCTGCAACCCCCTTCACAGTTTTTTGTCACATTGAAGCAAAAATGCCATATTTATAATCTTAAAGCAGCGTTTAGGCCTATATTAGCACCATACTATAAATCTACTTTTGAAACATGCATCAAATCATCATGGAGTTGTTGTGAAACTTTGAAGCTTTGTCTCACTCTGTGAAAATAAATTTGGGTACAATTTGAATATTAAAATGTTAACAATGTAGAAGACTTTCGCAGTGTTTTTAACATCAAGTTCCTTCTCTGCATCAAAGATACTCTAAATAATGAATGTGACCAAATAATTCACTTTAAATACCATTTGTGGGCCAACATACTGTAATAGTCCCACACAGTACAACAAAATTTTTCTCAAATGAGATTAGCTCGTTGTCTTAAATCAGTTGACTTAATAAAACACAGGAATACAACACAGGAAATGTCTTTTATATTTTACCGTGTTTTAGTGTAAGCAAGTAAAGATGTTGTAGGGGTCGACTTTTGGTGTTCTTCTTTAATACAAAAGAAATATTTATGAGCAATAGAAGAATTAAACAAATGACATACAGTGTGTTAATTAATGAGCTTTAGAGGTGATGTTCAAACATTAGGAAAGAGCCAGGCTAGCTGTTGTCCCCTGCTTCCAGGCTTTTGTGCTAAACTAAGCTAACTGCTTGCTGGCTCTAGCTCCATACTTAACGGAAACACGAGAGGTGTATCAATCTTCTCATCCAACTGTCAGAGAGAAAGCATGTGTATTTTACAAAATGCCTGATATATTCTCGTAGGATGGCTTTCACGTAACAGAGGAAGTTGTGACAGTAATTGACCCACTAAAATGACGCCTCGTCTATCTATCTCTCTTTTCTACCCTTCTGTATTCCTTCTTCTTTAATGTGTTTTTTAATGTGTGCCATTAGATGTGCTTTATGTGTTCGTAATGGTTAGGTATGTAAAATCCCAACGAATGAGCGAACTTTAAAGCACATTTTTCTGTTACTCCCATTAAAAATATTATTTTATGGCAGTTTTTATTGTAATTCTTTAAAAAGTCGCACACCCTGAATCATTGTTAAATTAGTGACACTCCAGGTCTCATTATCTTGTTATTCAAACACTTAAAATTAACAGTGTAAGGGAAGCCATCATCTTTCCTGTGTGTGGTTGTGTGTGTGTGTGTGTGTGTGTGTGTGTGTGTGTGTGTGTGTGGGGAAGACCGAATAGTCTGACAACTTTACACCCAGGCAAGCTAGTTTGCATACAGACATTGTATTTGACCTTTGACCCCTCTGTGTAATAAGGAGCTGGGTATTATCCTGCATCATTAACATCGACTGCTCTGATAATTACAATTACAACACTGCAGATGAGGGTGAACATTATGGGGCAGGAATGGAGGAAAGGATGATGTAAACTGTAGACGAGGTACATAGTTTGCTTAATCAGTTTTGGAGAAGAATAAAATATACAGTATGCACCACAGACTGTAGACCAGTCTTCTCTCCAGCCCAAAGAGCTGTGTCCATTCTGTCAGAAACAAAACTATTTAAAAAACAGTAGCTTTAGCTTTTTACCATTTTTGAAGAGAATTAGTTTTACAAGCCTTGCACTCACGTTTCTAGTCAAGTGCTAAACTTTCAGTCATACTGTGTTCCCAAACCAAAGTACCGCTAAACACCCATTTTGTAATTGTAATTTAAATCATGAATGCTTAATATAGAACAATTAAAAACAAAATTCAGTGTCCAACACAAACTAAAACTTGTGCAGTGCAGCTGACCAATATTAAATCCCTCCCATTTTACACACGAAACAAATCTTAACTCTGCTTCCTAGCTTTTTTTTTGAGCATTGAAGCACATCACTCCTGAAGTTCATACCTTTCAAGCCTTTGTGTTTGCCTGAAGATGAAAATTAAAGATACACCAGGTGTACTTGTGAAGGGAATAAAATGTAGGCTGTTTTGAATGCTAAACAAAACTCAAAGTCCTTAGAAATTCTTTATCCCAATTAGATGTGTCACTTAACAACCAGTTGAAGGTGCTGCTGACTGGTATTATAGTCAAATTTGAATTGCAAGTTAAGTGCCTCAGCTGTAAGATGGCAAACATGGTAAACATTATGCATCCTAAACTTCAACATGGTAGCATGGTCATTGTAAGCATGTAAGCATGCAGATGTTATCATTAGAGTCTTATTGTGCCTAAGTACAGCCTTGCTAGTTAGTCATAGGACTCAAGTACACACCTCTGCCTTTGAAATAAATAACTTGTAGAACCTAAGTTGCTCAGTTTTGAAAATTTCTGGCCTTTCTGGCTAATTTGAAGGCTGGATGCCGGACTTGCCTGAATATGATATGAAAGCTAACAGCATGAGAGATTGTGGTTAGTGTGTATTTGTCTGTGCACTTGCAGGCAGAACACTTACTACCAGCATCAGCTTCACTGGCTTACAGTGACAGGCTTCAATTTCCACGGAAAGTTTCCATCGTAAATCTTGTCTCATCTTCACGTTGTACCGCCTTCACTGTTTGTTTCCCTCCTTGCGCAGCGTCTGTGTTTCCACATGTTCATTTCCCCTCTCAATAAAGAGCTGCATTAACTCGATGGATGCTCAAATTGAGGGTGGGAGATGGCACATCTGGCTTTGAAAATGGGTGAAGTGGGACAAACTGATCTGTCTCTCTCTCTCTCTCTCTCTCTCTCTCTCTCTCTCTCTCTCTCTCTCTCTGTTTCTCTGCTTTTACTTCTGTCGTTTTTTTTCTCTCGTACCTTTGGAGAACATTGACCTTTACGCTCTTTGTGCTGCTGTGTTGTGATTGTCTCGGGGAAAATGTTGTGATTGTCTTGGTGAAAATTGAAAAAGGGGGAGCCTGGTCTGCAGAGACATGCTCCTCTTTGTGTGTGATTGTCCTGTGTGTGTGTGTGTGTGTGTGTGTGTGTGTGTGTGTGTGTGTGTGTAAATCCCATATTTTAGGTATATCTGACCTTATCCAAAAATAATACAATCTGTCATTGATCAGAGTTACCCCTGAGTGCTACAGTAGGCTACACCATCAGTATGCAAGGTCATGAACACACAGAAAGCACAGTCTTACTCTTTTCTACTAGAAATTGAATCCTGATAAAGGACATGTCAGTCACAATACAATTTTATTTCACACACACACACACACACACACACACACACACACACACAACTCAAATACAGCCCTGGCTTTACTGTCTGATGGATGAATGATATTATCATTTCAATCTTGATGCTGCCAGTTACATTCCTCCGTATACATGAAATATTTCTACAGTAGCCCAGAAAGGACTAATTAAACACTGGCTCTAGACAGGGCCATTTGTGTTTTTTAATGTTACACTGTAAAAACTGAAGTGAGGGAGTTGCGATCTGCAACTACAACGTTAGATGCCACTAAAACCTACACACTGGACCTGAAGAGCATGTGGACAAAATTACTTTTTTGATACTCAACGTATGAACAGTGCTTCTTCTCTGTTCTCTGTGGTGTGGGAGTTGCTGCTGCTGCTGTGTGTGTGTGTGTGTGTGTGTGTGTGTGTGTGTGTGTGTGTGTGTGTGTGTGTGTGTGTGTGTGTACAAGCACTCTGTTTACTCTCTTGAAGGTCTCTGATTAGAGTGTGTTGGCCTGCTAAATCAGCAGCACCTGGGCCCAGAGTCAGTTTGGCTCTCTCATATTCCTCCACACGTGCATGCTGTTGTTGTTACTTGCCTTTTGGTTTTCTTCTCTATATGTGCATTCAAGTGCCACAAGGCTTAGAAAATGGCACACCTAGATACGGATGCAGCCGTCATTATTGTTCTTAATTACACCTGTGTTCTTTCTGCAAATATATTTCAAAAATTTGGTACATGGTATAAGAGGCAAACATTTGAAGGCCTGCACACCAACACTGGTGTTTTCTGTTCCTGTGCTGATTAGACCTCTGCTCAGGTCGATGTTTGGTGATGATGTTTTAGCATGTCATAGCAGCAAACTCACAGGTGAATTAATGATTAATGATTAATAATGATGCATTGCACATAGGAAAGGTCCTGCTCTTGTGCATGCTGGTTTACTGTCACTGTTACTGAGCCATCAAACTTTATGTACTAATGAGAATAATAAAGGTGTAAGAAAACAAATACAAAGCTGTGTCCAAAATCACTCCCTATTTATTATGTAGTGCATTGTATTTAGTGTCCAAATTCTGAGTGTGAAGTGTATTAAGTACATAATGCCCTAAATTCCAACAGTAAAACAAAAAAGTAGTTTCCACAAACATCGCATTTGAAAAATGTGAACACTGCCACTCTACAGCTGTCAGTGATGACACAGAATGATGATGATTCATAATGTCCTAAATCCCAATTTACCGCTCACAATAGGGTAATTTATTATAAATTATAAAGTGTCTATTATACAAGGATTACTGAATGAGTGAAAGAGACGCAATGGAGATTGTCTGAGAGGAGCTCTTGTGGACTGGCCAGTTATCAAATTCAGTTACAATCTCAGTAACAACAGCAAGCTTCAGTGTTGCGGCAATGATCACCTGAATGTATCCTTCTACTTTCTTGGAGGGATACGTGATGCATTTTTAAGTAGTGTATGTAATGTGTATTTTGGCAGTGTCAAGAGCTGTTTATAAATTGAGTGTACATATTAAAGCTTAAATTAAATGAAATTACAATGTGCAGTGTGAAAGATGTTAGTCAAAGTGATGAATGATAATTATCACTTGACTCTGAGGTTCCCCTGAGCTCTACAGGTTGTTTTAGCTTCTTTTAGCTCGTTGTTTTGGTTTACTGTACACTACATGCACTAAGCGGCAGACAAAGTTAGCATGGTGATCGTAGTGGAGCATTCTCAGCTTGAGAGCAATAGCTAAAAATTTTTTATTTTTTATAGATTGTAAAGCCCTCTGAGGCAATTGTGATTTGTAATTTTGGGCAATGTAAATAAAAAATTACTTGACTCTTTCTTCTCTCTGTTTCTTGCTCTCTCCATCTGTGTGCGTGCAGGATGTACGATGTTGGAGGCCAGAGAACTGAGCGGAGGAAGTGGATTGGTTGTTTCGAGGATGTCAGGGCGGTGCTGTTTGTGGTGTCGCTCAGCGGTTATGACATGACCCTGGTGGAAGACCCCTCCATGGTACAGGCTGCACTCAGATCAGTCCCTCACAAATGTTCATGCTCCTCCGTCAAAGCAACTGGAGACCACTTGTTAAGTCTCACCCAATAAGATTATGTTCTGTCCTCGTAGACCAAGTTTTAAAAGTGACTCTGCTCTCTGTGCTCCTCTGCACCTCTGCAGCTGTCTGATGGTGTTATTGTCTCCTCTCTGTAGAATCGTCTTCAGGAGAGCATGAAACTCTTCGCCGCCATCTGCAACAACGTTTTCTTCCGCAGCACATCCATGGTGAGGAATTCATCAGTCACCCACTTCCTCCACCTCAGGAGGAATGATGCAGTCAAAAACATTAATTTAAAAGGATCTTTCAGACTTGGAGAGATTCTTTCTGGTAATTTGCAGAAAAACGGTTTCCTAAGTCACAATAACTGACGCTATAAAAGATCATGGTCTTTGTCAATGGAAGTCTAGGGGAGATGGATTCGTGGGCGTTGCAATCAGCAATTGTACCGCTAGGTGCCACTAAATCCAGTGCAGACCCCTTCCAGGTGTACCCTGTTTACAGGTTGCATATGGTTCTGTATGGGTCAAGAGAGTGATTAGTATGATTATTCTCGCTTAGATTTTTATTTTAGTTCTTTGTAGGATTCAGGACAGACTGACAGAGCTGCGAGCATGGCTGTAGACTTTTTTTCTGCTTTTACAAGATATTGTGTGCACACTGTGTCTGTATTTAAGAAGTTAAGCACTAAATCTACCTACATGGCCTATCCAAACCTAACTCTCCTAAACCTTGGTGGTTACAAAATAGTTTGGGTTATTTTTGATTGCAATGTAATTCACGGCATAGAAAAACAATGTTAAAGGCTTTCTGATGTGTCTATTTAGTTTAGTTATCAATTCTGTTTAATAAGTCAAATAAAAAAGTCAAAAAGTCTGCTGTAGTTGAATTATCCATCACTCATCCTGAGATGTGGACTGCCAAGTAGCTTTATTTAAAGTCACAAAACAGAAAAGGTGGAGACAAGGGACTCCAGCTAAAGAGGGTGGGAACCACAGTTCAGTTGGTGGACGGAGCACATGGATGAAAGGAGGAGACAGTAACAAAATCTCTTTGTAGCTCTCCATTTGTTCTCTATGACACCATAAGACAAGAATAACACTAATGTGTTTTATAAATGCTGTTTCCACACACACACACACACAAACAGGGCCCGGTCTCAGCTCTTTGTCTCCGAGTCTTCTGTCACTCGTAATTAAACGTTGAGTTGTAATTAGGGTGAGCTTTGGCGAGGTGACATTTTCCCCTCTGTGTTTTTCCGTTCCTGTTTCCGGCAAATGATCACATTAAAACAAGCGTGTAACGAGCTTGTTCAATTTATTCCACTCAACTCGTATTTAAAGCCCACTTAAAATACAAGTCACTGCATGTTGACACCAGCGACAACTGCTGTTAACTCTTTGTGAACACTGGTTTTAACTTTTCGGACAAGCTTCTGGAGAAAGAAAACTCAGATCTCTGACCAAACAAAGGCCCTTGAGAGGGTTTATGAATCAACTCAGTGTTTCAGTTTTTGATATATTGAGATCATGAGGATAAGTAATTTACTGTCACCAAATAGATCACCACAGACACAGAAAGTGAAAACCTGCAGCGTTAAATAAAAGTATCTCTTTTTGTAAATTATTCTTTTTTGAACCATAAAGAAATGTTATTTAAGGCTTAATTATTAGAGCCAAATGGGCAATTAAATATCAGTGTGTGATGTGTTTATGTGCAGGGTTGTGTGTGGGCCAGCACGTTATCATGGCTAACAGGCTCATTAAACAAAAGTGTTTAATGATACCTTTTTAACGTGGGAGGAAAATTTGTAACCTCCACCTCAATTAACTCTATCACTGTGGCTGGTCAGTGGTAATTACACACCTAGGTTTTGCTCCGTATCCTGTTCTACCTCATCCCTCCCTCGTTATTATCAGGGGCTTATTTTTTGTGTGTTTGTTTTTTTTGTGATCAAACGGGCTGGAAAAGGGAGAACTTGGTTGTAGTTTTTAATTGGTTGACTACAAAGCCGAAAGTACCTGTGAAACGTGGCGACAGCTGAGCAGAAGTTGAGTTTAGAGGCAGTAAGAGTAAACGACAGAGAGACGGAGATTTATGAAAGTGGTAGCTGAGCTTGTTGAGCGCCTGCACTGGAGACTACATGAGTGATCGATTGCACACTGATGAGTGCAGCGAGGTCATTGATCAGCTATCATCCCCCCATGCTAGTATCAGCACCGCTATTGGTTGTAAAGAGACAATAAATGTGACTGTAATATTTGAATCTGATACATTGGTTTCATCATTTGGGTAGTTATTGCAGCGCTATAGGTGGGAGTCACCAAATCAAATCAACAATTTTCTCTTTCAGATGATCTTTAGGATTGATTTTCTTTTTCCACCAGAGAGGAAGCCTTTTACTTGAGACAAGCTTCTCGCGCTCTCAGCTGATTGTGTTTTTTTTGTGTGTGTGTCTTTTTATTGCAGATTTTATTCATGAACAAGATAGACCTTTTTCAAGACAAGATTTTACACTCTGGCCGACATCTGCGGTTATACCTGCCGCAGTTTAAAGGTAGGACTCATGTTAGTTAAATGTTATTTTTTGTGTTATGCACATACAAGTGCTCACATGGACTGTTGTAGTGGTCAAACAAATAATATTAACTTAACTTAACATATACATATTAGTGGCCAGTTTACACCTGTAAAATCTAATGCAATCTTTGGCACACTGTCAGAGAGGTATTACATTAACTACGTGTTTGTTATTGAGGGTGTTAAACTGGACTGCGTTATATTGAGAGGTGTTTCTAATGTTTCCTCATATTAGTGATGTAGTTCAGTTCAGTTGATTTAAAGTTTTTCACCAAAACTACAACTTCTTAAATGTAGAATTTGTGACAGTACTCTTGTATTGGATCACATGATTGATGATTGTGTGTATATTACTATAAAAAAATAAGGTCCCCTTTCTAAAACACCGCTCAAGTTCTACATAATCGTCCTTCCAGAAGAACCAATCAATGTGTATCAAATCAACCAATAATGAACAATGAAACATGAAACAGATTTCCTCTTTAATCTCACTTTTCTTCATCTTTGGAAACCATTAAACCTGCCTGTTTCTACAGCTAATGGTAATGTATCTGAACATAAACCCCTCACACAGAGATCTTTTAGTTAAATTCTGCTTCTCATACGGCTCTACACTTTATTTTCATGTAATACAGTTTGTACCAAATGTCGACATACCATCTTTCCTTATACACAAGGTAAAGTTTGCATCATGTATATAACACTGTTTTTAAAATAAAAGACAAAATAGAGATGCACCTCACTAATCCAGGGAAGTACTAAAATATCTTAGCATTATATCAAAAGGTAGGACCAATGTGCAGAGTTTAGGTGCTTTAAAACATAAAGGCGGACACACACACACACACACACACACACTGATTGTGTTATTTTAGGGGGATTTTTGTATCCGCTCCACTCAGCGATTTACTCCCCACGTCTCAGTGGGCTCAACAGGGGCTGTGTCCTCTCTGCTCTCATGCAAATGTCAATATAAATGCTAAAACTCTTGGGATTGGGGTCTGCTAGAAGAGCTAGTGTCAATTTCACACTGACCTCAGATATGAATGGTCTAATACAGTCGCTTCCAACCTTTTGTGTTTGAGTTACCGCCACAGACCTCTTCCCCCTCACCAGCACCAATCTGTCATGTTCCAAATGTGTTTATTTGGATTTATTTTAAACTGGAAGATGATCTGAATATGGTCCATGTTGTTTTCTATTTTGCTACATGGCAGAAGCATGCTTGCTTATAAAGTACTTAAACTCAAATAGTCCAGTCAGATGTCCACAAGTTGTTAGCAGTTCCAACGAAGAGGGATTTTAACTCTTAACCTTTACATGGTTTTGTTAAAAAAAAAGAAAAATCAAATTCATAAAAACTAGAGAAACAGTCATAAGATTTAAAACAGGACCAATTTTTTTTTCTTCTTTCCAACCCCATTAATCATCTGACCACCCCTCAGATTTATCCTGTGACCCTTTGGAGGGGCAGACCCCTAGTTTGAGAACCACTGGACTAAACTAAGAGTATATAAAGTAGTGAAAAGGAGTTCCACATCGACCAGCTGCATCAGTAAGATGTCATATATAATAATATATCAGTCACAGGGGACATTTGACATACTGCAGAATGTTCATGTTGACATTTTAAGGACATTTTACTGATAATATGATATATAACATAAAGCAGTTCATGCATGGGGCACGTTTACCTGAATGCATTGGTACTTTTACTTGAGTAAACCCCATCTCTCCTCCAGGTGCAGACTGCGATGTGGATTCCGCCGCCCGCTTCATCGCTGCCACCTTCGTCTCGCTCAACGCCACGCCCAGCAAACTCATCTACCACCACTTCACCACGGCAACAGACACCTCCAACATCCAGGTCGTCTTCCAGGTGGTGATGGACACGATAATCAAAGAGAACCTGGAGGCTGTGTCGCTCCTGTAGCTGTAAATGGATGTCCAACACTTCACTGGATAGTCGGTCTCATTGTAAGACTAAAATAAATAATAAGAGCAACAGAACATGAAGATCATCTGCTCCAAACGTATTATCTCTGACGCTCTTTTCCACTTTTGCATTTCATCTTCTCTGTTGGATTTCATGTAGCTTAGAAAAACTGTTTAAAAAAAAACTTAAAGGAGAAGGACCACTTGGCTAATCCTTTTTGAGAGTAGTGGGCATTTACATTTTTGTACTGTACTATGAAATGAGACTATGAATGCTGGTGTTTGAGGACTTGATATATACACATGTATTTGCCCATCTCTTCTTCTATGTGTGTCCGTGTGTGTGTGTGTGTGTGTGTGTGTGTGTGTGTGTGTGTGTGTGTGGGCAGGACACAGTGGGCGTGAGGATTTACTGTTTGTCTGTTACTTCCTCCGCGCAGGGTTCACTCATGCATACCATCGTGTGTTTTCCGTTCATCCATCACTGTCTCCACCGTGCACATCCTGTGCGTCACACCCTCCTAATGAGGCGGTGATCACTGTAAAAGCACCCCAGTTTGTGTTTACTCGTCCTGAAATCACACTCACGCCGTTCATTTTACTCTGTGCCTTCTCTCCCCTGACTCTCATCGTCCAGTGATGATGCTGGCAAAGTGTGTGTGAAGAAACATCCCTGATGCGTCCACCTTTCGTCATATTTCCTCCCTTTCACCTCTGATGATTATTGTTCCTGTATGTGCCCACACACACACACACACAAACCCTGATTTGTCAACCAGGATGATGCTTCCTATATGTGATTTGTGTGGCATTAACTCTGCTGGAGTTCCCCTGAGCGACTGACTGTGTTATCTCATCCTCTCTGACTCCAGTAATAAACAAGATATGTTAATGTCTGCTACGGTCTGATACTGAAGGTGAAAGAAAAGAGAAAAACACCCCAAAGTGCCTTATGATGAAGTGGTTTTGCTGTTGTGTAATTTAAATGCTTCAGAAGTGTATGCAATTTGTGCATTTTTCCTCTTCTCTTCCCCAATTTTAGAATAATTATTAGTATTTCATACTGAATCTCTACTCTTTATAGACCTTGTTCTCAGACTGTTATTTCATGGATTGTACTTTGTATTGTACTGAAACAGCAACACAAAATAAATGTGATATGCTGACTGTCTTATTTTGACATCATATTCCAGTTTTCTTTTAAAGTAAATGGATAAAAGTAACAGACCAAGGCAATTATTTTTCCCTTTTTCATCCCACATTAGTTGAATATTTTAAGACAAAGTTAAGCCACACAACAGGTTACCAGTGTTTGTTCATTTTAATAAATAAAATAAATAAAAGTACTTTCCAGGAAATCTGTTCTGCAGTCAACTTTCTGGACATTTAATACATAAACAACGGTGGGTACATGTCAGGGTTAAACAGTAAAGATGGGAAGTTATCTGGAAAGAAGGTGGTTTCAACTAACATCTCTCATACAGATATTTTCTTCTACATCCCTGTCTACAACGAAAGCAAAACTGAACAATGTTTTTGTTTTTTTGTTTTAAATAAGAACATTCAGAGTCTGCAGCGGTCCATCGACAGTGATCAGGGTTTCACGTCCCCCACACACTTATCTATCCCTCATTCCTTTCCTTCATTTTCCACAGAAGCGCTCCCGGGGATCGGTGGAGGACTAGGACTGTCTCCGCCGGTCCCAACCGGGACTCATGCGGACAGGCAGTCCAGGGAGTCCAGGGTGAGGAAGACGTCCGCCTTGCACTGGAAGGTGCCTGTCCCGTCCCGCAGCAGCTCACAGCTCTTCAGGTTTGGAGAGATATCCTTGACGCAGATGGCCTGCAGGAGATAAAAATGAGGGGATTATATATAATTTAATAATAACTATGACCAAAACTGACCTCATACGGTTTTAATTTATGAGTTTTATCTCCAAAACGAATAGCCAAATAATTAGGATAAAGTAATAACATCAGGCTATTGGAAATGGAACCTAAACAATTCCTATATTTTCATTTATTTCCGTAGGTAGTGATTCAAAATTCTGAAAATGCCCAATTTGTCATCATCTTTTAATGCTGCTGCGCTTTGACCTGCAGCGCTCACCAGTTTGCGCCTTTATGCACAGTTCTTCAACTTTTTCGGCAATTTTAATCTCCAATTTTTTTAGTCGTCTTTATGAGAGCAAAAGTCACAAAAGCGCTTTCAAAGCTCTAATTCAAAGGTTTATAAGTGTCAGTGGTCAAGCAGCGCTATAAATGAGGCTCTTATGGAGATGGAAGAAAAACTATTTTTACGCGCGTCTCTTCTGAACAACGCATCATCGAGGTAGCACAAACCAAACCCCCCTCAAACAGGAATAAAGTTTGTAGCATCTTAAATGTACTCACCATACTTTTAAGGATGGAGATCTGCCTGTTGGACTCTGGGATCACGTTGTTACCTGCGGTCTCCCCGCTGTCCATCAGCGTCTCTTCGGATTCGGACCTCCGGACGTACGGTGACCTCCTGATACCGGACAGCAAACCGGAGGCACGACCCACCGAGTAGTAACTGGGCCCGGTCGACTGCTTGTACCAGGCTTCCACTGGATGGCAGGAGATGAGCAGAGACACTGCGACACACACCACGGCGAACCTGACTGACCTCTCCATGTCTGGAACCGGCTTGGCACTTTTTACGCGGAGGAAAACGGCGCTTTTGTGGTCTGTTCTTGGTCAGAGGCCGACTTTATGTTTTGCTGGGTGTTAGTAAAACTTTCTGCTGCTTAAATAGGCTGGCTGGGCGACGCTTTCGTGACCCAGGACGTTCGTCAAATCAAAATTGAGGTGGGCGGATGATGACCGTGCGTGTGTGTGTGTGTGTGTGTGGGGGGGGGGGTATAGAGTGTGTGTGTGGGGGGGTGAAGATGTGTAGGGACGTCAGCCCTTCTCTGACGTGTAGAGGTAAAACTAAAATTGATTAACATCAGTGAACCGGGACGCTGACGTGGTCCAAAGTCAAAGATGTCCGGATAGCTTATTAGGTAATGAGGAGGTGCTTTTATGTTTCACTAATTGTGAGATTTTAAATTTCCTCAATGTCTAAAAACATCTCAAATTTACAGGCAGTCAGGTCCATTTCCACCACAACGGTCAGTTCATGAGATGAAGAGATCTGGATGCAATTTGTCTAAAACCACACATGAAATGCATAAAAAGCATTAAACGGGTCAGTGCTCACCCACAAGAGAGCAGAATCAGTTCAAAAGACTTCAGTGTAAGGAAAAAGGGACAGGTGAGGTGTAAAAAGAGAATAAACAGATCAATAAACATGAGTGAATAATCGACTGATCCAAATTGTTCCAGCAGCTTTCTACATGGACAGATTGAGAATCAGTCTCACTACAAAGTAGAGCTCTGAGGAATCAATAAAACCCTTTTTCTGATTGATTTGCCGACCTCACCAATCAAGCGTCATGAACTCTACCGCCAGTGTAATCAGCAGATCAGTGAGGCAGACTTAAACAAAGACGGAAACATTTCTACATTTGTTCAATTAACAAAAACAGTCAGTGTGTAACCATGTTGCCTCTCTGTGAAACAGGGTTATGAGGGCGTCTGGATGATGGGAAAATGTACCTTAAATGTATAGAAACAGATAAGAAGGACCACTGACGTGAATGATGAAATTATCTGGTAACATGAAAAAGAACGATACAATACAGAAAACAATGATAGGAATTAAAGCAATTTGAGTTTTCTTTATTTTGAGCCCTAAAAGCAGCACTGACATACAAAAATAAATGTTATTTATTTCATAAGAAGAATGTGTTCATGTATGCGGACATCATGTCAATCAAGATGAGTAAAAGTACCATTAGAGTCAATCAGAGTCCATTGTAGAGTGGTCTGCAGTGCGGCTCTAGTTTGTCTTCCAGGACATAGTCAGGTCCACAGACCCAAGGGTCTCCTGTCTCCCACTGCCACTTCTGCAGACTCTGCCTCAGGCTCTCTAGCACGGAGCTGTAGGATGGGTCTGATACCAGGTTCCTCGTTTCCAGCGGGTCTGCCCTGTGTTAGTGAAGCATTTGTTCAGATTTAAACATCAGAGAACAGACTCAGGGCTGTAGCCAAAGATTGTATCAATACAGAGCGCTCCATGTTCCCTATAATGAGTATCAGATTACACATTTATTTCCTCGAAATCTTCCAGACAATGCTTAGGAAACTACTGACAGTAAAATAAAACTTTACTGTTTTAATTCCCATAAATAACCCATGAATAACTACTAAATGATAAATTCATCTTAAAGTAGAATCCATCTAAAACATACTCACTATGCAACACCCAAAGCAAGACCTCAAAACATGAAATATAAAGACATCTACCCAAATGTGTTGAAAATCAGGTTCCATTCAAAAGACAAAAGGCTTTTCAAAGCTAATTTATGATTTAAACATAATATCTAAAATCAGTTCAAATACCTTGTTATTATTTTGTTAGTATTTCTATTTTAAAAAAACAAACAAAACAAAAAGTGTAAGCAAGCATCCCTGATTATAAAGCTCTGACTCTGTTAGCATGTTTTTTCTCTTTTATTGCATTAGATCACAGTTCAGCAAAAAAGGAAACCCGGCTGCAACTAATGATTATTTCCATTATAAATGAATATTAATATGACTCTTTTTAAATAAATGTGTCAATTTAGTCTGTGATTGAACCAATATCAATTCAAAGTCCAAGATGATGTCTTCAAAGGACTTCTTTTGTCTCAACAACTGTCAAAACTCAGAGAATATTTGCTTGTTAATGACGGACATTTTTTTTTTCATTCATTGTCGGTGGATCAACTAATTGACTAATAATTTCAGCACTAAAAGAAAGCATCCAGTTCTCACTTTGCTATTGATCTCTGCAGTGCCATGACTGTTTGTTTGGGACGCACACACGATGCAGGCTGTTTTTGAGGCAGAGCACACAAACGAAGTTCAACACTCCCACTTCCACAATAGTAAAATTTGATTCTGTTTTAGTGTGTTTTCTCTCCTTTATAGCTGTAGTTTCTAACCATTTTTTATTTGTTTTTGTTTTTTTCACAAAATGACTGCACTGTGAACGGTGGCAGGAGTGCCACGTTTAAATCAGAGGACCTCGCTTAAGGCTTTCACCAGACACCCATTCAACCGACTGATATTGATGTGTGTGAACATGTTAGTGCAATACTTCTGTACACACTTTTATACACAACCCTCATTTTCATATATTTATATAGCATTTTATTTATCTTATTCCATTTTTGTTTTAACTTTCTTTGTATCCTATTTCATCTTTATATGACAAGGGCTGTTATTGCTGGACTGACCTGTTTTGTCCAACACATATTATTGTATCGTTTGTACCTCAACTCTCTGAAAACATGATGAACACCGTTACAACATGAACGTCAGCAGCTGAAACAGACCTGGAGTCGTACAGCTCCCAGCGCTCTCTGTAGTAGTACTGCTCCAGGCTTTTGAACCAGTATGTGGGCTCACTCAGCCTGGTGCGGTTCAGCAGGTCCTGGAAGGTGGGTGACACATACAGGTCCTGGTCGATGGGGAAGGGCATGCGATAGTGTAGGTTGTGGAGAAGGTGGTATGCCCCCTGGTGGACAGAGCGGGTTGGGTAGTACATGGTTACCTGAAACCAAACCAAAAAACAGTACAGCAGTCAAGGTCTTGTGTTTAATTCCTTCATGAAAGTCTGTTTCTGAAAGTCTGAAAGCAGCGATACAAGCACAGACCTCGTGGAGGGACTGGCTGGCGTAGACGGTGTGCCAGCTGCTGGGCTCAGTGACCAGAGCAGGCAGTAAGGAGCGACCGGTGAGGTGGACCGGGGCGGCGGGGCTTCCGGGGAGGGTGTAGGACGGGTACGGAACAGAGAACCAGTCAAGAATGGTGGGAGTGATGTCTGCCGACAAAAGAGATTGACAAGAAGAAGAGAAAAATAAGGAAACGACAATGAGAAAATAAGATAAACTATCAGCTCATCTGAGGTAAAACCGAGATTTAAATGTAATATTAATATTCATAATTATTGTAATACTACATTAATACTGCACATGAACTCATAATTACATTTCTATTATTTTATAAACAGAGGGACATCTTTATATTTACATTTCACTGTCCAATGAAAACCACATATCTTCCTTCATGGGAGGACAACATTGTCCACATTTTTAAGATAAATAAAACCATTAAAAAAAATACATAGGAGAATCCAAAAAATCACAAAGCTGAAAACCGTTTCTCTTAGTTCATGAAAAGTTCCTATTATGGAAATACATGGATTTCATATTTAATTTTAATTTAATTTTAATTTTAGTTAATAAGTTTCATTTTGTCACTTTTTATGTTAACAATTTATGTTATTTATATAAACATTTAGTTATTACACCATCAGGGGATCATTTTCTGTTCATCTTTTTTGTCCTAAGATGTGCTGCTGATGCATCATTGTTAAGTCTCCCTCTTGTGGCCGATTGAGCACATCAGACAAACACACTAACTTCCCTTTTAGTGTAAGCAGAGTGGTCCCAAGATGAACAGGAAAAAAACATTATGTTTATATATGACTTTTTCTTTTTTTCTAAAATATTTTTCAACCCAGAAAAATCCTTCAGAAATCTCAGAATGACAAAAGCAATAACCTGTGCTTCATTGCTTAATTTTAAGGAGCCACAAGCCTAAAAAAAGTTGGGACCCACTGGTATAACTATGGACACAGCTCACAAGCAAGTGGCTGCTAGACTTTATGGTCTAATTAAAAAAAAACACGCTATGAATTTGTCCACTTCATCCATCTCTTACCCAGCAGGCTGACGTAGGCCGGACTGGTGTCTCCCCATCGCTCCCTGTGCTCAGGAGAGGACACCAGCATAGGCTCTGCTGTCCCCGAGCGATACAGATTGGTTCTGCCGTTAGGGAAGGGGATGCCGTTATCTGAGCTGTAGATGACCAGAGTGTCGTTCTCATAACCAGCGTCTCTGAGCTCCTGAAGAACCAAACCGATACCTGCAGAGGACATTCACACCATTACTGCTTAGTATTTCACATGAGTGGCTTCTCTCCACCCTCTTTTTCTGTGCATGTGTAGGTTGTGTGCATACCTTGGTCCAGCCTGCTCACCGTGGTGTACTGTGCAGCCAAGTCGGCTCGTGCTACAGGTGTGTCCGGCACAAACGGAGGAACCTGAAGTGCACGGGATGAGGACAGACCAGATGAACACGTGCTAGAAGCTAGGAATTCATGTCTATAAAAGAAATGTTGCAAGATTTATACCAATTAATCTATATGTTTTATGGCTAATAATCCCTTTTCCAATGACAGATTTCTTCATATATTTGTAAACACAAAATCTCCATCACTGACCTTCACTTGTTCTGGTGTGTAATATTCTGGTGTCCAATCAGGTATTCTACCCATCCCCATTTCACCATTCCCAAACTTCTCACAGAACGCTCCATACTGAGGCTGTGAGTGTCCACAACGGTGGGTGTCATGGAAGGCAACATAAAGGAAAAAGGGCCTCTCTTCGTCTTTGGTATTGTATTGATTCTCTTCTTTGTTTCCCCTTTGTTCAAAAGCTTCATTTTTATGGGTGTGGAAAAACTTGCGGACCAAGAGTTTGATGCGGGTGATGTTCCTCCCCACCTGGAGGACAGAGTTGTTCTCCTCTGTGTAGGCAAAATCAAAAGGGTATACAGTTCCAGGTCCGACATGCTTCTTCCCAATTATACCTGTGGGAGTGCAGAGTAAAAAAGAGATAGGGGGAGAAATTGTGATTAAAAAGTGTGTGTGTGGCAGTCTTTAAATAAAATGGCCTCTTTGTTATTTACCTGTGTGTACGTTGGCTTGGCTGAGCAGCAGCGGCAAACTTTGCACGCCATCAAATGAATTGAAGTGGTGAACACCCTGGTGAAGACCGTACATGCCGTTCTGGTGCTGAAAACACAGATCAAACGGACCTAAATACTGTGTGTGAGAGAGAGAGTGAAACTGAGTGTGTGTGTGTGTGTGTGTGTGTGTGTGTGTGTTGTGTGTGTGAGAGAGAGAGTGAAACTGAGTGTGTGTGTGTGTGTGTGTGTGTGTGTGTGTGTGTGTGTGTGTGTGTGTGAGAGAGAGAGAGTGAAACTGTGTGTGTGTGTGTGTGTGTGTGTGTGTGTGTGTGGTGAGAGAGAGAGAGTGAAACTGAGGTGTGTGTGTGTGTGTGTGTGTGTGTGTGTGTGTGTGTGAGAGAGAGAGAGTGAAACTGTGTGTGTGTGTGTGTGTGTGTGTGTGTGTGTGTGTGTGTGAGAGAGAGAGTGAAACTGTGTGTGTATGTGTGTGTGTGTGTGTGTGTGTGTGTGTGTGTGTGAGAGAGAGAGTGAAACTGAGTGTGTGTGTGTGTGTGTGTGTGTGTGTGTGTGTGTGTGTGTGTGTGTGTGTGTGGTAGAGAGGTGGAACTTTTTATGAGTGTGTGTGTGTGTGTGTGTGTGTGAGAGAGAGAGTGAGACTCTGTGTGTGTGTGTGTGTGTGTGTGTGTGTGTGTGAGAGTGAGATTGTTGAGACTGTGTGTGTGTGTGTGTGTGTGTGTGTGTGTGTGTGTGTGTGTGTGTGTGTGAGACTGTGTGTTTTACCTGTGGCAGGCCGGTGAGGATGGTGGAGCGGCTGGGGGAGCAGCTGCTGACAGAGGTGAAGGCGTTGCTGAACACCAGGCTACGCTGAGCCAGAGAGCGCAGGTGGGGTGTGTGGACCACAGAATTGTTATACACCCCCGTCTCAAAACCTGCATCATCAGCTGGAAGAGGGAAAAGATACGTTTATTGGCTCTTATACTATATACAAGACAGAACAGTAAGCAACTCTTCACATCAGTGAAACTGTTACCAGCAAACAACTGGGATGTGTATTAGATAGAAGGGTTGGGAGATATGATGAAACTTACTGTTTATACTTTGTTAGCGATCCCTTTAATATCTCTGGCTATATTGAGCAATAGTGGGCAATGTTGTAATGAATTTTGCCCCAATCAGACCAGTTAATAGCTCACATAATTAAAGGAACGCTGCCTATTTTTTGTATACATTTGTGTTTTATAGCATGATCTATATACATACGGCAATATAACATTACAGCATATACCATAATAAAAGATTTTGGCCAGTTTATTAGGTTCACCTAGATAAAACTATTGCAGTCTAATACAACAGTCATGCTGTAAATCCTAACTTCATGAAGTTTTCGTTGTTTGTTCATTGTGGAGGATGTAGTTTGTGCTGCTGTTGGACTGTATTTCATTATTCAGAAAGATGTTATTGTTATTTAGTCAAATGATATCAGTGAGGGTGGATTAAATACAGATACAGACAGCTCTCTGTATAATGCAATCACATTTGAAGCAGCACAGTTGTATAAGCCTGCATTAGTTTTAGTTGGGTGTACACTGAGTGGAGTCTTTAAAACTACCACTTCATAGAAATGTAAAAGTCAACTTACCAATTATTAAAAGGACATTTCTTGTCTTTGCGTCCCCGAAGCGACATGATGCCAAGATGAGAGAAACCAACACAAGCAGCATGATGATGATGATGATGATGATGATGATGATTAGCTCTCTTCACACAAACATCTCAGCTGCTTCGGCTTTCAAACATTTCCTGTGAGCCAAAACATTTACATTCAATGAATAAAACAAATAACACACTTAGTGACTTAATAAAACCTCTAGTGGAGCTTTGAGAGAGCCACACTGTCGTCAATAAACAACAGGATGTTCTAACGACTTCCTCAAACAACTTAAGCCCCGCCCACTCGTGATCACATGACGGAGGTCATGTGACAGGAACCGCTGTCTCGCGCTTCATCAGCGAAATGACACATTTTAGGAAGTGGTTTCAGCGAGAGGAACAGCTGCATTTTGACAGAAAGGGACATAAAATCTCAGCTGATCCGGTGGATAATGGGAAGAGTAAGCTTGTCTATTCTGTTCTGCTGTCTGGTTTTTGCTGCTCTATTATATTGTGTTGTTTATCTATTTTATTCTATTGTCTATTGAGTTGTTTTCCGTTGTGTTTTTATTCTCTTATATTCTATTTGACACAGCTATTTAGATTATTCATGTTCTTCCACTGTGTCAGTGCAACATGTTATTGTACAATCAATCTTAGAAGAATGGTCTCTTCTACATAACACACCTATAAACACATTATAGGACACAATGGGAGATACATCAAACGCTGCTGGTAACTCACATAAAACTGTAGAATTTGTGAGTGAATATTTCTTTGTCAGGGAGTTTGATGGATTATGGGAAAAAAAAGGTCTGCCTGTTGTAAAACAGTCACTGGTCAGGGACCTGTCATATGATTGATCATATGATTATAAAGACTTCAAAGCTCGCTAAGGTGAAGCTCACAGAAATACAAATTGAATATCTGTCCTCAGCTATTAAAATACTTAACAAAGTGGTTATCATCATGAAATCTTATAAGTTAGTTCATTTGTGACGTTTTGTTTTTTCCATTGCACACAGATCACAGCGTGCATCTGGAGACATGCCGTCCACTTTCTTTGATGTGCTGTGCATTTGTCCAATAAAGCACGCAGACAAACTGACACATGCACACAGAGCACTTGTTGGTTGTGTTTCCCGTGTGGGGAAAGAGGAGGCCAACCGAAGCCAAAACAGACAGCACCTCCCAAAGGTCGATGAGTGACATTTAAAGCAGAGGAATAAACGTAATCCCTTCGTGTAGGTGGCTTTTTTTCTGCCTGCTCATGCACACATTTGAAAATGTAAAACATAATTTTATCTCTCTTGCTGCTGTCTCCTCATCCTTTCCGCTCCATCCTCTACAGGGTCTCTCTTCTCCTTGAGCGATGGACCAGCCTCTTCTGGGACGAGTATCAGCTGTCAGCCGGGCCTGCTGCTCCTACAGCACCCTGAAGACCTGGCTGCCCATCCTCTCCTGGTTGCCTAGGTACAAGCTGAAGTGGCTTCAGATGGACCTGCTCGCAGGCCTCACCGTCGGGCTGACGACTGTACCGCAGGCGCTGGCTTATGCTGAAGTGGCCGGCCTTCCAGTGCAGGTGAATCCTGGCTGAGTTGTCTGTGAACGTTCATCTTTTTGATTCACCTCTCTCCAGATATCTCAGTTAGGTTGTGTTTAATCATCAAGTTGTTAAAATCATTCTTTATTTGCATCCCCATTAGTTTCAACAAACTAGTATTCTGCTAGTGTGCATCCTCAACAAATTGTTTACCATTTCTTCTCAAATGTTGAAATCATGATGTAGCCAATTAATAACATCCCGTATTATTCTGTTTCTGCTGATGCTGTTGCCCTTACTTTAAGATCATCATCTTTATTTATTTATCATTACAACTGAAACAATTGGTTGATTGACAAAATGATTAACAACTATTCTGATAATCAATCGTTCCCTTTTCAAGCAAAACATATCATTCCAGCTCCTCAAATGTGAGCTCCTACTTGTTTTTATTTTGTCTGATATCATTGCAAATTCAGTATCTTTGGTTTGTTTTGAGCTCTTGGTTACACCAAACAAGACATTGGAAGATGATTTTTATTATTATAATTTTCCAAAATCTGTGTTCTGGGAAATAATCTGTGAATACGGTATGCTAATAGTTTTCATTTAGAGTTTTACTATTAGACACAAGATGTCTAGGATGGTCTAGGTGGTATCAAGTATTGAACCATAATGTACATTGTACGTTTAACAAACATACATGTGTTAAATGCACACATTATTCTGCACAGTGAAACTTCCAAATGAACAAGAAGAAAAACAAATTTTTGAGTGGAGAAAGGACTTAAATCAGTAATACAAAATATCATTAGTTGCAACTCTATTCATCATTTACTGTAAAAGCGCCTATCTCCGCAGTACGGACTATACTCTGCCTTCATGGGGGGCTTTATCTACGCCCTCCTGGGGACCTCTAAGGATGTGACGCTGGGTCCCACGGCCATCATGTCCCTCCTGTGTTTCTCCGTGGTGGGAGGGCAGCCACACCGGGCTGTGCTGCTTAGCCTCCTCTGTGGACTCATCCAGGCTGTAATGGCATTACTGAGATTAGGTGAGGAGGGGGCAGCTAAGGTCATATGAAAACCTTGTGACAGCAGTTTTGGTGGTTTTCTTAATTTAGTCAACACTCGTGATGGTTGGTGGTTGTGGGTAAACTTACAAAAGGCATTTTTAGGAAAAATAGTTTTTATTCACAATGTGACACATTGTTTTCATGGTAGCGTGGTATCAAAACCTGATATAAAAACAAAATTACAGAGTGTTAAGGGACAGAACTGCAGAGACTGTGAAGAAACTGCAGATTAGTTTGTGAAATAGAGAGCTACTTCTTACCACTATGACTTCCTCCGTTTAACCACACACACTTTCTGTAAAATCTGTGGATCTCAGCTTTTATTTTTGGTCCAAGGTCTGTGTCATGTAAGTCATTCATTACTTTGCACCTTGTGCAGGTTTCCTGCTGGACTTCATCTCTTTCCCTGTAATAAAGGGCTTCACTTGTGCTGCTGCGGTAACCATTGGCTTTGGCCAGGTCAAGGTGAGTTAAACACATGCACACATTTATACAATTTTCTCAACAATAAAAAGAGGTTAAATAAAGCTGAATTGCACCCATGAAAATCTAGCAAAAAAAGAGAGAGAGTCATTGCTGCAGCGGCCATGGGTTCGAGTCCGACCTGTGGCCCTTTACTGTGTGTCCACTCTCTCTCTCTCTCTCTCCCCCTTTCCTGTCTATCTCTTATAAATTAAAAAAATAATAATAAATTAAAGGCAAAATCCTCCAAAATATTTTTTTAAAAGTCTGTAATAATCATGTATCGAGCTCGAGTCTGGATTTTACCATTTGAATGGAACTTTTTTAATCGATTGACCAGGACAGTATATGGACCGATATTGGCATATAAATAAAAAGAAACACATTTTTAAGGTAACTTAGAAACAGTGTCTCTATTGTCTGACACAGAGCTCAACCATTTTCTTTATCAACGTGAAAATGTCTTGCTCAGTGATATTTATGTTTGTGAAAAAACTTCTGAAATATTGATATGGAATTAGTATCAATTATCTAGTATTGGTCAGTCTCTTCTCTAGTTTACAGAACAGCCAGCTCTGGTTCATATGGTGGTGAGAGTGCATGTATGATTATCTGATTTAGGATCAGTTCTTTGATGAGATCTATATTGAACTGGGAGCCAGCTGAGTGGTGGATTTATTTCTACTATTTAAAGTGGGATTATTTAACATTTGAAAGAAGGAATACTACCACTGCTACTAATAATACTGTTACAGCCTCACTTGGTCTGGCATGACCAGCAGCTTATGGTGGCTAATGTTAGCTAACTTTAGGTAGGCATTTCTGTGTCATGGTTTACTGAATGATGGCTTTTCTCTTTTCTTTTAGCTGTCACTTGTGACAAAAAAAACTGTCACTTGTGACCAGAATAAACACTGTCCAGCAAAAGTTACATAGCTCTCCCCAAACCATTCTGTTTTTATCTACTGCTGCTTCTACAGTTCAAATCTCTAAAGAGCAAATATTTACTCTCTGAGCTGCTGCTGATGTGATCGATTTAGGTGTTCAATGTTATTTTGTAGTTACTGTTTCTATCTAAAAAGAACTCTTGTTTCTAGAATATTCTGGGACTCCAGGGCATTCCCCACGAGTTCTTCCTGGAGGTTTATTACACCTTCTACAAGATCCCAGAAGCCAGGATAGGTGATGTGGTACTGGGCCTTCTATGTCTCGCTCTGCTGGTCATGTTGTTGTATATGAAGACGAATCTGGGCTCCGACGACACTCCTGGCTCCACCTACTCCAGACTCGCCAGGAAACTAGTGTGGACTGTTGCTACCAGTTAGTACCTGTGTGGTTGTGTCTGTGTCTGTGAGTGTGTATTTGTCACATGTATGTACATCAGTGACAATGTTTCTGTTACAAAGAAGGAAGAAAAAAATAATAGCCAAATACTAAAATTATATTTCTATTATTATTTCATTTTCTATGAATCAATAGTGATCCGGGATATCTTTATCTTTTGTGATTGATGTTGTACAGATGTAGTAATTTTATTTTTTGTGTCTGTACTGTTTTACTTTTCTAAAAATCTTCCTCTTCCTCCATTTTATATATTTCCTCACTGGTCAGTGCGTAACGCTCTGGTGGTCGTGGCTGCTTCCTTCGTTGCATTTTCCTGGGATGCTTATGGTCACCACGTGTTTACAATCACTGGGAAAACTTCCCAGGGGCTTCCACCGTTCAGACCCCCACCCACCTCAGACACCACAGCCAACGGCAGCATTGTCTCCTTTGGAGAGATTGTAGAGGTAAGGAGGAGAGAGACGAGGCCAGTCACAGGGTGAGGGCAGGGAATCTCTTTGCTAAATGATGGAGTTGCAACTTTCACTTCTCAAAATGTTTCCAGTTTAGAGCAGATGACAAGGCAGTCCTGCTCTCTGTGTTTTGTACAGGGCTTTGGAGGAGGGCTTGCTGTGATTCCCTTCATGGGTCTGTTGGAGAGCATTGCTATTGCTAAAGCTTTTGGTAAGGCAAAGTCCACCTGTCGATTGGTCGTTCCATCACTTTGGTCCAAACTGAAATATCTCTGCACCTATTGGATTGATTTCTATGAAATGGGGTTCAGACATTCGTGTTCCCCTATGGATGAATTGCAATACTTTGGTGATCCATTAATTGCTCATCTAGAACCGTCATCAGGCCCACATTTTCCAATACTTTGGTTTATGACTTGCAAAACTAATGAACTCAGCTCTACGTTTTTTGTGTTTTGTGCTTTGTTGTAATTACTAAATGTTAACATGCTAACATGCTAAATTAACATTGTGAACATGATAAACATCATAAGTGCTAAACAGCAACATGTTATGTCATTGTGAACATGTTCCCATGCTGATATAAGCATTTCAAAGCACCACTGTGCAGCCTCACAGAGCCCCTAGCATGGCTGTAGACTTTTCAGCTCCTGCTCTATATCTAGACTTTATACACTAATCAGCCATAACATTATGAGCACTGACAGGTGAAGTGAATAACACTGGTTATCTGGTTATCATGGCACCTGTCAGTGGGTGGGATATATTAGGCAGCAAGTAAACATTTTGTTCTCAAAGTTGATGTGTTAGAAGCAAGAAAAATGGGCAGCGTGAGGATTTGAGCGACTTTGACAAGGGCCACATTGTTATGGCTAGAAGACAGAGCATCTCCAAAACTGCAGCTCTTGTGGGGTGTTCCCAGTCTGCAGTGTTCAGTACCCATCAACAGTGGTCCAAGGAGGGAAAAGAAGTGAACCGTTTATAACATTATGACCACCTGGGTGCACTGGTGGTCATAATGTTATGGCTGATCAGTGTATAAAGTTATTATAATCATTATTATTATATTAAATTATAAAACAGGTTGTGTCACATTACACTCAGATCATCAAAGCAGCTAAGGAATGTTTCATAAGACTGTTGTGCTAGTTTTAACTTCCTGCTTCTCCTCAGCCAGCCAGAACGACTACAGAATTGATGCCAACCAGGAACTGCTGGCTATAGGTGTGACCAACATAATGGGTTCCTTTGTGTCAGCCTACCCTGTGACTGGCAGCTTTGGGAGGTGTGTGTTTGTGTTTGTGTGAGAGCGAGAGCAACAACAGAGAGAGCTGAGTCACATATTTACAATGTATTCTCTCCACAACCAGGACAGCGGTGAACTCTCAGACTGGTGTTTGCACTCCAGCTGGAGGGATCGTCACCAGTGAGTCAACTGTCAACTTTCACTGCATCTCTTCGGCCTTCTTGTGGTTGTCTGTGTTATTACTGATCAGTCCCTGTCGTCAAAGACAACATTAATCCTAAAGACATATTATTTTCCTAAAGAACAATGAGGTTGGGACTCTATAAAAACATAGTGACCAGGTTATTTGCTGTCTCTGTCTTTCTCTCTGTCTATATTATGGATGCAAAACAAGCTGCAGGTCTGTGTGTGAGTGTTTGTGTATGTATTGAAATTGTTATTTCTAACAATCTGTCACTCAAAAATAAAATACATCAGGTCTGCATATGCCTGTCCTTTGCCCCAAAATAATAGATTAGATGGATAGATATTTTTCTCCTTATGAAAGTATCACCAGAAACTGTCCGACCGATGAGAGTTTGGTTGGACAAGAGCATATCGACCAAACAATCGACCAACCGACCAAAGAGTGTCAGTCAGCCCTAGTTTGTCTTGCTTTCTCTCTCTGTGTTTTGCTTTAAGTGTGTGCGTTGTGATTAAGATGTAGAATTTTTCTTAGTTTGGAAATGAGGAATTTCTTCAATTTCCACATTCTCTCTGCGTGTTCTTGCAGGTGTGATAGTGTTGCTTTCCCTGGCGTTCCTCATGCCAGCCTTCTACTACATCCCCAAAGCTTCTCTAGCTGCTGTTATCATCTGTGCGGTAGCTCCCATGGTGGATTACCATGTTGTGGCTAAGATTTGGAGGATACGCAGTAGGTGCCTGCTCAGTTTTCATACTTAAATGTGTGTTCACGTGTATTTAATTGTTTAGGTGTGGTCTCATCATGTGTCTTCCACAGAGCTGGACCTGCTGCCTTTCACTGTGACATTCCTGATGAGTTTTTGGCAGGTGCAGTACGGCATTGTAGGTGGTGTAGCTGTATCTGGAGCCTTGCTGTTGTACAACATGGCAAGACCACAGATAAAGGTATGATAATATTCTGTATATTTGAATTTCTCCTACAGGGGGATCAATAAAGGTACATCTTATCTTATCTTATGTGTGTAAGTGAGTGTGAAATTTTAGGAAGAATTTTGAGTTTGAGGAAAATTAAGTGAAACAAAAGAACCAAGGGGCTAGTATCTAATGGTGCAACATGTCCCTGTTGTGTGCAGGTGTCTGATCACGGTGTGCTGGTGATGGAGTTGGGCAGTGGTCTCAGCTTTCCTGCCACAGAGTACCTCAGCAGCATCATACACACTCAGGCTCTGCAGGGTAAATATTTGTTTGGTTTTGTTTAGAGGATATTTGCATGAGACAGTAATGTGTCTTGTTTAACCCTTAGATGCATGAGTGACTGGACCCTACACTCTTCCATAAGTGGGTCAAAAATGACCCGTGTTAGAATCAATGGGTTTTTATGCCATTTCTGTCATTTTAGTTCAGAATAATCATTGGTATTATACTTTGTATTATATTTTGGTCCACACAAGAATGATAACACGTATGAAATATTTTTCAAATATTTTTTTTCTTCAAAATTTTTAACATTTTGAAAACATTTTGAAAACTGTCAACATCACAAAATTACACAACAGCAATAAGAACAATGTCAATATCCATTTTGTGTGTGTGTGCGTGCGTGTGTGGTGTCTGCGCGCGTGTGTGTGTGTGTGTGTGTGTGTGTGTGTGTGTGTGTGTGTGTGGTGTGTGTGTGCGTGTGTGTGTGTGTGTGTGTGTGGTGCTGTGTGTGTGTGTGTGTGTGTGTGTGTGTGGTGCATGTGTGGTGTGTGTGTGTGTGTGTGTGTGTGTGTGTGTGTGTGTGTATTTCAGATTCTAGTCAAATCCTATAACTTTCTCTTCATCCAGCATCTGTAGGACCATTTCAACTGTATACCTAGCAGCCATGACACCTTGGATGAGAAAACATAAAAGGAAGAGAAGGTTTTGAATGACAAGCAAACCTATTGATCAATCTATCAATCAATCTACACACGCATGCACAGACACACTGACAGACACGTAACATACAGTAATGTTAGCTAGCTTGGTTAGCTAGCTAGTTTCGCAAACAATAAAATAGACATATTTGATGATAGATGATAAGAAACACATACTCTTTCACACAGTAGTCATGAATGACACGCACACACATTTCTGAGGTAAAAAAGAAGACAATACTTACATGTATCAGATCTTGCTGTGTAAAATAATCTTCTTAAGGGGTGACCTTGTGATATAGTCTGTGTGGTCCACAAAATACTTACATGAAATCCATCAGATGAATGCGGGTCATTGCTGCATTATGTAATTGGGGTAGTAATCAAAATCTTCTTAAAGGTAAGTTAAAATTTAAATGGATTTATAATTGTTTTTTGAGGAATACTGAAATAAAAACAGTTTTTCATTCAAAGATATTCCTGGTCATTTGATGCATCTAAGGTTAACCACTTTAGTTTTCTTTGTATTAATGTCCAATTAACGTCTTTCCCCAGTGTCTCCTCCACGGTCAGTGGTCCTGGATTGCCACCATGTCAGCATCATAGATTACTCAGTGATCAGTGAGCTCAGTGACCTGCTGAGGCAGTTCAAACTACGTGAAGTGCGACTGGTCTTTTCCAGATTGCAGGTACGACCTTTAGCCCCCACTTTATGTGTTCTAGCCTCTGTTTTTGTCTCTTCTTACACACTCGTCTCTTTCTTCCTTCAACCTTTAGCCCTCTGTTCTGGAGGTTCTACTAGCAGCTGATCTGCAGGGCCTCAGGTATACGGACAGTGTGGAGGCAGCACTGCAGATGGAGTCGGGAGCATCCTCAATGACTGACAACAAAAACAGTCCAATCACAGACTGAAGAGGATGTTTGAGGCAGGGCAGAGGCAATGCAGCGACAACACTGATCAGTGACATTTCTGATCTGGGGTTATTGGGGCTGTTATGAAGTTGATAGTGATGAACTACCTCCAACAACTGATTTTCTGGCTGTAAGGTGTACGATGACTGCCAGTGATGCCCCTCTTTTTCCTGTCATAGGAAAGTGTTGCACTGAACTTTACATGTTAAACTTGACTTTGGAAATTATTGTGGAATCTCAACACTACAATACCATCACACAACAACATTGGACCAGAACCTTAATACTGGGTTTTATAGCATTTTGTATGCTTTTGAAGGACATTACATGTATATATATATTTTTTTTTTAACTAACAAATAATATTTTAAGGCTGAAGCTAATACACAAGCTTTCAGAGACCAAATCTGAATTTACAGAATAGAGCAAAGCACATTTTATTTATCTATATAAAAGGAAATGACAGGTGATTGATTTATCTTATTTTTATGTTGTAAAGAAATGTTGAAAGGCAGTAGCAAAATGTATGTATTTTTTTTGTTTGTGTGTCTGTGCATGCAGAAATGTTTGTGACATAGTAAAGTCATACACATATATCAAAATATAATTAGTTACATTGTCATAAAATTAAGTATACACATTCATGCTCTCAAGGGAAAGACTTCAAAATTATATTTGACCAAACAGCTGCAAAAACACATCACAGCGCCATTTTCTAGAAACTAGATTAAAATAACCATCAGCTGCTCAATCTCATACCTGCAAAAGCACCATAATCATTTAAATTAACTATAATGACAAGCATGCCCAACTTCCACCTTACACCACAGAAAATTCCTGAATATTACAATTTGTTGCAGTGACTTCTTACAGTCACTCAGAGCTTACTGCAGATTCAGATAATTATAAAATAAGAATCAAATGATTTAATGTATTATTATAGATTAAGTTACCCAGCAAGAGATTAAAATGAGCCTCACCTTCACCAGCTGCATCAATCATTACAATCCAGTAATATAACTGTAGAGGAAAATTATTACCATTTAGTAATTTTCTGTATTAACTTGTGTATGAACCGTAAATCTCTGAGCTAAATCTTTGTATGTAACCACATTATGAAACAGGAGACTATGACTGTCTGTATTAATCTTTGTATGCAATCTTTGTTGGTTAAACCACAACTCTGTGTGGTATACTACTCTGTAAGGAAGCAGGCCTGGCTCCATTTCCGGTTAAACTGTACCCGAACTCAAAGGCAAACCCCTAATACTGTAGATGACCTTTTCCGAGTACAACAACCACATTATGTGCCAAGACTGAAATATAGCCTAGCCTACACATAAAACTTCATTTGAACCTGCTCTTAGAAGTGCATCTTTTACGACTTACTAATGTCTATGACCTAATCTGTTCATTAGATGTAACTGTTGATCTTTTGTTCTTAAGCATATAAAAATCCTGGTGATGAGACACTCGTCACTGATTTCCTTGACAGTTTGCTGATTGTCACTTTGCTGGTTTCGGTCCTTCTGTGCAGAAGCTGAATAAATATACTAAGACAAATTTCTCTTTGTTGGTTTTCCTTTATCCGGTCAAATTTCCTCCACAATAATATATATTATTCTGACATTGGCCATTCTGAACTTAAACTTTTGCTACTTGAAGTGTTTTTTTATGCTGATGCTTTTGTACTTTACACCTCTAAATAAGGTTTTGAAGTTTTACTTGTAACAGTTTTTTCATACTGATATTGCTACTTTTACTTGAGTAAAAGATCTGAGTACTTCTTCTACCACTGGTTAATCCATACATGGACTGCATAGATGGTGTTCAGGAGGGGGCAAGGTGAGGTTGTGTTCTGAACTGTCACACAATGCTCAGTAATGCATGCACAGTACATGCATACTCACTGTAGGACCAATGAGAAACTCTGAATTTAGCTGTAACAGAATGTACTGTAGAAAACCTCACCCTCGTTTCTCTTGACTGCCATGTGACAAGTATAAATGAAGCGTGTATGCCAAGAACACAGTAGGCGGGACTATGGCAGAGAGGAGAACAAGACTATCTTGAAACAGTATATGGCTGGAACGTGAAGTCACTGGTCGTGTCCCAAATGTACGCTAAGAGCACTGGCCACAGATGCAGCGAAGTGCTGTAAAATAACTGACATGTTTGTCAGTAAGGGAGCAGGTAAGACATTAAACACTAGTGGTGACAACAGACGCACAATCATAGCCTATCCAGCATGACCAACTTAATGAGGAGGTTAGTTCCACTTCGTGGAAGGTGATGGGGCTAAAACTGACTTAATAAAACAAATGTTTTAAGTTGTAACAAAAAGGATATTGCAGATTTATTTCTGTGTGTTTCCTTGTTTAATGTTACAGAGAATAAACCTACACATCTGTAGTGCGCCACCTGTGTACCTCTCACTTGTGATACGATACTATGGTTGACACAGTGGTTAAATTTATAACTAGTCTGGTACCTGTTACATTAAAAATATATGTTATGGAACATTTTTTGTCCATTTGCCAAATAACAAACCATGAACCAAAGCATAGCGTGCAAGCCAGTCACAGCATAAAAAGCATACATGCATTGAAGGGAAACGCAAACTGGATAAACTGGAAGTGTATCATAGTATGCGTTCCTAGAGCTGTGCTTGGATAACACCAAGTTTCAGTGATATCTGAGAAACAGTTTGACTGGTCTGACACCAGATACGCTACCTCAGGGTCCGTCAGGTTATGTTAAGTTGATTCTGTTTAAGGTTTTCCACTGCAGGTCACAGAGTTTTTATTCGGCATCCCCTGCGACCCCCACCAGCACAGCCTAATCTCAATGGCGTTTTTGCCATAGCGCCTGATCTGGTTTGTATCTGCTCTTATACAACAATACCTATTTACACAAAAAAGACAGGCCTCCCCTCAGCTACCCTGACAAGGGATCAAGACATGGGAATGTGACAATCTCTGTTTTAACTCTCTTTGGCTCCTCTCAGGCTTCAGCTCTTAGGAGGTTAGGGCTTTGTGATGGTAAGTCTGGCGGTCCCTTGGGGTATTGTCGGAGTTCTGCTCTACAGGCTTTGTTTGATGTCTTCCGCTGGACAGGCAGGATGTACTTAGAGAATATGTTCCACCATCCCCACCAGCTCCCACCTGGAGACATTAGTGTAATGGTAAAATGGTAAATGGACTGTACTCATATAGTGCCTTTCTATTCTTTCGACCACTCAACGCTGTACACTACATGCCACACTCACCCCATTCGCACACTTTCATACACTGATGCACAGCATCGGAAGCAATTTGGGGTTCAGTATCTTGCTCAAGGACACTTCGACATGCAGTGAGAACCGCCAACCTTCGGTTAGAGGACGAGTCTACCTCTGAGCCACAGCTGTGTCACCACCCCTGAACCTTGCTCCTTTTGTTTCTGCCTAAGATGTGTGTAACCAATGAGAAGTTCTCAATTTAGTTTCAGTGCTTTTTTTTTGTTTTAAACCCTGCCCAGTAGGTGTTTTGAAAATGCATGTATAAAAGAACACTGAGGGTGTATTGATTTCAGAAACCTTCTCTCTTTTTGATGTCTTTAACCATCTGAACAACACTTTGGGTAAGACCCCTTGCTTTTTGCATTTCTATGAAATTTTAGAAATTCTAATCTTTGTCCTGCAAGAGAGAGACTAGCGTTGAGCAAAAGATCTGAGTACTTCGTCTACCACTGGTTAATCCATACACGGACCGCATAGATGGTTTTCAGGAGTGGGCAAGGTGATTGAGACAAATCTGTCCATATAAGCCACATGCATTTACATCTAGATTGATTCAGAATTTTGGTCCAGCTCCGTTTTTGCGCTACTCCTGCTACACATTTGAGCAAAATGTCATCAATTTGATACAGAACATTTCTGTATCAAGCCGTAAAAAAACTGATTTTTAATTTTACATACAGTTTTGCTCAAATGCTGTAAGCAGATTTTTGCTGTGCAACATTTACAAAAAATGACATATCGCCTGAACATTTTGAGCTATTTATTCTTTATTAGGGACCAAGCCAGCGACCGCTGGAGGTCCCTATTGTTTTTGCTCGATTTCTTACCTATTATTCTTAGGCCACTTCAACTGCATTTTTGCCCCCTTGAACATATACGAAAACTCAATTTTATTTGGGAAAGTTGTCAGGCCTCGTGAAAAAAAGTATATTCTATGTGTCACAAGTGCGTTTAGGCTAATAGATTGACACCAAACTTGGGTCCATAGTTCCACATGTCTTCCTTAGGCATCGTGCACAATGTCGGCCATCGCCACAAGGTGGCGCTCTTTAAAATGAAGAAGTTTATATCTCTGCAAAGGCACTTGTCACTTAAATTAAACTTGGTACGGTGCTTGCCCATGGCTCCCTGAGGCTCACCTAAAAAGGAAAAAAAATTACACCACTGGGTGGCGCTCTGGTGGCAGTGTAAATCACTGTGCGGAGACCGTAATAGTAGAAATTCACAGGGCAGGTGTAGACTGGTGCCTGAAGCTCACATACCAAAAATCATGTTTGTCGTGTTTATAGCGCCCCCTGCAGGATAAAAAAACAGCAGCCCCGGCGCCACGTTTCACCAATATGTACGAAAATCAGTAGGCACATGCAACGTGCCGAGACGTACAAAAAAGCCTCTTGGACCCATACCCGAAACCCCACGGGAAGTCAGCCATTTTGATTTTGATTTTCACTTTCAACGAACTTTTCGGGTTGTATTTGAACGAACTCCTCCTAGGGAATTTATCGGATCTGCTTCAAAATTTGTGAGTATGGTCAAAAAATTATTCTGATTAAAAGTTGTGCTATTTGAGACTGTACATTGAACGTCGTGTCCGTGGTGTGAGGTCAAAGTTGGCCACTTTGAATCCACAAACTGATTGAAAAGTTATGATATTTTTGACTGTACATCATACCGCGTGCCAGTGACAACTTGTCGATTTCAGCAGATTCGCCATAAAATAGTGCTCATAACTTGCAATGTCCAATCTCCAATAAACTTAATATATTCTGAAACAGTCTCGCCCTGAACATGTCCTCATAACTTCAGCGTACGTGGTGCAAACTCAATGAAACTTCACGTGTGTTATAACAGCAGTCCCACCCTGAACTTGAATGTTAAGACATAGTGATAGCGCCACCTACTGGCAACAGGAAGTTGGCGCTGCGTGGCAATTTTAAGATGATTTACGTGAAATTTCATGTTGTTTCGAGTTGCGTTGAGTGCGAGTTCCCGCCCAACGCTGCTTGCAGCTTTAATTGTATTTTTTATTTTTTTAGTATTGCTCAGGAACCAAGGGAGAGCAGTTGAAAGGGTTAATAATCTTAATTCATGGTCCTCTGAAATGGAAATGGTATTGGTAATGGTCAATGGTATTCGTTCAGTCAAACTGAGTATGACTCTGCAAACCAAACCGTTAAAATGTGATTAAAAGCTCTGAAAGAAGCACGTTGGGATTTTGATTTAAGATTATTTTGTCAAACTACTTTTTCCAAGTTCAGGACTCAACATTTATGCTTAAAAACTCAACTCTCTGGCATTTCAATCACTGCTGTTGACAAAAGGTAGTCACAAATTAGCTAATCGGTAGATAGCCTACAGTAATATTGAAATGTACAAACGTATGAAGACTCATTTTCATACAACAAATTTTTAGGGCCCAAGCAGCGACGGCTGCGAGGCCCTATTGAAACTGCTTGTAATATTATTATTTTTAACCAAATATAATCGCATTTTTGGAGGTTGCAGCAAGCCCTGAATCTCATGAAATGCAGCACACATGTCAGTCGTGGCGAATGTTTTGGTTTCTATTGGTCTCGCATATGGGCGTGGCAAAATAGTGCAGCGCCCCCTAAAGAGCCACCCCAACAACATGTTTTACGGGTATGAAAATCGCTACGCACTTAGATCATGTCCAGACGTACATAAATGTCTCTTGAACCTATAACCTAAACCCAACAGGAAGTAGGCCATTTTGAATTTAGCTGCCATTTCTGGCATTTTGCACACGTTGTATTTTAATGAGCTCCTCCTAGTGGATTGATTGGACTCACTTCAAATTTGGTCTGCCTACTCTAAAGACAATCACAATCAAAAGTTATCAAAATCTTCAGTTTTTGTCAGAGGGCACATCTGTGGCATGACGTCAAATTTCAATGTTTCACCATGAAAGTTCTCAGCACATACGTCCCAACTGGTAAAATGTTCCATCTGATACGGATTTTGCACGTGCGTGTGGCAAATTGGCTCCATGCCTCCATGCGAGGGCCTGTTAATCACTGCTTGTAGCTTTAGTTAGGGCCTGAGCACAAATCGTACGAAGGCCCTATTGTATCTCTAGGAATTATTATTGTCTTTGCCTTCGACTGCATATTTGGAGGTCGCAGCATGCTCGAAAAGTCATGAAAATTTGCACAAAATTCAATCATTCGAGAACTCGATGTATGCAATTGTCCCCGTGCACGGGCGCCGCCACATGTCTAAGCCCCGCCCCCCAGAATCAGCCCCCGAGACACGTAAGGCCGACATGTACGAAAATTGATACACATGTGTATCATGATTGGACAAGCAGAAAAGCATCTTGGACCCATACCCCAACTAAACAAGAAGTTTAAAAAAAAAGTTTAAAAGGATTTAGCGGTCATGAGTGGCGATTTACACGTTGTATTTGAACAAACTCCTCCTAGGGAATTTATATTTATTTACACTTGGACACAGCCATCTAAACACATTCACCATTAAAAGTTGTGCTATTTACGTTATTCTGTCGAACAGCATGGACATGGCGTGGCGTCCTCTAATGTCCAATTTCGAACCTTTGCCATGAAAGAGGGATTTGTCATAACTTCTGCGTACATGATCCGACTGCAACGAAACTGCATGTCTGATTAGAGTCCCGCCCTGAACACATCTATGTGATAATATTCAGTAACAGTGAGAGCTCCACTTAGTGGCAACAGGAAGAATCAGGTTTTATACTTTCATGTTCTACTCCTAGCAGGATGATCAGATCCAGCTGAAATTTACTTATAAAATGCAAAACACAAATTTTGCTGTACCACCACAAAACACGAGTTTGCTTTAACTTGAGTTTACATTATCCGTTCGGCTTCAAACTTCACTTGTCTGATAATAGTCTCGCCTTGAACACGTCTATGTGATAACATTCAGATATAGTGATAGCGCCACCTACTGACAACAGGAAGTAAGCGCTGCGTGGCGATTTTGATCTGATTTACATGAAATCTTCATGTTGTGGTCCGCACGTTTTGCGACTGCATGTGACGCGTCCACAGCACAGCCCGAGTTGCGTGGAGTGCGAGGGCCCGTTCATCGCTGCTTGCAGCTTTAATTATTAATCGTAACTCTTTTGTATCAATGTATGATACAATGACAAATGTATCGATGTATGATTGATTCAGGTTCTTTAAACACACAAACAGGTCTATAAATTCCTCACTCACTCACTCTCACTCAGTGGAAGATTTTAAATTGTATGCATGGCAGCGCATATTGAAAATGTAATTTTAAGACAGTTACTTTGTTTTTTACAGAAAGTTTGTGTCGTGGATTCGAGCCATAATGGGGCTGCCTGAGGGTTTGCTATTGCTCGTAACTTTGCAGATTTTTACAGGAAGCCTTTCAGGTAAACCATCTAACATCTTGTCATCTTGGGTTAGACATTATGACACAGCTGTGTAATTGAATTTTCTCTTTGAAACAAAATAAGATAAACCACAAACATCTTCTCCTTTTGGTGTCACATGTGGATGGGCTAACAAGACTCCAATTAAAATGTGACCTTAATTTGTTTCACTTTCCAGGATATTATCAGTGTTGGGCAGTACCATGGATATTAATAATATTACAGTAATAATTTTACTTTCCCCAGTAGCAGTGTCATTACTAATACATTTCGGTAATGATAAAAAAAACTGTAACAAATTACAGTTACAACATAACATGATTCTTTCTTACTTGTCATTCCCCTCTAAAATTCCTCTTTCCTTATGTTCCAATCATTCCCTTTTGTTTCACTGTAATACTGTTTACACTCTATGGTTCATGCTGTGACTTGTTACCTGGAAACATCTGTGGTCATTTCTATTTGATAATAAGGACAGGAAAATGCTAAACTACCTGTTTTTTTTTTTTTTAAATTTCATTTGCAGCCTTAATTTGATCTAATATTACCATGACATTAAACAGGTAGCTTGGCATTCTGCAGTTCTAAATAATCCATTTGGAAAAGCTACTGTAAAATTAACAGCGTGCATAAAACTTTGCATAAATCCTTTTCTACTTTTCACAGGGGTCCAGTTCAACTGTGGACAAAGTGTTTGTCCTGTAGGCTTGGACTGCATCAGTAATAATGACTCTCTGCGCTGTGCTGACCCCTGTGAGCACTACACTGCACTGAATGATGACTGGCGTTCAACAAATAACACATCGAATCAGATTCTACACTGTGACCGAAATATTAACTGGCAAGGCTGGTATCGCCTGTTTCTGGAGCAAACCAGCGCTCAGATTCCAGAGAGGTGTATAGATAGTAACAGGTGTGGAACCCATGCTCCTCTGTGGATAACAGAACCTCATCCCACACAGTCAGGTTCAATTGTAAATCGCACTGTGTGTAATAACTGGTCTGGCAGCTGCTGCTATTTTTCCTCACACATCATCCATGTCAAGCTCTGTTATGGAAACTTCTACGTCTACAAACTTGTGCAGCCATCAGTATGTCATCTTGCATACTGTGCAGGTATAACTCCATTTAAAACATATTTAACACTGTAGCAACAAATTCAACTTTCTCCTCTAACCCATTCATTTACGTGTTTTAGGCTGGTGAAGTAATTATTTTTATCTTGTTCTTAAATCAGACAAACAATTTATGAACAAATACAATTGGCTTAGCAGCAGGACCTCACTGTTTTTCATTGTAAACAGAGGTGAACACAACAGCCACTGGAGTTTCTACAACTACACCTGATCCAAGACCACAGACCTCTGCTGCCAGTCAGGTCAACAGCACTACCACAACAAGCCCAGGAGGTGAGGGGCAGGTCCGCCTTTAAGCCTCAGATTCAGTGTTGAGTTTAATTACATTGTTGCAAATATATAAATATAATATAAACAGGATTGGGGAGTAATGGATAACATGTACTAGAGTTACTTAATCAGGATACAGAAAAGGTAACTGTAATCTATTACAGTTACAGAAGAAACATGTAATCAGATTACAGTTACAATTTGTAAATATGGGGATTATTTAGCAGTTTACAATATTAAAACAAATAATTTTTTCTTTAAAAATACACTAAGCAGAGGACACTTTTTTGATGCTAGAAATCCTTCCGTTTTCTATTTTTCCGTTTCCATTTTCTTTTTTTTAAAGGTTACATTGTTTTAAGTGCTGTCAAACGATTAAAATATTTAATCGCGATTAATCGCATTAATGTCATAGTTAACTCGCAATTAATTGCAATTAATCGCACATTTTTATCTATTCTAAATGTCCCTTGATTTCATTTTGTCCCATTATTTTTTCTCATTTTAATGCTCTTATCAACATGGGAAAGTGGATCGGCTTGCTTTGTGGAAATGTTTTTATTGAAAAATCATCCATTGTCGCCTGGCTTTGACGATGGGGCGGAGAATTCGTATCAGCTGTGTGTTTGGCCATCAAGTGGTATTTCAGACTAGACGTGCTGCGATGATAGCTCAGTTCACAACGACAAAACACACAGATCACTTTGGTCTTGTCAATGGAACCATTTGGCAACTTTTTAAAAGTAAACTTTCCATTAAGAATATTATTGGCATCCATTTCAGCGTCTCACGCTCGCCATCCACTCAAAATGTAACGTCTACTACTCTAAACAAGTGTGTACGGCGTGCCAGTCTAGCTAGATCCGGTGTGGTGTTGTGGTTTTTTTAACTTTACTAGTTGTTGCAACAGCATGTGAAAAAATTGACGCCGTTAAAATGGGTTTGCGTTAACGCCGTTAATAACGCGTTTAACTGACAACACAAATTGTTTTGTTGTCTTATATAATACACTTGCATCAATCAATTACATATTTGGCATTGATGTGATCCAAAAGTAACAGAAAGTGGTCAAGTTACATTCCTTTAATGTTGTGATACTTGGATTAGGTTACTGACTGCATTTTTTAACAGGTGATATCGGATTACATTTTTAAAGTAGCCCTCCCAACCCTAAATATAAATATATAATAAACAGCAGTGATATTGTTTAAAGGCAGATATGTAAATTTGATGGAACAAATAATCACACACTTGTACCTTTGATGTAATTATATGTTATGATGTCAGTTGCATAGCTTTATTTTCACTGTTTGATTTGGAAAAGCTACAAAATTAGCAAAGGCATCCATCAAACTATCCTCATACTTTTCATAGGGACACTGGTCTCCACATCAGGCCCCTCTTCCCAGTCTGTCCAGTTCAACTGTGGACAAAGTGTTTGTCCTGTAGGCTTGGACTGCATCAGTAATAATGGCTCTCTGCACTGTGATGACCCCTGTGAGCACTACACTGCACTAAATGATGACTGGCGTTCAACAAATAACACATCGAATCAGATTCTACACTGTGACCGAAAGATTAACTGGCAAGGCTGGTATCGCCTGTTTCTGGAGCAAACCAGCGCTCAGATTCCAGAGAGGTGTATAGATAGTAACAGGTGTGGAACCCATGCTCCTCTGTGGATAACAGAACCTCATCCCACACAGTCAGGTCAAATTGTAAATCGCACTGTGTGTAATAACTGGGCTGGAAGCTGCTGCTATTTTTCCTCACACATCATCCATGTCAAGCTCTGTTATGGAAACTTCTACGTCTACAAACTTGTGCAGCCATCAGTATGTCATCTTGCATACTGTGCAGGTATAACTCCATTTAAAACATATTTAACACTGTAGCAACAAATTCAACTTTCTCCTCTAACCCATTCATTTACGTGTTTTAGGCTGGTGAAGTAACTATTTTTATCTTGTTCTTAAATCAGACAAACAATTTATGAACAAATACAATTGGCTTAGCAGCAGGACCTCTGTCAGGGACCAAACAGTCAAGCAATGAGGAAAACCAGGAGTTTGTTGAAAAATAGGGGTTTTTTATTTACCCAAAAATACCAAACAATAGAAACCAAGAATTTAACATCTTAGGCCTATAAAAGAGGTCAACAAAATATAACTATACTCAAAACAGCATACAACAGACAGAATATGAACTAAACAAACTGACCTGCCTGAATGAGACACAAAGGAACATATATAGTGGCTTGGCCAAACCAATTTACCCACAAGGTGAAAACAAAATGGATGCCAACTACAACTACTACAAGTAAAACAAACTAAACCCAAAATCCCCCTCCAACATGGCAGCACATGGTACGGCTTGATTGGTAGGCCACAGGATATACCCATCCTCCACCCTTGGCCACGCCTTTCCTCCACCAGGACAGACCTCATTGCTGGCTGTTACCCTGTGTGGCTTGGGCCATCACACACCCCCCCTTCAGGACTGTCGCTGGAACTACGAGAGAGGTAGTCAGCTGTAATGTTGTCCTTGCCAATGATGTGCTGAATGCGGAAGCGGAAAGGTTGTAGTGCCAGACACCACCGAGTAATCCGGCTATTTGTGTCCTTCATTCTTTCCATCCACTGAAGAGCTTTGTGGTCTGTCTCGAGGATGAATTCTCTGCCCAGGAGGTAATACCGAAAGGAGTCGAGAGCCCACTTGATAGCAAGCGCCTCCTTTTCCACTGTTGAATACCTAACTTCTCTGGGGAACATTTTCCGGCTGATGTAGGCAACTGGATGGCGGTCGTCTGGTGGTCCCTGGAGAAGCACCGCCCCCAGACCCCTGTCAGAAGCATCGGTTTGCAGAATAAAATGTTCATCAAAGTTTGGACTGTACAAAACTGGTTCCTTACTTAGTGATTGCTGGATGTCATGGAAAGCTGCCACGGCCTCCTCTGTCCACTGGATCTGGTTGGGACACCGAGATCCTGTCATGTCTGTGAGAAGAGCTGCCCTGGTGGAAAACTGTGGAATGAAGCGGTGGTAAAAGCCTGCCATGCCCAAGAAAGACCGAAGTTGCTTCCTTGTGTGTGGCAACGGACATGACCCTATGGCCTGGATCTTGTTGACTTGTGGCCTTATCACCCCATTTCCGATGCTGTGGCCCAGGTACTTTGTCTCTGCAGCGGCGAAGACACACTTTGATGAATTTATGGTCAGCCCGGCAGCGTGGAGACGATCCAAGACAGCATTCAGATGTTCCAAGTGCTCCTCCCAGGTGGTACTGTAAATGACAATGTCATCCAGATATGCAGCAGCAAAATCAGTAAAACCACATAATACCTGGTCCATGAGCCTCTGAAAGGTGGCTGGAGCCCCGTGTAAACCAAATGGCATGACCGAAAACTGGAAGAGACCCCACGGAGTCCTGAAGGCTGTCAGCTCCCTGGATCGCTCAGTGAGTGGAACCTGCCAGTAACCCTTACACAGATCTATTGTGGTCAAGTACTTTGCTTTCCCCAGTCGTTCCAACAGTTCATCAATTCTTGGTGTCGGGTATGAATCAAACTGAGAAATGGAATTCAGGTACCTGAAGTCGATGCAGAACCTTAGGCTTCCGTCCTTCTTTGGCACCAGGACCACCGGGTTACACCACTCACTTCTTGAAATCTCAATGATCCCCAGGGACAGCATCAGGTCTATCTCCTTCTTCAGTGAGGCCAGCAGACGTTCAGGAATCCTGTAACTAAGTCTCCTCACCGAAGCACCCTCCTTCATAACAATGTCATGTTCAACAATATTGGTCCTCCCAGGATTCTCCTGGAATACTTCTGAATTACAGATTTCTCTCACCTGAAGCTGCTTGTCTTCAGATAGGTGGTTGAGGTTGTGGTCTCCTGGAGCCCCAGCCGAAGGCAAGTACTGTTCATCCACTTCCTCCTCCTCTTGCACACCTCGGATAAGCATCACTTCTTTTCGTTCAGGTCGCGGCACCCACTCCTTCAGGAGATTTATATGAAGTGTCCTACTTGCCCGTGGCCGCCCTGGGGTTGCTACCTGGTATGTGGTGGGCCCAAGTTTCTTTAAAATCTCAAACGGTCCCTGCCACTTTGCCAGAAGTTTGTTGTCGTCACTGGGGGAGGAGCACCAACACCTTCTGTCCCGAGTTGAAGGATCTCTGCCGGGCTGACCGGTCATACCAGGACTTCTGCTGTTGCTGGGCCTCCCTCATATGTGATTGGGCAAGCTCGCTCATCTTTTCAAGCTGCTCCCTCATCTGGACAACATAGGATATTACATTAAGGGACTCTCCCTTGCCCTTACCTCCCTCCCAAATCTCTCTCAGCAGCGAGAGAGGACCTCGTACTTCATGCCCGTACAAAAGTTCAAATGGAGAGAAACCAGTGGAGGCTTGGGGTACTTCCCTGTATGCGAACAGGAGATAAGGCAGCCACTGATCCCAATCCTTACCACTGTTGTTGACAAATTTCCGGAGCATCTGCTTCAGGGTCTGATTAAAGCGCTCAGTCAGTCCATCCGTCTGGGGGTGATATGGCGTGGTCCTCAGACTCCTTATGCCGAGTAACTGGTACACCTGTTTTAGCAGTGTAGACATAAAGTTAGTTCCTTGATCAGTCAGTATTTCACAAGGGAAACCCACTCTGGAAAAGAACTGCACCAAACAGAAAGCGACTGATTTTGCTTTAATAGTTTTAAGTGGAAAAACTTCAGGGTATTTTGTAGCATAGTCTGTTATGACCAGCATGTACCGATTCCCTGATTTACTCCTTTCAACAGGACCAACAATATCCATTCCCAGGCGCTCAAATGGGGTGTCAATGATGGGTAAGGGTCGGAGGGGAGCCTTGGAGGGAGTTTTGGCCGATGTTATTTGGCACTCAGGGCAGCTTCTACAGAATTCAGCTACTTCTCTGCTTAGGCCAGGCCAGTGGAAATGCCGTTTAATGCGTGCTGTGGTTTTGTGCTTACCCAGGTGGCCAGCCCAGGGAACAGAGTGCCCCATAGTGAGTACAATATGTCTGATTGCTTGGGGAACCACTAGCTGCAACACTGACCCCTGTTGGTAGTAGAGCATGCCATTTTGGTGAATATATTCATTTCTGTTGGAGTTTAGCCCAGCTCCTGGCTCCTTCCCCTCTGCTTTCTGAAAGAGAGACACTAAAGATGGATCAGCTTTCTGCATCTCAATTATGTTATCTGGCATTTGAAATCCTAGGGGTAACTCTGGCTCAAGATTGGTTGGTGGTTTCACCAACGTATGTTGGAACTTCTCCTGCCGTCTCTGTCTGCGGGTTTTCCGGGACTTCCCGGGTGCTGTCTCCAACTCATAATTGTAGAAGGGCAGGGCACAGAGAGTCTCAGAATAGTCATTGGATTGAATTGCCTGGGCTCTGGTAACAGCTGCATTACATTTTCGGCTTTGGTCTGACTCCAACAAATCAAACAGTACTGGAAGGTCTCTCCCCAACACCGCAGGAAAAGGTAAGCTATCAACAACTCCAATGTTCAACAGGTAAGTTTGCCCATCTACTTTTATGTACATGTCAGCTGTTGAATAGCTCTTCTCATCCCCATGTACACAACAGATAGGTATGGTGTCTTCTGTGCTGATTATGTTGGGGGGTACAAAATTCCTGTGCACAAGAGTCTGATCACTTCCAGAATCAAGTAGGGCCTTAATCATTTTCCCATTAACTTCAATGTGTGTCATTTTAATAGACTGGACCTTGTTGAGCTCAGGTTCATACGGAGTTCGTGGTACAAAGCACATCTGTGTCATGTTAACTGAGTTTTTAGGGCACATAGGTTTTGTATGGCCTTCAACCCCACAAAGATAACAGATTGGCTTCCTCCCTAAGGGTTTTAATGGTCTGCTGGCTGGCTGGCTCTCCCTCATGGGAAACTTACCCACCCCAGTGCCTGGATGGTGGGTTGGTTTTCGATTGTCCTCTGCAGTTCTCCATGAGTGGTAGCTCCATGGTTGTCCCTTCTTTCGGGCAGCCACAAAGACGTCAGCCAGTCTAGCAGCCTCCATGGCTGAATCTGGGCCATGCTCTCGGACCCAGACCTGAAGCTCAGGAGACAACATTCTCAGATACTGCTCTAATATTATCACTTCACCAATTTCTTGGATGGTTTTACCTTTAGGCTGGATCCATTTTCCATAAGACTCCTTGAGCCTTGCATACAACTCCTTGGGGCTCTCATCAGGGTCCACCTCTAGGGAGCGGAATCTCTGCCTGTAGGTCTCAGGGTTAATGTCATATTTGGCAAGAATGGCTGATTTTACCTGTTCATAGTCAAGGGAGTCATCAATGTCCATATGCACATAGGCACCTCTAGCTTTGCCGGTTAGTAATGGAATTAACTGAAAAACCCAGTCTGCTTTTTGCCACCTGCATGCTACAGCTATACGTTCGAATGTAATGAGAAAATGTTCAATATCATCATTATCAGTTAATTTTTCCAACCTGGGCTTATGTTGTGAGCAAGACTGACCTGCAGAGGCCACTGTTTGAGCGATCATGGGCTCAGCTTGGTCTGACAGAGGGTGTAGGGTGGATGATTGAACCTCCATATCTGGAGGATCAGAGTCTGCTGAAAGAGGAGGTGGCACCAAAGATGTCCGGGCCTGAACTTCTAACTGCAACAGCTGAAACTGGTGTTGAAGAGCTTTAAAACGGTGTTCTTGTCTTGCAGTCACCTCATTCTGCTTTGCTTCTCGAGCCTCCTGCTGCCCCATGTGCTTCTGGAAAATGGCCATCATGTCAGACAGAGTTGGCTCCTTACCCTCCATGTCATTGCCCCCTCCTGAGGCCCCACTTTCTTCCTCTTCACAGGCTTTCTCCTCCTGAGCCACTGTTTGGCTTGTAGACACACCTGGTGTCGTTCCACCTCTTCCTCTTGTCATCTTTCTTTGGTGTTGGGAGCAGCAACCGGAAAAAAAAAAAAAAAAAAAAAGAAAAAGAAAAGAAAAAAAAATTCCAAAACTGCAAAAAGAGAGAAAAAAATACAAATAAATCCTGTTTCCTCAACTGGATGATCCCACCACTGCCACCAATTGTCAGGGACCAAACAGTCAAGCAATGAGGAAAACCAGGAGTTTGTTGAAAAATAGGGGTTTTTTATTTACCCAAAAATACCAAACAATAGAAACCAAAAATTTAACATCTTAGGCCTATAAAAGAGGTCAACAAAATATAACTATACTCAAAACAGCATACAACAGACAGAATATTAACTAAACAAACTGACCTGCCTGAATGAGACACAAAGGAACATATATAGTGGCTTGGCCAAACCAATTTACCCACAAGGTGAAAACAAAATGGATGCCAACTACAACTACTACAAGTAAAACAAACTAAACCCAAAATCCCCCTCCAACATGGCAGCATATGGTACGGCTTGATTGGTAGGCCACAGGATATACCCATCCTCCACCCTTGGCCACGCCTTTCCTCCACCAGGACAGACCTCATTGCTGGCTGTTACCCTGTGTGGCTTGGGCCATCACAACCTCACTGTTTTTCATTGTAAACAGAGGTGAACACAACAGCCACTGGAGTTTCTACAACTACACCTGATCCAAGACCACAGACCTCTGCTGCCAGTCAGGTCAACAGCACTACCACAACAAGCCCAGGAGGTGAGGGGCAGCTCCGCCTTTAAGCCTCAGATTCAGTGTTGACTTTAATTACATTGTTGCAAATATATAAATATAATATAAACAGGATTGGGGAGTAACGGATAACATGTACTAGAGTTACTTAATCAGGATACAGAAAAGGTAACTGTAATCTATTACAGTTACAGAAGAAACATGTAATCAGATTACAGTTACAATTTGTAAATATGGGGATTATTTAGCAGTTTACAATATTAAAACAAATAATTTTTTCTTTAAAAATACACTAAGCAGAGGACACTTTTTTGATGCTAGAAATCCTTCCGTTTTCTATTTTTCCGTTTCCATTTTCTTTTTTTTAAAGGTTACATTGTTTTAAGTGCTGTCAAACGATTAAAATATTTAATCGCGATTAATCGCATTAATGTCATAGTTAACTCGCAATTAATTGCAATTAATCGCACATTTTTATCTATTCTAAATGTCCCTTGATTTCTTTTTGTCCCATTATTTTTTCTCATTTTAATGCTCTTATCAACATGGGAAAGTGGATCGGCTTGCTTTGTGGAAATGTTTTTATTGAAAAATCATCCATTGTCGCCTGGCTTTGACGATGGGGCGGAGAATTCGTATCAGCTGTGTGTTTGGCCATCAAGTGGTATTTCAGACTAGACGTGCTGCGATGATAGCTCAGTTCACAACGACAAAACACACAGATCACTTTGGTCTTGTCAATGGAACCATTTGGCAACTTTTTAAAAGTAAACTTTCCATTCAGAATATTATTGGCATCCATTTTAGCGTCTCGCGCTCGCCATCCACTCAAAACGTAACATCTACTACTCTAAACAAGTTTGTATGCCGTGCCAGTCTAGCTAGATCCGGTGTGGTGTTGTGGTTTTTTTAACTTTACTAGTTGTTGCAACAGCATGTGAAAAAAACTACAAAGTGTGCTAGGCCAAAAATAACGTTAATGTCGCGATAAAAAAAATTGACGCCGTTAAAATGGGTTTGCATTAACGCCGTTAATAACGCGTTTAACTGACAGCACAAATTGTTTTGTTGTCTTATATAATACACTTGCATCAATCAATTACATATTTGGTATTGATGTGATCCAAAAGTAACAGAAAGTGGTCAAGTTACATTCCTTTAATGTTGTGATACTTGGATTAGGTTACTGACTGCATTTTTTAACAGGTGATATCGGATTACATTTTTAAAGTAGCCCTCCCAACCCTAAATATAAATATATAATAAACAGCAGTAATATTGTTAAAAGGCAGATATGTAAATTTGATGGAACAAATAATCACACACTTGTACCTTTGATGTAATTATATGTTATGATGTCAGTTGCATAGCTTTATTTTCACCGTTTGATTTGGAAAAGCTACAAAATTAGCAAAGGCATCCATCAAACTATCCTCATACTTTTCATCGGGACACTGGTCTCCACATCAGGCCCCTCTTCCCAGTCTGTCCAGTTCAACTGTGGACAAAGTGTTTGTCCTGTAGGCTTGGACTGCATCAGTAATAATGGCTCTCTGCACTGTGATGACCCCTGTGAGCACTACACTGCACTGAATGATGACTGGCGTTCAACAAATAACACATCGAATCAGATTCTACACTGTGACCGAAATATTAACTGGCAAGGCTGGTATCGCCTGTTTCTGGAGCAAACCAGCGCTCAGATTCCAGAGAGGTGTATAGATAGTAACAGGTGTGGAACCCATGCTCCTCTGTGGATAACAGAACCTCATCCCACACAGTCAGGTCAAATTGTAAATCGCACTGTGTGTAATAACTGGTCTGGCAGCTGCTGCTATTTTTCCTCACACATCATCCATGTCAAGCTCTGTTATGGAAACTTCTACGTCTACAAACTTGTGCAGCCATCAGTATGTCATCTTGCATACTGTGCAGGTATAACTCCATTTAAAACATATTTAACACTGTAGCAACAAATTCAACTTTGTCCTCTAACCCATTCATTTACGTGTTTTAGGCTGGTGAAGTAATTATTTTTATCTTGTTCTTAAATCAGACAAACAATTTATGAACAAATACAATTGGCTTAGCAGCAGGACCTCACTGTTTTTCATTGTAAACAGAGGTGAACACAACAGCCACTGGAGTTTCTACAACTACACCTGATCCAAGACCACAGACCTCTGCTGCCAATCAGGTCAACAGCACTACCACAACAAGCCCAGGAGGTGAGGGGCAGCTCCGCCTTTAAGCCTCAGATTCAGTGTTGAGTTTAATTACATTGTTGCAAATATATAAATATAATATAAACAGGATTGGGGAGTAACGGATAACATGTACTAGAGTTACTTAATCAGGATACAGAAAAGGTAACTGTAATCTATTACAGTTACAGAAGAAACATGTAATCAGATTACAGTTACAATTTGTAAATATGGGGATTATTTAGCAGTTTACAATATTAAAACAAATAATTTTTTCTTTAAAAATACACTAAGCAGAGGACACTTTTTTGATGCTAGAAATCCTTCCGTTTTCTATTTTTCCGTTTCCATTTTCTTTTTTTAAAGGTTACATTGTTTTAAGTGCTGTCAAATGATTAAAATATTTAATCGCGATTAATCGCATTAATGTCATAGTTAACTCGCAATTAATTGCAATTAATCGCACATTTTTATCTATTCTAAATGTCCCTTGATTTCTTTTTGTCCCATTATTTTTTCTCATTTTAATGTTCTTATCAACATGGGAAAGTGGATCGGCTTGCTTTGTGGAAATGTTTTTATTGAAAAATCATCCATTGTCGCCTGGCTTTGACGATGGGGCGGAGAATTCGTATCAGCTGTGTGTTTGGCCATCAAGTGGTATTTCAGACTAGACGTGCTGCGATGATAGCTCAGTTCACAACGACAAAACACACAGATCACTTTGGTCTTGTCAATGGAACCATTTGGCAACTTTTTAAAAGTAAACTTTCCATTCAGAATATTATTGGCATCCATTTCAGCGTCTCGCGCTCGCCATCCACTCAAAACGTAACGTCTACTACTCTAAACAAGTGTAATACTGTTTACACTCTATGGTTCATGCTGTGACTTGTTACCTGGAAACATCTGTGGTCATTTCTAGTTAATAATAAGGACAGGAAAATGCTAAACTACCTGTTTTTTTTTTTTTTATTTAATTTGCAGCCTTTATTTAATCTAAAATTATCATGACATTAAACAGGTAGCTTGGCATTCTGCAGTTCTAAATAATCCATTTGGAAAAGCTACTGGAAAATTAACAGCATGCATAAAACTATCCTTTTCTACTTTTCACAGGGGTCCAGTTCAACTGTGGACAAAGTGTTTGTCCTGTAGGCTTGGACTGCATCAGTAATAATGACTCTCTGCGCTGTGCTGACCCCTGTGAGCACTACACTGCACTGAATGATGACTGGCGTTCAACAAATAACACATCGAATCAGATTCTACACTGTGACCGAAAGATTAACTGGCAAGGCTGGTATCGCCTGTTTCTGGAGCAAACCAGCGCTCAGATTCCAGAGAGGTGTATAGATAGTAACAGGTGTGGAACCCATGCTCCTCTGTGGATAACAGAACCTCATCCCACACAGTCAGGTCAAATTGTAAATCGCACTGTGTGTAATAACTGGTCTGGCAGCTGCTGCTATTTTTCCTCACACATCATCCATGTCAAGCTCTGTTATGGAAACTTCTACGTCTACAAACTTGTGCAGCCATCAGTATGTCATCTTGCATACTGTGCAGGTATAACTCCATTTAAAACATATTTAACACTGTAGCAACAAATTCAACTTTCTCCTCTAACCCATTCATTTACGTGTTTTAGGCTGGTGAAGTAATTATTTTTATCTTGTTCTTAAATCAGAAAAACAGTTTATGAACAAACACAATTGGCTTAGCAGCAGGACCTCACTGTTTTTCATTGTAAACAGAGTTGAATACAACAGCCACTGGAGTTTCTACAACTACACCTGATCCAAGACCACAGACCTCTGCTGCCAATCAGGTCAACAGCACTACCAGAACAAGCCCAGGAGGTGAGGGGCAGCTCCGCCTTTAAGCCTCAGATTCAGTGTTGAGTTTAATTACATTGTTGCAAATATATAAATATAATATAAACAGGATTGGGGAGTAACGGATAACATGTACTAGAGTTACTTAATCAGGATACAGAAAAGGTAACTGTAATCTATTACAGTTACAGAAGAAACATGTAATCAGATTACAGTTACAATTTGTAAATATGGGGATTATTTAGCAGTTTACAATATTAAAACAAATAATTTTTTCTTTAAAAATACACTAAGCAGAGGACACTTTTTTGATGCTAGAAATCCTTCCGTTTTCTATTTTTCCGTTTCCATTTTCTTTTTTTTAAAGGTTACATTGTTTTAAGTGCTGTCAAACGATTAAAATATTTCATCGCGATTAATCGCATTAATGTCATAGTTAACTCGCAATTAATTGCAATTAATCACACATTTTTATCTATTCTAAATGTCCCTTGATTTCTTTTTGTCCCATTATTTTTTCTCATTTTAATGCTCTTATCAACATGGGAAAGTGGATCGGCTTGCTTTATGGAAATGTTTTTATTGAAAAATCATCCATTGTCGCCTGGCTTTGACGATGGGGCGGAGAATTCGTATCAGCTGTGTGTTTGGCCATCAAGTGGTATTTCAGACTAGACGTGCTGCGATGATAGCTCAGTTCACAACGACAAAACACACAGATCACTTTGGTCTTGTCAATGGAACCATTTGGCAACTTTTTAAAAGTAAACTTTCCATTCAGAATATTATTGGCATCCATTTTAGCGTCTCGCGCTCGCCATCCACTCAAAACGTAACGTCTACTACTCTAAACAAGTGTGTACGGCGTGCCAGTCTAGCTAGATCCGGTGTGGTGTTGTGGTTTTTTTAACTTTACTAGTTGTTGCAACAGCATGTGAAAAAAACTACAAAGTGTGCTAGGCCAAAAATAACGTTAATGTCGCGATAAAAAAATTGACGCCGTTAAAATGGGTTTGCGTTAACGCCGTTAATAACGCGTTTAACTGACAGCACAAATTGTTTTGTTGTCTTATATAATACACTTGCATCAATCAATTACATATTTGGCATTGATGTGATCCAAAAGTAACAGAAAGTGGTCAAGTTACATTCCTTTAATGTTGTGATACTTGGATTAGGTTACTGACTGCATTTTTTAACAGGTGATATCGGATTACATTTTTAAAGTAGCCCTCCCAACCCTAAATATAAATATATAATAAACAGCAGTGATATTGTTAAAAGGCAGATATGTAAATTTGATGGAACAAATAATCACACACTTGTACCTTTGATGTAATTATATGTTATGATGTCAGTTGCATAGCTTTATTTTCACTGTTTGATTTGGAAAAGCTACAAAATTAGCAAAGGCATCCATCAAACTATCCTCATACTTTTCATCGGGACACTGGTCTCCACATCAGGCCCCTCTTCCCAGTCTGTCCAGTTCAACTGTGGACAAAGTGTTTGTCCTGTAGGCTTGGACTGCATCAGTAATAATGGCTCTCTGCACTGTGCTGACCCCTGTGAGCACTACACTGCACTAAATGATGATTGGCGTTCAACAAATAACACATCAAATCAGATTCTACACTGTGACCGAGATATTAACTGGCAAGGCTGGTATCGCCTGTTTCTGGAGCAAACCAGCGCTCAGATTCCAGAGAGGTGTATAGATAGTAACAGGTGTGGAACCCATGCTCCTCTGTGGATAACAGAACCTCATCCCACACAGTCAGGTCAAATTGTAAATCGAACTGTGTGTAATAACTGGTCTGGCAGCTGCTGCTATTTTAATTTGCACATCATCCATGTCAAGCTCTGTTATGGAAACTTCTACGTCTACAAACTTGTGCAGCCATCCACATGTCATCTTGCATACTGTGCAGGTATAACTCCATTTAAAACATATTTAACACTGTAGCAACAAATTCAACTTTCTCCTCTAACCCATTCATTTACGTGTTTTAGGCTGGTGAAGTAACTATTTTTATCTTGTTCTTAAATCAGAAAAACAGTTTATGAACAAACACAATTGGCTTAGCAGCAGGACCTCACTGTTTTTCATTGTAAACAGAGTTGAATACAACAGCCACTGGAGTTTCTACAACTACACCTGATCCAAGACCACAGACCTCTGCTGCCAATCAGGTCAACAGCACTACCACAACAAGCCCAGGAGGTGAGGGGCAGGTCCGCCTAGTCAATGGAAACAGTTCCTGCTCTGGTAGAGTAGAGATCTTCCACCGTGGACAGTGGGGGACGGTGTGTGACGATGCCTGGGGCCTGGTGGATGCTCAGGTGGTGTGTAGACAGCTGGGCTGTGGCAGGGTCCTGTCAGCTCCATCAAATGCACGTTTTGGACCGGGCAGTGGACCCATCTTGTTGGACGATGTCAGTTGTTTTGGGAATGAGTCATCGATAACAGACTGCAGACACCAAGGGTTTGGAGTTCACAACTGCGGTCACAATGAAGATGCCAGTATTGTTTGTGAATGTAGGTTTCTTCTTTAATTTGGTAATGATTTGACATAACATAGCTAAATATCGTTTATTTTTTATAGAGGGTTTCATCGTGGTCTCTTCTGGTATATACAGTATTTACAATCTCATCTCCATTCTTTGACACTTTTATCTGGTGACCTTATATCTTTTTCTTTAGTCCAACGCCCTCCACTCCAACCTTCTCAGCTTATTTGTGGCCGTGATAAACTTCAAGTAGGGCTGAATTTGGCTGACCTGACTTCCTCTGGTTTGAGCCCATTCTCTGGCAACCTGGCAGCCCGCAACTGCTCCTGGGTCAGAGTGCGTGATGATGTAGTTTGGTATGAAGTGGAAGCCACAGAAGGTGCTTGTGGAAACACGCTGAGGGTAAAGACTTCTAACTCTCTACTTGTTGTTTGCTTTAAACCTGATTACCACTATGTCATTACAAATCATTTGGTGTTGTCCTGTTCTTTTCTGTACTACCCTGTGCTTCGAGTCTTTGACCATCAGACACATTCGCCCAGGTAACCCAGACAAGGTTTGATTAGGCCCCTACTTGCGTATAACAAGCCTTGTGTCCACGTGTAGCTCTTCGTTATCCCCAACCATCTTGATGCCTCTTCTGCAGCATCAGTGATGTTTCTGATGCTCTTTTCCTGTGCAGTCCTGTGATGCCAACTAGCTTGAAAGCCCGGCATAGAACTGGCTGGCAAAGCCTCTGCAGCCTCAGTTTCGATGGGTATACATTGACCAGTCCATCTTCGGCTCTGGCACTCACCTACCAGGTCTTCTAAAACTGACATATTCCTTCAACTGATTGATCATTTAATTCTCATTCTCTGTCTTTCAGACCAACAGCACTCATGCCATCTACTCCAACAGTTTATTTATCTACCCAATAAACAATGCATCCTTCGCCATTCCTGTGAGTCTTCCCTTCTCCTGCGCATATCCCCTGGACACAGACACCAGCCTGAATGTGGCAATCAGACCATTCCTGGCGTAAGTAGCCTTTTATTGTATGTTACCAGTTCTACAATAATGAAGCTCCAAAGTGTGTAATTGTTGATTTTTTTGCAAAAACTAAAACAAATGTGTATTGCTTTTAACCATTCACCTTACTGTAAGTATGCATTTCTTTATGTCACAGTTAGGCCTTCTATATGTGAATGATTCAACCTATCTCTGTGATAGACAGTGGTGAACTGTCTTAAGTGATGAATCCAGTTGAACTGTGGCAGCATCATGAGTATACAGGTCCATAATTCAGCATATAGTATGGTGGTATTATTCTGTTCAAACCTCAGGCACTTCGGCAATAATGTACCAATATAACTGTCCAGTGGATATTACCGGACAAAATTCTTTAAGACGGCAGGAGTGCATTCATATACAAAAAATAGGAAGCAACATAAAAGTTGGTAACACTTTATAATGATTATTTCTCCATGCTCCCCTTGGCTGCACTGTCAGAAACTTCTGAGAGTTAACGTAAATATGACGTAACATCCCGCTCTCAGCACGTCATCACGTTGATGATGTGCTGAGAGCGGGAGCTCAACGTACACGTCCCAAACAGATAAGATCACAACAATAGCATGTCTTCATAAACCACCCTTGTTCGTCTTCATACAATATGTTGGGAAGTTGCAGTAAATATCAATACAATATGTTCTATATCCCTTTGTGTTGTGTCTCTCCTTCGTCTGTTAAGATAACTGAACATTTTGTGAGTCTCGAGGCATTGTCAGCCTTTATATCTCATTTGTAAATGCTTAATAAGCCATAGATAGTGCTCACTTTAGATAAGCTTGTGCAAAATACTTAATTAATGAGTAGTAAGTGCTTTGTAACTGTGAATTCCTGCATTAATAACTGTTTATTGGCCATCATTAGAAAATGAATTTGTTGTGAGTTTTATAGAACCTCTGCTAACACAGTCACTAATCATTAATACATGTCTGAATAGTGGATGTGCAAGTGCATGCAGAAATGTACAGTACAATGAAGAGTAAAACATTTATAACTGTGATTATAAAGCACATAGTAATGACTATTTACAGCAGAATCATGCTTTATAAATGATGGATTCAGTATTTACTAATCCATAACTAATGTGCTTATCAATGATGAATAAAATATTTTTAACTGTGTTTATAAACTACATACTAATGTGTATTCATGCGTTATAAATGATGAATTCAGTATTTATTCATGCTTAACTAATGCTTAATAGTGTGTACTCATTATAAAGTGTTACCTTTTGTCCAAATCAAGGAAAGCCCAGACAGAAATAACTAGGAACACCAAGAAATGCAAAGAATATAATGGCAAAGAAAAATAACAATAATCAGATAGAGAGAAATAAAAGACTTGGTTACCTTAACAAAAGAAAACCTTAACAGAAAACAAAATTTTCTTGATTCTTGACAGGACTGCAGGTGGTATTTCAGGCTCGGGTACCAAAGCCAGAGCCTCCATGTTTCTGTTCCGTAACTCCAACTACACTGAGACTTATGCAGCAGGGCGGGTCACCCTGCCAGTGGGATCACCGTTGTACGTGGGCGTCTCTGTGGAGGAGAGAGATCCAGGCTTTGTAGTTGTTCTGGAGGACTGCTACGCTACTAACTCATCAAACCCTGATGATCCTATGCGACACTTTCTCATCCGGAACAAGTGAGTGTCCCTCTTGCAGCAGGTGGCCTGTGGAGTGTAATGTAAATGAGAAAAAGTTCAATGTATGGTGATGTGCAGTGGCCCTGATGACCCGCTCCATCCTCTCTGTCAGGTGTCCCACTGACCGCAGACAGGTGTCAGTGACTGAGAGCGGCTCGTCCCTCCAGGCTCGTTTCTCTGCCCTGTTCTTCCTGCTCCAGGATGAATACCGAGACATTTTCCTTCATTGCAGCCTCAGCCTTTGTGACCGAAAGAGCTCCTCCTGTGTTCCAGTAAGTCACCCATTTCACTTCATCAATAGAATTGCTAATCCATAATCAATGCCGCTTAAACACTGGGTTTTGATGGTATCTCTATGTTTGTCCAATGTCTCCGACCATGTAGCCTTGCACAAATAGGATACGTCGCTCTGTTTCTACCTCTGAACCTGTGGAGCCCCTCAGCATTGGACCAATTGTTTGTGAGTATGGATTACAAGCTGGTCTCAGGGCTGATGTCTCAACACAGTGAACTATATGAAATTAATGACTATGTCCTTTTTCTCTCTGTCTTATCTTCAGGGGACAAGTCACCTGAGTGAGCCGGTATCATACAGTGATGATACAAACATATTCCGTGTTTTAACATGTTTTTTTTCATAAGACATAAAATCATCAAATAACTGGTGTTACATACATACTGTATAACAGAGGTGGACGTAGCTTTTGAGTCTGAAAAGTGAAGCTAATGAAGAGGTGCCTTAAAGCTGCATTCTTTCTAGCTGCCATCAGTGGCAACACTCATTGAAAAAATATATCCGATTGTCTCTGAAAAAATGACCCAACTTGATTTATTACCTCAGTAAATACATTCCTGATGAGTTTATGGTCTTAATCACTGCCAAAATCAAGGCTTCAAAACAGTATTCCACAAACCAGTGGGTGGCATCACAGTGGCTACATCCACTTCTCTTATACAGTCTATGTTAACATTTTATGATTACCATTCCTATTAAACAACAATAAAAAATATAGGGTTTATAATAAAGGTGGAGGTATCTTATTTACTTTTATATCCAGTATAGCCCTGTGTTATGGTTTTTTGGGGGTTTTTTGCATTTGTTTTGAATAGATTTTCTTTGTTACTTGGGCTTCTAAGCAATACTATTGATTATTATTTAGATCCGATTCCACATTATAGTATAAACTGTGCAAATATGTCTCAATGTCTGCCTCTCAACCCCTGTCTTCAGCCATATCTCCACTTTCTTAGGCCCCTTCAGCATTATTCTTTACCTGTCCAAAAGATGCTTTTTTTCCCACCAGCATTCCACAAAGACTCTATATTCTGCCAATGACTGGCTCGTGTTCACTGCCTTCACTGGTTAGATTAGGGACTATACTCATAACTCAGAGAGCCATGAAGTTGTTCAGGCACAGGTCTTAATCCTAATAATAGTTACTCTTGTTAGTTAGGGAACAGTTCCCACATATATTTAAATGTAAACAAAAAAACTATTAGGTTAGGATGAGACAAATAACGACCATTCCTTTATATCTCCAAAGAGGATTAGGAAAGAGGTATATGGCCCTGTGTTATCAATGTATGGATCATAAAGGAATGTTTGAATTTGTGCATTGACATGGTTAGTTGACCTGAGAGGCCTTCACTGACCTTCACACTTTTCATACTTTATTTTAGGTGTCTGGATTATTTATGACGAGGGACATACTCAATAAAGCTGAGCGAATGTAATGTTACTTTAAGTTTTTGGTATGACTGTGTCCATACATGCTGTACCAAGATCTCTGATATCAGATTTGTGTTGTAATAAACGTATATTCAAGCAAGGACAATTTGAGCTGAAGGAGTTTCATTCTTTTTTTCATCAGGCCTGGTTGGGATTAGATCATTCCCAACCACAAAGATGTTAGACGTAGGAAAGAAAGAATCTACTATTTGAGACCACTGAATTTCAGATAATATAACCTGAATCAATCACAAAAGGTCCCAGACCGGTATGTATAGATGGTTAATTTTAAAAGCCAACCCTGGAATAATCCACTCTTTAAAATGTACAGGTTGGTGGAGCTACCATTGAGTTTTTTAAACTCATTGACCTGGTAAATAGCAAATAACAACTCCTTCCACTTCCTGTAAAATGTACAGGATAGTGGAACAATTGTTGACTTATAAATGAGAACATAATAATAATAATATATATATATATATATATATATATATATATATTAATATTGCATAATTAAATAATAAATACTGATATCAAAAGGAAGACAAATAATGAACATGCAGGTGTGGGGCGCCCTGGTAGCTCACCTGGTAGAGCTTGTATCATGTGCCGAGGTTGAATTCTTGCTGGATTCACTCTCACTCCCACTCCTACTCCTTAAACCGTATAGGTAGTTAGAGCTAAAATAGTTTAAAAATAAGTGTTAATGTCAAACAGTAATAACAATTCATACGTAAATTCAAACTCATACTTCAGAAGATGTTGGACTACCATTGGGTTTTAGTGCTGTAAAAAAGCCCTAATGTCAATGTTAAATGAATGTAACTAATGTGAAATGACATTAATGTCAAAGAAGTAACAAATCCACAAAGTCCTCTTAATGAAAGTTTTGACATAAAAACTCACAAACTAAACAGTGAAATAGATTTAACCCTTTAGCATAAATTTTAATGTTATGTCACACAGTATTGTGGATGAGTACCTCTCCATCATGGACTGCTTGTGGATTGTTTCTTCACATAACAAATAACAAATGTGGATTGTGACTGATGACATGTTGTGTACTCCAGGCTGGAAGCTGCTATGTCAATACATTCACAGCACGCTCCATTATCAAGAGAGTGAGGAAGGATTTGTTATGTGCTTTGATGACATTTTCCTGTTAATGCATTTAAGTGAACAGTTGAATATTCTATTGAACAGTTTTCTTGTTCATGTACCTTTAAATGATTAAACTAGACTGTAGATAGCTTACCTTTACGTAGATGGTGCATATATTGATGCAGGCTATTACCAGTTTCTCCTGTTTATAACAAGTGGTACACTAAATAGTTGTGTTTATAGTGTCGAATGAAAATGATAATAATAGGAGTTCCTTATTCAGAATATCAATAACAAAACCTTCGATCAATATTTGGCATTTGGAAGGCTCTGGATCGAGGGAGTGTAAGAGGTCAAGTAAACTGGTTAACAAAGTCAAAATAAACAATGATATAAGCAAAATCCATGAGTTAACCGATGAGAAAAAAAAAAGATAAAGGGAGTTGACAGAAATGGGAATGTCAGAAATGATGTCATAGGTCATTAATTTGGCTCCATCTAGTGGCTGATATGTGGATATGTTATCCACACAGGTAAGTGACTTAGAGTAGGAAACATGTTTTCCAAGTTAATTGTCATCCATCATAAGTGAAGTCAGTTATTCCTGGGTTAAAGTTAGAGGACAGTTTCCAAGATAAGCTACAATTTCATCTCTTCTGGTTTAGGATTCAGACATGTAAGAAGAGGGATTGGGGTAAGAGCTAAAGCATTAGGAAAGATTATCCATTAGACGTCATGTCCAAGAATATATCTCCTACTACAAATTTAGGTTTAGGCATACTTAAAGTGGTTAAGGTGGTGGTTAACTGCACAGTGTAACTCAATAATCAATGACAGAAAGTATATATTTTTGTTTAACTCAACAGGACAAACTGAACGTCTGTGATAGGACTTTTGAATCCCCTATATTGGCAGAAATGGAACATAATAATGTTCATAGGTATGATTTTATCGGTTTATAATCACCTGAATATAGGTATGGTTGTGTTTTCATGACCTTAGAATGAGACATCTACAGAAGCCACATGTTGCCTTCCACGGAGTCCACCATGTTGAACCGCCATGTTTCTACAATAGGCCAGAAAGGGCACATTTTTCACGAGTTTCGTGGCCACTGTTTCTCCTACACACTTCACAGCCTGTTCTCATTCTCAGGTCGTCAAATACAGACACCAGCAGTTGCTGCAATCTGCAACTTCACCACTAGGTGCCACTAAATCTTACACACTGGACCTTTAAGTCTGCTCAAACCCACTGCACACTCACTCAGTCCCCATTGCCTGAGGACAAACTCCTAATAAATTAACTAGGTTAACTAGGGGAGTTTTTTACAAAATATTTTTTTATTTTGTCAAATATTAACAATGTTTATCTATTTATGAAAAGTCCAATATTTATCTGTCTGTTAATCCTTGTTCTTTCTTTTCTTTTCTTTTTTATTATTTGACATCGTATTAGTGATGTGAATGTGATGTGAAGTGTTTCTCCTTTATGGTAAGGTAATCACTGAAAGTTGCCTGATCAAGCCCCTCTGAGGGTTTCTTGCACCTCTGTTTTTCTGATGTTCATGTAGTATATATACATTTGTATCTTTTGTATAAACAAATCAAAAATCAAAACACAATCCTGAGTAGTACTCAAACATGCTTTTAGCAGTGTGACTGAGTTGTTTTAGAAAAGGAGGCTTTTTGAATGATCATACTTTCAGTAATATGTAGAGCACACTGACCTACTTGAGTCAACCATTTACCTTGGAATAATAAAACACTAAAGAAGAATAAGATTAGAAATATGATAGCAAAATGATTCCAGTACATAATTAAAAGTGGCATATCCATATAATAATAAAACAATAAATCAAATTGGTAATAAAAGAAAGGTCATCCACTCTAGTGCACTGTTGTTTTCCTCGTTTGTTCCAGTGCAAGTGAACTGATCCTAATTTTACCTATTTGATTCACAAAAATAAACTTCTTTAAAGCCGGACAGTTAAATACATAATGCAAAAACATTAGACAAGCAATTGTTTAACCGTAGCATGTTTTTCTAAAAGTTTTATCCTTTAAATGTGTATTATGTTGCAAAATAAGGAGCAGGACTGTTGTCAGTGTAAGATTCATAGAACTTTTGAGCCGTATGCTGTGTGTTTTTTATTTGTCCTATGTATTTGAGCACCCTTTACAACATTAGGATCGCTGCCTGGGTGTGTAGTGACCAGTGTTGGGCAGTAACTCATTACTAGTAATAATATGACAGTAATAATTTTACCCTTCCCAGTCACTAGTAGTGTAAATAATAACTAATTAATTTCAGTAATAATAATAATAACAATATTACTTGGCACCCTGTACTGATCTGTAATCCAACAATCCAATCACATCCTTAGATTCTTGTAATTGTGGAGGAAACTAGTTTGTAAGATGGAAATGGTTAGAGTCAGCAGCTGGAAATATTCCATTACTTTGATTTTAACACACAAAACTTGCTTTGAGTCTTTTGTAAATCAGATTTTTGTAGAGAAAGGACACAATTACAGTTTTTTTTTTTGGGGGGGGTGTAATACAACTAGTACTGATTATTTTTGGCAGGGAGTAATAAGTAAAGTAATAATATTACTTTTGAAAAGAGTAATTAGTAATAAGTAATACATTACTCTTTTGAGTATCTTGCCCAACACTGGTAGTGACAGTGACAGTGAAGTTTACCAGTTGTACAGATAAGATGCATGTCTCATGTTTTGTGTTATATGTCTCTTAACTTAAGTCGTAAGTATTTTAAGTATTTTTGGGCGCTGAAACCATGACCTGTATCACAACAACGACTCCATGGAGATCTTTCACATCTCTACATTACGCTATACAATAAAGAAATGTCTGATATCACTTCCATGAGGCTCTTCTCAGAAGACAGATCTCAGGCAATGAACTTGGCATTTCATAATAATTGCAGCTGTAAGCTGGAGGTGTGAATTATGTTCATTCTAATGTTGATTAACATAAATGGTGTTCTTTTGCCCTCAAGTATTATCCATACCACCAAAATATATACTAAAGAGGTCATGTGGGGAACCCATAAGTTTATATTTCTCCTTGTGTGTAGTGGTGCTTGAAATTTGACCAATGCATTTAGACTGTAGCTGAAGTAAACCATAAAAACAAGTGCAGTTCCTGGGATTCTTGGGATAGAGTGCTTCTGTTCCTGGGATAGAAAATGTGTCATTTTAAGGAAAATGATGAATCCCTACACACTACCACTGTAGTTGATGGAATGAACTGACGCTGATACAAATGTGGGTGACTACATCACTTCCATGATGACGTGACATGAGTGCGCAGTTGCACACTTTTGCATCAAAACTGAGAATGGCAGAAAGGAAACGTAGTGTGGTGTGGTACTACTTTTCACCTGCATATATATGTACATTTTTTACACTTACTAGCACAAAAATTAATTAAACTCATATTTGCTTTTCTCAATAATTTGTCATTGATGACCAGTGTGTGTCATGTGATTTGCCTCTGAAGTGTAATGATATATGTTTTTTCTTAAAAATGACAATTATTTTGAAAAATTCCATACCTATTTAAGAAATTATCGCTATCGGTATCACATCAAATTCATAAAGTTTGGCATCTCCCATCCTTCGTTCCCTGAAATGAGAAACTCCTAATTATGAAAAAACCTGTATGATTCATAAAAACAAACCTTTTAAAAGCCACACAGTTAAATACATAATGCAGATCCACAAAATGGGGTCCAACCGGTCCAACATGCAACATCAACAACTGCATATGAACGTATATCATAATCATAAGATGTCCAGTGACTGTTTGATTAATGGATGATGATGAGTGTTAAGATTCACTGGATGTCATCTAAAATTAAGGGAGTCATCAAATGGTTGATATCTTCTGTCTTCCAGTAATATTAATTTATGCTGCACTTACAATTTCCAAAAATTGATATCAGTGGAATTTTCTCAGTCAAACTGAGAAAGATTGGAAATGAAAATGTATGTGAGATGTGATTAAAAGCTCTTAAAAAAGCAAGTAAGTGGACCTTGAGTTAAGATTATTCTGTCAAACTACTTGACTAACTCAAACTACAGGAATAAACTCAAAGTATTTTCTGGTATTTCAGTCACTGCTGTTGACAGAAGTCAGTTGATAGTGAGCAGATACAGTAATGTGAACACTGAGAGGTTCTTTATTATGATTCAGCCCTGATTGGGGTATCATAAAAGATATTTACACTTGTGTGCCTGCTCTGTTTGTTATTTTCTTTGTCTTACATTGATTAATAAGTAACTTTACTTTTAGTAACTGCATCTTTTGATTCATCAGTGCTGTCATTGACCCATTTATATGTTTCACCAATGATTGCTTCGTGTAGTCCTTTGAACACACAAACAGGCCTATAAATTCTCTCACTCTCACTCACAGGATGATTTTAACTTTCAACTGTTTCACAGTGTCTCCAAGGTAAGTCTGGCAACATAATGCATTTTGTGCATGGCAGCGTCATTTGAAAATGTGATTTAAAGCCACCTCTTTTGTCTTTTTTAGCAAGTTTGTGTTGTGGCTGTGGTCCATGATGGGTGTGCCTGGGTATTTGTTGTTGCTCCTAATTTTGCAGATTTTTACAGGAAGCACTTCAGGTAAATCATTTCTCTCTTTTATCAGCATGTTGTATGTTTTTCTGTTAGCTACAGTGAAGCTGGGAGAGAAAGTCAGGTGTTCCCAGTGCAGATCAGGATATAATGGCTTTATGGTAGTGCAGAGTCAGTTCAGTGTTGGTGGATAAGAGGAATGAGCCTTCCTGTGAGGAATGGAGGCCACCTAGCTTAAAAAGTTGAGGCCAAAATCAAAAGGCATCAAAATGATCAACATATGCAACATCTCTGCTCATTCAATAACCCTTTCATGTCTCAAGTTAACAGTAAGTGTTTGTGTTACCTGATTCACCAGTGAGGCTGGTCAACTCTGCTGATCTCTGCTCTGGTAGAGTGGAGGTCTTCCATAATGGACAGTGGGGGACAGTGTGTGACGATAGTTGGGACCTGAATGATGCCAATGTGGTCTGTAAGCAGCTGGGCTGTGGCTCAGCTCGTTCAGCACTACAAAATGCAGCTTTTGGGCAGGGCAGCGGACCCATCTGGATGGACGATGTCAGTTGTTATGGCAACGAACCATCATTAAAAGTCTGCAGCCACCGAGGGTTTGGATCTCACAACTGTGGTCACCATGAGGATGCTGGTGTTGTCTGTGAAGGTAATTAAAAATTAAGCTAAAGACAATAAAGTCTCACAGTGCATCATGTGGTGTGACATTTACCTGAGAGGATTTTAGTAACTCTTTAACTCTATAAATAGCATTTGCCATTTTTAAACAGAAAACTGTTGTATGTAGTTTTTCAAAGATATCTTCATGTTCATCTTTCATCTGAATCTCATATTAACAGTATTACGTTGCATATTTTCGCTTAGCTAATTCACCAGTGAGGCTGGTCAATTCTGCCGATCGCTGCTCTGGTAGAGTGGAGGTCTACCACGGTGGACAGTGGGGGACAGTGTGTGACGATGCCTGGGACCTAAATGATGCCAATGTGGTGTGTAGGCAGCTGGGCTGTGGTCCTGCTCGTTCAGCACTACAAGCTGCAGCTTTTGGACAAGGCACTGGACCCATCTGGTTGGACGATCTCAGTTGTTATGGAAACGAACCATCAGTAACAGACTGCAGACATCCAGGGTTTGGGGTCCACAACTGTGGTCACAGTGAAGACGCAAGCGTCATCTGTGAAGGTAAATGTTTACACATATTTAAAGTACACTGCAATTCTTATTGCTCACATTTAACAAGAAAAATGACCTTCATCAATAAGGTTCAATATTTACCACACACAGTTGATATTGTTTTGTAGAGAAATCAGTCAAATGTACAGAAAAACACAAGTTTGAGTCAAGAAAATGTTTTATGTCTGATGATAACAAAATCAGTTACATTGATAATGAATAAAGGGAGCTTTTACTCAGTGTGCAATCTGTAGTTGTTTTGTGAATTCACAGAGACTTTTCTTTCAGCTCCTCAGCGACAGACACATCCCAGTGGTCAGGCTGTCAATGGATCTAGCCAGAATCCTTCAAGTCACAAGGAGTCAAACCCCCGAAAACCCCTGAAATAAGCCATGTTATGGGAATTGTTGTAATTAATATGCTTATGTGATTGTAGCAGCCAAGACATGATGAAGTATGACCTAAGAAATGCTGTTGTAAACTGTAATGATATTGGGTATGGATAAAGGTTTTCTGTTCGCCACCTATTTGTTTATTTGTTTATGAGTGACAAGGACCTACATGAAAACAGTTTCCTAATTACATGAGAGATTTTATGTGTTTTCATCCCTGTCTCACTGGTTTAAAGTGGGTGAGGTGGAGTTGGAAAATGTGATGTCAAGTATTTCCATGCACCAATCAGAATTTAGCAACATTTGAATCTAAATGTGATGACAGTTGAAGGGTTTTCAGAGATGGCAATGTCAGTCTGTCAGTCTGTCAGTCCACCACTTTGGTCCAGACTGAAAATAAATACTAATTAATTAAAAGTAAATTAAAAGTAATCAGGAAAATAGTATTGAAAGTACTCAATTCATAAAAATGTCCCCTGTAACTAGCTAGTCAGTCTTGCTGTTAAACATACTGTCAAATTATGTTTACTATCTTTTCGACCGTATGCAGTGTTTCTGAATTTGAATCTTGCCAGCATAATGTTAGCTCTTTGTCTCTATTGTATCTATTTTATATATCATTCCTCATTATGTTTTTTATATAACTTCAATTTATTTGTGCATCCCTGTGCTGTACAATGACAGTGATCTTCAGTGACTACTATATACATAAAGTATATAATGTGATGAAAACTAAGCAAAGCCAGGGAATGTTAAAATAATATTGTTTATTTTGACCATGCTTTCCTCTCACACCTATTACTACCATATAGCTCAAATGGGTTCAATTTTACAATTAAAACACAATGCCATCACTAAGGCAAGTTGTGTAAAAACTATATTCACAAAAGATCAAAATGTCCACCAAATCCAAAGTTAATCCGTCACTATGTGTTGTCATGTATTGGGTTTTGATTATTTGACATCACTGAGCTCATATACTCAATGACATTCTGAGGACAAATATTGTTTCTGCCTGTAGTCGAGTAAGGATTGCTTTGTACCATACTTTCGTTAATATGTAAAGTACACTATACTACACAGGTACTTAAGTGTGTGTAAAAATGTTATCGTATTGGAACTAAGCACCGGTCAACCATTTACCCAGGAATAATAAAGTACCAAAGAGGAAGTAAGTACAGAAATATGACAGCACAATGATTCCAGTAAATAGTGATAAGAAGTGACATATTAGCAGGATAAAAAACACAATAAATGGGGACAATGTGAGAAACCATCCTCTTGTGCAATGCTGTTTTTCATGTTTTCCCTACAAACTTCTCCTAATTGTAAAGAAACCTGTCTGATTCATAGAAACACTTTTTCAAAGCTAGGCCATTAAATACATCATGCAGAAACACAAGATAGGGTCCAACATTTGCATGCTATGCAGGCATACTTGTTTAGATTAGATGTTTAGTACCAGTTTAATTCATGGATGATGATGAGTGCTGACATCTTTTGAAACCTGTTTACAACTGTATGTTCATCCTTCTTCCATTTATTTTCAGAAATGGATGTCAGTGACATTTGCACACTTACACTGAGTAAGACTGGAAATTAAAACTAAGATGTGTGAAAGCTCTTAAGATTATTTGGTCAAATTACTTTTTCCAAGTTCAGCAAAAAAACTTTTATGCTCAAAAACCCAACTCTCTGCTGTGACAGAAAGTAGTTATAAATGGGCTAGTCGGTAGATACAGTAACGTTGGACCTGAAGATCTTTAATATGTTTCAACACTGATCTGAGATTGATTGTGGTACCATAAATTATATTGACTAAGGGCCTGTGTGCCAGTTATGTTTGAATTTGATCCTTTTGTCTACTTTTGATTAATAAGTAACTCTTTTGATGTCATATGTATCAGTTGTGAAACACATAAATGGGTCATTGTTTCACCAGTGATTGCTTCAGGGTCTTTGAACACCTATAAATTCTCACAGTCTCACTCACTGGGACATTTTTACTTTCAACTTTTTCGCCAACTCCTGGATTCCCACACAGTCTCTCCAAGGTAAGACTAGCAAAGTAATGAATGTTTTGCATGGCAGCATAATTTGAAATTTATATTTGAAAACAGCTCTTTTGTCTTTTTCAGCAAGTTTGTGTCGTGGATGTGGTCCATAATGGGGATGCCTGGGGGTTTGTTGTTGTTCCTAATTTTGCACATTTGTACAAGAAGCATTTCAGGTAAGCCATGTGACATCTTATCATCTTAGATTAGACATTATGATACATATTAACTGTGTAATTATACTTTCCCTAAAAATATATTTGTGAGAGCTATAGATTTTTTTTCTCTTTTTTGTGTCACATATGGATGTATTTCAATTCAAAACCTCAAATTAAATGGTTAAATTAAATTAAAATGTGATTTTAATTAGGTCATTGCCAATATATTATTTGAATATATAATAAATATGTAGTACTATTGTTGTCAATCACACACTTGTACCTCTGGTATCACTCTGTATTGAGATTTGAGCAGATTTGTTTTCTGTGTAATAACTCACAGAATTCCTAAACATTAAATTGTTTAGTTAATTAATAAGGGTCAATTAATGTCAATTGCACCTAATATCTTAATTTTCACTTTTATTTTATTTTTTAAATTTCACTTAGAAAAGATAATTAAAATTAGCAACAGCATGAATCACAGTCTCTGTACTTTTCACAGGGACACTTGTCACCAGTTGCGGTTCATGTCATGATGATGCTGCCTGCCTGGAGTCGGAAGAAAGAGGCGACTCTTTCATCAACCACATGGTCTCTTCTTGTGTCTGTAAAGATGGCTTTGTAGGCGATGGTCTCACCTGTTACAATACAAAACTCTGTGGTGACTCTTCCTGCTGTAGCCAAGGTTATCACTGGTCACCAGAAAGGGGCTGTGTGGACACCGATGAGTGCTCCCTCCCAGACTCACCTTGCATACCACCTCAGGTTTGCCAAAACACCCAAGGATCTTTTCAATGCCTGGAGCCCTCCTCCAGCCCCAGATCGGGCCCCTCTTCGCAGTCTGTCCAGTTCAACTGTGGACAAAGTGTTTGTCCTGTAGGCTTGGACTGCATCAGTAATAATGGCTCTCTGCGCTGTGCTGACCCCTGTGAGCACTACACTGCACTGAATGATGACTGGCGTTCAACAAATAACACATCCAATCAGATTCTACACTGTGACCGAAATATTAACTGGCAAGGCTGGTATCGCCTGTTTCTGGAGCAAACCAGCGCTCAGATTCCAGAGAGGTGTATAGATAGTAACAGGTGTGGAACCCATGCTCCTCTGTGGATAACAGAACCTCATCCCACACAGTCAGGTCAAATTGTAAATCGAACTGTGTGTAATAACTGGTCTGGCAGCTGCTGCTATTTTTCCTCACACATCATCCATGTCAAGCTCTGTTATGGAAACTTCTACGTCTACAAACTTGTGCAGCCATCCACATGTCATCTTGCATACTGTGCAGGTATAACTCCATTTTAAAAAATTTAAAACTGTAACAACAAATTCAACTTTCTCCTCTAACCAATTCATTTACGTGTTTTAGGCTGTTGAAGTAACTATTTCTATCTTGTTCTTAAATCAGAAAAACAATTTATGAACAAATACAATTGGCTTAGCAGCAGGACCTCACTGTTTTTCATTGTAAACAGAGGTGAACACAACAGCCCCTGGAGTTTCTACAACTACACCTGATCCAAGACCACAGACCTCTGCTGCCAATCAGGTCAACAGCACTACCATAACAAGCCCAGGAGGTGAGGGGCAGGTCCGCCTAGTCAATGGAAACAGTTCCTGCTCTGGTAGAGTAGAGATCTTCCACCGTGGACAGTGGGGGACGGTGTGTGACGATGCCTGGGGCCTGGTGGATGCTCAGGTGGTGTGTAGACAGCTGGGCTGTGGCAGGGTCCTGTCAGCTCCATCAAATGCAGGTTTTGGACCGGGCAGTGGGCCAATCTGGTTGGATGATGTCACATGCACAGGCAGTGAATCAAAGCTCACCCAGTGCAGCCACCGAGGCTTTGGATCTCACGACTGTGGTCACCATGAGGATGCTGGTGTTGTCTGTGAAGGTAAATACAAATTTATACAGCTAAAAAAAGGTAGTTTTTCAAAGCTATCATCATGTAACTAAGTAAAACTTTATTTATGTAGCACTAACACACACAGAGCTCCTTACAACCATCTCTATAGGCAAGCCTTTATATAGATCTCCCTACCTGTTTTTATTACTTTTTGGTGTGTCTCTTTTTGTATATATATATATATATATATATATATATATATATATGTTGTGTCTCATATTAACAGTATTGTATTTCTGTTAGCTGATTCACCAGTGAGGTTGGTGAACTCTGACAACCGCTGTTCTGGCAGAGTGGAGATCTTCCACCGTGGACAGTGGGGGACAGTGTGTGACGATGCCTGGGACCTGAAGGATGCCAATGTGGTGTGTAGGCAGCTGGACTGTGGTCCTGCTCGCTCAGCACTACAAGCTGCAGCTTTTGGACAGGGCAGTGGACCCATCTGGTTGGACGATGTCAGTTGTTTTGGGAATGAGTCATCGATAACAGACTGCAGACACCGAGGGTTTGGAGTTCACAACTGTGGTCACGGTGAAGACGCCAGTATTGTTTGTGAATGTAGGTTTCTTCTTTAATTTGGCAATGATTTGACATAACATAGCTAAATATCGTTTATTTTTTATAGAGGGTTTCATCGTGGTCTCTTCTGGTATATACAGTATTTACAATCTCATCTCCATTCTTTGACACTTTTATCTGGTGACCTTATATCTTTTTCTTTAGTCCAACGCCCTCCACTCCAACCTTCTCAGCTTATTTGTGGCCGTGATAAACTTCAAGTAGGGCTGAATTTGGCTGACCTGGCTTCCTCTGGTTTGAGCCCATTCTCTGGCAACCTGGCAGCCCGCAACTGCTCCTGGGTCAGAGTGCGTGATGATGTAGTTTGGTATGAAGTGGAGGCCACAGAAGGTGCTTGTGGAAACACGCTGAGGGTAAAGACTTCTAACTCTCTACTGTTGTTTGCTTGTTTTTGTTTGCTTTAAACCTGATTACCACTATGTCATTACAAATCATTTGGTGTTGTCCTGTTCTTTTCTGTACTACCCTGTGCTTCGAGTCTTTGACCATCAGACACATTCGCCCAGGTAACCCAGACAAGGTTTGATTAGGCCCCTGCTTGCGTACAACAAGCCTTGTGTCCACGTGTAGCTCTTCGTTATCCCCAACCATCTTGATGCCTCTTCTGCAGCATCAGTGATGTTTCTGATGCTCTTTTCCTGTGCAGTCCTGTGATGCCAACTAGCTTGAAAGCCCGGCATAGAACTGGCTGGCAAAGCCTCTGCAGCCTCAGTTTCGATGGGTATACATTGACCAGTCCATCTTCGGCTCTGGCACTCACCTACCAGGTCTTCTAAAACTGACATATTCCTTCAACTGATTGATCATTTAATTCTCATTCTCTGTCTTTCAGACCAACAGCACTCATGCCATCTACTCCAACAGTTTATTTATCTACCCAATAAACAATGCATCCTTCGCCATTCCTGTGAGTCTTCCCTTCTCCTGCGCATATCCCCTGGACACAGACACCAGCCTGAATGTGGCAATCAGACCATTCCTGGCGTAAGTAGCATTGAAGGTTATACAATAATGATCCTATGTGTATGCTTAAGAATTAGGACAAAGCTGGTTAAAATTGCTCCAGTATATGTGTTGCTTAACTAACTATTTAACTTTGGGTAAGCATTTATTGTTACCTGACTCAGTGTCTTTTTTGATATGACCACTAGGGGTCAGCAAAGTCACTTGTGCAGGATTTTCATCATTCTGCTAAAAATAACATTTTCATGTTGTATACCTATTGTTTATATCGAAATGGACTCCTGTTGTTAAACCAAGGAAACCTCAAGAAACGCCAAGAACTTTCTGAAATACAATGGCAAAGGACTATAATGATAACAACATAGGGGGGGGGGACTTACCTGGTTACCTCCATTAAAAAAAAAACATTTTCTTGACAGGACTGCAGGTGGTATTTCAGGCACGGGTACCAAAGCCAGAGCCTCCATGTTTCTGTTCCGTAACTCCAACTACACTGAGACTTATGCAGCAGGGCGGGTCACCCTGCCAGTGGGCTCACCGTTGTACGTGGGCGTCTCTGTGGAGGAGAGAGATCCAGGCTTTGTAGTTGTTCTGGAGGACTGCTACGCCACTCACTCATCAAACCCTGATGATCCTATGCGACACTTTCTCATCCAGAACAAGTGAGTGTCCCTCTTGCAGCAGATGGCCTGTGGAGTGTAATGTAAATGAGAAAAAGTTCAATGTATGGTGATGTGCAGTGGCCCTTATGACCCGCTCCATCCTCTCTGTCAGGTGTCCCACTGACCGCAGACAGGTGTCAGTGACTGAGAGCGGCTCGTCCCTCCAGGCTCGTTTCTCTGCCCTGTTCTTCCTGCTCCAGGATGAATACCGAGACATTTTCCTTCATTGCAGCCTCAGCCTTTGTGACCGAAAGAGCTCCTCCTGTGTTCCAGTAAGTCACCCATTTCACTTCATCAATAGAATTGCTAATCTATAATCAATGCCGCTTAAACACTGGATTTTGATGGTATCTCTATGTTTGTCCAATGTCTCCGACCATGTAGCCTTGCACAAATAGGACACGTCGCTCTGTTTCTACCTCTGAACCTGTGGAGCCCCTCAGCATTGGACCAATTGTTTGTGAGTATGGATTACAAGCTGGTCTCAGGGCTGATGTCTCAACACAGTGAACTATATGAAATTAATGACTATGTCCTTTTTCTCTCTGTCTTATCTTCAGGGGACAAGTCACCTGAGTGAGCCGGTATCATACAGTGATGATACAAACATATTCCATACTGTGATATTATTTTGTTTTAAGATGCTTGTCTATTCAACAGAAAAAAAACATACAAATTGTATAATTAAATCTTACCACACTTCGTATAATTCCTCAATTATATCTCGTTTATAAATGTTGTGTTACTAAACCACAATAAAAAATAGGGTACCATTACTTTTCTTCTTCTCTGTGTCTATTTCCAGTACAGCTGTGCTGTGTATGTGTTACATATATATCATTTTTATATGATTTTCTTGCATTTACTTACAGTGCATTTTCTCTATTACATGTGCTAAGAATGTCTTTTTTAAACCATAGTATGGATTATTCTTTAGATCCAGCAAGTTTTCCCCATTATAATGTAATCTCTGCAACTTCTATGTGTGCATGCAGTATAAAACCACCTCATTTGCTAATACAGTACATACATACTGTACCTTGATGGTGGATTATGCAGTAATAAAATATAAATAATAATAATAAAATATAAAGACAAATTGCAACCATGACATATTGCTTTGGTCCACACTGAATTAATTAATCAACATTAATTTTGACACTGCTATCCATGATGTCCTCAGAATTAATCCTAATAATTTTAGTGAGCCCCTGACTTTTCCTCTGGCGCCACCATGAGGTAGATATTTGTGCTTCAGGGTGAAATGTCTCACCTACGTCTCGCATGAGGTCTTACACTAACTAAACAAAACCCGGGGTGTTGATGTTGGGCTGTATCTGTTATCCTTACTACGTAGTGTTTCAGATGCTGTTTTATTGCATAACAAGCACAGAAGAAACCCTTTTCAAATCATTTTGTACAAGAAAATGTATTTTGTATACCTGCCGGTGTGCCTCAAATTTATATTCAAACACAAGTCCCTTCACTATCTGACATACCTCATACACTCAAAAGACTCAGTTACTTGATATCTTGGATCACACACCTTGAACAGGGACTTATTTAACCTGGGATGCCTTTGTTCAGCAGATAAGTCATTCAAAATAATTACTAATCTCAAAATAACAAGAAACTTGACTCAACATTTGGATAGGCCCAGCAACAGAAGCAACAGAAGCAACAGAAGTAAATGGGTGAGATAAAGATAAGCCATCATTGAAGACTACACATCACATGTCAAACTAAGACTAAGACCCTGGAGAGAAAACTACAGCTTGGGCTAAGACAAAATAAGACAGATGAAGTGGCATTCTTATCATCTTATTATTATGCAATCCCCCCAAAACTACTAAAATTTCATGATTCATTTTGAGAAGGTTTCTTAGTATAATGCCTCACAAGATTATTTTAATCACATTGGGCTTCCATTTGTATACATTGCATGTGAGTGCACAAAATGTAGCCACACATTTAAAGGACTGGTGTCTGGGATTCAATGGCACTGAACACTGAAGTTGCAGATTTGAATACAGCTCAGCCTTCCAAGCCTGTAGGAGAAACTGTGGTGGCTGCGAAAGGCCCTATCTAGAGCCGGTGTTAGGTTTATCTGTTCTGAGCTACTGTAAACATGCCATGGCAGTTCAACATGGCAGCTTCCGTAGAAGAGGACCCCCTCCCTCTGTAGATATGAACGGCTCATTCTAAGGTAACAAAAACACAACAATTCTTTTTTTCAGGTATTTGTACACAAATGAAAACATACCAACAATCCAATCCAATCCAATCCAACTTTATTTGTTAAGCACTTTAAAAACAACCAAAGTTGACCAAAGTGCTGTACAGGAGAATAAATAAGACATCATAAATGTAAACAGTGATGGTGATGATGAAGACCACTGTGAGGAATATAGACAGTGATGGCGACAACACTGGAAAGTTCCCGTGGCAGACAACACGGACGAAGTCCGACGGCGACGAGCTCGATGTCCGGGCTGCAGACGCTCTTTCACACAGACGTGCCCGGCGTTACACCACCTGTTGTTTATGAGCACGGACAGTCCCCCTCCTTTCTTCATGCCGGTCGCGGTGCTGTCTCTGTCGGCTCGAACCGCCTGGAAGCCGGGAATGGTGACGTTGGAGTCCGGTATCTGCTCGTGGCCACGTTTGTAGGGTTTAAAGCTCCTCTTCTTCATCCTCCGTTTAACCCCCGCTCGGCAGCCTCGCCGTCTCCTCAGCTCCTCCGGTATGGAGGGTCTCTCTCCGGTCAGGATGCTCGGGTACCTCAGGGCGATCATCTGGTCGCGGGCGTAAACAATGCGACTCGCCGTCGCCATGGAGACCCGTGCAATCAAATAATAAAAAGTGCTCAAAATCGCCAAAAAAAGTATCAATTTCTGCCAATAGATCCTCCTAAATGTTACACAGGGGACCTTTAACATGTATTATTCAAAAGCAAGTGAGCTCAATGAAATGGTGATTAACCAGTGTGTTGTGGTTGTTCACCCTCCAGCTGAAGGTCACATTATACTCTCCTGCTCTGCTGTCTAAGAAACTCAAAATAATGACCAGTGTATACAGGGGGCGTGGAATTGGCGTTACTTTGTTTGATTGACAGGCCTGTAGCCCAATAGAATGGCTTGCTGGCGCGGAGGGGGCGGGGCACCGAGTGACCAACGTTTCCCAGTCGGGTTTAGTTTTAGAGCAGTTGGGGTTAATTTCCGCCTAGTCGTGGCCGTTTATTTTAACCATCCTTCATCTTGTCTTCACCGACAGCAGTCGTCATGTCCAACAACAATGCCAGCAGCAACTTAATTATCGCCCAAAGGGCCGTGAAGCAGCTCCGGTTAGAGGCCAGTATCCGGAGGATCAAGGTACGAACCCCACAACACAAACACGGAAGACGGAGCCGACCTGCTGTTGAATGGCGGAGACAAACTGTAGCAGCAATGACACACAGCCTGGACTCTTACATCACAGGCTCAAAAACAAGTCTCCGAAAGTTACACATAAAGTGCTTTCTGGTTGACTAAACCACAGCCGCAAACCGAGCCAGCTTCATCCGTGGTTGTAACAGCTGTGGCTCTGCTCTGGGGAAAGTGTAACCACTTTACAGCCTACCGACGGAAGTGTTTATAAAAGTTAAACCTCGTTTTCGAAAGGAAACAGGTGTACAGTCTCTCTCAAGAAAAAACAAAAACCTTACATTGTAGACACACCCGTCATGTGTTGCGCCGTTGCCTGCAAATGTTATGCAAAATAGTGCCAGTTAGTCGGAAGTTAGTACGTAAATGAGAGATTGGGTAGCGTAAGAGTGTGACAACAGGAACAAATACTGTACATGTGATCTGTTTATGCTTTCCTCTCACACACGCCATTATCATATGTCTGGCTCTGCAGGTGTCCCAGGCTGCTGCTGAGCTGAGAAACTTCTGTCTGCAAAATGCCTCCAAAGACCCTCTCCTGGTCGGGGTCCCCTCCAGTGATAATCCCTTCAGACCCCCCAAGTCCTGCTCCCTGTTCTGAGGTAGACCTGCTGTTTTCTTTCATTGAGGCTTCAGCTGGGGAGTTGAGCTTTACAATTAATTACTCAAGGGGGTGAAATTAATTACACCTTCACATTCAGTTTGCACTGGAATCAGTCTACTATGAGCCACAGAGAAGAGCTATGAAATGTCTAATATGATTATTTTCATCATAGATTCATCTGCTAATTATTTTCTTTATTAAATGATTAATTGTTTTGTCTATAACAGCAAACGGCCATCACGGTTTGGCATCTTCAGATTGCTTGTTTTGTCCAACCAGCCCACGACCTACATATATAAAATTTACATTGGTAGAGAAAAGAGAACAGCAGCCAACCCTGACATTGGAGAAGCTGAAACAAGACAAAATGACTCAAAGGAATAACAGATTATCAAAAGATTTTTAGATTAACTTTATGCCAGTTGAACAATTAATTAATGGACTAACTTGTTTCAGCTCCAATTACGTTGCTAATTAAGGCTGCTGGTTGATTTTATTGTGCTCTCCTGTACTTTGTTTTTTAATATGGTGAAACCAAAAGCAAATTCTTTGTAGAAACGTTCTGATGTAATTTTAATTAGGCTTTAGTTTAATATTGAGCTGAAACAATTCATGAGTCAATTTACACAAATTAATTTGCAAATCTTTTGATAATTGACTAATTGTTTAAGTAATTACTCAAACATTTGATGGTTCCAGCTCCTGTGAGTTTGGTGCTTTTCCTATACACTGTGTTCCAAATTATTATGCAAATATGATTTCATTTAAAAAAACATTAGAGTTTTTTGTTTTTTAATGAAAGCTTTCAATTGTGCTGCTTCCCATGTCTGTTTAGATCACTGACATCAATCTCAGACAGGTTTGTCTTTATTAGTGTGCCAGGTTAACCTAATTAATGGGAAACTACTTAAGGATGTTGTTCCACAATATTAAGCAAGTCCAAGGTTTCATGTAATATGGGGGAAAAAAAGATCTTTCTGCAGATGAAAAGCGTAAAATAGTGCAGTATCTTTCAATAGGTATGAAACCACTGGATATTTTCCGAAATATTAAGAGAGATCATCGTCCTATGAAAAGATTTGTGTCTGATTCAGAGCGCAGACGGGTTCGTTCAGACAAAGGCGTGTTAAGGAAAGTTCCTGTAAAGCAAATTCATCGTATTAAGTGAGCAGCTGTGAAAAAGCCACTGATGAGTAGTAAAAACGGTATTTGAAGTTGCTGGCGGCCGAAATACAGCTTTATGCACATCAGCAAGCCTCTGGAGTCCCAAGATCCAATCCTCCAGAGGCTTGCTGATGTGCATAAAGCTGTGTTTCGGCCACCCTTAAACAATGCCCAAAAGGAGACATGATTGCAGTTGGCTCAGAAATACATGAAGACTAATTGTCTAACAGTTTTATTCACTGATGTATGCCGTGCTACACTGGATGGTCCAGATGGATGGAGTTCTGGATGGCCACCATGTCCCAACAAGGCTGTGACGTCAGCGAGTGTGAGGTGGTGGAGGGATGTTTTGGGCTGGAATCATAGGAAGTGAGTTGGTAGGCCCCTTTTAAGGTGCCCGAAAGTGTCAAAAATGACCTCTGCAAAATATGTGGAGTTCCCTACTGCCCATTTCCTGCCATGGTATAAAAAGAAGAAGCATGCCTTCCGGAGTAAAATCATTTTCATGTAAGACAACGCACCATCCCATGTTGCAACAAATACCATTGAGGCCTAGGCTGCTATGGGCATTAAGGGAGAAAGAATCACAGTGTGGCCACCATCATCTCCTGACCTCAACCCTACTGAGAACCTGTGGAGCATCCTTAAAAGGAACCTCTATGAGGGTGGGTGGCAGTTTACCTCAAACAGCGGCTCTGGGAGGAAACTCTGGCATCCTAAAAGGAAATGCAGGCAGAAACTGTACATGGACTTACAAGTTCAATGGATGAGAGAGTTGTTAATGTGGTATCAAAGAAGGGCTCCTATTTTAATATGTAACTCAATCTTTAAAGATGTTTTTGATTTAAATAGCTTTGATTTGAGAACAATTATCCTCCCTAATGCAAAAAATACAACAGATTTCGGTTTTCAATCCTTTAGAAACTATTGAGTGTTTTGAAACTCTGCTTTGCATAATAATTTGGAACACTGCATTTTGAGTTATTTTGCAAAAAATGCCACTGTCATCATTGGTAATTGTGTTTAAAAAAATCCAGATTACTGTATAATTGTTGAGGAATAAAAAATCCTATTGACTGCCAATTATATCGACTATTTAGTAAGAAAAAGAACAAAAACAGTATATGCATAATAATTTGGAACACAGTGTAGTAATCATTAATATGATCACATGTGACAGCTGTTCAGTGGCTTTGGTCAAGCGCTTCCATAATTTAGATTAAATAGAGCTCTCCAAGTGTTGGTTATCTTTATTGTTCTCATAAAACACAAGCTGCTAACTTGCTTCAAAGTTTATATTGGCTCAAGGTAAAAGACATATTTGCTGTTTTACTACTTAGTTATTATAGAGATAGTTTGTGTCCATTTATATAACCAAAATCATGCGTGTGCAGTGGTTTAAGTCCTGAACTGTAATTGAATTAATACTTGTCCTTTAGTGAGATGCAAGGTACTTGGCAATCTTATTCTTAGTATTATATGCAAGTGCTCCTGTTGTAAAGCCAATAAAGGTCCTACACATGCACTCACTCTTATTCTGGCTGAGTGGGCCAATGTTATTTTACGTTCATACATGCTCATGGCATTTTTAAAATTTGCTATTAGTATTTATTAATGATCTCTTTTTTCTGTCAGCAGCAGAAAGAAAGGTGGAGGATTTCTGAATTTATCCGTCAAAGGCTTTCTTCACTTCTACTTGATGTTGCTGTGGATAAAAAAAACAGCAGCTCCTCTTGGGATGATGCAACATGGGACTGATGGGTTCAGGGGAGGGAACTTTTCCACTTGTTTGCCAAAACTAATGGTATCATAACTCCCATCTGTTACATTAAGGCAAAGCCAAACTCTACATGTTAAAAAAAATATATGTTATTGACACTAACTTGACTAATGATTAAGCCATTCTTAGTTGACCTAGTACTTAACATGTCCGGTCTAAATTTACTGATCTAATGGTGTCTCCAGTGTCTCCAGTCAGTAAGATTCAGCCCATGTGATTGGCTACTCAAAGTGCAACTTTCTTCTCACCTCTTGTGTTTTGTGTAAAACAATCAAACATTAATTTAAACCAGGTGCTATCAAGAATAAGAACATGTTGTGTTATATATACATTGTATTTCTTATTGTGGCCAACAGATATACCGATAGTGTTTGAGCTAAACTGATTGGTGTCTTAAACTATTCCTGTATTTGTGGCAATGGTAAAGGTGTTACTACTATTTTTGAGGTACAACAACCTGGTACAGACTTTAACCCTATCAGTGCAGTGCATTGTCAAAAAACTATGATCCCGTCCTTTTTCTGTATATATTATACAGCCTGTCAAGGTTGCTTTTATTAGTCCATATGTTCCTGTCTTTGATTTAAAAAAAGCACATCAAGGCCTTAGGTAGTGCAAATTGGTAGCAAATCTAATGTATATCACTTAAGATACACAAGTGGCCAAACAGCAAATGCTCATATATCTGTTCAAAACTTTCAAATAATGTTTGTATTTAATTAATCATGCTGCAGTGACTTGTTGCATTAATTGTTTTCCACACTGGAATCTTATTCCAATCAACCAAAACTTTTACTACTGTTAGCCTGTATGTTTCTTAACTTTGCTACTGTGGGCAACCCTTTAGAAATTAAATTACGTTTTTGGACACTGACGAAAGCTGTATGTGAATTTTTTATATATATATGTGTGTGTATTTTTATTTATTTATTTTATTTGTTTATTGCCTTTAATTGATAGTGACAGCAAAGGAGGGAGAGAGAGACCAAGGACCACATGTTGGAGTTGAACCCATGGCCACTGCAGCAAGGACTCACCATGTACCCTATGTACCCATTTCGCAAGAAAGCTGTTTGTGATTTTTCACTATCAATTATTCTTTAATACATTTTAACTATGAGACTTCATGACTCATTGTTCCTACCAAAATACACAGACTGGTCAAAGAAGACATACAGATGGGTAATACATTAAAGTAACACCCAACACAAACTGTCTTATGGTAGTAAAGGGCTGTTCCACCACAAGCATCAATGATCCTTGTCATAGGTTGTCACAGTCCCATAATCTACAGGACGGATGAACAACATTCTTCCAAAAAATATGAAAACTGATGAAATGCTATCACAAGATTCTGTGATTGTGACATTTTCAAATGTTTGTACCAATGTCCAAAACCTTAAGTGATTTTTTATAATCACATTTGGAGGTGGAACCGGTGGGCATTTGCTTTTTGTAAAATTACTTTATGTTATCCTTAATTTGCTGAATTATGTTTCTACCCAATCTGCATTTGTGTCAGATGTTTCAGATTTTTCTTTTAATTTTTATTGACATAGAGGTTGCCCCCCTTTTTTTTTTTTTAATTTTTTTTTACCAAAGGGGGTTCCAGTTTAAGGGGACACAAAGACTGAAGGATGTGCAAACATCTCCAAGAATATTGTTTGTATACAGTCACCTGAATATGGTCATAATAAAATAAATGGGGTGTTTACTTAGGCCAGAGACCTGCTGGACTAAATTTACATGGTCAAATAATGACTATGGAGGCCACATTGTCATAAATGACAATACCAGACAGGCACCATCACCATTAACTCATTCATGTGAATCACAGTGTGACAACTTTAGGGTTGTTATTTTATATACAGACAGGGTCCTGGAAGATTACTAAACTTTATTGATATTTGTAGTTTATTTGTTAGGTAAAAAACTGAAAATGTTGGTAACACATGCTTATATGAATCTTGGGATCAGTTTCATGCTCAATTTTAAAAAATTCTGAGCTAAATCAATACTGGCTGAGCATGTAAGTACGGGCGTGTCTCGGATTATCTAGTGTGCTCCACCCATCATGGATATTTCTTTGAACGTGGTCCTTTGAGAAACAAGTTTAGATAGGAACCAGTTTGAATCATTTTAACTCAAGCCCATTGTCAGTGGTAATCAGCAGAAGTGCCACCACCTGGAAATAAAAGAGGAAGAACCTGTCTGAGGCTGTTTTACTGCCCAGGTAAGGCACTAGAAACAGGAACAGATCCATTGTTACTCTAGTGATATGTGTCATTTTAAGTTTTCAAAGAACATATAATCCCATGAAAGTCTGTGTACATATTGTTGGATCCTGTTGTGGAGCACACAAGCTACATTTGCATGTGAGTAAAATGTCCTCTTATTGCTAATATGTGAATATGGCATCCAGATGGCTTCCAGGTCTGGGAAGAGGAGAGTTGGAAGAAAACCAGAGTGCTCAGGTATTACTGTCACCATTTACTAGAAATATAGATACATACGCCAGAAATGTCACACCGCTTACGCCATCTTTCTGTCTTTACTTTGTTCCCTTTCTCCCTGTTTCTCTTGTCCACTACAGACACCTATCTGCTTAGGGATCCCAGCCCCAACCCTCTGAATGACCTCTCTCACAGCGCCTCCTGGTGGGCTGACAAGGAGGAGCACAGAGAGCAAGGAGACTCACTCAGGGTGGGTGTAATTTAAGGGAATTAAATAAATTAGTGCTTGTCACTGGGGGTAAAACCAAACCTCTATCTTGTAGGAGCAACTTAAAGAGATGGATGAGCATGTGGCTAGGCTTCAGGAAATGCTGAGATGTGAACGGGCCAAAGTAAGTTGTATGCACTGAATGCAGTAAATATTTCACTATCTGAACACCTTTTTGTCACTATTACCTTGTCTACAAAATCACCTGTTCTGTCTTGCCAGTGCACTCGTCTGCAGCTACGGAGTAACCAGCAGGAGGCAGAGCTGAGGCGTCGAGAGCAGCACAGCAACAGATTGAAGGAGAGACTGTCACAACTGACTGACAGACAAAGAGAGAAAGGGCCCTGTGAGACTCACTTCATCTTGTTGAAGTTCATTTCACACCCAGCTATTTGCTTACATATCAAATATTAACTGAAACCACTCAACATTTACCATCTTACATTTTTCTATCCAGCCATAGAGGTGTTGAACTTTCCACCTGGAGGTCGAGGCAAAAGAGAACAGCCAATCAAATCATTCAGGTCTACCGCAAAGTATGTTGGTTGATATAATCATCGCTTTCAAACGCATTCTCCACCTCTTTCTAATCCTTGCTCGCTCTCTCCACCTTGCAGAAAAGAAGAGGCAACTCTCCGCCTGATGCTGGAGCGGAGAGAAGCAGAGCTCAGAGAGGTTATGAAGCTGCGTCACAGCCTCACCACTTTACTTCATGCACTCAGAGTCGACATGGAGCATGTGAGTAAAGCAAGAGAGCCTTTTAACTTAAGCGGTGACTGACAATGGGCCCAAGAGTCATTTCTCAAACTCTGTGAATACATGGTTTAAAAAGGAGAATGCCATCTCTCCACAAGGTATATTTTGTAGTTGTTCCAGAGTTTCAATTGTATCAAATATTGTTAGGTTATGGAGTCAAAGCAGAGTTTACCCAAAACCAGGTCCATTTAGGAGCCGTTCTACTGAGGAAGATCTTGAAAAACATCAAAAGCTCCAGAACAGCTACTAAAAAGACCTTGTGTTGATCTTGTTTTCTCGAGTACTGTTTCCAAGTTCAAGAATGAATTTTCAATCTTGGAAGTCAGCTGCAATCCTGAATCCAAGATAGGTATTCAACATTACAAAATGGGTCTAAACTTTCTTAAAGACCCTGTCGGATGTGGTGGATGTTCAGGATGAGGCCCAGACTGCAGGCAAAAGGCTGGATCAAGCTGAGGTGGCGCTTGGTGTTCATGTAACAGGAGGTGTGGTTCAGAGCTGGAGGCAGGTGCAGAAGAGACTGGATGATGTCCTATCTGAAGGTAAACACCAAGGTTGAACAGTGTGTAACATACATACATACATACATACATATATACATGTATGTATGAATAAATGTTATCATAGCCATGTTTTCAAGAATTGTATTGTTTTGTTACCTTTTTTAGAATGAGCTGTTTTTATCTTCAGAAGCAGCAGGTCGCCTTCCACGGAGTGCGTGTTTCTACAGTAGCCCATAAACGAACAAGCAAAAACTGGCTTTATATAGGGCATTTTGTGTTTTTTCACAAGTTTTGCAGCCTTCGTAGTTTCCTTATACACTTTACAGCCTGTTCTCATTCCTAGGTCGTCAAATACATGCACAAGCGGTGTTCAGTTCTGTTCAAGCTGCATCTTCACTGTTAGATGCACTAAATCCTAAACACTGGTCCTTCAGAAAAACTAGAGCAAAATTATTCTTCCCCCAGATTTGTCTTCAGTTTATATTTTTTGCCAAACACAAGTCTAACTACAATATGCGTTTTTTATTGACTGTGCAGGGAACGCTAGCGTTGGTACCGACCATGACAAGCTCCTGACTCGACTAGAAACTGAACTGAAGGAGAGTCAACAGCTTGTCAGATTACAACAGCAACTGCTGCAGGTATGATTGACACACACACACACACTTTCTCATATGAACTTTTGCTAGTGTCAGGCTTAGAAGTACTCTCCTTGGTTTCTGCCTGCAGGACAGCCTTGCCTCACCTGTCCCATCTGAACTGGCCGATTCCTACTTTTTGGAAGAGTGGGAACGTCTTCAGGTGGGCTGGTCAGAGCTCCATCATCAGAGGCGGACTTTTGAACGGGAGAGGCAGTCCTTCACTGATGCTGCCATCCGACTAAGCCATGAGGTGGGAAGAAAATCAGACGGACAGTCATTGATTTTAAGAAATGAATGCTGTTGGTCCCTGCTGATTTTGAAAATGTAGAAAAACTACCACAGACACAGAGTGAATAAGGTACAGCTGGCACGTGCAGCAGCTTTTGTAAGGGGGAAAGGTCTTATTTAGAGGGCACGTTGTCCAAAGGTCAGATTGTGCATTTACAGTTATTTGCTCATATGGAAGAAGCATGCTTGGCTGCTTGTTGCTCTTTAAATGTTATCTTTTGTGTCTACAGCGCCGAGATTTTGAGCAACAGAAGGCCTCTCTCCTGAAGCAGCAGTACCTTTGTGACTCCCCTCTGTTTAATAAAGGAGCACAAAACAACAACAACAACAGGAGAGAGAGCACTGCTCTCAGTGAGTATGCAGTTAAGTTTTTTTTTTTTTTTTTAATGAAATAATTTCACTACACAAGTCCCAAATGCATTGTGTGTACGTGGCTCCAGATTTCTCAGGTTTGGGGCCCACCAGCATATCTGGCTGTCTTCCCATTACTCCATCCTCCACCGAGTCAGGGACAGCTGCTGTTTCCGGATTACATCAAGGAGCAGTTCAAACCCCCAGCACTCCTGAGCTCTACTCTGCCCTCAGTCTGTCATATAACTGCAGGTTAGTCAAGTCCTGCTGTCACAGCAATAGCAGTGTATATAAAGAGGAAAAAAATGAAGCTTTAGTTGTCTTCAGTCACTGCAATGTTAGTAAAAGCTGGCCTTGTGTGGCGACGATTTAGAACCAGCAGAACTATTTATATTTAAAAATAAATGAATGAATAAATTAAATAAATTAGAAGTTGTACCAATGATGTAAAAGTTACAACCTGAGAAAGGAAGTAAATACGCAGGCGTGAGAGTTTTACACACTAAAAGTCTGACTCTGCGTATGAAAAGCTCAATTTGCACTTGAGTGATATTTTCTGTTTGCTCTTAATTTTTATGTTCTCCCACTAACCATAGCTGTTACTTTGCCATCTGTTATTCCTCTCTTCTCCTTCAGGACCGGGGAGGTTGATCACCAGTCAGAGACATGGGATGGCCGAGCAGACAGGATGGTGCACACGCCACAGGCTCCACACTTCTTAGACTGGTCCTTCTAATACAGTTTTAATGATAGGTGGTGATTGTATTTGGGAAATATCAATAAAGACTTATTCACATTATTAATAATTTAACCTACTGTGTTATTCAGACACAATGCTGTTTTGAAAACAATCTAGCCTGGCCACTAATAAAATAAAGTGACTAATTGTGACTGCTGTCCAGCATTGGGCATTTTATCCTTTGTTCCTCTATTTAAAAATGATTCCAAATCCAAGATTGCTTTTAAGACTACAGCAGAATATAAAATGCTATTGTCACTTTATAGACTATATTTGCTTGACACATTGTCCATGTATGCTTTACTTATTTCTATTCAAAACCAGGACAGTTGCTAGTAAAGATATAGACAGGAAATGATGGGAGAGAGGAGAATGGCATGCAACAGAGAACTATGAGCCTTTAGGCTATCAAGGCACCCATCAGTTTAAGTAACTTAAACCAGGAAATTTAAATGTAGCCTACTGCTAAATGTATGTAGTAATTTGAGTTGGCCTAATAATAAAAAATTGTAGGTCTACTGTGGATTCATGATGAGAATTGACAGCTTCCTTCACACACTCCTTCAAGAGAAACTGGAAAGAGATTTTGATCTCAAGGGACTTCCTTGTTAAATAAAGACAAAAAAAGCAATGTTACAATTAACTGTGCATGTGTGACAACTCATCAGGTCAGTTGTGACACTGCAAATGTTCAACCTACATATAAAAATGTGTTTTGCTTAGTACAGTTTTTATTGGATCATATTTGGCTGTCAAATTATTCTTATTTAGTAAACACTGACAGTTTAGGCCTTCATCTCCGGGGTGGTTTCTGGTCTACTGGCCTTTCTAGCTCAGTGTATTTTTACATTTTACATTTGCACTGGTCTTTCTGAGAAGCTGAAATACAATACAGGCAGGTCCATTTCATTCATTTCATTGCACATGAGGCGACACTGCCACCTAAAATACAAACTGGACTCAGTATGAATCCTACTGCTGAAAGACTATAAAATACATGAGCAAAAGAAAAAAAGCTATGTTTGCTTTAAAACATCCTGGTTCTTCAAATCTGTGTAAGGTGTCCTGATGCACAACCACAGCTCTCCCCAGCAAAAAGCACACAGCTGATGTGCTCCCTGACAGGACAGACAAACACACTGACACATGGCCACTGCATATGGGCTACATTAACTCAGAGTAGCAGACAGTATGGGTGACGAAGGAAACAAAAGTGTCATAGGAAGCTGTTGGTGGTTGTTGAGTTCACAGCGCTAACACAGACATTAAAACCCACATTCACTTTTTGACACTTGTGAGTCCTCAGTTCAGTAAACTTGCCTACCTGTGGACTGTGGAATAAAACTTGGTTGAGATGTGGTGACTGAAGGCCACAGCCTATGATTCACAGATCATCACACTATTCAGTGACCATGTATTCCATAACCTGTATGTATGGAAGCATCTACATGTGTTATGTTTCCCCACTCATTTAGTTAAAGTAGTAGCTGTCTTCAAAGCTAAATCTGCCTTTTACCATCACCTTAAGATGAATTAATTAAATTAATTCAAATTAATTTGACACAAATAGACAAACACGATTCCAAACTTTTCCTAACAAAGCTGTTTTTTACTGGCAGGGTGATCACCTCGCTTTATCTCGTTAAACCAATTATTTATTAGAGATGTATTAAAGTAAAATGGATTGACTCAACTTCTTTGATAGATAGATTAGATAGATAGATAGATAGATAGATAGATAGATAGATAGATTGATTGATTGAAGGAAAGAGAGACCAACACTGGTCCGCACGCGCGATGCGTGTGCGCATCCTGTGATTGGCTGCCGGCAGTGTGCCTCTGATCACCACTTGTACTCAATTACCAATCAAAAGTTTGTTACGAGCACTTAGTGCCACGATCCCACTGTCCTGTCCCGTTATTGCAAAGTCAACCACTCCCTCATTGAGGCTGAAAGAGGAGAGGGAAACATTTACCGAGAAGGAGCTAGAATGAACGGCATGGTTTGGGGACTCTTTCATCACCTGCCGTGTTTCATGGAGTCGGACAGCAAAAGTTTCCAGCCCTGGAGAGACTACATAGGACTGTCGGACACAATCAAAGAGATCCTGGGCCGGAACACCGTCACTGAGTCCCCACTGGCAGTCTCCAAATCTCCGCACTCAGATTCTGGTGACCTCTGCGAGGAACTGGAGTCATTGCGCATTAACGCAGTCTGCCAAAGTGGCGACCTCGGCGCAGACTGTGTGCCACATCTCCCCGCTGTATCTGCACCGCCAGGCTCTGTGGCTCATCGGCGTCCGCCTGATGCTCCGTGGTACACCGGAGACCCCTTTCGCGCCGCTGAGCCACCAGACGCGGTGAGTTCAAAGCCGCTGCTAAAACCGACGGGCTCCCGGGGGCCAAAAGAGCGCAAGAAGACCGGTCGTTTCAAAACACCAGATCCACCAGCCTTACCTCCGCCGCCCGAGCGCATGTTCTGCAGTTTCTGCAAGCACAACGGGGAGTCCGAGCTGGTGTACGGATCCCACTGGCTGAAGAACCAGGCCGGAGATGTTCTGTGTCCCTATCTGCGGCAGTATGTGTGTCCTCTGTGCGGAGCCACGGGGGCCAGAGCTCACACCAAGCGCTTCTGCCCAAAGGTGGATTTTGCATACAGCTCCGTGTACGCAAAGTCCAGACGATGAGCCAAGCAGCAGGTGGCAGGTACAAATAGACCCAGAAGGCTGAGTACTCCTTTAGTGAGTGTGTTTTTTGTTTACTAGCACGCGTGTTTTTGCTTTTGTGTGGTTTGGTTTTTATTAGCATGCTTTGGCACGTTTGTAGTAGCCTTCTATAGTGCTGATTGGAGTTATTTTCCAGCTGCTCTTTGTCCAGCCTCCTCAAACAGCGTCCGTTTGGTGATTTTTGTAAGACACTTACAAGACTGCCTGAAATATATCTATATATGTGTGTGTTTGTTTTACATATTTTTAAAACGTGGCCTCTGATGTCCAGTTCCATATTTCCTGTCCATGCATTGAAGGATTATAACACTATCAACCCTTAATAAGACGTACAGTCAACAGTAATAGCTTTACTACAGCACGCACACATCATGTGACCATGTCAGCATTTTAAATTTTTTAAAAATATGAGTGACTTGTTCTTGTTCCGAGGTGTAAATACCTGTTCTTGAGGCATGCTATTTTATTTTGAATATTGTGAATGTGGCACTTCTAAAATGCCATTTCGGCTCTTCTGACTTTTGTGTCAAAAAAATATTTGTGTGAATATTCTTGGATGCCAAAATTTATAAATGTCTAAATTGACAACATCTGTGTATTCTTTGTCATCACTCACCATTCTTTTAAATTATTGGAAGGGTTTTAAGCCAGCCATGCAGCACAGACTTACTTTCAATAATACTTACAGAATACTCAGAAGACTGATTTGATGAACACCAGCTTTATTTGGGGAGAACCAGAACAACTAAAGAACAACTAAACTATTAAACTGAACACTGTAGTTGTCAATGACACGAGTGAAGATAAATCTATCGTTTGATATTTAAACTTGAAATGCCTTCATTACCCACAAACCAACAGTAGGATGAGGGTGGCAGGGACCTGAAACAAATCCTCAGCGCGTGGAGCTCTTTGAACCTTTGTCGCTGCGGCGCAGGTTCTCCAGCTCTCTGTGAGTGGCCATGACCTTCTGACTAGAAGAGAGCAACCAGAGGACACCTTCTGATTATAAGTTTCAATAACTTCATTTTTGTCCAGATTTTAGTTTGTCAACAAGTAAAACAGATTAAAGCAGGCTGAAGATGTTAAAGGATAAATGAGTGACAGAGGATGAATAAATGATGTAGGGAAAGGGGTGTGTGTGTGTGTGTGTGTCTCAGTAAAAGTGGCTGTTTTTTAGAGATGACTGCAAAAGGCCTCAGCCACTATTAGAAGTATGGTTGATCTCCATGAAGTCTTTCTCTCTCCTGAACACTGTTTTCAGCACTTTTAGGGGTACAACTGAGTTTACTGAAAATTGTAAATCTCTTTTGTATTATATTCTAGTGTTTTAATCCCAACCTTTTTAGAAGTTTTTATAAATTACGCTGCAGTTTTTCCTATTTTTGTTGCTAGCAGCCCCTCAGATCATCCAAATGTCTTTCTGACACCTACATATTTTTCCTCATGTAAATTTGTATTTTATGCTTCAAATGTGTAACTCTAGGGATGGCAAGTTGTATTGAGGCTCCTACTAAACCCAGAGTATGTCAGCTTGATTGGTTGCACCTCAAAGCTTAACCATTCAGGGCTTGACCAGACAAGGGTCTTGGTCTTGTTAAAGGTGCCAAGCAGTCTACAGCTGACAGAGCTAAGCCACTCTTCAGCCAATCAGAGCACAGGGGGTGGGTGTGAAGAGGATGAAACTGACCAATAATATGACAAGTCAAAAGTTCAACTCTGGGAAGAGGGAGGACCGGGAGGCACAGGGAGGTTAGGAAAATAGGACAAAATGGCAAAAAAGGAGACAAAATTATAAAAAAGAGAAACATTCACTAACTTTATAGAGGAGAGTTCTCTGATGAGCCCACAGATCAGGTCTGTAGCATCAGGGCAGTCTGGGTAGCCAAGATCTTCCTCACCCTCCATCACCTCCTCCTCACTGGATGGGGAGAAAGTAACTCAAGTAGTACTAGTACTAAAATGAGAAGGTATGTTAACTTCTATTACATAGAAAATAGGAATCTCTTCTTGAAGATATAGAAAGAAATTAAACAAAATCAAAAATTATCTGAATTCACTGCATATTAATCAGATTTCTTAATAAAATGTAATACTCTGTCCTTGTTTACAATCTCTAGTGGGTCAAATGAGCTCCTGCTTCCTTTCAAAGTTTTTTGTGTAGCCTGTCAAGCAGTAAGTTTAAGTCATGGTGGGTTTCCTAGGCCTCAAATGAGCTGAAGGCTGAGCTTGTTTACACTGGGCGTCTATCTGAAGAGCCAGTCTACAAAGGCTCACGTTTTCCCGACCTTCCCTTTCTTCTCACCACAGTCAAGGTTCTTGATTTAACCCCCTTCCCTACTTCCTTACGCCAGAGAGATGGTGTTCAGCTGCGAGTCCGACACGTAATCCAGGTACCCGGATCCAAACGGGTCAGGGGTGTCCACGGTCTGAGGGTGCTCAGTGTTCAGAGTAGAAGGACCAGGTTCATCATCAGGATCACACCATTTCTGTAGTTGTAAGATGACATAATCTTCAGTATAAATACGTACATGGTAAAAAATAGTGAAAAATGCTCATCACAAGTTCAGACAGTCATCAAATAGCTTTTCTTCTTAAATTGGTTTGGCACAATTATGTGTATTATATGACACTATAAGCAAAACAAAAAGCTGCTTTGATGAAAAAGAAAACGTTATGAGCTTTACTAAACTGGTATTTTAAGTTCTGGTATGACCACTCACACTGTCTTTCCTCTCTGAGCCACTGGGTGTCACTGCAGCCTTGCAGAGCTCACCAGAGCCACAGTTCAATAATCCCGACCGGGTGTCTGTGGATGAAGCAGCTGCTTCAGCTCTGTTGCCGTCTCCAGCATCATCGGTCAACTCTTCCTTCTTCTCATCTCTGGTCCTGGTCACATTATTCACATGCAGAGGGGCAGCCTGGATTTCATCCTGGTTCTCAGCCCCCTCACTTTGAGTTGGATTAGAGTAAAAACTGATGGCAGGACTTTGGACAACTACTGCTGACCCATATTCCCCTTCTTTCGTTTGTTCTTGAGGTTTTTCAGCTACAATCTCAGCTGCACCTCCCTGCTGTATTTCCTGTTGCTCATCATTCCCTAAAAGCACCTCCTCTGCAGGTGGATCTGACTTTGTGTCACCAGGCACTGTGCCTCCTTCAGCCTCACAACTCTTCACTTTTGAGCAGCCTGGATCACACTCAGTACTGGTGCCAGTGGAGGTAGTGACAGCCATGTGGTCTTCAGTTTCTGCCCTGTATGTTAACACACAATGTTATTATCACCAAATTCGTTTCCCATTGTTATTATAATCTAGTACATTTGTATATTTCACTTGACTAACTTGAGTAGCACATGACATAACTCTTTCCACTATTGGTCGTTGCCGGGATAATGCAAAAATTAAACTTCACAGCTAAAATGTGAGATATTTAATATGTAGTTTGGGTTCTTCACTACATTATTCTGACCTGTCATTGCCTCCACAGTGACTAGACTGAAGTTTTAACAATTCCTCCTCCTGCTCTGTGACACTGCTTGCTGGTATGGATAGTGAGGATGATAAGGAGGGTGAAGATATCTCTTCCTGAGGCACAAGACCAGCTGTGTTATTGCAAATCAACTCAACTCTCTCCGGTCCGTTCAGCCCGTTTTCACGCTTCTGTGTCTGTAGAAAGTGACTCCGCTCCTTCTCTGTCAGACCACACATGCCCATCCTTCGCTTCTTTTTGGCCGGTAACCCCACTGCTGCCTCCTTTGTGACTTCCTTGATGTCAGCCATGTTCACGTTGCTGGTTTCCTGGTTTCTCTCCAAATCACACTGAGAGTTTTCCTTTGCACCCAGTTGCTCCTCCAGAGCAGTTGCACAGGATCCATCAGCCTCTTCAGAGGTTGGCAAGAGGACCTGGAGTTGATCGGTGCATGTTCGAAGTGGTGATCTGTTACCTTCCTCAGCAGTTATTTCCTCCTTGTCTTTTCCTCTCTGGTTGGCGACATTATCAGTATGTACTCTAAAGCCTTCCAGCTGAGAATCATTGTTGGGTCTGGTGACAGTAGTCTCTTCTTGCTCTTCAACAACATTTCTTAAGTTAACATTTGCTGCTTCTGCGTGCTTTTCTTCTGTGACAGGATCTTGTTTTGTGATACAGGACTGTTCTTCTGCCTGATGCTGCTGAGTAGAAATCCCAGTAGATTCCTCCAGAGGAGACTGGTTGCACTGTAGCATTGTGACATCCACTGCTGTATTATTTCCTTCTGTGTCCTGACATAAAAAAAAACAAAAAACTTGTCAACAACTTTGCTGGATGAGCTTTAAATGTAAGTTCTGTTTCAATTACCTTAATCACCTGGTGGTGGAGAGTAGCATCAGTCCCAGAAGTTTCATCACTTGGACAATCCCTCTTCGTTGACCTCAGTGACCGAGGCTGGGATGGAGCTGATAGGGACCAACTCAATTAATCGAAGACTCAGATGGGGATTAACTGCAGCTGAGGAACTCTTGACTATACTAATGATATAGTGAAGCAATTGTGGTCTTTCAAAAACATGAAATAATCATTATTAATTTTCAACAGTAACACAGCAAAGTTAGCCCATATTATGGGATAATAGCATTTCCTTTACCACTGTTGTTTTTCTTCGCTTTTCCTTTGGCCATCTCCTCGTCCTACAGAATAAAAAGAAGTGAAGGAAGGAAATAATACAGCCTATAGCTGCTGTATGGTTGTATCTTGATGGTGAGCTTACAGCCACCAACAATAGTTTTTCTTCTCAAAACATTAAATGTAGTTAGTGGGCAGCTAGCTAACGCCAACAAAGTTACACTGACTGAATAAAGAAACGTACAGCGGCCTCTAAGTGTGAAATAACTACTGTAAGCTGATTGAGTTCATTCCCAGGAACTGCTAGACAGCGACACACTGTCGATTCATGTTTTATTCATACACACGGTGGTACCACACATAGACACACACACACACACACACACACACACACACACACACACACACACACACACATAGACACTATACCACAACCCACCTGAACCCGGGACTTGTTGTTTTACGTTAGTGATGGGCGTGTTCCGTCTAGCCGTAAAGCGCGACGTGCGTTGCCATTGGAGACGCTATGTAGGAAGTAAATTCCGCCGTTCTTGTTGCTTAAAAACACCTGAGTGCTTCTACATGATCCGTCTTCTCTCTCTTGTCACTGAGCAGTGTTCGCCTCACCGACCCGAATATCTCTAACACGTAACGTTAACAACCCCGGGTCCGTGAAACTGACGAGGTAAATATAAATATTTATATATTATATGTTATATATTATATGTATACTCATTAGCTGCGTAAGAATTCAGTGTTGTGCTAGCTGTTAGCTATCATTAGTAGAGAGGCTAACTCGATACAAGACAGTTTGGATCGATACGCAGAATGACTTCATACAGCGAGCAGTGGACACTATCACTTATCGACACCACCTTTGTCCTCTTTCTTTATTGGCGCTAATAATTGAACCCCTCGTTAACTTCTAGGTAACGTTGGTAACGGTCCATGAGTCGCAGTCGAAACCCCCCTCCCCGGGGTCAAGGGGCAGCGCGAGCCAAACAGGTAACCCCCGTCATGTCTGACGCTGAGATGTGTGAATGATAACCACTGCTGTGTCAACAACAGGTCTGATTCAGCAGCTCTCTCCCTGCTCTGTGTCTGTCTCACTGTGTCTCAGATGGGGCTGCTCCTTGACCTGTCCCCGGACGGAGGGATGAATGATGAGGGCAATGATGAAGAGCTGGAGGCAGAGCTGATGAATCTGGTGGGTGGAGGAGGTGGAGGAGGTGGAGGTGGGAGATCGCAAGGGAAGAAAGGTGAGGGCAAATGTGAGAAAGTTGTTTCTTTCCATTATCTGATGCGTAGATATCTACCAGTGTGAAGCACAGTTCAGTCCTCTTTCTGTCTCATCCATATGCTCGTGCTTACATCTGAATGTTGTTTAGGATTCAGTGCTGTTTGTGATGTATTTATTTGTCCATGTTCAGCTCCTGTTCCCATGGCTGATATAGAGCGAATGGCAGCTCTTTGTATGAAAGATCTGGATGATGAGGAAATTGGGGATGACGATTTGGATGATGATGATCTGCTGGTAACACACTCGTTCCGTTTGGTATCTCTGTTAGAGCTGAAACAATCAGTTTCATTGAATAGTCGACAGAAAATTAATTTAAACTATTTTGACAATGTGCTGAATTAGCTGTTTTTTCTTATAACTTACTTCTAACAAACTGAATGGATTGGTTGAATAAAACAAACAATTTCAAGACATCATCATAGGGGCTGAGAAATTGTGAAAGCCATAATGTCACTATGTTTTGACATTTCACAGATTAAATGATTACTTGATTGAGTGGAAAATTGAACAGATTACCTGACAATAAGAAAATATATATCTTCTATATATCATTTCTAATTCCTTTATAATAAAATGATGAAGCTCAGCTGTTGAGGATTTCCTCTGAACTGTGTACATATCTGTGTCTCTGTGTGTAGGCCGAACTGAATGAGGTTTTAGAGGATGATGAGGAACAAACTCCTGCTCCCACACCTCCTGCTGTCACTCCGACTGCTCCCAAAGTGAGCGTCACATCCCACTCTACTCCTCCTGCTGCTCCCAGTGGTGCAACTGGGATGGAGTCCAGCCTTTTGGAGCGCATTGAAATGTATAAGACTGCCATTTCTAATGCTAAGGCTGCGGGCGAGACTAGCAAAGTTCGAAGATATGACCGTGGGTTGAAGGTAAATAGTAGACTAAACAACTTCAAGTTGATTCCCATACTTTGCCTTCATTCTAATCTTTTGAAATGTCTTATTGAACATCTTTTACATGATTCTAAGACTTCATACTGTTTACAATTTGTCCTCTGTAATGTTGAAAACATATGTTTGTGATTTAACCTTAGACACTGCAGTCCATGTTGACATCTGTCAGGAAAGGAAAGCCTGTCAATGAGGAGGAGATCCCGCCTCCTGTCGCCCTCGGTGGAAAATCCAACGTCCCAGCCGAGTCTGAACCGATCAAGGAACGAGAACTGCCCCAGCCCACACTGTTGCCCTCTCCCTCCACAAATCAGAAACCTCTAAGAGAGGCTGCGCCGACAGCTCCTAATACGAAGCCGGTTCATCTGACCCCGCCTCAAAAGACCACTGCTGCCATCACCCCAGGAACACCTGCCATCTCTCCTCTCACCCCCAGTCAGCCTGATGCACAGCACTCGGGTAAACACACAAATGATAATATACAAAATAGTCTTACACTTCTTCTCTGTACTGTGCTGAATGTGTAAGAGTAAAGATGTGGTGAGATTGGTCCACTCTAATAAATATTTTAAATTCATCAACTCGCTGAAAATGTCATTAATGTTATCAGATTAGTGCTCATTGTCACTCAGAGGAATTCAGTGATTATTGGTTGTCTTATTTATTAAAAATGTGCAACTATTGAAATCAGTTGATTAATAGATTAGTAGATTTATGCAATGACGGTGTATCATAGCACAACCCTACTGTCAAATGTCTTTATCTCTACAAGAGAACCGTCTGTTGTTCTTTTCATTCAGCACATTTGGCGTCACGCTTTGTCTTCTCATAGTATATAGTATATATGATGCATTTACTGTTGTTGCTCACTTTTCTTTGTTAACAACTGATCAGATAGCAATTTCCAGTGTGTAACATTTAAGAGAATCTGTTGTCAGAAATGGAATATAATATTCATAGTTATGTTTTCATTAGTGTTTAATCACCTGAATATAAGAATCGTGTTTTTGTTACCTTAGAATGAGCTGTTTTTATCTATTGTCCAGGACGGACAAAGACTGTAAATATCAGACAGATACTGTAGATAACTGGCTCTAGATAGGTCCTTTAGCAATTTTCTCAAGTTTCGTGGCCACCGTAGTTTCTCCTACATGCTTGTAATGTGAGTGAGGCAAGGGTATTGCAATCAGCAACTACATTGCTACATGACACTTAATCCTACATACTGCACCGATAAGACATTTCATATTCATTTTGTCTTCCCTCCATTCAGAGGTGAAACAGGCCGTACTGACCAGACAGAAGGAGTATAAGATGGCCGCCATACACGCCAAACAGAGCGGCAACATTGACCAGGCCAAACAGCACTATCTCACCGCCAAGGTAACCGAACCAATGTCGGTGTTATCATATGAATAAATCTATTTGTTTGTATAAGTATTTATAGAAAAAGTCAATCCTAATAGATTTGACCTCCCCTCATGCAGAAGCTGGACATGCTGCTACAAGAAATGGACAGCGGCAAACCAGTAGACCTGAGCTCACTACCTCCTACTCCTGGTCAGTGTAAACGCTTTAAAGGAACATTTAACGTAACGCATTTGTTTAGATTGTCACTGACTGTAGCCCGATTTCTTTACAGAATGGAGCTAAGTGGAATTAATTTCAGCACTGTGTAATTCAGTTATTGGGTCTCTAGTTGTATCCATGTCTGTAACATATATATATTCTTACTAAGATAACAATGTTCTGGAAGTACTATTTATAAGCATGTCACACACCTGGTCCTACACTTGCGCTGAATTAAAGACCCATATCCTGCTTAGTTATAGCTCCTATAGATGCACTCATAATGTCTAAGGGCAGCTAATAATGTATTATTAAAACACAAAACTGGCACTGCACTGGCATATATTTTCTTTAGGTTGACTAATCTTGAATAAGATTAGGAATAAGAACACATTTATCTTCCAGCTCTGTTACACTCTTTGACACTCCTTTTTTTTCCCCCAGTCTCTTTATTTTCTCTTTAGTGCAATCGCTCCCTTCTGATCACTCTTTTCTTGAATGGTATCATATTTGTTGATATTTCTGAGGCCTTTATACTACAATACTGTTGTCACTGCAGTTTACTAAACAAATTCTGTTTTCTTGGTTTGGATGCTCAAACTGGTTTCAAAACACTTGTCTGATAGAACATAGATGATCTGTACTGATGGTCTCACAACCTCCCTTTTAATAACCAAGGGGGTGCCAGAAGATTCTGTGCTTGCTCTATAATCATTTACAATTCAATTACAATTCAATACAACAATTGTTATTTCTCCAACACTGACTTATAATAATATACATATCTTGCATGCACATTGCTCTTTTCCAACTCAAGCCTCATGTAGAAGTCTGCCTTTAACATTCTACATACAGTGCCTTACAAAAGTATTCACCCCCCCTGGCATTTTTTGTGTTTTGTTGCCTCACAACCTGGAATTAAGATGGATTGTTTGAGGCTGTGCATCATTTAATTTACAGAACATGCCCACAACTTTGAAGATGTATATATTTTTTATTATTATTGTGAAGCAAACAACAAATAGGACAAAATAACAGAAAAAGTCAATGTGCATAACTATTCACCCCCCTAAAGTCAATACTTTGTAGAGCCACCTTTGAGGCAATCACAGCTCGAAGTCGCTTTGGATAAGTCTCTATGAGCTTGCCACATCTTACCACTGGGATTTTTGCCCATTCCTCCTTGCAAAACTGCTCCAGCTCCTTCTAGTTGGATGGTTTGCGCTTGTGAACAGCAATCTTAAGTCTGACCACAGATTTTCTATTGGATTGAGGTCTGGGCTTTGACTAGGCCATTCCAACACATTTGCAGGTTTCCCCTTAAACCACTCAAGTGTTGCTTTAGCAGTGTGTTTGGGGTCATTGTCCTGCTGGAAGGTGAACCTCCGTCCTAGCCTCAAATCACGCACAGAGTGGTACAGGTTTTGCTCAAGAATATCCCTGTATTTAGCACCATCCATCTTTCCATCAACTCTGACCAGTTACCCAGTCCCAACAGCCCCACAGCATGATGCTGCCACCACCACCATGTTTCACTGTGGGGATGGTGTTCTTTGGGTGATGTGATGTGTTGGGTTGGGTTTGCGCCAGACATAGCGTTTTCTTTGATGGCTGAAAAGTTCAATTTTAGTCTCATCAGACCAGAGCACCTTCCTCCATACATTTTGGGAGTCTCCGACATGCCTTTTTGCAAACTCAAAACGTGCCATTTTTTGCTGAAAGTAATGGCTTTCTTCTGGCCACTCTGCCATAAAGCCCAACTCTATGGAGCGTACGGCTTATTGTCGTCCTGTGTACAGATACTCCAGTCTCTGCTGTGGAACTCTGCAGCTCCTCCACGGTTACCTTAGGTCTCTGTGCTGCCCTCCTTGCCCGGTCCGTGAGTTTTGGTGGGCGGCCGTCTCTTGGCAGGTTTGCTGTTGTGCCATGTTCTTTCCATTTGGTTATGATAGATTTGATGGTGCTCCTGGGGATCATCAAAGACTTGGATATTTTTTTATAACCTAACCCTGACTTGTACTTCTCAACAACATTGTCCCTTACTTGTTTGGAGAGTTCCTTGGTCTTCATGGCAGTGTTTGGTTAGTGGTGTCTCTTACTTAGGTGTTGCAGCCTCTGGGGCCTTTCAAAAAAGATGTGTATATGTACTGATAGATCATGTGACACTTAGATTGCACACAGGTGGACATCATTTCACTAATTATGTGACTTCTGAAGGTAATTGGTTGCACCAGAGCTTTTTATGGGCTTCATAACAAAGGGCGTGAATACATATGCACATGCCAATTTTCTGTTTTTTATTTCTAAAAAATAGTTTTATGTATATATTTTTCTCATTTCACTTCACCAACTTAGACTATTGTGTTCTGATCCATCACATAAAATTCAGATTAAAAAAACATTGAACTAAAGGCTGTAATGTAACAAAATAGGAAAAAAGCCAAGGGGGGTGAATACTTTTGCAAGGCACTGTAACCTTGAACTTGTACTGAGGGCTGCCATCTATACATATATTAGTACTGAAATTGAAGTCATTAAATATCTAGGAATAGTTTGACTTTGAAACCTAATGTGGAATAATTGACACAGAATCTGAAGATAAAAATGTGTTTTTTTTTTATGTCAAAATTTTTGTTTAGTGTTTTGAAAACTGGAACCGTTGTGCAATCGCAGAGATATCTTGTGTTCTAATGTTGCTCATTTCACCTTAAAACTACTTGATGCAGATTACCACTGTGTCCTGTGCTTCATTACAGGGAATACATACTTTACTCACCACTGTGTATTATATAAACAAAGTTGGCTGCTCCTCACATAAAACAAGAAGAGAACTACTACACCATCATTTCTGTTAATAAACGGGCCTGGCTAACTCTTGATACCATATGGGTAAATACTGGACTTGGGACAATAGCCATCCAGAACCTTTACACCATATAAATAGATTCATTACAAAGCTTTATTGTGTGTTTTATTTCTTCTGCCTACCTGATTAAATAAAGGTTATAATAATAATAACCCATCTCCACCCTTCCACAGGAGATGTAGTAGCAGAACACTGTGCACCTCCTCCTCCTCAGTCTTCCTCTAAATCTACTGCTCCTGCTGCCCCTGCTGCTCCTGCACCCGCCCAGGTGGCCACTGCCGGTAAGACCCCAGTAGCCCCGATACTTCCTTCTGAGTAGGGGGCAGCATAGGGCAGATATTAAAAATGCCACATGCTGTTTTGAATTTTAAAAATAAAGTGTGTGTGTGTGTGTGTGTGTGTGTGTGTGTGTGTGTGTGTGTGTGTGTGTGTGTGTGTGTGTGTGTGTGTGTGTGTGTGTGTGTGTGTGTGTGTGTGTGTGTGTGTGTGTGTGTGTGTGTGTGTGTGTGTGTGTCCTGCAAAGACCTACCTGCTCCCAGCAGTTTGGCTGAAGCCCTGCAGCAGAGGATGGACATATACAAGTCAGCAGCAGAGGGAGCCAAGAGCAAAGGAGAGGATCGTAAGGCTCGCATGCACCAGCGCATTGTCAAGGTACAAACCATTAACATATTATTTAAAATACTATTTTCAAAGCCAAATAATTGTTTTTCTTAAAACTGATGTATAATGCATACTTACAGCTGAAAAAAATTCAACTAAGGCATTAGATATTTTCAAAGATACAGCTATGTGTGATGCACCTTGTATTCATGGCTCAGTGCCTCAGTGTTTGGTGGTGTGTTTTTTTTGCTTTCCCTGAATAACTGATGTATGACTCACTTTATTTTTACTGTAAATACCCTCTGTACCATTGACTGTAACTACCACTATTGCTCATTTTACCTACCAGAATAACCTGCAATAATGTCTGTCTTGTTCTCTGAGAATTGTTCAGAGGCAATAAAATAGGAAACCTCTAAATTGAGTAGATTTATCTGAGGTAGGGTACATGGATGAAACAAAAACATGAAAGAAAGGACAAAAAATAGGTGTGAAGCCTGTATATTGTTTTTTATGACATTGATTTCCATGTGGGAGTTATGCTTTTGTATTTTCTCTAAGCATTTATTGTTTTTTGTTTTGTTTCTTTATATGCAAGAAAGCCACTTTGTATGTTGGCTGACCCCCTCCTGTTTTTAAGTAGGGTGGGAATGGAAAAAAAATTGGTGTAAAGTGCATGTAGTAAAGTATCTGAGGGAATTCGTCTTTAATAGTATTAATATCTCCTCTTTTTTTAACAGCAATACCAAGATGCCATCAGAGCTCACAAAGCTGGACGACCTGTCAGCTTGTCAGACCTACCTGTGCCACCAGGTACGTTTCTTCAGGTGGGTTCAGGATAACTTGCATCTTATAATTACAGTAAGTCACGTGTGTGTTGCTCTTCTAGGCTGCCCACCACTTCAGGGCTCAGAGGGGGGTCAGCAGAGCTTCCTGGGTGTCCTGGAAACGGCTATGAAAATAGCTAATCAGGATGGAGATGGAGAAGATGAAGAAGAGGATGAACAAAGAGAGGCTGCCAAGGTAAAAATAAATTAATAAAGGCACTACCAACTGGTCAAGTTGTTATTGTGCAGCCAAGGAATATGATTGGTTGCCTTTTAACAGAAGCTAGCAAGGTTTTATTGTTTGTCTTGCCAGCTTCTGTAGTAGGCTATTGAATCATTACTCTTTTATCTGCTGCACCTCTTGCCTATTCCAACAATTTCATGCTTGCAATCACAGATACTTTGGTTATTTACAGAACAGTAGTTGCTATTAAATTCAAATCTTTATTTAAACTCAAAGAACCATTGCTCTCATTTACAAAGATGTGATGTGATGGAGTTACAGGCAAATTAAAATTAAATGGGGAAATTCGGACCGTACTTGGGGAGCTTTAATTGATCTAGATTTAGTGAAGACCTAGCTGTTGAAAGTAGTTTAAAATGTTAGGTCAAGCTCACAAGCGTCTCAAGCTGTTGCAGTTTATGCAAACAATACTGTATCTTGAAAACTGAATGTATGTTAATTGCATTTGTGTGATGATCACATTCCTCATATTTCCTTTCTCCTCAGCCTGCAGTGCGTCCACCGGCCCAGAAAGCAAAGTCTCCAGCTCCTCAGGCCCCTGGAGGCTCCTCAACTCTAAAACTGGGTACTAAAGGTGTGTTCAGAGTTTGGGGGGGGAGAATGTGCATGTATGCCTGCCTGCACATACAAAATGTGTCATACAGAGTTTCACTTCTTTTCTCTTAATTATCCTTGTAGCTCAGCAGCAAGTGGATTTCCTGTTGCTAAGGCGACAGGCTTTTTTGCGTGCAGCACTGCGCTCCAAACAGATGAAGGTAAGACCTGGACTTTTTTTTTTTTTTTCTTTGCTGTAGATAGATTCCCTGCCGTCTTTGTATTTTTGTAGGTGCCGCTGTCTGTTGTTTAATTGGGTTCTTGAACATCTGTTGTGTTGCTGTGTTTTGATTGATGCATCTGCTGCTGTTTGGTTGTGTGTAGGACATGAACGGAGCAGGGCAGCACCTCAGACACGCCAAGGGTCTGGACCCCATGATCACTGCTGCCAAGTCTGGTCTTCCTGTTGATATCACCAAGGTTATAATTATATTCTTATGTGCAAATGAATGACCTGGGAGATACAGAGCAAGTTTGTGTGTGTTGAACATCTTGTCGCAGGAGCAACCAAATGTGTGAGGTGTGTTAACACAAAGTGTGACAGAAATAGAAGATGGGAGGAAGGAAACATGGGGTGAAATCAAAACACCTTTGTGCTCATCCTGGTCACACCCTCTGTGTGTTTGTGTCTCACCTGTGTGTCTATCTGCATATTTTCAGAGTCATTTTGCTGTTCATATTTCATATAGTTGCCACTTTTCCCATATGACTTTCTTTCATTTTGCCTCACTTTTATTTAACATCTTTGCTTCATATGAGCCATGTATTTCTCTCTGACTCAGTCCCACAGCTTAATTACCAAGAATATTATTTTTGTGCCTCTGTTAGTTTGTCTTGTGGTCTGTCTGCAGAATATTATACAAACTTATAAATAGATATTCATCATTTCTAGTGGAAAGATAGAAAGATAGGCAAAGGAACAGCTGATAAGATTCTGGTGCATCTGTATCAGGGGTTCTCAAAACTGTGTTGCAAATCATAAAGGATATTTTAAGGGACAAAAAAAATCGATTCAAATTGAATTTAAGAGGTAGTAGTTTTGTCTTTTGGCATAACGGCAAGTTGGCAGATATTTGGGATCTCCGAGTTCCCTCTTGTTTGTATTTTATGTCTAAGAACAGTTTGCTTTCTTTGTTTCTCACCGCATTTGTAATTGTGTCCTTCCTGACAGATTCCCAGTGCTCCAGTCAGTGAGGAGGACTACACCCTGGCTCGCTCCCGTACCTCCCCTCTCTCTCCTCGCTCCAGTGAACAGTACCATGGCCTTATGGATCTTTTGCGGAAGCAGCATGAGGTCAGGACGACCTACCTCTCCCTTCTTTTTCTTTTATGTACATTTATTGTGAAACCTCCTAAATCTTGCGGTATATATGTAACTGGCTTAGAAGTTATGATTATGGCTTTTGTTCATCACTTTGTTTGGTTTTGCAGCTTTTTAAATAGACAAGTTTAAATTTGTTCTGTATGCTTTTGTCATAGGTTTTTTTTTTTCTTTTCTTACTCACACCTTCTTTGTTCTGTATCTCGATCTACAGAAATGTCTGGGCTACACTCAGCAGTTCATACTTATGGGCAATGTGGCTGAGACTCTGAAGTAAGAGTAATTCCTCATTTTATGTTTCTATATGTGAATTTTATTACACATGTTATCTGCAGCTGTGCTGGAATTTAAACCTACTTAAAACTGTATTTGGATATTTGGGGATCCGGCCAATAACACGTTTATTATATTAATAATTAGATAACAGGTTGTGCGGAATTATTTTCATCATCACAAAAACATCACACTTAGAGATCAGTTGATTGATTATTAATACTACATATAAAATGCCATCATTATTTTCCAGTGCCCAAAGTCTTCAAATTGCAAATCTTGACCAACAGTCATAAGTGCAAAGAAATGCATTTTTTATTACATTAGTAATTAGTAATTGGTTAGATTTTTTTTATCTTCTAAATTGCCGACTAATCTATTTTTAATTGTCTTCCATTAATATACTTATGGATTTATTCAACTACAAAAGTACAAAGTTGTGGAGTGTGGCATCACTCTAGCAACAGACTGTAATTTTACTGATTTTCTTCATAGACCATGTCATTACCATAATACATACAGTGTAACTTTGACACCACACTGCATATTTTGCATGTTGTCCTCACACATTTTCACATACAATTAAACTGTCACATATTATGTGATGCATTACACTTTCTTCATTCCTGAAGAGTCTGCATCACTCCCTTTCTCCTATTTATGAGGTTATCATGAGATATGATCATTTGTGTCTTTGTTTCTCACCAGGTTTGAGAGGCTAGCTGAGGAATGTATGAAGAACATAGAAATACTGAAGAATTCCTACGCCAAGGGCCAGCCAGTGCCCAAGTGCCGCACGGAGGAGAGGACCTTCAACACTGTCAAGTCAGCAACAAACTCATAGATTATAGATTATGTTATAATGTTTACCCTTTTATGCATGTGCTTCAGAAGGACCAAAATAACTTAGGTCAACACATTTTATCCATGGTAGAGGCCCTAAGGATGATTAGTCTACCACTTTATATCTAAACAACTATCAAATTGATTAATCATCATATTTTGTACATGTATTCATGATTTCCAGAGGATGAATCCTAATAACTTGGTGATTCCTGACTTTTCCTGTACTGCCACAATGAGGTTGACATTTTTGTCTTTTGGAGTGCCATATAATTTGGTTCATATTTATTTCCACCTCAGAATGAATTGTAATGACTTTGGTGATCCCCTGACTTTTATTTGTTCAATACTTTGGTTTATGACTAATCAGAACTCTATTTAGTTTTAATTAGCAAATGATAGCATTGTTATTGTGAGCATCTTAGCCTGCTGCTAGCATAGCTGTAGACTCTTAGTCTTGTTTGTTAATAAATGCCCAATGTAACCACATTTTCTATTTTACTTACTGTAAAACATTGTATTCTTTGTGGTTGCTACATGACCTGTCTGTAAGCCTTTCATAACAATTATAACATTAGCTATGTGGCTCTGTCGTGACGATCGCGTTCCCTGACTAGAGCAGTAAATGAGTCAGAGTGACTCACTATGACTCACTCTGGCTCTGCTCCAGTATCCTACCAAGCTAACCGCTAGGTGACTGTGGCAGTGACTCGTCCAACAAATCAGGATTTTTTGGCTCTCGTTGATGCTGACTGGTTGTTGTCTGTCACTCGTGATGCTGTTTCTGAATGGTCATGACTCCTGTTTTTGTTATGTAGGATCCACTCCAGCCTGACAGCTAGTGAGCTGATGCTGTACATCATCAGAGGCATCAACCTACCGGCTCCATCAGGTACTGAAGGCTGGTTTGTATCTTTTGAAATAACCAGGCAGTAATGTGTGTCAAATGTATGTTCACTCTCGCCTACCTCTCGCTCTGCCTCCAGGTGTCTCACCTAACGATCTGGATGCCAGTGTGAAGTTTGAGTTTCCTTTTCCAAGTGCGGTAAGACTCTTTCACACTCGGAGAGTAGATTATGGATATTTCACTCTGTTTATATCGAGATGAATTTTAATGCATTCACTTATGCGTGTGTAGGAGGAGGCTCAGAGGGACAAAACCAGCACAGTAAAGAGCACCAGCAGTCCAGAGTTTAAAGAGCAGTTCAAACTCCAAATCAACCGCACACATAGAGCGTTCAAACGAGTCGTCCAGTCCAAAGGAGTCAAGTTTGAAATCATCCACAAGGGGTAAAAACCACCATGGCTTTGGGGCAGTATAGACAGAAGCTTCCCTCATGTTATATGCTGTGAATGTCACGTCCTTTATGCTTTTGTCAGTTGTATTCTTCTCTTACTCTATTTACAGAGGCCTGTTTAAGACAGACAAAGTAGTGGGCACTGCTCAGCTGAAGCTAGAGGCTCTAGAAAACCACAGTGACATCAGAGAAATCATAGAGGTGAGCGTTGATAACATGTAAAATACACACACACACACACACACACACACACACACACACACACACACACACAACACACACACACCAGATCATCTAATGGTGTGTATGTGTTTCTCAGGTGATGGATGGACGTAAAGCTACAGGTGGCAAGTTGGAAGTGAGGGTGAAGATCAGAGAGCCGTTATCAGGAGTGGATCTCCAGCCGGTGACAGAAAAGTGGTTGGTTCTCGATCCTGTGTCCTCCCTTTCTCCTCCAGAAAGACAAAAAGAACGGGTAAGTAAAGTTTTCAGTTCCCCTGACCTGCATGTGTGTAGACTGTGGAAAGAAACTGAATCAGAGCAAATAGCTGTGACTGTAAAGAACTCGCAAACTGCTCACAAAGGCTTCAGCCGGCCAGGTCAGGTTCACACTTAAGATCCTTGTTGTGTGAAATTTCTGTGTGAAACTGAGCCAACGGGCCATCCTAAAAATGATGTCATATATGTCAGAGTCAATATGCTCTAAATAAAGTGCTAGTAAGATCATCAGACGGCATCTGAAATCTCCCCCCACACCATTTCCAAGTTTGGAATTAAGGGCTGCAGTTTTTATAACATTTCTCAACCAGCGATCTGACAATCATTCCCCATGGAGGTTTGAAATTAGGATTGAATGTGTGTGTACTGCGTCTTAGTCTTTACACCGTTCCAACAATCACCAACTCTGCTGTCTCTCCCTCTAACAGAGTTAGATATTCTTCACACAGTTACTTTTTTGTGTTCTAGTGTGACAGCATTAATGCCTCTGATAACTTCATTATCACCATCACAACAATTATCACTTCTCGCCCCTGTGCATTTCCATCCACCTGTTTTTATGCGTTATTTCAATTTGTGCATAAAAAGACTGAAAATGTACCTAACCAGGGAAAGGGGATTGCAGTATAACAGCTACACGTCCGATATACATTATATCTATTGCATTCCTGACCGTATGTAACAATGTTTATCTGTATGGTCCCTTTTAAATATACAAATCAGTAAATAAATAAATAATATTTATTTTTCAAAATAATAATCGATTAGTCGCCAGCTATTAAATCAATTTTGTTTTCTATTTTCTATTTTGAAAATTGATTAATCGTCATTTTTTGGGGAAAAAAATTCTCTCACCTCCTGAAATGTGCATATTTCTGGTTTTGTTAGTTATCTATTATGGTAAACTGAATATCTTTGGGTTGTGGCCAAAACAAGATATTTGAGGACATCTTGCTGGGCTTTGGGAAAAACCCAACCCTATTTGCAAGCCCTATAAATGCAGGAGTAACAAAAGCTAACTTTATGGGTACAAAAGTATATTGACAGTATCAGGTCAGTGAAGTCTCAGTGGGTGTGTTTGTTTGAATCAGGCTCCATCTCCTCGGTCTAAACCAAGACATGAAGCACCCAGCAGGAGCAGTCATTCCAGCAACTCCCCTCCACAGTACAAACTCCACAGCTTCAGCCTCCTCAACTATGATAAGGACCGGCTGGAGAGAAAGGTATTTGTGTGTGTTTATGTGGTCTAAGCCTGTCCACAACATCCACTTCTCTAATACTTGTAATGGCCCTGAAGTCCTGAAGGTCTCGTCAGTCATTATGTCTGTCTCTCAGATGGCAGAGTACCGAAAGACGCGACGGGACCCCCCATCTGACCTCATCCATCAACACAAAGAGGTCACACACAGACTGCAGTGGCAGAAAGCACAGCTAGAGCGAGCCTCACCTGCTCTGCTGACAGGTAACTCTCAAACACACACAGAATGCACATCAGTATGTTCATCACTAACACATGTGAAGTAAGTGCCTCAACCTCACACACGTTACCCACATTTCCCTTCACCACATCTGCAGAGTATGAAAATGTGCTGGGGAGATTAGTCCAAGGACTTTCTGACACTGTGAAGAAATACTCCAGCCAAGGCAACAGGGTGAGTAAAGGATCAGTTCTGAACTTGTGTGTGTGTGTGTGTGTGTGTGTGTGTGTGTGTGTGTGTGTGTGTGTGTGTGTGTGTGTGTGTGTGTGTGTGTGTGTGTGTGTGTGTGTGTGTGTGTGTGTGTGTGTGTGTGTGTACACATTGGATCTTATTTTATAAAGTTTCAATTGTCTTTTTATAGGACGTTGCCAAGGATGCACTGGGCAGGTTGAAGATGGTGGAGAGTGAGGTAAGGGTCGCTAAGCACTATACATATAAAATGTATTATCATCATCTTGTATGTGCATATATACAATGTATGTACCCCTCTTCTCTCTGCTTCAGCTGGAATCGCTGAAAAGGAAACGCACTGGATGAAAGGAGAGTAAAGGAGTGAAGACTTGGCTGAAATACTGTTATACTCTCTCTCTCTCTCTCTCTGTTTCTGTCTCTGTCTCTCTCTCATATATACAAACACTACAGTGGGTACTTTAAGGCCATGACAGCTGCATGAACCAACCTGCCTGATGAGTCTGTCAATTGATCATATGACTTGTGTCGCCTCCCACAGTATCTAAGATTAAATCTGCAAAGGGACACAGACATTAAAACAAAGTTAAATAGCTGAAGGAGATGCAGGTTTATTTGCACTTAATGAGACAAACACTACAGATGCTTTTAAAGTACAGCTTTACAGACTTTACCTGTATTCTAATTGTTTTGTTTTTTTTATTCCCAGCTTTCCTTTGAGAATTGTGTGTGACGAGATCCGTCAAGTTTTACATTTGACACCAGCTCTTTCGTTGGCCATAGATGACCAAAAAAATGTGTGTGCGCGTGCTCTGAAGTGTGTTTAACCAGTGGACTGAGGTGTTTTTAACCCCTTTTCCCATATTTTATGTGTGTAATGAGCTTAATCTAATCTGTCTGCTCCAGTGTTCCCAGATTACAGTAATCTGCTCCGTTTGGAGTGGTGTGATATGGGAATAAAAAAAAGGGGCTTCGGGGCGCTGCAGTCGACATCCCATAATGAGGGATTAGTGTTTGTGTCACCAAGGAGACGACTAGATCAGACGTAGAGTTGCCTTTGGGGCTGGGGAGAGGGGGTGTTAACAGCGTGCCCTGAATGTGGCAGAAGCTTAGTTCTGCAAAAGGGTTGCTTCATCTTCTTCTTCTTCATCAGCTGTTTCTTCTTTGTTGCCTGTTCGTCTTCACTTTCTTTACAGTAATTCCTTCGCATACATTCATAGATTATGCAGAATCACGAGTAATGGGCTGCTCCACTTGGATTTTCTTCAAACTCAGACAATGTTAAGTCTATTGTGCTGTCGATTAGAAAATAATTAACAGCTGCTGCATCAGTGTGCTGCTACTTTGCACAGATTTTGGCATATTCAGTTTACAAAACTAGATTCTGTCCCACTGAGTTCTCCAGTGGCAGCACAGTGGAGTCTGCCCCACAGGAAGACAACCCAATATGTGTCAGTAAGGCTGGGTAATTGTTCATTTCTATTTCTGTTCCCCCATAGACATCCCTGTCAAAGGCATCCTTGTCATTCCTCTCAACTTCACACTTGTTTTGACTGTAAAGTCAAGGGGACAAAATTCAGACAAACCTGACACATTTTTTTTATAAAATGTGGGACGAGTCCTGGCACCTTGAAATTAAAACTTTTGCCACAACACCAGATGAACAAAAACAGTAACGTGACACGTGTCACATTACTGCCATGTATTCTCTGCTCTGTTCAGTGCCGTGGACACTGGCTCTGTTTCCTCTGTGTCCGACAACCTGCTAACCTGATAGCAGCTGCTGTTGATCCACATTGATTGCATGTGGTCAGTATGTAGCAGACTACTTTAAATGAGTCTTACTGTATGTTTTTATTCGACTCTTTAATGTGGATGATGTCTGGTAACACCACTAATAGTTTTTTGGTCATGTGACACAGCAGAGGATCATGTGTTTGCTCTAATCCACCCACTGCCTCACCCCATTAGCAAATAATCCTGGTTAAAGTTGACCTGATGTGGCTCTCCATAGTCTGTGTTGATTTTTATGTAACACCCCTTCCCCCACTTTTTTTTTTATCTATAAGGAGCATATCTTCTGACTCTTTTGGTGCTTTTGATCAGCACTTAAAGGACTGTACCAGATTGCCCCCTAACCCTAACCCCCAAACCAACTAGCTCCTTAACTACAAGTCATGTAAACATAATATTTCTTGCTGCAGTTTTTCAACGCATGCAGCACAGTTTCAGATTAGACGTATCTTCCCTACTGGCCAAGGCAGCCATTAGTTCCCAATTATTTCTGTGAAGTACGAAAATCATTTAGCAGACTTTTGAAGCCAAACATTTGGCCCACAGAGTTGTGTAATCCATCACAGCAAACATCAAGTCTGCATTAATGTTCTTATATCTTGCATTATGCAGTTGTGCAGTTTAAATACAGATTTATTTGTTATTAGCTCTGCATTTATGCTAGATTACTTTAAAGAGTCAACTAATTATTTTTTTTTTTTTTACTTTTCATTATGGAAAATGAATGGAAACTGTTCAGAAATTGGACTATAGTTAACATTTAGGTTCATTATTGGTTACTCTGCTGATTACTCCATTTATACATTTATATATTATTAGATTATGTTATAAAATACCAGAACATCTTCTTAAAACCCAAATCAACAGCTTCAGATTTCTAACATTTCAAATAATAAATACATGCACATTTCAAAACCCAGAGATATTCAGATTACTGTCATACAAAACAAAGAAAAGCAACAGATCATCATGGATTAGAAGCTGGATATAGGCAGTGTTTGGTGTTTTGACTTGAAAAATAACAAACAAATATTAAATGGATTAATGATCTAATTGTTGCAGATGTAGAAAATATACTTTAGCAACATGTTTTTCAGAAGGTCTAGCTGTGATGTAAACTGGTTTGTAGTAAATGGGCTAAAACATGCAGCACTCACACGCACACAAACTGCAACTGCACAAAACCCCTTTCTTCTTCTTTCACCACAGAACCTTTAACCCCATGTCATCTCAAACACACACACTCACTCCTGCCGCATCACCCCACTACTCGAGTCACCTCGTGGCCTCTGAGGCTGTCCTGTTGTCGTGACAACGAGCTCATCAGCATTCAGTGTGGTAGTTGGATGGTCAGGACCCGGGTAGAGGAACATATTGTTAAAGTTTGTCCCACTGATGACTCACACTCCTTTCTCACATTTATAAAACACCACACAAACACACTCACACTCCTTTCTCACATTTATAAGACACCACCCTCACACACACACACACTCCTTCTCACTCTTTCTTTTGTTTTGTTTTGCTTTTATTTTTATCGTACTCTAATCTTGCTACACTCCATTTAAAAAAAAGAGGAAGTTTGGTGGATTGTTTGTCATTATTATTATTAGTACTTGTGTCCTGATCAGCTGCGGTACATGTATTCATCTTGGCTTGGGAAAATACTATTGTTGAACCTATTGCATTTTTTTAATCTGTTAAGTCATGTAAGGGCAATCAAAATAAATGTAATGTTTATATACAGCATAATATGCACTGTCTCTATTTTTAAGTGTAAGTCATGATTTGTGCAGCTCAAAAGGGGAATGTATGAAAGCCTGATTGTTTAGGCTTTATTATCTTGTGTTTATTATCATGAGGTTGGTGATAATATGAATAAAGTGGTGAAACAGCACTGAGTTTATGTCTTTATTGAACTAAAAAAAAAACTCAAAAAACATACTTAACGTGTTTGTATCCGCTTGATACTTAATGACTTTTGTCAATTGTACGAGAATTGCTTATAAACGTGATTTTGAACAGTTGACATGAGTTTGCCACAGGAAAGTATGTGTTCGGGTTCTCAGAGAGCCCGGCTGTGAAACATAATATATAGTTTCATATTATCTGATTTTATACAGCACATCCCCAAAAGTTGTAGAAATGTAGAAGCACACAGACGTAGGGGTCTGTGCCTGGAAGTCTAAATGGATTGGAATATATTTGTTCATACATAGTCAATATGAAACATGAAATGTTTGCTTATTTGATGTAATAATACTTTATGATCATTTCTATATTCTGTCAGAATTAAATGTCCAAACTCAGTTTATGATAAAAGGCAAGAGTTACCCCTTCAATACTTCCCTACATAAAAAATAAAGAAGGTCATAAGAAACGAAACATATTTGAAGGAAGGGTATTGGTGGATTTTGTAAGAAGTACTACTATGTGGAGGAGAAGTAAAAGGTTCAAACAATAAAATCAGACACAAATAGACGGATCTTTCTCAGACAATGCTTGCTGTTGTTGGGGGTGAAGCTCGGTGCTTTGGTGTTATGCTAATATCGTATCTGAATGTGAAATTTCCCCTGACAAAGGGGGGAAAGATGAGAGGGGGGATGGTGCACAGAGACAGAAAGAGGGGAGCAAAATTGGACAACCCGCGAGACTTTGGTGGGCGTGGACACAGCCAGGGCTTCCTGCTCGGGTGAACACGTGGTTCCGCGTCTGCATCCCTGCTTGTCTGTCAGTGTGTGAAGGTTTCCAGCCCTTCTCTCACTCCTCTCCCCCCTTTTTTTGTCCTCCCGTACAACACAGCAGACCTTCTCCTCTCTTTACTCCGTCCCACCCGCACCTCCACCTCCTGCTACACTTTCCTTCCTTCTCGGAGCGACGGTTCCCGGGACTACCGACAGCCAGGCCGCGGTCACTTCAACGTGTATCCGCTCGGAGAGAGAGAGAGAGAGAGAGAGAGAGAGGGGGCAGAGGGGGAGAGAGAGAGAGAGAGAGAGAGAGAGAGAGCGAGAGTGTGTGTGTGTGTGTGTGTGTCTGTGAGAAAGTGTGTGTGTGAGAGAGAGTGTGAGTGAGTGCGTGTGCGCGCACCCGCCCGCAACCGGTCCTTCCGTGTTTATTTCTCCCCACTATCCCGCCTCGTTATTCGGTCATGACGCTGGAAGCGATCCGCTACCGGGCCGGGTCTCTGCAGATCCTCAACCAGCTGCTGCTGCCCCACCAGACCGTCTACGATGAGATCCGCTCGGTGCAGGACGCTTACGAGGCCATCAAGTCCATGAAGGTACCGGAGATCCTTTCTCTACCCCTTCTCACAAGGGGGGTTTCTCTCCCACCTCCCAGCCGACCTGCATGCCCGCTGCAATGTGCATTAATTCCCGTCGTGCATATGTGTGTGTGTGTGTGTGTGTGTTGTTTTTTTTTTTTTTTGTCGGGTCTTTTGTGCTCCCACCGCTGCACGCATGTGTTGTCATGCCCGCCGCCGTGCTCCCGCTGTCGGCCTGTATTTTTGTTTTGGATGCACCTGCAGCACCCGCCTGCTACCCACAACTCCCCGATTATCTGCCCTCACCCCCCTAAAAAACAACCTTTTATTTATAGTTTTCACATCATGTGCAAACTATGTATCTGCACACAGCCACCAGTGAAACATCCCCCCTCCTCCTCCTCCTCCTCCTCTTTCTTTGGGAGAGATTATTGATGAATTATTAATGACCTTTTCCAGGGTTTTTTGTTCGCGTTTTGGTCTTGTGCTGCACTCAGTGACACCTCCAGCTCATTTCTCCCTCCATGCCTGAAGCCCTGACACACACACACACACACACACACACACACACACACACACACACACACACACACAGCTGTACAGACCGTTGAATGTTGTTCAGGTTCAGCTGGGAACATTTTCAGATGTTCACTCATTAGGACCAAGCAGATATTTCACTCTTTTGTCTTCCCAGTTACACACACACACGCACACACACACGCACACACACACACACACGCACGCACGCACATGCACATGCAGCAGCTCCACATTTGATCTTGTGTGTGTGTGTCAGAGTCAGAGTGAAGGAATGTACCATAAGCAGAGAGGGTGATGTCATTATAATGGAGTCTAATGGCAGAGAGAGAAATGACTCAAAGACAGATGATATCATTTCAGTCAAAGCTGTCGTGACAACTTTTGGCTCAGTCGTCACCCTCTTACAACTCTGGTCGAAAAAGATGAATAACCCTCATGACAGCAGGGAGAGAGCTGCTGGAAGTGGGCACAGAAACCAAAGACCAGGACCACGGTGTGATGCTGACTCTCCTCTTCCCTCTCCTCCAGGTGCGGGGCGCCCCGGCCATCGCCATCGTCGGCTGCCTCAGCCTGGCTGTGGAGTTGCGGGCAGGCACTGGAGGTGATGACCCTGTGACCTTCATCAGGGAGTCTCTGTGTCACCTGACGTCAGCCAGGCCAACCGCTGTCAACATGGGCCGCGCCGCCCGCGAGCTGATGGAGTTTGCTGAGAACGAGAGCATGGAGAAGAACTCGGAGCAGCTCAGAGAAAGGTGGGCTGTCACCAACAGGATGGCTGCACATACTCATTGTTCGTTATTTGATTCACTGAAGCACTGATTAAACAAAAACACTCACTGATCATTTCCTAATGTAGTCTTAATGTAAGTGATCGACAGTCCTGAAAAATGCATTTCAGAGTTCACCTGAAGCTACTGTGAGGCCTACGCCGTTTGATTTAGCCGAATCAAATGGGAATCTTCAAAGGTTGCTGTATTTTTACTCCAGTATTCTCTCTCTTTTTGTTACTATCCGTCTACATGGAGCTCAGCAAGGAAAACCCAACAGGGGGAGCAAAAGAGGAAGATACCTGCTTGATTTGTCTAGCTCAGACTGCTGAAGCCTCATAATAGCTTTGGCTAAACTTTGACATGCAACCAGGTGGATTTTGTGCCCTACACTTGCACTGAAATCACCTTTTTTAGTTGTGTGGAGAGGAGGAATGATTACAGTTTTTAAAAAGGCTTCAGAAAATGTGAATATATCCTTTAATTTAAGATTTGTCTAGTAATATCTTGTCTACCTGCCTCAAAATTTACATGGTGGCAAATATGTTTGTGTTTTACAAAATTATCCATAAAAAAGGGGGGCATGTAGTCTACTGAGGGCTCCAGTGTGTCCTTGAAAACCTGGAGTTCCACCTGGAAATGGATTAAAATGAGCAAGTATCCTGGAAACCTGGATATCTGTGTTGGGCTGGTTTGAAACTCAACTGTTGGTAGGACGAGCCGCGCGCTCTGACTCTCAAAGGCCAGACGCAAAGGGAAACAGAAAAGGGCTCCTTTTTCATTTCTGCTCCCACGTCAGTCAAAAGCTGTTCACACCTCTTGGAGTGGACCTTTGGCATCAAGTCTATTTTGGAATTACTGTAGATGTAGTGGTCCAATAATGAGCCATTAACATTTTTTGGATTAGCTTTCCTCCGTGCATGGTAGTCTAGTTTAGTTAAAGGTACCCGGTGGAGATTTTGATCAGCAGTAGCGCTATGGAGCCATGTTTTATTTGTGGGTCCCTGTTTTGTTTGTTCTTGCACAAAAGGACATGATACATATTCCTCCCAATGGTTTTTCATTATTCTCCTAATCTGCTGCTGGAAGTCATTCGGGGGAAAGAACACAGCAATGTGCTAACAAAGGCAGGGAAGAAAAAGATGGACATGGAGGTAAATAATGTGTGGGGCTTTTTTTCCTGTCTTTATTCAAGAGTGTGGTCTTTCAGTTTGAGAGCCTGACTCATTGATTTCACATTCAGATTTTGTAACGTTTACTGTCAAAACCCTGACCCTGCTTGTGCGTAGATCTGCTCTGCTTCGACTTACACTGTGTGCCTGCACTCAGATATATTGTTGCTTGCAGCCCTTCTCGCAAAGAGTCTGCTTCCGTGTGCTGGTGAACCGTCTGATCTCAGGTTTCTCCTCTGCTCTCGGACGTTTTGTGCAATAACACAGAATCCCCCAACCGATAGAATCCCAGGTGCTGACCAATTAAAAAAATCCCTGCCTTGTTTGGGGCGCATTTGCTTTTTCATTCCCCCTCTCTCCCCCTTTCCTTTCCATCTTGCTCTGTCCTATCAATAGAAAAGAAAATATTTTAAAAAACCAAAGAGAAATCTACTGAGTCAGTCTACTCAGCTTGCCTAATCAAGGTTAACCAATTAATTGATCATGAAAGTCGTAAAGTTAAATAGGCCACCATTTGGGACTCAGAGAATGAAGGTGAGTTACAGGTGGGATACAGGGAAGCATGGTTTCAACTCAGAGCATGTAATAGGCTTCCTTGACAACATTTCAGGAGCAGGTCAACACTACACCTGAAATTCTACTGGTTGTTGACTTTCGACAGGGTTATTACACAAATGTAGGAGAGATGTTGGTGTTAAAAATATCATCCAGGTGGATAGTGGCTTTCATGTTCGGACAATACACCAAATTTTGGGAAGAGATGTACTGATCCAATAGCTCAGATCTATATCCGCTCACATACTGACCAAGGTATCGGCCAGATGTGTTTCTTTGTCAATGGAATTATAAAAGTCCGTGTTTCTGCTATTAGTTACAGTCGTTCAGTCACGACATGTTACCTCTCGTAACCATGATTCAGATCTCTTGCACGCAGGGAGGTATACAGTTTTGGTTGAGTCACAGCGCAGCAGAGTGGATGGGTCATGTTAATTGTTCTGAGTTGTAGCTGTAATATACTATATATAGTTTGTGATGAAGAGTGACACTGGAGCAGTGGGGTGAATGACCTAGTGGGGGCGCGTAGAGGAATTTTGGTTCTTGAAACTTTGTGTGAGTTGAACTGCAAACCTGTTGCGTACTTAATGAAAGAGATGGCTGAGAAAACGTTGTGTGGCTACAATTATGGATGCAGTCCATGGAGCAAGAAATAATGGATTGACACTGCAAGTGTACAAAAGATGAAGAAGAATTTGATACAGCTTTGGTAGAAGGAGAGATGCGGTAAAAACATAACTAAGAAATAGATTCATTTAAAAAAAGATTAGGAATGAGAGGAATAGAGAAAAAGAAGTGACTGCAGACTTGATGGACACATTAAGTCCACAGTGGCAGACAAAGCCTCTTCTCATTTCCCACCTCTTGTTGGCCCCTCTCCTACAGTGTAATTGCCTGGATCGAAGACATGCTGGAGCGTGACGTCAATGACAACAGGAAGATCGGTAACTATGGCGCCCAGCACATCCTGTCTGGCGTCCCGCGGGACTCTGTGACCATCCTCACACACTGCAACACCGGCTCGCTGGCCACAGCTGGATACGGGACCGCCCTCGGTGAGACCGGAGCCGTGGGTGTGAATGAGAAAAGAGGGTGATTGTTAAAATATTTATGGCACTGTAACAATAATTCTTGTGTTTGGGTGTAGGTGTGGTGCGAAGCCTCCACGCGCTGGGTAGGCTGAAGCGTGTGTACTGCACGGAGACGAGGCCGTACAACCAGGGATCCAGACTGACGGCGTATGAGGTGGTAGCAGAGGGAATCCCTGCTACACTCATCACAGACAGCATGGCTGCCCTCACCATGAGAGAAATGGACATCACAGGTGTGTGTGTGTGTGTGTGTGTGTGTGTGTGTGTGTGTGTGTGTGTGTGTGTGTGTGTGTGTGTGTGTGTGTGTGTGTGTGTGTGTGTGTGTGTGATCATGTCTCTTTTTCCTTTTTTATTCAAACTTCTTTCTTAGTGCTTACTTTCTTTCTGTCATGTCCTCCCTCAGCTGTGGTGGTGGGAGCTGACAGGGTGGTTGCCAACGGTGACACAGCCAACAAGGTGGGAACATACCAGCTGGCCATCGCTGCAAAACACCATGGCATTCCTTTCTATGTGGCTGCACCCAGCACGTCGTGCGACTTGAGCCTGGAAAGCGGCAGGGACATCATCATCGAAGTGCGCCCCCCCGAGGAACTCACCAGTATAAACGGAGTCCCCATCGCTGCCCCGGGTAAGAAGTGTGGGATGTTAGTGATTTTTTGAGGGAGGGGGAGTCACAAATGATGTTTTAGAAATATAAAATGAGACGAAGGAGTTCAAACTCTTTTAAAAAAGTGAGTTCAGTAGAGTACTGAGAGCTATGGGAGAACATCAGGCTGGGAGAGATGGATGAGCGTGGCCTAGTTCCAATGTCTGCCCTAAGCCCTACACACTCACAGACTTTAATTGACGTCACATGCAGTGTAAGTGCCAGAGTGAAAAGAAGGTGCAAGGGTCTGAATGCTGTACGAAGAACAGGACAGCAGTTTGTGAAATCAGAGCCTCACAGAAAAATACCTCTGCACAGGTAAAGTGGTTTCACAGAGTGTTAGCTGCTATCTGTCTGTAAACCTTTTTTGGGGACTATTTTATTGTGCCTTTTATTAGACAGTGACAGTAGATGTAGACCAGCTATGTTGGAGTTCAGCGCCTTAAATCCCTAGGCCATCAGGCCATCCCCTGACATTGTTTTTAACATTGGATTGTTGTCCTCCTTTTTATAAAATGATTTACAGAGACCCAACAGTTCCCACTGTGAGCTACTGACTCAGTCTGAGTCCATAAGAGCAGACACTGAAGGTGTGTTTGGGGTGGGTTTGTTAGAGCTCAATTGAGTCATTTGAACTCTAATTACGTTGCCAGAGCAGAGAGGTGCTCGGTGACATCACAGTAATTAAAGCACATTCATTTAATAAGCCCACTGGCCCCTGGAGAGGAGGATGTGTGCTTGTACATTACTCTCTTTAACTTTCCCTTCACACGCTTCTCTGGTACTTCCTGTAAGCAGCATTTCAGAGTACAATTGATTAGGGATGCACAACATGGACTTTTTTCCCCAGCCGATACGATAACAGATCATTTACCTGCTTCTCATGGCTGATAGCGCTAAGATTTCCATATCCATTTTTGTATTTTAAAAGTTTATAAGCTGTTATTTATGCACATTGGAGGCAAGAAATGCTGAGATGTAGAGAGCAAATATGGATGATTTTAATATTCCAAAGCTTACTGACATCACTATTGTTTACCCAACCTCAACAAATAACAGCCTATCAATAGTTTTGGATAAGAATCCAGAATAACTTTATCGGTTGTAATTTAATTATCCCAGTAAATCACAGTATAAATAATAATAGAAGATTCCCTTTATCGACAATAATTTATCCGCCTCGATAATTATCCTGCATCCCTTCAGTTTATAAGGCCGCCATTATTTTATATTTAACAACAACTAGTTAGTAAAACTTATTGTATTAACAAGTATAACCTATGTAGCTCGTTGCTCTGTGCCACAGAGCTCCGTTGTTGTCCAAAGACTATTAAAACCGCATCAGTGAGACACACAGTTGCACCGGGTGAGATGTTCCTTCATTACCATAAACAAAGGTTGTTTATGTAGTTTATTTAGAGTCAATCCCACATACACCGTTACACTGCTGCTGCAAATACTAATTAGAACACCAAATGTGGAATTATCTGTGGCTTAAAATTGTCCCCAACGAATGCATTTTACTCCTCTAGTCCCCGCCTGTTTTAGGAAATCACTGAGCCTTTTTAAAAATTAAACTATAGATTAGTGACCCGTTAAAAGATTAATGTCTTTCTTACTTACTTCTTTGCACCACAGACAAGGCAATGAAGTCAGAACATACTGAGCACCAGACTAGGGCCCAATTCCCAACCTGCAGATCCTTCAGCTTTCCAAGATAAATCTGAGTCATGAGATAACTAATGGGATTGAAAAACAACCCATTTCTATATTTTCTATTTATATATATTTAACATTTTTCAGACATTTCTATAATCATTGTTTTCTTGTGAAATACTGCAAAGTTTTGACATTTCAGAGTTCTAAAAATTCCACTGAGTCTGCCACCTTAAACCGTGTTTCTACGGTACAGACAAACCTAACACTGGCTGTAGAGAGGGTCGCTGCCACAGTACTTTCACCTACAGATTTCACAGCATGATCTCATTCCCAGCTCGTCTGATACAAAAGCGAGTGGTGTTTAATTAATTGCAGTCTGCAACTTCCCCGCTAGATGCCACTAAATCCAATACACTGGTCCTTTAAAGTAATGCATCAACAGTTGAAATAATACTGAAAACTTGTACATCAAAATAACTGATAGATGGTCAAAATATAGTAGAGTAGTGGCTAAATAGTTCAAACCTTTTGAGGGCCAGTGTGTAGCATTATGGAGGATCTATTGGCAGAAATGGAATATAATATGCATAACTGTGTTTTCTTAGTGTATAATCACATGAATTTAGCAACAATTATGTTTTTGTTACCTTAGAATGAGACGTTTTTATCTACAGATATCTACGGTCGCCTTCCATGGAGTCTGCCATGTTAAACTACCATGTTTCTACAGTAGCCCATGAGCGTCAATATTAGAAATAAATGGCAGTGTCGACGTAGGGGCACTTGCGTTCAACTGAGTTTCATCAAAAGCTTTAGAAGCACTGATCTGTCAGTATCATCAACGTGTCACTCATTGTGTCTTGCAGGTATCGAGGTGTGGAACCCGGCCTTCGACGTGACCCCTCACCAGCTCATCACAGGAGGCATCATCACAGAGCTGGGAGTCTTCCTCCCCTCTGAGCTCCAGGCGGCACTCACTGGCCGCCTCACTGCCCTCTAGAGCATATCCTGCTGGTCCGTGTGCGCCCTGCAACTTAATGTCACACACTCAAAGACACTCTCATTTCATTACACAACACATACACACAGTCATAGTTGTGGTTTAATTTCATTTTGGTCGACGCACAGTCACTGTTACATGTCAGTGGTGCACACAGAAGAAGATATGTGACTCACCCACACAGTCACTGCAGGGAGTCAAGCAGACACACATGTGCAGTCTCCCCTTTCTTTTATGTCCTTCATTGTTTTCTGTGGTCTCTCCATTTTACCTTTTACCAAGTTTTCCATCCCATCTTTCATTATCTCTTGCCACCCCTTTGTCTTTCTAAATGGCTTCTATGACAAGGAATAGCGCTCAGCTGGACTCAATCCCATTAATTCTATTTGGCAAACAATTTTTATGAGTCATCACTGAGGTAATTTTTCAGGGCTTCGTCAACTACAGACAAAACAACTTCCAAAAAAGTCTAAGTGTTTAATTTCAGAGTAGTGGTTTTTATCAACTGTGGTTTCTCAAATGCTGCTACCCACTTGTAAATATACATATCCTCGCTGGTAGTGTGTACATATGTAGAAAACTAACCCCTGCTAGTAGAAGGTACCGCTATTTTAACCAAATATGTGGTTATTTAAATTTAAAGTTGACATCAAAAATGTTATATTAACATTTAATTTCTTTCATTCTGTGCAGAAAACTTTTGTAGGAATAATCCAAATTTATAGCTCATGGATTTTCACTACAAGGAAATATTAAGTGATATGAAAAACCTCATTTTGCTCTCACTTTTTACCCTCTGCCGCAAAATTTTGAACAAGTGGAATTTCTTGATCAGTCAGCTGAAGCCTATGACGATACACGGCTGTATTTATACCTCACTCCTTGTTTGCATCTCGCTATTCCCAGTTGTACTGTATCATACCACACTTGTATTCTCATAATGTACTTATATATATATATGTAGCCATACTTATTTCAGCACCATAAAAATATTCACAGTACTGCACAGGTCACTGAACAAAAAATCTAAAAAAAAGAAAAAAAAGAAAAAAAGGGAAATTGTCATTTTGCCGTAACAGCTTTTGCTGTGAGGTCCGTCATGCTGTTGTATTTCTGTAATACAGGCATCACTATTAAAGGCATAGTTCACCTCAAAATGAAGGTTTGGTCATCTGCTCACTTGCATGTCAGAGTTTACTAATGTTTGTGCAGCCACAAAATTATGTTGCTTTTACTTATTCAGTCAGACTTATCCCAAATTATTTTAAAATATCAGTCAACATGTTTGACAGCCTGTAGAAATGCTTCAAAATAATCAATTAATACCTTAATATATCTGTATTTCCTGCCACTGCAGCATGTGTTCAACTAGATCTGCATCAGAACAATAAAAAACAAGCTAAATATTGGACTTTAAAGCTGAACAAAACACTATTATTCTATTAAAATGACTCCATGTAATGTGAAAGTGACAGACCCGCAGAGAATTATCACTCGAGTGATAATTCTCTGTGGGTCCGTCACTTTCCCGGTTCCCGTCAGAAGAGTGTTTTAAGCTTTTTTCATCTCGTTGTTTTGGTTCCAGCTTTACTTTTTTAGTCACAACAGGCAACTGTTTTCAGTGAAAAATCTCTGGTAAACCCACACTACCTGCTCAGCACCAAACAGACAGGCACAGTTAGCAACTTGCTGCTGAACATAGTTGAGCATTAAGCAGCTAAAGAGGCAGATATTTCCATAAGGAGCTTAAGAGAGCTGAATTGAGGGTAAATACTGGACTTGCATTTGTGAGTTGGACACAAACATGACTCCAAATAAATGATTATGTTGCTCTCTGGCCACACGATGTGTAAATAGGCATCTGTTTGCTCACAACTTTATAAGGTGGCAATATGTCAGTGTTGTGTTTACAGCTCACTGTGCTGCCCCGAAGTGGACAAATCCATTAATGCAGCTTTTCCAGGTGTTTGACAGTGTTTGGAGAAACAATTTGACTGTATAGATTTGCAAAAATATAGTTTTAACTTCAGTGTAAGGCCATACACACTTCAGAGTTAATCAAAAACTTTATGTGGGGGTGAGCAGTAGATGACTCATATCTTTATTTTGGGGTGAACTATTTCTTTAGGATCGGGGGGGATCTTATCCACACTGCAGTATCTGTCTGCAGTAAGCGACACAGCTTGATGCCACCAACGATCAGAATGTAATATTCAACTCAGATGAACTTGCTTTTGTTGGGGGCTGTGATCAGGACAGACTTCAGACGCTCTTTTTGCCTTTGTACTTCAGAATGTGTTTTAAAGTTTGACTTAATCCCTTCTCATAACTGAAATGCTGTTGTACTACAGGTTGACATGCAGGGAGTTTTGACCATAGTTGTTTCTTGGTCCTGAAGATGGCAGAACAGGGTTGTAGAGCAGAAAGTGTTATATTCAGTTATCAGAAGCAGACTGAATTCGTCATTTGTTAAATCTAGTGCTGAACTGATTAGTCAGTTAAATTAACAGAAAAAAATATTCTGTAACTACTTCAATAACATATTAATCGCTTTTATGCAAAAATGCCAAACATTTACTGGTTGCAGCTTCGCAAACAGTTTTATATCACTGTAAATGGAATATCTTTGGGTTTTGGGACTGTTGGTTGGGCAACATTTGAAAATGTAGCTGTGAACTCTTGGAGATTGTGAGGATTCTTCACAATTTTCTAATCAAAAATCTAAAATATCATAGACTGCTTAATCGATAATGAAAATAATAGTTAATTGCAGCCCTACCCTCATCATCCACCCTTACTGACTCTTTAAAAATTATATTGTAGCAGCCAAGACCTGACAGTGACCTAGTATTCACACATAATCAGTACACTGTTATTGATTCTTAAAACACAGACTGAAGCTTTTTTAATATCCCACGTCATTCCAAGGTTTTGTACGTGGAAGGTGTATAACTGAGTTTCTGCAGTTTTGTCACCTGGCCAGTGATCCTACAATGTGTTTGTTGTTTTAAGAGGCTCCATAGAAAAGGCCCAGATATGTCGATCTGCATGGGACTACTCGCTGTACTGAATGTCACAGGGCCAGACTCTGGGCCCGCACTGCTCACTGCCTTACAGGTGCAGCACCAATATAGCTCACTGATCATAACTGGAGAGACAGCATCCCCTCGGTCCTTCCCTCACCCCGGTTTATATCCTGTAGCCAGACCCACCACCTCGTCAAGCTCACAGAAATCTGGATAAACTCTCACTTAAGAACTGACGGCGACGAGACTCCTGAGGCAGCCATTTGATTCATTGAGAGTCTGAAGATGGTTGCCCTCAGAGACTTCTGCCGCACTAACTACAGCACACTGTGTCTCCACCCTTTGAGTGTAAATGAGTGCATTTACATGCGCACTCGTTTCCTGGTTATGTGTTGTGCATATAAACGCCATATCCTTGTTTAGGGCACCTAGATAAGCCCATATTTCTGTATTTTTACAAACCTGAATATGGTAGTTGGAGCATCACAATAGAAACCAGGATCTAATGAAAAAAGCCCCGATCCAGGTTTCTGCCATGTTTGCAAGTCCCAATAGAAACTGAAGTTACAATGTGGTTAGTCAGGAAAACAAAAAATACAATGATTGTTGCTCTTGTTAATCATTTCTGGCGATCACATGGAGAAGTTAAATCAGAATGGTAAAAACAGCAGAGTTTAGACTCAAAACCACAACACCAATGTGCATGTAAACTGACTCACTGACTTCTGTGCTTGAATTTCTCAGTGAGCTTGATGAGACGGAGGTCAGAGGTCTGCCCACATAATGCGCTACACCCCTCCTGACCTCACACACCGCCCTTGTGGACTTCATTTATTTAAACCGGTGACAAATACACCTTACCTACTCTACAGGACCGCTGAGAGGTCCAGAGAAAACACCCTAAAAAAAAGGTTAATGTCAGTAATAATAATTGCAGTATCCATAGTGTCATTGTCCATATCTTGCTGTAATATAAGCTCACTTCTTCCTTCACTTGCATCTTCCTTTTCCTCTTCACTTGTTTTCCTGTCCACCCATCAAACCTCAACTCACAAAGATGCTGTTAGGTCACACACGAGCGTAAAAGACACTTGTGTATTTGAATTTTCTTTCTTTTGTTTTGTACAGTTTAAGACATCGCGTGTTTGGGGGCAAATTTAGACAATGTTCCAGACATATGTAGCAACTTTGTGGCCCGTCAGACCCGCCACATGTTATTCCTTTCTAAATCTTTAAGAGGTTTCAGATTTTTGTTTGTCTGTACATCATGATTATAACTGGCTGTGGTTTGTTGTTTTATTTCATGCCATTGTGATTCCTAGTGACTAGGCCATTAGTACACCACACTGGGGAGGCCTCCTCAACCATACACACTACCTCTCCGTCTGCCTACACGGACTCAACCACTGAAATGCATGAACACAAGCACTCAACGTGCCAGGCTGCAGCAGAGCAGATTGACAGATTGCGTGAAAAAAAAAAAAAAATCTGGACTAAAATTCTTCATATCTTACAAATGTTTGTATCTTGGACCCATAGTGACAAATACTTTGTGGCGGTGCTTTTAGTTTGCCAAAGTAGATTCAGGCTAGTGCGTTATGTTGGGTTGCAGCTGAATTGTTTCTGCATTACGCTATGATTTTTACACCATGCTTTTGAAGCAGCAGCAATGTAGTACTGCATTTAAAAAAGATGTTCCTCCAACCTCCCCTCGAAACGCCCTGTACATGCCTAATAATCAGGTGCCATAATTCAGCGCTGCTTGCCACTATTGTCCACATTGATTTGACTAATCAAAGCAGGTGCTTGTGTATTATTCTCAATATTAAGTATGGTCTGCAATCACCATGGAAGGAGTGTTGTTCAGATGGCCTCTTTAGGTGCAAGTATGTTATTGTTGTTATTGATAATCACTCGATCTGGGTTTATTTTGTAACATGTGGAAATAGTTAAAAACTGGATTTTTTTTATATATACGTATATGAATATAATGCTGTAAAGTGCAGTCATGAATTACGAGATTTCTCTTTCACATCAATACAGTAAAAAGAATAAAACCACAGTGAAATGAGAGTTGTTTTTGTCCATCACCAGCACGCTGTTACAATGCCAGCATGTCAGTGAGTCTCCTGTGGGTGGCGGTAGTGTAACAAACAGGGATGAAAACCAACATTTAACAACACGAAGAAGAAGAAGCGCGGCCTGTGTACTTCCGGTTAGCAAAGATGGCTCAAGGCTCACAGAAGTTTAAAGCTCAGCGACCAGGAGCCAACAAGAAACACCAACAAAACAAACAGAAAGGGCCGAAGAAAGGAGGTATGGATTTAACAATGTTATTCTTTAAACAGTGAGTTTCTGAAAAATACGTGTTTTTAGTAAAATAACATCAACACGTGACCTGCACGGAAACAGCTGAACACGTTGTTCAGGTGGCTCAAGTCTGAATATATATATTTATTTATATATATTTATCTAATGTACACTATCCAGCAGGAATTATACTGACTAAACAAACACATTGGAAGGCTCAAGGCCAGCGACACAGATACTTTATGAGTTGAACTACTCAGCTCTGCGTTTTGTTTTGGATGTTTGCTAAGAAACATCTGGATACCTGTTTCATGTCTGCTGCAGTGCTTTATTATGTGCGATGGTGTTTTTAATGAGCAAGGTAACGTTAATATGACTCCCTGTCTGACTAATGTAATACTGTTTAACAGATAAAGTTTTTGAAAGATACTGCAGTGAAATTATTCCTCATCTGATACAGAAGTCCTGTAATAGATCTTTACCTCCGTGAAGGTTATGATGTTCAGTTTTTGGTGTTAAATAGTACTGTGTTGTACTGAAAGGTGTTTCTATTAGTCTGTCCACCCTGTTCCTCTCAGTGAGGACATATTAGAGACACCCCTCAGTATTACACTGTACAGTTAAACTACACCACAACCTAGAAAAACTACAGCCTTTATTGCAGGGTGGTTGAACATAAACTGGCTACTTGGTGTGTGTGTGTGTGTGTGTGTGTGTGTGTGTGTGTGTGTGTGTGTTATGGGGTTAAATATTGATCTTGTCTGTTAAGTGATCATAATAAAACAGTTTTTTTATCTCGACAACAATGACATTAATTACAATCACAATTTTCTAAGCAAGAAATGCTCTGATGTAGACAAACAAACCCTGGAGCTGTTGGTGCGGACAAATGAAGTTCCAGTAAATCGATATTGACGATAAAAAATAACTATTAATACGCAAATGATAATATCATACAAATAATCCAGCACCTCTTAAATCATATCTGGTTCTTTCCGTTCTTGCTCTGTGGTTCCCACTCAGTGTAATAGCAGACTATAGAGACAGTATCAAAGTGTAACAAATGATGTTTCAGGCCTGTCTGATTTAAGACCGACAGACAGACCTTCAAAGTGTGTGTCTATTATTTAATTTGATATTTGGCAGCATCGGCAATGTTAGTGATATAGTTTTGTTTTCTTTGTAAAGGAAGGACCATAGCACCAAAAAAGGCTCAGGTGGTTCAACAACAGAAGCTGAAGAAGGTGAGGACTAGTTTGACATGACAGTTTCTCTCAGCCCAGCTCTTTTAGAAATGAATACGTGAGTGATCTTGACCAATTAATTATATTTAACACAACTTCCTCTGCTGTTCCCTGTAGGGCTTAGAGGTTGCCATCAGGAACAAGATTGAGAAGGAGGTGACCCAGAAGGCAAGCTTGTCCCTCCACAAGCCACTGAGTGTGGTTAAAGGGCCTGAAGGTAAAGGTAAAGGCAAGCCAGGAGAACCCCGTCCAGGAACCAGCTCCAAATAGGAGCTGATAGACAACTGAACAGCTACACACCAGAGGATGAATGTTTTGATATTAAAGACTTAGTCATGGGATCACTGAGCCCATGGCTCAGATGTAACATACATGCCAGCTGTCCTGATGTTTTTGATTCATGAATGTTTCAGCTGACTTCAGGCATGTAGAAATAGGTCTTCTTGTACAGATACCAATTATTTCGTTTTTGACTTTACAAAGAAGTGTATAAAATAACAGAAGAGACATTCAGGATATGTTGTTCTTTACTGGACCATGACAATTATATAAACCTTCAGTAGGGGGCACCACATGACTTTACTGACTCATGAAATGTGTTTGCTTTCTGTTGTTTAAAACGTGAAGAAACTTAAGAAACCATCTTGTTATAGGACCTGAAGGGTTTTACCCCCCTAAAATCTGTGTTTGATTCTGACTGTACAGAAAACCGTAATGAGAGTAAACATGAGCGGAAAAGATGCTTGACATAATGTTTGATGATTGATATATTCGATACATGTCAGGGACATCTTCACTTTTACCTGGTCAGCACATACTGGGTATCTTTGTGTTGCTTGCTTCACAAAACTGGGTGTATCAGTTCACTGTGTCAATTCCAACCCAGCTGCGAAAATGCTTACTTATAAGAAGAATGAGTAATAATATAATAATAATAATAAAGTAATCATTGATTACTGTGGAAATTTGCTCATAGTAGCAGAAAAGGTAAAAGGAAAAGCATTTAACTGAAATATAAAGCTTGTACTTGTCAATGTCAAGAATCCTTTGAGATATGTCCATCTCACTCTTCAAATAGATTCCAGCCATCACAGATAATTGTAATATTATTCATGGTATTGAATCCACGGGTTGTGCAGTCTTGCAGCCTAAAACTGATTTTCTTTTCTTTCGGGGGGGGGGATTTTCCAGTCTGTCAAAAAGCTTTATTTCAAATAAAATTTTAAAATCTTGTAGGTAAAATTTAAGAAATAAAGACAGAAACTAACTTTTTTTTAATTAGCTATTCTGTTGCTCATTTGAATGCAATCCTTTTGTAAATGCTGGGTTTTTAAAAAGAAAGATCATTAGTAAGGTGGCTGGCATTTTCCTGTAAAGTCCAGCAATTGACAACTGATTTTATAGAAGATGGGACAGAAGACTTCAGCTAACCAAGGCTCAGAGAAGTGTTGATTCCCACATATATGCCCATATGTTGCTGGTTTATGTGAATTGGCTACATGGACAACCCAGTACTCCGACAGGCAGCCTGTTTGTTGAGTATCAGTGATAAAGAGGCACAAACTGTAAGAGCGTTTACACTGTAGGATTCAGTGGCATTATTTTGAGAGTGGATTAATCTCCACAGAACTGGCCACCTGCAATAGTCAGACCAAGTGTGGTGTTGTAACAAGAGTACTGTAGGAGAGTTGCTGTGGGACTCCTGTTGCGTCAGATTAGAAAAAGATACAAATCGACACAGCAGAACCAGAGGGACCTTGCTTTTTATTTCACACATTTTGCCTTCATTACCCACAATACAACTTGACCAATGACAGTTCGATCAGAGATTCAGGTTTACAGCAGGGCGTAACTTCCCTTAAACTCTTTTTTTTCATTTTCAAATTTGTGGTCTAACTGACGTTGACTTAAGTGACATCACTTGAGGCGGTTGATCACACTTCACGCAGCTCCCTCTGAAGCCACAAAACACTTTGTTCAACTATTTTGTAAAACCTGTGTACAGTTATCCTTTAATGGATGAATTGAATTCAAATAGCCGAACAGCAAGAACAAGAGCAGTGTAACTAGGCAGCCTACTGTAGGTTACCATGGTGATGCACTCTTGCACCATGCTTTAAAGTAAGCCTCTAATATATTGGACTAAAAAGCCAAGGTGAAGCCGTTTAGCTGAGGCGTGACCCGGGTTGTTTGTCTTTAATAAACACTGTCAAAGAAAGTGGACCTGAATTTTCCCACCGACTTAGAAACAGACCAGCAGTGTGACAGCAAGGTGGCCGTGATAAGACTTAACACTGTTTGAACTGTTTTAATGTCAAGTCAACATACACTCTCAAGCAGCCTGTGACCGAGTGTGGCAAACTTCTATATGAAATAATAAGAGTTAATATACAATCATGTGTATGTAAAAAAAGATACAGATGTCATTAAATACCACATACTGAGTTCTCTTTTATGAGGCATTTATTTAAATCCCTTGTAGCTTATGCAGTCCAGAAGTGCAATGTAGTTGAATCTACATTTAATCTTCATAATTGAGGTTTCTATGTGACACTTTTAACAACTCAGTGTCTTAACAACAACAACAACAGCATGCATCATCATACAGTGCACATGGACAGCACGACCAAAAACAATCACAAAACAAGCTAGTTGTTAAAATAATTCGTAAAACACAATCAACATGCTAAGCACAGAGTCATCAGCACTGATTTCTAAAGCAGGCCTGTGGTAATAAAGTGTGTGTGTTTAGAAAGCCCTAATGGTCTCCATGCAGTGAGCAGAGCGCAGGAACCTGGGGAAGGAGTCTTTGGCCATCAAACTGTAGATCCCCTGCTGTGCCTTGTTGAACGTGTCGGCACACAGAGAGTCCATCAGATTTAACAGAGCCTCCCGGGTCTCAGCGTCCAAGTTTACCTGAGGAGGAAACAGATAATCAAAAGAAGCTCTATATCCTCACTGTACACATCAATAAATCCCATTCATCATTTTTTGTCCTTTACAATTTCAATGCTCTGTGTGGCTCTTATATCACACTCTCCTCTCCACCAACCTCCTGCGGGGCGTCAGGGTTGATAAACTGGCTGTAGATGCTACTGGCCTTGGTCTTTGAAGGAGAAACCCTGTACTCCTCACAGGCCAGCCAGAACTTGAGGTTCTCCTCACTGAACTCTGAACGCAGGAACCCACGAAATGCCTGCAGAGCACCTGGGAGAGAGATGAACAAAAGAGAGAGAGGAGAATGAGTCAGAGGAAACTGGGACAAATCAAGAAGAGTCAATGTGACTCAACTGCAGCTCAAGCAACATATTTGACCAAACCTTCAAATCAGAGCCAGAACCTCAAAAATCTACAATAAAATAACTTCTTCCACGTGGCTCTGCCATGGAAAATGTGTGTAAAACGTAGGAAAATTAAAACAATTTCAATGAACATTTTTGAAGTTACACTGCTTAAAGGGATACTGCAGTGGCTTAGTGTTCCATAAAGTTGGGGGACTCACAAGAGGCTTTTTTTTTTTTTTTTAAAAAGGTCAACATCAAAGCAGCACAGGCCAAAATATCCCCTACTAGTCCCTATGATTAGACATAAATACTCTTTCAAACTCCCTGGTGTGTAATACATGCTGTCCGTTCTAGATTTTTAGTCTCTAAGCACAAGCTAAGATAACACTAAGGACATCTTCAGGGTTATTTTCTTGACCAATCTCCTCCACAGCCACAGAAGAATTTATACAACTTTTTACAGGCTGAGTACTTGTCATGATGAGTAATCTGGCTTTTATGTGTAACATTGCCCCTTTATGCCCTTTGTGATTTTCAGCTGTCTGCAGTGAACTGTATGTGGATTTATTTGTATTTTTTTATTTATATCATATTATATGAAATGTGTACAAGAACAATAAAGTATTGTTATAATATAGTGGTGTCATATTCAGTTACTGTTAATGCATGAAGTTACTGTGTAGAGAATGACGTGTATGGAAGAGACACAAGATATGATTATAAAACTAGCTGCAGCGTTTTAATACATACTTATACATGGAAGAATTTTTGAAAAGGGGAAAAAGACGATCAGTAGACCTTTTCAGAGTCGACATTTTAATTTTCATACTAGGAAAATCACAGGTGTTATTACACCATGGTGGCTTTGTTCCATTCAACTGTCCAAGCAGATGATCACAGTGTGACAGTGAACCAGCAGACACAAGACCAGGACCCTGAAACTGAAGCAATGTGATGTATGTATGTATATTTATGCTTTTCCTAGTGTGACATGTCAAAATGTCTGCTGTGTTGGTCAAACGACAAACTGACTTTTAAAGTTGTATAAAAAGAAATGAAAGGAAAAGGCTTTCTTACTTTTGTTGTTTAGCAGAGTTTCCAAGTCCTGAAAAGCTTTTCCATCCTGAACCCTGAGGAGGGAGACACAAACAGTTCAGCTGTCACATGAGTGGATTTACTACATATTTGAAACATGAGTGTCAGTATGTTTACTTGTGCTTGTGGTGCGTCTCAGCCAGATGGCTAAACTTCACCCGCATCTCCTTTGCCCTGAAACACACAAGCACAAGATATCACACACCATCCACAATACACTCTCACTTATTCACATAAAACAACATGATGAGCCGGTTGCATACTTACTTCTCCAGGCATGAGGAGGGCAGAGAGGAGAGCCCCTTACACATTGAGGTGTGTAGTTTGAGTAAACTAGCAAAGGGAAAATGAACAGGTCGAGGTGTATTTGATCGCAGTAGACACTTTCCTCTCAAACTACAGTGTGCTTATATAGTCTACCTGTTTGCTATCTGATATGTCAATCTGTTCCCCTCAGACCAGCAGGTGTAGAGATGGGAGCTGAAAAGAGTTAAAAACAGCTGAATGAGAGAGGTGGTGTACGTGCTCATGGGCCATGTAGCCCTGTCAACAGGAGAGACCAAGCAAGTCAGCACATATAATAGGAAAATTAAAGCAAGGGGACCTCCAGTCTGTGTGTGTGTGTGTGTGTGTGTGTGTGTGTGTGTGTGTGTGTGTGTGTGTGTGTGTGTGTGTGTGTGTGTGTGCGCGCTTGGTCAGGGATCATTAATAGTCTAAAAAGTCAGTCATAAACAAAACCTAGATTGGTCTTTAGAGTGTTTAACACAAGAGAATAAAGTGATGAGGGAGGAGCAGGTGGGCGGGCAAAATCACTCACCTCTGGAGTCAGAGAGCTGCAGGATGGAGTTAATGTTTAATGCTGATGGATGAATACAAAAGAAGACAAAACATCATTTAATATATATAGTATCTCTGCAGGAACAATAATACCATTGTATCTGCCCTCTCCTTTTATTAATCTGTTTTCTCTTTTGTTCTGATTTGTTAATTGCCTGTTTTGTAAATATCTAATGTGGTTCACTGCAGTCAGTGCTTCTCTATTACGGTAAATAACATTCATATATATTCATATATAGGCATATAACGGGGAATGCTTCTTTGTTCTCACCTTAAATCTGAGTTTGTATCTTTGAGATGAAAAACATTGCATTTATGAAATATGCATAGTTTCTTTTCTTCCTTTTTTGGGGGGAGAAGGGGTAGTTGTGCTTTTCGTCAAAAATCTGACAAATTACTTTTCAAAGATGAGTCTTTAATCATGTCTGGAGGGGATTTTTAAGTATAAACGTATAACATAAAATACTCTCCAACAAAAAGTTTCTTAAATTTTTAGTTTTACTTCAACATTTACATTTTTAAGTTGATTATAATGATTTTTTTTGTGTCCATGCAATTTTCTAAGGGGGGAAGCAGTCGTGGAGGCGGTTCCAGGGTCGGGGGTGAAAAGAATGAAAAGGGCACCAGCCTGCTGAAAGTTGTGATGCATTTGTGATGAAACAGCTTATTCAGGGTTAGGATTAGCATCATAGAGGGCACTTCACCACGTTTTGTCCACTGGAAGGGCATCATAGCGCATGTTTAATCTCCCGCAGGGGCATCCAAGAGGGTACTTTTGCAGCGTTTTTCCTCCACCAGTGGGGGGAGTGGGTGCACCTTGGCTTTATGGCCTCAGTAAAGGATTCAGGACATCGGTGGCCTAGTTCTAAAAATCCTGGCTAGACCCTGGGTGAGGATCTTTATTCTGTGTGATGTCAGGAGCAAACACATGTATCTGTACTCAATAATAAAAACGGGGCTATGCTATCTATTAATGGCTGATACAAGCCACAGAGCCAATGCTGTTTAAATCCAGTGTCTGTGGCTCCTGCAGCATGTTAATACCGAGCACATCCTCCACACACACACACACACACACACACACACACACTCGGATCTGACACTTGGCCGTCGGCAGGCTCCACCAGCTGGGGGACGGCGGTGTTTCTCTCGCTTCCTGATTCCTCAGCGAGAGTCGCTGTGACATCTACAAGACGGAGCGATCAATAGTAGTGAACACAGATCCTCTCTGGACCCGCTCAATCCACAGGGGACCTGCTTGTTTGCTGTCAAATCCGGTTCTTGGACGGACGCAGATCCATTAAACAGAGCTCCGGACCCGCTGGTTCCTCTCGAGTCCTGATCCTCTGCATCCGACCATGGGCACAGACATACAGTGAGTCACAAAATGGTCTCGTAGGTTTTATTATTAGACCCTAACAGCGTCCATAGGAGTGCACGGATCGAGTGGTCATAGATCTTAAGGCCTATGGAAGATGTCTGAATAAGTATGAGCGACTTATTTTTATACAGTCAGTGCTTTGCATGCAATGCATTATCAATATATCGGCAATAATTCCACCAAACGTCTCTTATTGCTCAGCTCCCCCCAGAATGTTTGGTAATCCATGAACTCCCACAGACCTTGAAACATCTGAATAATGAGAACAGATGGAGAGAGGGCCACAGGAACGTCTTAACACAAACCAGGACGTGTCCTGTCATGCAAACTGAATTATTCAAACAAGCTTGTTGATTCATCTTGAACAGCAATAAGTGTCTACTGCCCTAATGCCATATGTTTAGACAATATACAAACTAACAGGAACACACAGTATATCCAATGTAATCCATTCAGTTATAATGTAATCTGGAACATAGTCTAAATCAGTGGTTTCCTGACTGAATCCTTCAAGCAAAGCTATGTCTACATGTGACCCCTTATCACTGGTTGTGGAGCAGAAAGTTATATTTTTACTTTATTTAATTTAAATGGTTTTGTGCAGTAGATATACATATGTATCTTTTTTCTTATTTACTCTCCTAAAGGGGGAGTCCTACTACTGTGTATGTGTGATGTAATAAAACAAAAAGATATATTACTGGCATAAACATTAAACAGAAAACATATCTCAACAAACTATATATATATGGTCTGTTGTTAATGTGGACATTGGCCTGGGCTGACAGACCTGGACTAATTGGATTATACCATAAATTATAATCCCTGTCCACCGGTCCTAATCTCTGTCAAGGCTCGAGGCTACATTAGCCAGTAGTAGCGTAATTCACTGGAATATCAAACCAAACTGTCAGTGGTGGAGCTGCATTATGGCTAAAGTAGATGCCAGGTTTTGATAAGGAAGAGGAACATTTGGAAAGAAAAATGTCACCTTTTAATCCTTTTTATGAGTTCAACAGTGTTATAGAGTTGCAATGCTAAATCTGTGAAGTACTCCTTCAGTGGATCCTCAAAATCAATATCCCTGTATCCCATCAGCTGACTCTGACTGACACCAGTTATGGGACCCCAACGGACTTGGTTCCCCAGGGCACGCTGCCAGGACAGCGAATCTTCTGATCCAGACCAGGAGAGGGAGAAGCTTTGGGCTGAGCTGTTTGATCAGCTGGACCTCAACAAAGATGGACATGTCGATATCCTTGAACTGCGGACAGGACTGGCAGGCCGAGGGATTTCCAAAGGCTCCCTGGAGAGGGTGAGACAGCAGGACACCTGAATCCCTCACACAGTGCACACACATACAGTTTACATACAGAGAGTTTATAGGGATTTTCTTCTCTAATAATAAATCGGAGAAGCCAATGATCTCTCCTCCACATTAAACATCCAGTGAAGGCCATGAGATCCTTTGTATTTTTCATCATGTAGAACTTCCTTGATCAGTGTAACTACAGTATATGTAGGTGAGGCAGTTGTATCGGGGCCAGCTGCTGTCCAGGGCCCATAACGGACCGCTCGTATCAGCACCGCTGCTATAATCTTGACTGACGTGAGCTGGACCTACATCATATGCAGCCAATCAGTTTACATGTTAACAGTAGCCAATGTAATAAGATGAAACACTTTCATACACAAACATTTTATTGACTCATACCTCTGTACATTTATGTTGTACAATAATCAATCTACAGGCTGTGTGCAGACATGAAACATTTTGCCAATAATGTCAATGTGGTGCGGCGTCACTGATTATAATCATTTTTCATATGTGCCATTGTGCTGTGTCATTAAAAGGATCATGATTTCATATGTGTGAATGTGCACTGTCACCAGTTAAGCTTTAATCTATCACAGTGCTCCGACACTAATCTGGTCAAGCAGTCTAGTCTATCACTGTTATCTTTTACTATTATCACTACTTTCTATAGCACAGCTTTAACTCAGGTGTCATCTGTGCATTTTGCTGTTACTGGTCTTTTTAAAGCTGCATGCTTTAACTTCTTTAATTCGCCACTGACATTACATCAGGTTATGTCTGATTGTGATGGCTTTGATCCTCTTGCATTGGGGCCCGGCGCTGACTCGTTATGCCGCTGTCCTTGATCTTAATGATCTGCCTGCTGTTTGTGCAACAGCAGAAACCAAGGACATCAACAGCATAACTTTATTATGAATACACACAGGGTGTCTCTCACCTCTCAGTCTGTCTTTGACTGTTTGTGTGTGTGGATCACCAAGAAGACTCACTGTCACTTTCTGCCATGCTGCCTCTCTCTCCCTCTTCTGTGTGTGTATGTGAACATATATTACTCATGTTGTGGGAACATAAACATGTTTACACAGCCACATTGTGAGGACTCGCCTCCGTTTTGGCGACAAAATGCAGGTCCCCGCAACATACATAATTAGATTTTTGACTTTTAGGTTTAGGGTATGAGTTGTTGTCTTTGACTGTGTCTGTGTGTGTGTGTGTGTGTGTGTGTGTGTGTGTGTGTGTGTGTGTGTGTTGCACATGTAAAGGGCAGCATGCTGTCTATTTTGGTACAAGGAGCAGGACTTTGTAAGATGAGAATGATAACCTTTCTCTCAGTCCTACACTTCATATCTTTTCACATATGGATCATTGTCATCGTTGAGTGTCAACCTTTTCTTCTGTACCATTTCTCATTGGTTGTGTCATTTTAGTCATTCTTACTGTCTCGTTTTTTCACCACCTTTATTATGGGTAGTTTTATAGCCTGGGTCCACTTTTACAAAGGATTTCACTAATGGGACAGGACCATAGTAGAAAATTTTTTCAGTATAATAAATGATATTCTGATCATATGAAAAACAGACTGTATGCCTTCAATACATATTTAAAATATAACTATTTACACTGTAAAATTAATAATTAATGAATTGTTAATTAATAAAACCTTCAGAAACATTCTTATAAACAAATCCCACAAATGCAAAGCTACCATCAATGAGATTTTTTGTAACATTTGAATGTGTTGTATAGTTCAACAGACAAATTAGTTAAATTAATATAGTTTGGTCATTCCTTGACTACACAACATGTTGTAGCTTTATTTGTCCGACAGATGGCAAGGTAGAGGAGTATTTAAAGACTACAAACCTAGAGTGCAATCTTGATCTTGTGGTATTTCACGGCTGTCAACTCTATTGTATTTCCACCAATAGGCTGAACTTATGCAGTTGTGCAGAATTAAGAATAAAGGGATAAAGGGATATCAGGGTTTCAGACTGTAATTTAAAAGTATTTGTTGCACTGGGGTTTACAAGCTAGCTTCTGGCTAACAGGACTGAATATCTGCCAACTGCCCAGACATTTGTTTATTATTGCCTGTCCTGGCTGTCTGTGTTTTCAGCTCGTGAAGGCTGGGGACACCAACCAGGATGGAGTACTGGACTTTGAAGAGTTTACGCAGTATCTTCGCACCCATGAAAAAGAGCTCAAAATCATGTTTCGTAACCTGGACAGGAACAATGACGGTCTGTAGCAGCCCACAGCACACAGTTTAAATAATAATTTATAGCAATATTACTTTAAAACATTTATATTGATATGATTTGAAAATGTTCTCCATACTGTAATTTCTCTCTCTGTGTGTGACTGGTGGATCTTTGCAGGTCACATAGATGCAGCAGAGATCCAGCACTCTCTGCACACTATCGGTGTGAACATTAGCCTTCAGGATGCCACCAGGATTTTGCAAAGGTCTGTTAACAGTATGTTGATGTCTGATATCACATATATGTATAAAACCTTGGCTTGCATGTTAACAACTCTCATCACTGAAACTTTGTAATATAGTGGACTGCTCTCAACTGAACTATCGTGCATAGTAGTTCAGAAACACGTTTATACAAACAATGAAAGGCTAAAGGATTAGCTCAAATTGAGAATCCAGATTTCAGCAGCAAATTGTAAGCTTTACCATGTTGCACAGTCACACCAACAGCCAAGATACAATTCAGTCCTTTTCCTGTCTTGTGAAGTAACAAAACTGAAGACAAAAAATTCCACTTCCCCCTAAAACTGGTCTCTAAGTGCACTGACTAAATGATTACTTGTTGGAGTCAATCAAAGATTTTGAACTGATTTAGTGAGTTTAGATGGCTGGTTAAACATCCTACATCTGAGCTTTGCATCCTGATACATTAAAGTTTCACTGTCTAGATTACATCTGTCTAGAAGAGGTTTTGGGATGATGGCAGAACTTGTAGTTGCTCTGATAATCAACGCCTGGATGATTATTTCCATCTGATATTCCTCTTTATGCATGTTTCCTGTTCATCCCTTCTCAAATAAGAAAATCTGTTGAAATAATGACAGTTACGTTGTCTATTGCTGTTGCTTTGGTGCATTGCACTTTTTCATAAGAGAAAATAATAGCTTTCACAACTTTCTGGCACTTAGGATTTTTGGAATGCACCTTAAGAGTTCAGTATTGGTACTTTTACTTTGAGAAGTTGCTGCATTTCCTACATGCATTGTCTTTAAAATAGCTTTAGTTTTGCACATTAATTTCCTCTGTTAGCTTAGGTGTGTTCTCATACTACTACTACCAAGGCATTAAAGGTTTCTTCACGTCTATCTTTAAACATGAGCAAATTATTGATTCCTACCCTCTGTAAGTCAGTGGGTGCCTTAATGATTCTACTTTATATGAATTTCAGAACTTTTGTGTTTATGTGTCACTCAGAATTGACAAAGACGGTACCATGACCATTGACTGGAACGAGTGGAGAGATTATTTCCTGTTTAACCCTCTCAGTAACATGGAGGATGTGGCACGCTACTGGAAACGTTCAATGGTGAGATCACACACACTTGAACAAGAACAGCATTGTGTTAACATCTAAATAACAACGTGGTTGAGTTAAACATCAGTTGCTTAGAGGATCTGTTAAGTAAGTTATGCTTTCGATTAAACGCACATTGTTTGAAGTACTTTCAGTCATCCATAGCCAGCAACGAAACATGAAATTTAACAATAAATGAAATCAATTACATATTGTGCAACAAAGAAAAAAATGTATTTTAAGAGGAAATTTCCCCCCGATTTGAACCTCTGACTGACCGACAGGCATCGCCTTTTTGATGTTCCAACTCTTTTCTTTCTTCCTCTCTCCCCTTTATTATCATAATCCTCATTCCAACCACCACGGGTCCAGTAGATGTTGGATATAGGTGAGCAACTAACCGTCCCAGATGAATTTTCTGAAGAGGAGAAGAAGTCTGGTTATGTGTGGCGGCAGCTGATGGCTGGAGCCATTGCTGGGTCTGTATCTCGGACTGGAACTGCTCCCTTAGACCGCCTCAAAGTCTTCCGACAGGTCAGTCAGTTATGAGTTCATCTCTTAGATCAGTCTAAACAAAATGATCATTCACGTGTCACTGCCTATGTGTGAGTTTTCTTTTTGTCTTTGGTTTGTGACAGAGAGCTTTGAAATGAACCTTCAGTCAGCCATTACTGCTTTACACTAAGTGTTCCTATCTGACTCTGCCAGGTTCACGGTTCCACTGATTTTACAGGGAATGTGCGGAGCACTTTTCAGTACATGGTGAAAGAAGGAGGATTGCGGTCGTTGTGGAGAGGAAATGGAATCAATGTTCTTAAAATTGCCCCAGAAACTGCAATCAAATTCACAGCTTATGAACAGGTGGAGTAGACTTGAGACCTCCCTTATTGTTTTGGTTTTTTGGAACCTCTGAACATCCATTCATCTTTGAATTCCCATATGTCTTTAAGGCATCTATAATGATTTCTCATTCTCTTTCGAATATTTCAAAAAAAACATTCTCTTTACTACTTGTCCATTCATCAAATGTTTAAAGGAATAATTGTCTGTACACTAAATACAAAGCTATCCGGCAGCAGATAATTAGCATAGCTTAGCATGAAGACTGGAAACACAGGGAAACACTGGCTGGACTATTTCTTGGGGTTTCTGAAAGTTGCTTGGCAACCTCATGGCGATGACAAGACTCCAAGGAAACTAATAAAAGGAAGGATGGATCATTACATCTTAACAACACTGTTCTAATGCTGTTTGACTTTGTGGGAGATTTATAGAGAAGCACACCAAAACCCAACAAATGTATGTCGTATGACCTTTGATGAAGGAATGCCTCTACCAAATGAAAGAAGCATAGCATTACATTAACATAACTTGCATGGAGACTCCTGAAATATTAACTAAGTAACAACACACCGAAATGCTGCTGCCTCCATCACCCAGATTAATAACCTGTGAAACTGAGAGGGGAGAGAGGAAGGAGTGTTCACCAATGTACGTTCAGGCGCTACACAGTGACAATATGACCTTTCCTTGTTTTCTAGTTGCCTTGCAGGTCTGCAGAAAGTCACTCCTCCCAGTCAAGAAATAGTATGACACATAACACCCTGTAAACCCACACTGTGATGTTTTTTTCACTTTGGTTTTTGTATCAATTAAACAAATGGAATATAATGTGTTAATTATTCCTCTTTAGCTGTGCTGGTAGGTATATTTTGTTACCTTTGGACAGAGCTAAGCTAGCTGTGTCCCCATGTTTCCAGTCTTTATGCTAAGCTAAGCTAACTGGCTGCTGGCTATAGCATCATGTTTATCGTACTGAAGAGAGTGGTATTCTCATCTGTCAAACAAATACGTCTGTTTCCCAAAATGTAGCAACAGTGCATCTATTTTCCATCAATTCTATAAAATCATTTGTGGGTTTTAAATTATGTTTACTTTACTTACTTTATTCTTTCTTTGCTCTGTAACTCTGCATAGATCAAGCATGTGATGCGTGGCGGTAATGAGAGTAGAAATCTGAGGGTTACTGAGAGGTTTCTTGCCGGCTGTTTGGCTGGTGCCATAGCTCAGACAGCCATCTACCCAATGGAGGTAATATCAGGGTAATAATATTCACACATAGAAACATTCATATTGTTTCAAGAAAATACACTTTTCTGCATGAAATGACTGATACCTTTTCTCTTTCTGTTCCTCCTTGTTGTTTTTCCTTTTCTCTTCCTTTTCCCCACAGGTGCTGAAGACCCGTCTCACACTAAGGAAAACAGGCCAATACTCAGGAATAGCAGACTGTGCAAAACAGATCATACAGAGGGAGGGTGTCTCAGCCTTCTACAAGGGCTATTTACCCAACATGCTGAGTATTGTGCCTTACGCTGGCATAGACCTGGCTGTCTATGAGGTCAGAGAGACATGAAAGCACACAGCTTTCACAGTATGTCTCCTTAGCATTTACCTTAGTCTCACTACCTCTATTCCACAGACTCTGAAGTTTTCCTGGCTGAACAGGAACAGAGGTTTGGCTGACCCAGGGGTTATGGTACTGGTCGGCTGCGGTGCTGTTTCCAGCACCTGTGGACAGTTGGCAAGTTACCCGCTGGCACTGATCCGCACCCGGATGCAGGCACAAGGTCAGGATAACGATGGTCATACTAATATAGATACAGATGGGTGGCAAATTACAGGTAAAAACCATCAGAATGTGTCTTAGTGTAAGCTTCAGTGCTCTTTGTGATAGATACTCATAGTCCTTGAATAGTACTCCAAAAGATATTTCCTCATTTTATGGTAACAAACATTAGCTCCTACACACTGTCGGCACTTGAGGTAAATTTATTGAATTGCTTCATTTCTCTACAGCAACCTTCAGCAGTCATTTGTATTACTTTTTTTCCCCCCTACGCACCGTCTCAACACAGGTGCGTTCACTTTTCTTGTAAAGATGAGGAACCATCCAACAACCCCTCTTGTGCATTTGTTATATTTCTCCACAAATACGTTCATGTTTTTCCTTCAATTCATCACCCATCTGTATGTGCAAGGAAGCATGCTAATTTAGCAAACCCGAGCACTATAAAACTATGAGTAAAGGTATATACTGTAACTTACTGCTGACTGTTTTCCAAAGCATTCTAGTTGCTAGATTGACTTCATACCTCCTTGTGAGCCATTGGTTTACATACATAAATTAAGAAAAGGAATTGTGTCCTGAGTGAAGGTTTCTTTTATCAAACTACCATTTCTGAGGTCTCAATGCATTATATGCTTTGGAAAATAGCTGGCAGTAATGTAATTGCAGGTCTTTTGTCTTTATTAGCACCAGGTGTCACCAGAGTCTTGTGTAGTGAGAGACCAGAATGTATCAGTGAAGCTCTTATTTTTCTCTCCCCTCAGCTTTAGTGAAGGGATCCCCTAAACTCTCCATGTCGACGTTACTCTACAACATCGTGACCCAGGAGGGGCTGGCCGGACTTTATCGAGGAATTTCCCCTAACCTGCTGAAAGTCATCCCTGCTGTCAGCGTGTCCTACGTCGTCTACGAATACACAAGGATAGTCCTGGGAGTGGACATTGAGGGTAGGAGAGGCGGGAAAGGGAAGGGGTAGAAAAAGGTTAAATGGTTTGGGGTGGCTTTCAACTACAAGCACGAACAAATCTGTTGGCAATGCATGAGGAACTGGGCCTTGGCTCGTGATGAATACATGGTCCTGTGATCACAGGTCTTGAGCTTGCAGGATGGGGATGATAGGATGGAAAATAAACCATGCAGCTCACATTTGGAGGAGCTCACCTGAACTGGCAGCTGCTGTGATGAGTTTCACGTGTGATATATTGCAGTGCAATGCATGTCAGCAGTTGTGTGAAAGTTAATAAACTAGCCTCCTGCTACTGCATTGACTTTGACAGATGAAGACGAGCATGAACTTGCCTGAGAACAAACAGAACCAAACTTGGGAGCCATGTTACATTCCTACAGCATTATCTTTTCTCCTAGGTGATGTATAGAGAAGATAAAGGATTGATAGGAGGACTGATCCAATTTCCGGTTCTGTAAGTGAGGGGACCCTGAAGTCGCTGCACACAGGTGGAGTTACAGAGTCAGGACTTTGATTGACTCATCTTAAACCAATGTTACAAATACTAAAGTACAGAAATAATTACAAAACAACAACAGAAAACTACTGAACTGAAGCACAACAAAGGACTTTATATTTTACAGTAGTGAAACTGACACAGCCATATCAAGCAAGTAGGACCCTCAATAACCTCTCTTGTAAAATTCTTATGTTTTATAAGTCTTCCTGTTCAGAGAGGTGTGTTTGTGTCCTTTTTTCTAATGTTTGAAACACACTACTGGGTCCAGTGCCACATAGTATTTTCATAAACTGTATGTATATACACTATGGTAAAGAGTTTGTCTGTATCATGAAACAATAACAAATGAGATTTAATGCCAATGAACATTTTGAATGTATCAGTATTTATTATAGAATATGCTAATAAACCCATGCATTGGGCTGCTTTTGTTAAATAAATGCCATTAAGCTTTTTTTCTGTAGAACTGAAATGTTGAGAATTGGTAGCTTTCCATAAACCCGACAGCCTAATAAACTCACTGCACTAATACTCAGCAATTTGTCCTTATGAGCTTCAACCCTGTTGCCTTTAGTTGCCATGCAACAGTACCTAAGAACATTGTCACTAATTACTCTTGTCCATTCAGTAAAGTTTCACTGAATAGCTCTGGCAGTGCAGTATAATAATTATGCAAGCAAGGGGAACTATAACGCCAAAAGGGACCGCTCATGTCCGTCTCATGGTTTCCCAACAAATAATTTAATATGATGTTTTTTTAGAAATCTTTCTTTCCTCTGTCAAAGTGTTAAATAAACAAATAAATGTTGATTGGCTAAAGGGACACATGCCTTATTTATAAGTTAGCTGTGTTGACCTTGCTTCCTCTTGCCTTACAATAACACGATGTATTATTATTATTATTATTATTATTATTAAAGATAAAATGCATTGTCTCCGCATGAAACCCTTATCCACTGTTTTTAACATGTTTTTACAACTGCGAGTTCTATTTTTCCACCTTAGATGTTAAAAAATATATTTCCTATTGTAAAATAGTTTATAAATATATAATGTACACATCATGTACACCTCCAGCCCAGGAGGTGGCGGTGTGTTTCCTTTATAACACTGGCCGTCAACACCCCGCGCTACAAGGAAGAAGAGGAAGAAGAAGACCCGGCTGTTCAAGGTTCGTTGATTGGTTATTTTAAGTAGGGAAGTTTGCCGGCGTGGTAGGCAGCCTCACTCACATTGGTGTCCTCCGTACGCTCCTGTTTAGCCTTCCCGCTTCTGCGCAGCTCGACCCGGCCAAAGCTATTCAGCCTGCCCCCTGTGTCTATTTGCCCCTTGTGAGCAGCATGTCTGATTACGGCGCTCTGCCGACAAACGGAGTCGGCGCTGGGATGAAAAACGACGCTTTTGCAGATGCTGTACAACGAGCTAGACAGGTAAAGATAAACCGAGAGCTCGACTACCAGAGGAGACAGCCGGCGAGACAGTTAGCTGCCGGGAAACTGAAGCTAGCTTAATTACCCGTGACGTTAGCCTTAGTTAACTAGCTACTAGCTTGCTAGCCAGCGAGCTAGTAGCTAGTAGCTAGTAGCTAGTAGCAGTGCCATTCATTTGTCTTAACACGCTGACCGGGTCGACTGATCGGCTGAAAACGATGGTGGATTGAACAGCGGCAGCAATGTAGGTCACTGTTTCATGTACATAAAAGGATTTGGTCGACAGCGGGGACCGCGGGTTGGTTAAACGGACTAGCTGGTTGAGCTGTGTTAGCTATGTTAGTTATTATAGTTAATGGTAGGATGGTAATTTATCTTCTACCTCCTCAATGTGGGAAACTCCATTTTAGAGCAAATGGACAATTAACTAACATTGTCGAGGCATTTTAATGTCTGCAGACGAGCTCCACCGACTCTCTTATTGTGCTGTATTCATAACTAGTATGAAATGGACGAAAGTAAGTTAGTGACTTAAATTAAATGAGATTTTCCTCTCACGGTCAGTGGTGAGAGAGTGAAACTGCCTTACAGGTCTTTGTATTTAGGGCAGCACGACTAATGGTTCGCGTTGTTGATTAATCTATCGAGTTTTTATTCTATCTGTAAAATAGAAAACTGAAACTAAAGCATGTTTGGCCACGTTTGCTTTTTTGTTTAATTTACAAACAAAAAATGTTGTAGATTGTTTTGTTTTTTTTGTCTATTGAGTAATCAATTAATTGTTTCAGCTTTTAATAAAGGTCTTTACTCGTGTAGAAATTAAAGTGGGATTCAAGCAATTCAGGATTGCACTTCCATTAAGTTGAGGCACTTGTGAGGAAAAATAAAAAAAGAGGAGATGTGAATGCAGGGTCAGGGCTCAAAACTAAGGATGTCCCAAAAAATAGGACCTGAGATACAAAGATGGTGTGTGGGAGAGTAAAGCAATGTATCATTAGCAATAAGATTACTACATTCATCAATCAGTATTGTATTCCTATGTTATTTGATGTTAACCCAAGGTTACTTTATTTGTACCCACAGGTAGATTTAGTCTGCTGTAAAAGATGACCAAATTATACAACAACAACTCAGGCAATAGATAAACATAATACAACCATGATAAATTATAAAAGGAAAAAGATAAGTGCTCCAGGCTCTAAAAATCAGGACTTTTAAAGAGAGATCAATTTTAAATGAACGCTATGCCTTGCTGTAGAAGCAGCTTCCCTCCGGGGCCAAAAATAAAGTGGAAAGTTAAAGTTGCGTCATGGATACATATCGTTTTCATTGTTAGGTGTGCAAATTTGAAAAATGTGAGGTGGCACCAGCATGTGCTTTACGCCAAATGTCACATGCTTACACCCACAAAATCAGACGTAGAAAGGTCTCACCCTCTCCTGTCCCCTCGCTCCCCTTTCTCTAGATCTCTGGATTAGCGTGTTCCTATCAATGTAAATATGTAAATTGTTCGTTTGACCTTTTAACTCATTCTCTCTCCGGATCTCTGGATTAGGGTGATCCTATAGCGAATATGTAAATAGTTTCTGATCCTTCCCTCCCTTTTTGTAGATTTAAACAAGAAATCGTTTTACTTCAAATATATGATGTCTCTGTAGTGAGTTTGTGATTATTTATTTGCATCATCGTGTACCAATCAGAAACTGTTTACAGTGATGCAGTTAGAAATAACTAAGAAAAATGTACTCAACCAGTGACTAAAAGAATAACTGATGGCCAAAACATCTAGGGTGGTTCTTCAAATTCAGATATAAGTGCAGTGTATGTAGGGAACAAAGAGCAGAACTTCTATGGTGGTACCGAGTGATGCAAGTTACTGAAACAAAATGATTAATTATTAGGAGTTTCATTTGGGACTATAGTTAAGTATGGGAAAACTAAAGGTAGAATGTGGGACAGTTCATTTTGAGCCCAGGTCAAGCCTCAAAGACTAGACCCTGCATTTCCCATGATGCAAATGAATGCCATTGCTAGACCCTCCCTGTCTAGTAAATGCCCGTGTCTTTCAAACTCAACAGCTCACACAAAGGCTTTCCGTTCTAAATTTGTGGTCTTTAGGCCCAGATGACCTCGTCAGTGTAGTGCTCATGAGTAAATTGATCTTCATGCATCATAACGTCTGTTGTTGAGATTCTCCAGCCAAAACCTGGGTCCCTGAGAGTTCATCACTGTTTTGGGGACGTATAGCAGAACCTTTATCCAGTGTTTGTCTTTCTAGATTGCGGCTAAAATCGGTGGAGACGGTGTTCCCTCAGTGAGCAACAACGGAGGTGCTGAGAGCTATCCATTCGCAGCACAGAAACGATCCCTGGAAGAAGCAGGTTAAAAATCAGCACAAACGAACACATTGTCAGCATTTGTTTCTCTACATTGTAAGACTCACGCTTTCTTCTGTTTTCAGATGAACCCGATGCTAAGAAGGTAGCATCACAGAGCGAAATAGATTCAGCATTGTGTACGTTAAATACACACATTGATCCAATTGCAAGCACTCGCTCTGCTCAGTTTCCAGCCTCTCACCACTTGTTCCTTCTCTTACAGCTATTGGAGCTCAGCTAGCTGCTCTGTCCCAACAAAGGTACAGGTTTATTTTTAGTGTTTCTTTTACTGGACATTTTGGGGGCTTGTGGTTGTGACAGAGACAATATCCTTTTTATGTATACATTTTTTTAATTTTTTTTATTTGCGCCACCAGGCCCTCCACAATGACAGAAGAGTACAGGGTGCCCGATGGCATGGTTGGTCTAAGTGAGTACATGCACATACATTTAAACCATAGACATGATGCTTGAGTTGCTGCGTTAAGTGATCAACCTAACATCTAAACCTCTTTGCTGTTGTCTTCAAAGTCATTGGCCGAGGAGGTGAACAGATTAACAAAATACAACAAGATTCTGGCTGCAAGGTCCAGATTGCGCACGGTGAGCTATGTGCTAAGCCCAGAATTACTAAGTCCAAATGTAATGGCTTTTCCAGTTGCTCTTGGATTGATACATATTTTTTTAATTCATTCACAGACAGTGCTGGTCTTTCAGAAAGAAGTGTTTCTCTGACCGGGTCACCAGATGCTGTACAGTAAGTTGGTGTTCATATTTAAAACAATGCAACTATTCCACTCTGTTTGGTTTGTGGGGACTTTTTGTTCATGGATGTCTAGCAGCTTGGCTCAAAGATGAAGAAATAACCCTATTCAGCTTCTCCAGAGGTTTATCGGCTGGTTTAAAGTTTATTAAGAAAGCGTAGTTCTCGCTTAAACCTGATTTTACCTATTATGCTCACTTCCAGCTCTATATTCTTAGACTCCACTAGAGTAGGTTTGCATGATTCATGCTTAAATAACAACTTTATTTATCTTAATCTTATCTTGCCCTTCATGCAGCCTCTGTTTGTCCTCTGTTTGAAACAAGCTGTCTCTAACTATAACTTCATTCACTAATTTTAGTGGACTGGATCATATATTATGGAATAAATATTTTCTTGTTTTCCCTCTGATTTTCTCTGGCTGCTCTGCTTCAACTTTCAGTGATTTTTTTTTTTTAATTTTTTTTCTTCAGAGTTTACTAATGGAAGTATAGCTACTTGTTAGCAGGTAGGTACTTTAGCTGCTAACTGTAGCCGCTGTTATCTGGTTAGCATGCAGCTAACTTAGCCATCCTATTAGGTGACTTTGGCAGACTGAGTTCTCATAGCACTCAACAGTGTTGGTGTTTAACCTTACATCACTTGTACAGGAGCTTTGGACCTAGTGGCTAGCTAATCACAACAAGTAAGGTGAATACGTCCACCAGTAAACTCCTTAAATCTCCAAAAGTTGAAAGAGGAAAAAAAACATAGAAAATATGCAACTTTAACTCACAACCAAAAAGAGCGCTTTTGCAAGACATACAAAAACTTGAAGGGTAGTCCCTGACTCCTGAGCACTTTGACAGATAAAGCATGTCTCTCTACTTTTGTGGGTATGCTCAGCCGTGCTCTGCCCCATAAATAACTGGTGGGTGGAAGTCCGTGGTGGTTAACGGCTCACCTCAGGGCACAGGGGAAAAAAAATGTTAGGATTTCCGTTTTGTTTAACTTGTCAGAATAATTGTTAAAATTTGTTGGGTTAGGTTAGTTTCTGCCTTCTGAAAGGACATACTGCTTGATCCCCTAGACATCCATGAATTGAGCCAAAGGCTTCTTGCACTGCCTGTAATAAGTTGGAATAGTGCAAACCATTAACTAAATTGCTTGTATGCCCTGTCATTCAATAATTTCATCACCCTTCTTTCATTTGAATTTGCTTCCAGGAGAGCCAAGGCACTTATCGATGACATAGTGTCAAGGGGTCATGAGTCAACCAATGGGCAGTCAGGTTCCATGCAGGAGATGATCATCCCTGCGGGCAAGGCCGGCCTTATTATAGGCAAAGGAGGAGAGACCATCAAACAGTTACAGGTAAGAATCACATGGTACCTTTTTGATATAACTCTTTAGTCACTCAATTTAGTGTTTCTACTGTACAAATATTAGAAAGAAGCTGTTAATCAAAAGTCTTTGCCTGATTTTTAGTTTCACTTATGAGGTGTAATCAGTGTAACATTACTCTCCTGCAAAATATTAGGAGCGGGCTGGAGTTAAAATGATTCTCATTCAAGATGGATCCCAGCCACCCAACATTGATAAACCCCTACGCATCATTGGAGACCCCTTCAAAGTGCAGGTACTCTTTAAGCACTGTCAAAGGTTCTGGCTAAGTGGGACATGTTTTCTGCCCCTGTTTACCCTTCAAATCATCATATCTTCCTTGTGTTGCTTTTTTTAATTTTTTTTAGCAAGCTAAGGAGATGGTCAATGAGATTCTACGAGACAGGGATCATGCTGGTTTTGGAGACCGGAGTGAATATGGATCAAGGATGGGGGGAGGAGGAGGAGGCGGAGGTGGTGGCGGTGGCGGCGGCGGCATAGGTGGTGGCGGCATAGGCGGTGGTGGCGGTGGCATCGATGTAAGTAATCCTTTTTGTTAAATACAAAAGTTACGAGTGATGCATATATTTAAAAACATTTATAAAATGAATGGATGAGACTCAACTACTTTTTGTTTTTGTAATTCTGCAGATAGCTGTGCCTCGCCATTCTGTGGGAGTTGTAATTGGCCGAAGTGGGGAGATGATCAAGAAGATCCAGAGCGATGCTGGAGTGAAGATACAGTTTAAACCAGGTGAGCTCTCTACTTGCAGGAATATTATCATGTTTTACCATTTAGGTGGCAGGAAACATACTTTTAATTTTGTTGTATTTAGCTTACTGTAGTTATCTTAATTGTGCTGTATTTCCAGTGTCTTTTACATCTGAAGCTAGGTAAAATTGCAGCTACTATAATATTGACCAGGTATGAAGAAATATGGATCCATAAGACTTTAAAAGTCAGTCATCTGGACTGATGGAAATTCTCCTCTTTACAGTTGATCCTTTTGATTTCAGTCCCCGTACAAACCTCTGCCAATAATAAACGTGCCTGTCCCTTTGTCATCCCTTACAGATGATGGTACAGGTCCTGATAAAATAGCCCATATTATGGGTCCACCAGACCAGTGTGAGCATGCTGCCTCAATCATCACTGACCTGCTACAGAGCATCCGTGCCAGAGAGGAGGGTGGACAGGGGGTAGGTACAAGGTGTTGATGACAGAAACAGAGCCTTGCTGTTGAACAGTTAAACCTAATGTGAGGTATGTTATCTCCACAGGGTCCCTCAGGTCCTGGTGCAGGGATGCCGCCTGGTGGGCGAGGACGGGGTAGAGGCCAGGGCAACTGGGGTCCTCCAGGAGGAGAGATGACTTTCTCAATTCCTGCCCACAAATGTGGGCTTGTCATCGGCAGAGGAGGAGAGAATGTCAAATCCATCAACCAACAGACCGGTGCATTTGTGGAGATATCTCGTCAGCCTCCGCCAAATGGAGACCCGAACTTCAAGCTGTTCACCATCCGAGGGTCCCCCCAACAGATTGATCATGCGAAGCAGCTTATAGAAGAGAAGATTGAGGTACGTTCAAGTGACTCACAGAGCAAAGAGAGAAACTGTTCAAACCTGTTACACAGTTAAAAAAAGAGAACACACACTCTTGGCTGATTCTAAGTTTGAATGGCTTCTTCCTGTTTTCTCCAGGCTCCGTTGTGTCCAGTGGGGGGCGGTGGTGGTCCTGGTCCTGGTCCAGGAGGCCCAGGAGGCCCAGGTGGTCCAATGGGTCCCTATAATCCCAACCCTTATAATGCAGGGCCTCCTGGTGGTGCTCCTCAGTAAGTACAATCCAGAAATAATGACACTTGAATGCAGGAATTTTAATTTTTCCTTCAAGACAGAATATTATAAAAAAGCGTTTTTTAAATGGTGCTGTCCTCCTCTCCAGTGGTGCCGCACCTGGTGGCCCCCAGTTTTGTCCTCAGGGTTGGGGAAACACCTATCAGCAGTGGCAAGCCCCAAGTCCACATGACCCTAGTAAGTCCCTTTATTCTTCCCAACTTTTCTGTTTCTGTACTTAACACCTAAAATTATTATTTTTTTAATCTTGTATGGAACTCTGTAAATGGTTTCAGGTATGTAAGTGTATTCTTCTAAATAAGTCTTTATTCATTCTATTTTTCTTCCTCCCGTCATAAGGTAAGGCAGCGGCAGACCCAAATGCAGCATGGGCAGCCTACTATGCACAGTATTATGGCCAACAGCCAGGGGGTGCCATGGCAGCCCAGACTCCAGGAGCCCCTGCAGCTGCATCACCAGGGGATCAGAGCCAAGCAGCACAGGCCTCTGGGGGTCAGCCAGACTACACTAAAGCCTGGGAGGAGTACTACAAAAAGATGGGCATGAGTAAGTGGGATCTACTGTGAGGTTTAGACTACAAGGTTATCTCTGGGGAAATGAATTGAGTATTGCTTGTGTTACATTAAGTACTATTGGTATTGGAATTATTACTATTAAATGAATCAGTCACACTGGTGTTGGTTGTATACTGTGAAATAAAGGAGTGTATGACTGTGTTTCTCCAGCCCAGCCAGCTGGAGGGGCAGCAGCTGCTCCAGGTGCAGCAGCAACTGCCACAGCAGTGGCCGCAGCAGCCGCAGGAGGAGGGGGGGCTGCAGCTGGAGGCCAGCAGGACTACAGCGCAGCCTGGGCCGAATACTACAGACAGCAGGCTGCCTACTATGGACAGGGAGGACAGGCACCTGGACAGGCACCTGGTCCACAGCAAGGACAACAGGTAATACATCCACAACCAGAGTCCAAAATTAACCTTGTAGCTGCCAAGGTCTAGTGAGCTAAAAACAATTATCTGCCAATAACAAGGGACGTCACAAGAACTGAAACTTGGGTACCAAGTCGATGCCAAAATTCTGAAAACTTGACAGTGCTAATATTCAGTACTCGGTACTATGGGGCAGCATTTTTGCCTGGATGCAGGTCAGGTTCCCTGACTGTTTTGTGTCTTTTTTGTGATTTTTAGAGTGGGATATTGTGAGTTATTTGTTGTTTTAATCACTTGCATTGTTTCTTTCTTTCTATATAATCCTTATTGGTGAACTATGGAACATGAGGATTGTAGTAAAATGACTGTAGCTTAGAGAAGCATCCAGGCAGTCAACAAATGGATGGATATCACTTTGTGTACAGGCCGTTTAACTAGCCACCATTTCTGTTGGTTTGACTCGTTCAGTTCAATCAGATCTTTACATTGTACAACAGTAGCAAAGTTTAAGAACATGCAAAAACCTAATTTAAAGTGTGACACTAAGAGTACTGTTTGGCAGTTGACAGTTTATTATCTGCCATGAAATATTGGGTCTATTCATATACTCTACACACACCATATGAGCCAGAATTTTCACATTACTCTACAAAGCAAAGACTAAACAATAAATATTTGTCTCATTTCAGGCCCAGTAAACGACGGACTTGGACGGTTGCGATGGCTCTCTGGACTTGTTTGTTCTTTTCTATCAAGAGATTTCCTTTTTGGCTTTAATCGGACAAGACCATGGTTTACTCATCCACCTCGACATTTTCTATTCCAACATTGTTGTTTGGGTTTTTTTTTTAAAGTCAAAATTGTAGAAAGGAAAAAGGGAACACATTTTGCCCATGCATTGAACAAAGCACTAAATAACTACTTGGGTTATAATTCAGTTTGCCCCTGAATCAGTTTTCACCTCACCCACACCTTGGTAGACATCCGATCCTTTTTTAAAATGTGAAATAATAAGCATCTTTGCTTGCAAGCTAGCACAACAACACCATCTCAACACTGACTTACGTTTAAGTAGTTTTTCCCCATCAATTTCCTGAGGGTAAAAAAACAGTCTAGCAGTATTTTGAATATATTCAGAAATTATGTTTGTAAGAAAAAAATACAGAAATGTGGGTCTCTTTTTTTTCTTTTTCTTGGTCTTTTTTTTTTTAAACTTCATTTTTAAAAACATTCCCAGTGTTTAAGTTGCAGGTGTATTTCTACCTGCTATTATGATTTCTTAGTTTTAATTTTATTCATTGTAATTATTTTCTGTAAGGGGGGGGGTCGTGTGTCTGTATACAGTGTATGCTACTGAACAGAAAAATGTGTGAAAGTTGGCTGTAATAAGGCACTAAACTGTCCTACAGTATGTAGGCTGGTTGTGTGTGCATGTATGTGTTTGTGTGCTTGCCTGCCCTCGATTTAATTTCATTATTGTTGGAGATTTTTTTTTTTTTGTTCCGATAGGTTCCGTTACTGTATGCTGATTTTTTTTTTTTTTTTTAATGTTATTTTTTACAGCTTGTTTTTAAATACTTAAATAAAAACATTCAAATTACCAGTTTCTTTTCTTTCTCTCTTTATTGTGTGACCATCATCAGCGTTATGATTGGTGGTTTAACATTTAGGCAAAATGCTAAAGTATCAAATGAACGACTGAGTTTACATTTCACTAGTAATGCTGGAAGAGACAATCCTACATAACAGAGCTATCTATTTAAGGTCCCTCTGTAGGGTGTCACCTCTGTCACTCCCTACCTTTGTTGTGGTCTTGATGGATGCGTCCACCGGCGAGTGAGCGCAGTCTCGTGCAGCCTGCGGACCAATCGCGACAGTCCTCAATGCAACGAGGGACCGCGGTTCAGTGGGAGATGGCGCCCAGCTCGAAATCCGAAAAGGACGAAAGCAAACAGAAAGCTCAAAGGAAACACAGAGACCATGTCGTGAAGCTTCTCATGCGCGGGAAGGTAGGCATGAATCCACGAAACGTGTGACATGAAACACGGAAAGGGTGGATCCGAAATAATGCGAGAGTGCTTCAGTGAAAGCCGCCTTGTTTTCAGTAGCTTCAGGGGCTAGGTTAGCTGCTGGCTAGGTTAGCTGCTAACTCACTCGGCAGCTAACTAACGTCTAATGGCAGACAGGTGGCTAATAAGCTAATGCTACAAAGTATGAAAACATCGAGTGTTTCCTACTTTCTAGCAAATTGTCTCGGTGTTTGTCTCTCTTGGTGTGTTTTACTAACGCATAGACATCTGAATGTAAAGGAACAGGGTTAGCATGCTAGCTGTTAAAGTCAAAGGCAAATACCTTTTTATTGTAATGTGTAAGCTCAGTCTGCGTTAGCTTCAGCTAAACCACAGCAGCAACTTGCAGTAATCTGCAGCTCATAAGTGCAGCCTCGACCCTCAGATATAACCACTGAGCCATTTCACGTTGCAGACAACTGATCTGTGTGTGTGTGCTCAACCCTTTTAAATACTCTGGTGTGTTGCTGGGGGCATTGCATGAAGCTGGATTGTCTTCTTTTTATGAACCATCACGACTGATAAGGCAATCCCATTATACTGCAAGCCCTACATCTGTTACATATTCTGTGTGCTCATCTATCCAAGTCTGTATTCACTCTCTGCTTGTTCTGCAGCTGTCAGGACAGTTTTCTCAGCGTCTGTTCAGGAAGCTGCCACCCCGAGTATGTGTCCCATTGAAGAACATTGTCAGCGAGGAGTTCCTGAGAGCAGGGTCAGTGTGTGTGTGTGTGTGTGTGTGTGTTTAATAAATGGGTTTGTTGTCATTAAGCACCTTGTCTTATAGAGTGGACTGCAGTACACCTTGTTTAGCTCACTGAGAGCATTTCAAGCCAAATGAGATCTTTGGTGTGTCAGTCAGGATTGTTGATGCTCTGTCTACACTTGATTCTGCTACATGATTACCTCAGCTCAAGATATCTGCCAATACAGATGAAAGATCCAATACCAATATTCTCTTTTTCACAAATTAAAAATCTGCATACCTCAATTAATTGGGATCATTTTTGTGTAAGGCAGCACGAGGCCAGGGATTGCTGTGGCACTAAAATCTGCGTCGGCAGCCCCTTCATGACACAATGAATATAATTGATAATGAAAACAATTTATAATGTTATTGACTAAGAAACTTTATTTAATATGGTCATGGCTGATACCCAGTCTGCTTTATAAGGTCACTATCAGTGCCAATATTAACCTGATGTACTAGATTGGTGCTGCTAGTGACCATTACATTCAGAGGATTTACCTTGTGTATTGTGTAATATTCTTCAAGTTGAGACATTACATTACATTGGTGCATCGCTTTTTTTCTAGACATATCTTTCTTGGCTTCACCAAATGCGGCCGCTACGTTCTGTCCTACACCAGTGACTGTGGGGAAGATGATGATTTCTCTTTCTATACCTACCATCTCTATTGGTGGGAGTTCAACCTGCACAGTAGACTCAAACAGGTAAAGGAAAGGAAATGTACTCACGAGAACCTTGTTGTGATCCATCCATCAGAATGTGGACAAATTAAGACTGATTAGATGCAATACCATGTCCTCCTGTGAGAATTATAACTGGAGAACTCAGATAAGTCAACTTAATGTAAAGATATCGCATCCTTTGTCTCGTGTGCTTTTTCTCTCAGGTCCACCATGTGCGTCTGTTTGCAGGAGAGGAAATCTACAGCGACCTGTACCTGACTGTGTGTGAGTGGCCAAACGACCACTCCAAAATTGTCATCTTTGGCTTCAAGTAAGAAATAAACACATCTATCAGCAGGCTGATTGAATTTAAGCAAGATGTATGTTATTGCAGTGTGTAGGTAATCGATGAGTAATTTTGTATTCCTGTGTGGTTCTGCCTGCCAGCACACGCAGTTCAAGCTCCGTTCTGATGAACTTAATGATGAGTGATGAAAACAACAGAGACATCTACATCACCATCGCCTCCATGCCTCCTCCTAAACCTTGCTCTCACTGCTGCCCAGTTCCCTCAGCCACCACCATACGCACAGGTAAACACACACACCACACACACTTACTGTTATCACTACCCCTCTCTCTCTCGCTCTTTCTCACCCTCATCTCACTTCATCCTTTTCTCTCCCCAGGAAGTGGTGAGTGTCTGGAGCATGGCTACGTGCTCAACAGCAGGTACCAGGTGGTGTACCCGTTCCCCACTTTTCAGCCTGCTTTCCAGCTGAAGAAGGACCAGGTCATCCTGTTAAACACTAGCTACTCTCTGGTGGCCTGCGGCATCTCACTCTGCCCAGGTGACACACTCACACAAAACAGTAGAATAGGTATATTGACTAAAATCATATCATCATCATCATCAGGTTTTGTCTCCGGATAGGATGCACTACATACTTACACTCCAGAGGACATATAAAAAGGGTCAGATTGGGCCATTGTTAGTACGAACTAAATTTGGTGGGAGGCTGAAACAGTGTAATTGCTTCCATAGCTGGATCTGTTCCCTCCTGTCTGTCTTCCGAGACTCTTCTGTGAGTAGACACTGTGTGTTCATGCTGAAACATTTGTTGCTATTTTGGCCAGAGTTCCCTTGGAAAATAATATTTGTACTCTCAAAGGGGCTTCCCTGGTTAATTAAAAGTTTAATAATAAATTAAAAATGTGAACAAAGGCTGGATAATTCTGACATCATGCTAATGTCTGTTGTGCCCAAGATGCCAAATTGGTTCCTTTGTGTCACACTAATAAAGATAAAATGTTGCTTAATGTTTGTTAATCCTGACACTTATTTTCTTGCAGGTAAACAGGGTCAGTCATCGCAAATCCTTTACACAAAGAGAGCAACTCTGTCAAGTCAATCCTCCATGTCCGTTTCCTCCACCTCCTTGGCCTCTTCTTCCTCGCTACCTCAGGGATCACCCGAAAGCCGACCGCCTCCTAGCAGACCCGCTCCAATTCCCTCATCTCCTAGCCAGTCACAAGCAGCCGTGCGAGCCAGGGAGTTTGCAGCTGACCTCTTCAGGCGGGCCCAGGGAGCAGGTGGAGGAGGAGGAGCAGGAGGAGGAGGAGGAGGAGTGAAAGAGAAAGAGAATGAAGGCCAGGCAGAAAGGAGAACAGTTGATGGTGGTGAGAAAGAGGCAGTGCAGATACCAGGAGACAAAGGGATAAATGGAGAGAGGAGGAGAGAGGAGGAGAGACGGACTAGTTTGCCACAAGCGTCAACATCAGGTGGGAGCCACAGTTTGCCACAGTGCTCTGAACAAGTGATGTCTCCTGCCTCCTCTTCCTCATCACCGTCATCTCCTCCGACCCCGTCCTCATCCCAGGAGGCTGGCCCAGGCGAGCCTGGATATGTCAACTACTCACGCCTGCACTACTGCCTCCAACAGCCAGGGGAAGCAGAGCAGAATACAGGAGGTGAGCAAAAGAAGAGGAGACAAGATGAGAGATTAGAAAATAACTGATCAGGTCAATGTCTGAAGCGCCCACATTTTTCTTCTCCGTTTCTGTGTCTTTAGGTTATGAAGATGATAAAGTTCAGCTACCTTTCACAGTCACTGACCTTAAAGGACGGAACCTGCAGCTGGTCACTGGGCCACACGATGGACAGGTGTGTGTGTGTGTGTGTGTGGGGGGGTACATCTGTGTGTGTCTGTTATGTCTACAAATCTACAAAGCTGTTAGTGAAAAAAAAAAAAATCTAACAAAAGCTGCTCTGAAATTTGATACTTAACTCATGCCAGTGATTGGCTGTCGCTGTAGGCAACCAATGCCACCACTGATCTAGGAAAGACTGTTAAGTGTCTCATAGTTTAATGAAATATTCTGCAACCTCACCTAAAAAAGACTATTTTCTATAATGACATGCACCTGCCTGTAAATTCTGTGCCAGAACCTGCATTCATTAACTAAAAAGAAACATAAGTCACATGTGTAAATTGTGAGGGTTGGTGTGTTCACTGTGTACCTTTTTTAAAAAAAAAAAAGTTGCTTGTGTTCTCTCCTTCAGAGTGTGTGTGTGGAGCAACTTACCCTAGACTTTGAGTACCTTATCAATGAGGTGATCAGGAGCGATGCTGCCTGGGCCCCCCAGTTCTGCTCCTTCAGCGACTATGATGTTGTGATATTAGAGGTCAGCAGACACACACACACACACACACACACACACACACACAGTAACCTTTCATATCTGATAACTGTTCTGGTCTGTGTTTCCATTGTGGAGGTAATGTAGTGTGTTATGGTTTTGAAACAATACATTGTTTTCCTCCTATATAGATTGGATTGCATATCTAGTTTGGGATAATATAATATGTTAAAATATACACATTTCCTACCTTGTCTCGCGTACTGTATCTTCAGAAGATCATTTTGCATTTGACCTGAAGATAATGTGTGTTTGATGTGTATCAGGTGTGTCCTGAAACCAACACTGTGATGATCAACATTGGCCTGCTGTTACTGGCCTTCTCCAATTCAGACGAGGAGCACTGCAGGTATTAAATAAACCCAGAACCTTCTCAGGCCCTGTTTCTGAAACCTTTTTCTGTTCCTGCTAAGTCTGCTTTTCATTGTTTTTGTTCCCAGGCCAAACACGTACCATTCCAACCTGCAGGTCAGCTGGGACCTAAACACGGGTGTGTGTTGCACTGTGGGTGTTGGTGACCTTACAGAGGTCAAGGGTCAGACCAGGTAAGGAACTACTGCCCCCCTCACACACAGACCCGTCCGTCTCCCTCTTTTGTTATTATGCTCGGTGCGGTTCTGTTGTGTTAAAGGTGTCAATCTTTATCCCTCCTGTCAGTGGGAGTGTGTGGAGTTCTTACAGGAAGTCCTGTGTGAACACTGTGATGAAGTGGTTGGTTCCCGAGAGCAGCACCCGCTACATTAATCGCATGACCAATGAAGCTCTACACAAAGGTGAGTTGTATACACATTTGCACACACATTGACTGTCCTGGTTTCTACCACAGACTCTCCTACACAGATCAAATGCTGTTGTTCAGATGTCTATTAGGATTCTTATTCATCCTGGTCACAAGTTACAGGTCTGATATAACTGGATTAGACCAAACTGCTTCTTACTTCTACTTTTAGTGTCCAGATCGATAGCAGCTCGGGTTGTTTTAGTATTTTTTTGTGCATTGGAATTTAAAGCAGCATCAAGGAACTTTCTGGTGCCCCCCGTGGACAAAAGTGGTAGTGTTTCCACCGCCTCATTGGGTCTCATTTCTAATGTCTTGGGCGAAAGTGTTTGTGGAATTGACCGCACTCTCAGCTTACAGTCGCCAGCACCTTTTGCTTCACTACATCTTGTGCACAAAGCTTTTTTGTCTGTTACCATAAATGTTTTCAAATTGATGTAAATTTCTTTAAAATACAGGCAAATCTAACTTAACTACTTGAATTGCTTTACAGCCATCATCATGTGTGCTAGTGGTAGATACTCTGAGAGACTGATCTACTTTGACAGTTAAATTAAAGTACACTTTGACACACTTGCTTGCCAGACTTGCAACCATTTTTCATGACCACGCTGTTCCTTTAAGCGTGTTGCTAGGTCACTGACAATGTCAGAGCAGGAAAGCACAGGTGGTGCTAATAATTAACGATGGCTCTGTTCTATTTAAGTGTCCCAGTAAGCCGTGGTAGTGTGACAGCGAGCTATGACACAGGCATGACACAGTAGGAAAAGCACAGGTGTAAATAATAAAATGAACGATGGCTGAATTCCATTTGGCTATTATTGTGCATGCTGGCTTACTGTCACATTGTACGTTTACTGCCTGGGACAATGAAATGCAAAAGTGATGGTGACACCTGTGTTCTTCCTACTATAATATGTCAAAATGTCTGCTGTGAAAAAGGCCTTAACCAGGACCCTGATACCAAAGCAACTAAATGGAATTATGCCATCAATCATTTTGTTTTTTACACCTCTGCTTTTCTATACTATGACTGGAAAATGTCTTCAGTTAAAAAGGCCTTATGGATAATACCTGGTGCCTAGGATATTTGTTAATTCTTTTAAGTGTTTATTTCAGATAAATTCAGTAGTAGTACTAATATTGGTAAATTAATAAGTTTCATTTGGCCAGCAGTTTGTTATTGCAGTAATTTCTCAGTCCTGTGTGGACACCAGACACTGTGGTCCGACCTTATGTTTGCTGTTTTCAGAATAGGTCCCAGCCACTGTAGGAAGTTTCAACAGTCCTTGCAAACGTTATGTATCCTAATTCAAACATCACTCGTCTTCTCACCTGTAGGCTCGTCCCTGCAAGTGTTGGCAGATAGTGACCGATGTACCTGGATTGTATTGTGAAGAAAGGAGAGGGCCACAAGTGTCAAAGCAACGGAAGGAAAAGCACACGGCAACACGGCCTCGTCATCAGTATGAAGCTCAACCTTAATCTCAGCAAAACTGCACACGTTCAGTGACTGCGCTACATGTAGTTCAAACGTGTCAAATAGAAACGAACAAAGAATGCCCTAGATTAAATATAAAGATGATGGTTTTTAAGGTGGTCTGTGTTTAATTTTACAGGTTTCCTCCTCTTTTTTTTTGTAATTGTGTACTGTATCATTGCAACCACCAAAACCGAGAGCTGGACTGAACGAAGATTTAGTTTTTACATTTTTGTTTTTATACATAAAGGCGTACTGTTATTGTTGTGCGAGTGTTCCTTATGTGTGTCTGTAACTGAACGTATGCAATATCTGCACCTGTGTGATGTTCACAAGGGGATTTCAACCAGAGAACAAGTGTGTGAATGTATGAGTGTGTGCATGTTTAGTGTAACATTTGACAGATTCTGCTGCTTCTGAACACGTAGTTTCCTCACCTGGCCTGGGCCCGTTCAGTCTAGCAGTGTTGATTTATAAGGCTGCAGTATTTAAAATGAGACAAATTGAACCCAGTACTGCATCACTTGACTCTTCACATTGTTTTTTAAACTTGTGTCATGGAAGTAGAGGGTTGTTTGAGTCACCTGCTCAGCTGGTTGACATCACACTGTATGTTTACTGGCTTGGAAGTGACACTTACGTTCTATTGGGATATTTTGTTAAAATAAAATGTTCAAAAGTTGTTTGTGCTTCTGTTGTATTAAGAACTGGATACACACAGTTAAGTCTGTTAAAGCTCTATTCAGCAGGCTCTCTGCTTACTCATCGCCTCGGGTCAGTGAAACCCGAGATCTGAAACTGTGTCATGGTGCTTAGGCCCCTGGTATACTTGCTTGCAAGCTTTAACTTTAAAAGTTATAAAGATTCAACATCAAGGAAAACCAGTATTTGGTTTAACTGGTAACAAATGGTTGATAACGGCAACCTGTGACAAAGGGTCCCAGACACTGTATGCTTCATTTTATGGGGGCACTCTACTGATTTTACACATGTACTGCAGCAGTTATAAAAAGGCTTCTGTGGCTCTGGAGGAACTTTATAAAGTGTGAAAAAATAAACTTGATTATCTTATTACGGTTAAGTGTGCTTAGGCTTGAGTCTTCACATTTCTAACAGAAAGCCTGCAGTACGAACTGGAGGTCTGACAGAAGTGGGCATTTAGGGGGCAGGGAGGGTCTAATATAGACACTAAAATTAAGGATATTTCTGTCAATGGTGTTGTACATTTCATAGAGTCAGTAAGTAAGAGAGTAAGTCCATAAAGTTGTGATTTTTCTCACTTTATGGGAGTACAGTACTACATTGCTGGAGAACCCCTTTAAGGGGCCACAAGCCAAAAAGGTTGAGAACCTCTGGTGTAGGTGATGTGGTTGAGCAATGACCAAGAGCAAAGTCTAGAGTAGCTGCACGAAAGAAAGAATTCTGGCACAAGTTTTGAGAGCAAACACATCATTTTAGTTTACAGTGAGAATAAAGCTACAAACGTTGATCACAGATCCAAGTACAAAGGTCTTCAGAATAACATAAAGAGGACCTCATTTATAAAAGGTTCAGCAGCACAAGCTAAGGACATCGCAGTTAGCAGTTGATTTTATTTTCAAGTCAGATTCTGTAGTCTGCTCTCACAATATTAACACATGTAAATATACCCTTGTTTTCTATTTAGTGCTCTTTGGTGGGATCTCTGGGGGGTCATTCCATCCTGAGGGACATCCCACTAGTACTATTAGAATTTCTATTGTTTTCCTTTCAGTCCCAAAGTACAACACACTTAATAAAATCAAAATCTGCTCATGCCATGTGAGAGGCTGCTGGTTGAGCATATGCTCTTTGGAGAGGGTTCATCTATAAAGTCACCATATTCACATGCTTGGTCCATCATCACCATCATCACAAAAATATAGCTCAATAATCTGGATGGTGGACACACCACAACATTGTTAAGGCAATAATGGTTAAACGACATACAAATAGTTTGGATATATGACAGTGTCCACAAAAGGTACATAATATAGGTTATCTACAAAATGTTCAACATTGATACCCAGAAAATAAACATCTACTTTCACACTACAAAAACTTTGAGATAGCTGTAGCTGGTACATAGTATGCCATGGATACAGTGTAGTAAGTGCTGCTTGATTGGGTGGGATAAGCTTTGGCCTTGTCCTGTGGCCCGTTCAGGTTGCACTGCATCTATCAAGGTGTGTGTGGTGGGGTAGCACTTTGAGCCGTCTGTCCAGTTCGTGTGTATGTGTGTGTTTTTGTGTGTGTGTTTAGAAGAGAGATTATGAGCTTGAAAGAACGGATGGATGATGAATAGATAAAACGGTGGATGGATGAGGAACATCAAACTGGTCAGAATCATCACAAGGTTTGACTGTCACCATCTCAGATTTGTTTGTTTTTTCACAGCTATTAAAAGTTCATGACAACACCAACACTACTTCACAGGACCTTCATTTATTAATCCACTGATACAGAATATATAGAATACAAGCTTTTTTTCAGGCTAGAAATCTCTCAAAGGCACAGGGTATCAGTTAATTGGCCGAATTAATAAGGAAAATACATTAAAAAGTAAAATATGGCATCCACATAGCTGTCAATCAACATCCATGTGCCAACAAAATCCATGGTTTGCAGTATCATTCCAGATGCTACTGTGAGGTTTAAAAATGTAAATTTCAGACGGTGCCATTCATTAAAGTCCAGCTCCCCTGCATAGTCATTGCTTCAAAAGGCAAGGTGAGTGATAGTTTGAGTATAGAGTACAATGAAGAACACTGGAGTCTTATCTCACCACAGCAATGAGGTCAGTGGTTAAGGCGGGGCAGGAGGGAATCAAGAATATACTGTGTGTTTACTGTATACAGTATACCGTAGGCTGGACAGCAGTGGCTACTGACGTCTAGCCACTGGATAGACAGGGAAGGCACAGGAAACGAGGGAAGGGCTGAAAATGAGCAGTTGAAGGCAAAGAGAAAAAGATTGGCAGCACAGAAGTACAGAATACAAAATTGGCAAAGGGGTCTCCAACTTTCCTACATGCTTGCGCGCACACACACACACTCCCACACCCACACACACAACATACGACCACACACTCAACACCAAACGTCACGTGTTTGCACACCAGAAACATACACTGGATGACAGAATGGGATGACATGATGTTAAACTTAAAGCAAAGGTGAGTGTGTGTGTGTGTGTGTGTGTGTGTGTGTGTGTGTGTGTGACTAAGGTGGTGTGCTGTGGGTCTCGGTCAGAGTGTGCAGATTTAAACTCGTCCTGGGCAGCTTGGTGGGCGGCTCCATCGGCTCCTTCTCATCATCTACTGCACTCAGGGAGCTGGACTGCAGCACCAGATCTCCAGTCTCGTCCTCGCTCTCATCTTCCTCATCCTCCTCTTCTTCTTCTGATGGACAAAGGCATCATTAAGTGACCTGATAACAGAGGCTGGAGCAAAACGTGAAACCATCTGTGAGGAGAACCACATTAGATGTACCTTTCTCCAGGTCCGGAGAGATTCGGCTCTTGATGGTGCTGGCAAACTGCAACCCAGAGTAAGGGTTAGACATTCAGAAACATATATTACCAAGTGCAGACTGAACCTATGTGAGGTGCTGTAGGGGCAAACACATACTTCTCCCATGACTGCAATGGGTGTCACTCCTTTAGCCTGGGCTACCCTGTGTTCTATCAGGTAGTACATATACTCATCATACAGCAAGCGGATCAGGTGAAAGGAGCCAAAACTGGCAGCACTGCGCAGAGTCAGGTCCCGGATTACCATAGAACTGGTGAGACAGCAGAGAAAGCATAGAAAATTATCTTCAATGGAAAAACCAAATAATTTTATATGTCATGTTTTTCTTTTCCCCTCACCTATAGAAGGACCAGTTGAGCAGGAAGACCTTGGCAGCCTTTGGTAGGGCGACAGGGTTGTGCTCGTAGGGCTTTAGAGCCTGAGAGACAACACCATCCAGCCAGGTTGCCCACTGCTCCAGAGAGTTTTGCTGCTGCAGAGTCATCTTAAAGTCTTGCTCCAGACGCTGTACTACACGGTCTTCACACTGACACACCCAGGATGCCTGCTCCTGAGGGGGAAACGGGTCAGGGTACTGCTCAATTACGCTAAAACACCAGTGCACAGTAATAGATGGGAAGTGGGGAAGGAGAGAGACAGCAGTACAAACCTGTACATTAGTGAAATCAACACGGTTGAGGTCTGAAAGCATCTGGTTGATCTGGGCTGAGTTCTGGAGGACAGCGCGGGCCGCCTGGGCCAGGTGGTTCAGGCTGGTGTAGCGGCGCAACGTCTGAGAGAAGGAGCCTACACACACCACCTGAAGGAAAGAGGGAGGAGACACAATGCGCATTGTGTCGGAACTAAAGTAGAAAGACACACCAAAGTCCCATCAAATATAATAAAAAGTGGTCACTCCTCTATATAAATACCTTTACGCGAACCATCTCCTCCGGGATGTTCATCATGGCCCCTGTCAACCAGTTCTCCAGACTCTTGGCAAAGTTACGGATGGCCTGAGTTAAGGCACCTGAGGAAGAGATGGTGGTGATGGAGGGAGAGAGAGAGAGAGAGAGAGGGAGAGAGAGAGAGAGAGACATGAAGCTAATCTTTTAATTTTGTATATTTTCATGCTTGTAAACTGAGTTTATTCTCACTATTTTTATTTTTTATTTTTATTTTTTGCACTGGCAGCATGGTGGGGATGGGTTCGGGGAAAGAAAATAAGAAAAATTATGTATGTTGAATATCTGTGATCAATGCTCATTTTCTCAAATAAAAACATGTTAAAAAAAAAAAACATGAAGCTGTGTAGTAGAAGGTTAAACTCCTGAACTTGCCCCCAGATTGAAAGACCAAAGTTCCCTCACCTTTTCAGGCCAGCATGCTGTAAACCTGTCAATTAGTCTTGAATGGCTCACTCAACAGTTTTGTATACAGGGCTCTCATGGGCCTCAATAACTTACTAGGGATGGGTCTCAGTACATCAGGGATGAGCATCTCCACCAGAGTCTGGTAGAGCAGGTTGTCGCACTCTTTCGTCCAGCTCAGCACGGGGTCGTACTTGCACAGCACCACCAGGCACGATTTTGGCAGACGCTTCTCAGACTCATTGTTCCTGGAGGAGCGCATGAGATAGTTGTGACGGCGGAGAAGACAGACCATTCATACTCAGTCCCAGTTGTGAATGAGATCTATGTGCCAGCATTTCATTCATCAGATTGTTTGGGTGTGTTAGTGACACTTACAGGTCGAGTGATTCTGCATCACTGCTCTGGCTGAACCTCCAGAAGGATTTCCAAAGTGTCTCCACAAGAGTGAACTGAAGGTTGACCATCACGTCCAGAATGGCCTTTGGGGAGCACACATAACACCACAGAGGTGTTCTAAACTGTCTTCACACGCCATTTTCATTGGAAAGAGTGTTTTGTTCCACTTTAGGATTAGTACAGGGACTTGGGAGTCTTTTAGCATGTACCACTAAAGTCAACTTTGACATCAGACAGCTGGCTGTTATTAAAGCTGGATTTTAACAGTCACTACATCAAGCGCTGCGTATGTGGACAGAGAAGTAAGCTAATCTATAATCCAGAGTATTAGAATTAGTGTGCATGTCCTGTCTTTGTCCATGACTGCCTACCTCACAGTGTTCTCTGTAGAGAGTCTGAAAGGCCTTGAGGTGTTCTAAAAGGATCCCATCAGGCAGGGTTTGACCTTGCAGATCAATCTCCACAAAGTCTGGCAGCGGCCTTGAAGCCTCTACACAAGATACAGCAACAGAGAAAGAGTAACACAGAGTAACAGAAAGATCATCAGTTACACGTGTCAGACTCACTCTTCATCATCACTCGTTATATCAAAGATCTAAAAAGTGTTAATTCCTAAATCATATAATAAGAGTGTGTCTATTGCTTAGGAATAAAAAGGTGAACATGCAGGTGTTGCTCACCCAGAAACTGCTGATACTGTTGCACCTGTGCCGATATATCACAGAGTGTCGTCCCCTGCTGTTGACCCAAACCACCTGATGTCCCATTGGTGATCCCCTGTGTCTTCTGAACTGGCTTTATCCTATCGGGCAAAGTAGGCATCAATCACAGAGGCAGACATAGTGAGTCACAGGGAAGGTGCAGCTAATGTTGCAACTGGAGCATTTCAAACAAGTTGCAATTACATCATAAGCAAAGCACATCATAACACATGTTACATCTTGTTGTTGAATGGTCCTTCAACTCAAGATGCACTGTTATGCCCTGTTCACTTTTGGCACCACAGTGTGTCTGTGTGTATGTGTTAAGGCTGACACAATACCAGAATTTTAAACTTAGATACAATAATAGTATTTTAAAAAAAAGAGATCTTTGATACCACAGCAAAAATGTAAAAACTAAAATGTCGGAGGCATTTCTTTCTTTTCTTTTTAAAAATAAACAACTTGCACACACTGCTGGTACACAAGAAAGTCAGTGGACACATATTAAGCACCAGTTGCAGTGCTGTGGCGGCAACTTTTATAAAAATTTAATAAAGTCACCCATAAAACACAGCGTGAGTTTTTCACCTGCAATTCCATTTTCAGCAGGTGCGTCGTGTGTGGAGGAGGCTTGTTATTAATGACAGCATGAAACCAGATGCATTTACTGTTGCTTTAATTGGTCCATGCTTGTAAAATATCCTCTGTGTCCGCTTCTCCTAATATGTAATACCAGAGACTGTCTTTCTGTGTGCAGTGTGATTGTCAGTAGACCGCTACAGGAGGGGTAGAGTGAGGGGAGAGCGACCATTAACATTTAATAGCTTCGATAGTTTCAGTACTATCGAATATATTATCAACTGAGATTGTATTGTTTTAAACAACAAATATGTATTATTACTGTGTACACATTTAATCCTTTCAGCCACAGGAACACAAAGGCATGGGCTGTGTGTGGATACCTGTTTTTCTGTGAGAAAGGCTGCTGCCTCATTGCCATGTGCTGTTGTTCATCCATCAGTCTGAGCAGAGGCGAGCCAGATTTGATCCTTAGACCATAGTAGTGGTATTTAGAGTTCCCTCTGAAACACAAACAGGAAAAGTTATAAAAATGCACTGAGATATTCTTCGTTTAGCAAAATCAATGTACGTTGTGTGTGTGTGTGTGTGTGTGTGTGTGTGTGTGTGTGTGTGTGTGTGTGTATACATGTATACCTGGTCCCTAATCTCCGTGTACGTAGCCCCATGAAGACAGACCTAATGAGCTTGCCGAATGATGCAGCATTAACAGGTTCTAGTTTCTGCTCCTGGCAGTGCAGCAAGTAGTGGTAGTAGAGGGTACAGCGGGGTAAACTCACCCCCTCTGCCCCCTCATAGTTCTCACACAGCCACTGCACCTGGGGGAGATGACATCATTTTTTTTTCATGTCTTTTATGTCTTAGATCATAACACATTTTTCACTTTGAACTTTAGTACTCACAGTGGCAGGTGGGGCACGAGAGTTAGGGCTGGAGTAACTCTGTCCTCCTCCTCCACCTGTTCCTCCACTAGCTCCGCCTCCTAACACATAACCTCCCTGAATGACGTAGCCTCCTCCACCCGCAGTAGCTCCCCCGCTATTGGCTCCCACTGTTGCCACAGAAACCGGCTGCGAAGTCACCGAGCCGGGGATGTCCGACTCAGAGCTGGCTGTGGCCTCGTAGTAGGTGGAGGAGGAAGTAGGAGGGGTCTGGGAGTAGAGGGGCGAGTCGGAAAAGGGGAAGGTGCTCGATCGACTGGACAGGAAAAGACAAGTGTGGGCGTAACACACACACACACACACACACACATATATAAGTGCACAATAGGCACAGTTGTGTGACCAGGAAAGTTTCAAGGTGATTATGTGTGTGTGTGTGTGTGTGTGTGTGTGTGTGTGTGTGTGTGTGTGTGTGCATGATCATATCTTTGAGATATGCATCATGCACACAGAGGAGTGTCCTCTCCACTCACATGGTGGATGTGGTAAAAGTTGCATCTCCTCCTCCTGCATCCACATACACCTGGCCAGAGTACACGTGCTCCACCTGCAAAACCAGGCAAACAGGAGACTTAAAGGGGAACTTGGCAACTATTTCAACTTAATAAACCCGTTAAGAAATCATTTGGATGGTTAAATGGCCTGTTCCAGTGTTAATGGTGACTTTCGTCCCCAGGTGGAAAACCAACCTTGCAACTTTGGGACTACCGTCCTGTTAAGTTGGAAATAGGAAGTATCGTGAGAAGCGAGAACGAGCGAGAAACACAAACTGCTTTATGGCAGTTCCACATAAACGCACACGCCCCCCTCAATACCGGTTAGCCACGCTGGCTATAAGAACAAGCGGCGATGAATGCGTTACCCACCTTGGTAGACATTGCTCCACACGAAAAAGTTGCCCGGCAACAAATGCACATCAGCAGTGGCAGAAAGGGGGAGGAGGGTGCCGCAAGTGAGTTTTTTTACGACAGTGTTTTGAAATATACGTCCCAGAGCTGTAGGGGGAGCTCGTTGAGAAAACATGCGACGACAAAAGTGAAAACCAGCGAAGAAATGGCTAGAGTTGCCAAGTTCCCCTTTAAAGCAGCATTAATTGATTTTTTTGGCCACTTGGGGGCAACACAAGCTGTAAACACAATACTGAAAAAGTTGTTATGGTGAACATGTTAGCAAACAGTTGTCTATTTACACATCTAACAGACACAGAATAACATTAGCATTCAACATGCAGCAAAGGGCCAGAGCTTGGAATCAAACCTGGGCCTTTGCATGCACTCTACCAGGTGAGCTACTGTGCACCCCAACCAATTTTCTTTTTAATACTATTCAAACCACATTTTGTTGTTCTACTGGGGGAAAAAAAACTGTGCTGTGCTCCGTAACTGGGTCAAGAGGTAGGTGGGTATTAATGAATACACCTAGGAAAACATAGAAGTAGCAGGGTTATAGTCGGCCATTAAAGATTGATCTAAGTGCTGGTCCAAAAACAATCCTAACAGCTTGTTCGCTCACACAGGTAAACAGCATGACCTGCAGAGTTCAGTGTTGAGGAACATCTCAGACAGCCTGAGGAGGCCGCAGTTAGAGTGAGGGATTAGCAAGAGGGAATGAAAGAGGAGGAAGGTGATGGAGGTGAAAAGACATGCATCCTACATCCCTCTCTTTCTATCCGCCTGTAACACTGGACAAAGCCATTACTAATGAATGCATAACCACATTACCTTTACACTTGTTTTATTGTAATGTACTTATTGTGTATTCTTTTACATGATAAGAGGAAATGTTTTGTATGTCTGTTTACCTCCTGGTTTATGTGCACAGATTGGAGGTTGTTGATGTGGCCAGCCTGAATCCTCTTGGCTGCCTGCGACACCGCTTGCAACACTGACCTCTGCTGGTGAGTAAAGCCACAGTGACAGATAGAACTTCGGGTGCTCAACCATTTGATGTGACTTGTTCCTACTTGGTCAAATGGCAAATCCATGCGGTTTGCGTATGTGCGTGCATCTTACCTGCTGGGTGGTCTGCACTGGTTGGACCACCTGAGTAGGAACACCAGGGGCAGGTGGACTGGAGTCTGACAGGCTGTCATTGGAATGAACAGAGCCCTCTAGGGATGACAGACAGAGTGAGGGAGAGAAGTTTCGTTAGATAATTGAACAAATCTCAACAGAAAAGCCAGCCACCGTTACCACAAGTTCAGTACTCACGACATACTGCTTCCAAATCGTAATAACAGCCACCGCAGAACATCCTGCAACAAAGTTGTTCTTTTTGTTTCAGCTGAGGAGAAGCTGATAATGGGAGCGGAGGAAGAGAGTGTGTTTGCCCAACTCTCCTTTCATCCTTATATCTTGCATGCAGAAGGGCAGCCTTGGACAGCTAATCTCCCCAGATGGAGAGAGAAATCACTCCATCATGTAAACATGCAGATCAGATGAGAGGGGGAAATGAGAGATCCATGAGGGATGATGGATGGAGAAAACAGAGGATGGAGGGTGGGCAGGGGGAGGTTAATGTTCACTTTCTTGTGCCCTTCAGGTGAGGTGAGTGTTTTGCACTGTCCAGCTCTCACTGTGCAGCTCTTACTTCAACCTGAGTTAACCGCTGTAACCATACACGTAGTTACACTTTGGCCAAGTTACACTTGAGCCAGCACAACTCTGCACAACCCACCACTTAATTTTATTTTGCATTATGATGACTGATGGAAAACGACAACCAGTCTCTCCTCAAATGTTTGTACATTTTGACTATTAACTGTTCTTTCCTAGCTGGCAGTTGGCCGACTGCTGGGAAAAGCCTTTTGGGGGAACTGACTGAAGAAAATAATGAAGGCAATGTCACTCTGTGCAAGCCATTCTGGTCCATGACTTTGTTTAGGTTTACCGAATCCTGACAACTGCAGCTAGGATCAGAATAGAGACCTTTAAAGTATGGCCCACATTACAAGCAACCAAATCTTGTTGATAAAACGGGCATATTTATTTATACATACGTATTTTACTATTTTCATCACGTGGTATTGTCAGTAGCACTAACAATTTAGCTCTTACTTTTTCAATCACCTACATATCCATTAAGTGTTTTAACACATTAAAATATCAAACAATGGCTGGATACAGGAGCCAAAAAAGCACCTCAATATGGGGACTAGGAACTGTGATGGACATTTGTGTTGTTGTTTTTAATCTATTAGAAGATTTCTATTATCATTTCTGCCAGTTTAACTGGTAAAAGCATACCACTGTGAAATGTATGCTTTCTTAAAATTAAGTGAGCGACTTACTACAACTTGACTGCCTGCTGCAAAAAAATGTATATTTAAAACATATATCTCTGATATTTTGATACTGATATCATGAAGTCCTGAATGAACTTTCTACACAATGTCATCAGTTTTGTGTTGTTCAGAAGAAGTAGGTTGTTACCATATTAAAACCTTGTGTCTGTGTATATTCAATGGACATAATTCTAGCCTGGTATCACAAAAGTGAATATCTGTATAAAGAACAAAAAAAGGAGTATCCTCTTACAGCAGAATTGTCAGGTAAGCTGCATAACTGTGCTGAGTAGAACCCAGGTCTTTGTACTGCAGTGCACGTTCAAGACAGGAGCGAAGGCCGGGTTTTAATAAGCGCAGTTATTCAGCTAACTTATCTGCCCTACTTTATGAGAATGAGACAAGCCCCAGGCCTGTGAGTCTCTCACCCTGGGTGGGAGTGCACAGTGTTATTTGATACTAGCAGGCAAAAAGATCTACGAATAGACAGCCCTAAAATAAACATACAGAGAGACACCAGTGTCGGGGGTCAGTTCTCTCTCATTTCTACTAGTTACGCCATATTTTAAAATACTAACTGATGTCTTCATGGCCAAACATTTGTTTATTAAAAAAGCAATGGCCTAAATTACTTTAAACTAATATCTGGAAAAGGGTCCAAAGCTATGTGAGCACACACTACATTAGCTACCACAGACACAGGCGTATCTCATTTTTTTGTATCACTGTAGAAATTGCCAACTTAAAGTCATGTTGATGTAATATAAAAAAAATCATTATACCACCAACTCTCTATAACAGCTAAAGCAAGAGAGTAGAAGAGAAGTCAGGCTTCATCCATCAGCTCCCACGTTTGGGACTATGTAGCCTAGCAACCAAGTCCATCAGCTTATTTTGTCTTCATAATGTATGCACTACCCAACCAGAAAGGCAATCTACATCACTACGTTTTTCCATCCTGGTGGGACATAGATTTCAGCTCATCTTCATTCTAGAAATCTAATCAGACCAGTTTAAAGATGGACTGCAACTCAGTAGGCCTACATGACCAAAAAAACACTGACATAACAAACATTATCACCATAACTAAAAACTATTCAGATTACTATGCACAAATGTAGTCAGGCAATTCCTAAAATGTCTGTGGATATCATAGGAACTGGGCTTTAGCTTCTGATGACCAGCTCAAAACTGCACACAAACTATTTTTCTTAAAGTCCTGCTGTTGATAAAATGATGAACTAGGTCAACGAATATAGAATGAACTGATCATGATGTTGATTATTGTACAGTAGTGATAGTTAAAGGGATCAATCAGTTAGTCTGTGAAATGTAAATAAAATAGTGATACTCAATTTACAATGATTTGAAAACAGACTAAACCACATTTGAGAACCTTGAACCACCAAATATTTGTGTTTTTTTCTTGATAGAAGACTTAAACAATTACTCAATTACTAAACTTGTTGATGGATTAATTGTTTCTGCACTACTGGATACCACTTTGCTTTCTATACAGTAAGTCCAACAATTAAAGACATTTTAAGACATCATGATGTTCCCTGGCAACTAAAGACAAGCAGCCTGTTGCACCAGCTGTGTTCAAGTTCAAACTAAGCCTAGTTATAACTTAAAGTTCACTTATTACTAAGTTGTGATTTATGCATTACCCAAATAAAAGCTGTTGCACCACGGAGATAAGTTACAACATAGCTCTATAGAACAACTAAATTACCACACAGCATCATTTTTTTCATTAAATGCATGCCCTCATTCAACACAGCAGAAACCAGATTTATTGATATAAAATTTTAATCAATCAATCTAGCTTACTACAATGTGCCAACTGTCTTATGCCAGCCAGAAAGCTAACGCGCATGGTAAACTTTATGTCCAAACTAGTTACGTTATGCCAAAAGTAACTGTGGTGCAACCGATCTGAGTAACTGATTTAGTTACAAACTAACTGGTAGTTACTAAGCCTCTAGTGTCGACTTTACACCCTAACAAGGAGAGAACTGCCAGTGTCCAACAAGGATCCAGGCTGATGCTTACACCCTAGATACATACTCGCAGGAGAAACTGTATCTTGCTCAGACTGCTTGTCGTATCATGTGAGCTAGAAATGATGTGTATGTGCACAGCATGTATTATGTAGGTATGTGTCAGTATCAGTCTCTCACCTGTAACAGTTACGATGATGTACTGAGGTGAACTGCCCTGACCATTACTCTTCTGGACCGCAGAGTGCTGGATTTCAGGGGTTACATAGTGCTGCGTGGGAGTGGTCAGAACCACTGCCTTCTGGCTCTGGGCCTGGGTGGGCGGCGCTTGAGAACAAAGTGCATCCTGTCCTGTTTTTGAGGCAGTGGCTGATTGGTTAGCTGATGCAATGGTTCCAGAGGTTGGTGGGATCTCAGACAGGAAGTGTGCTGTCTTTGCTGCCGAGGGTGTGGTGGCAGCAGGTGTTGCTATGGTTACTGTGTTGGCCTGCTGAGGCTGAAGGTCCTCAGAGTATCCAGAAGTTGCCATGGCAACCAATGCTTTGGGAGACTAGTTCTGTGGATAAAAAAAGATGGCACTCATTAATGAAAGAGCTACAACCATACATAGCAACACATTTCTTGTCATATTATTTCTCCTATCTATGTTTTGGCCACGCAGCAGTAATGTGTGTGAGCTCACACATCGATGTGTGTGTGTAACATAAACCAGAGGAGGAAGTAGGGCTTTTGTCTGAGACTAAGCAGTAGACCAGAGCTTTTCCTGTCTGAGCCTGTATGAAACCCAGTGTGATCTTAAGCACCATAAATAAAGCAATGGATTACATTTCCAAAACTGAACGTGATCATGGTGTTTCAAGTGAAATAAACTAAACTACAACTAAATATGACCATGGAAAGTCCAAGATATTACCATCTGGAAATAAACTCATATTAATCAGTGGACCCACTGTCAGTCAGGACTTAAGCCATCCCACTGGAAGATAAGCCACTCCTGCGTAAACCAACACGGAAAACAAGACAATCAGATGATCATCCGCACACAGTGTTCACGGCAGTGATCTGCCCAATTCAATGTCAGGCCAAAAACTTTTCCAAAGTCACAAAAGGATTATTAAACATACTCCATTATTAAACATAAACACTCAGTGTTTAGTACTCATATACGATTTAGTTGCGTGAGCAGTTTCATGTGCTTCTCTATATCTAATGTCTCTAGGCAGCTTGCTTGAAAAGTGAGTTGGGAAAGCGAGAGTGATAGCTTCCCCAGCTAGCAGCTCACGTTGAGTTGTGACGTTAAAGCGAGCCAGCTCGTTGCTACTAGTTACTCATGTTGGAGAGTCAATAAATGTATGACCACGCCACCAATCACGTCTCACAATACATTCACCGTAATCGAAACTGTAAGAAACAGTCTGAACATTCTGACAAATTGTCGAAAAAAGTACGTTTGGCACTACAACACACCCGCCATCTTGTGCTCTTATCAAAGATCTGACATCGCCATAACAACGGTCTGCGTTTGGAGAGAAGCTAGCAACCACTTTCATCACCGACACGCTCGACCAATTTCACGTTAACGCTGACGACAGTACAAACAAGCACACGTATATAATTTACACAAAATTAAATGATAATTCTGATATATTTTACTTTTTCACCTCTAGTTTATCCCAGTATTGTCCTTTTTTGGTCGTTCAGGTTTTTTTTCCCTTGGATTTAGGTTGTTATTGTTGACTCCCGTTGCTTGGTTCTTGTCGCCAGGACTACCGTGACTATGGCGCCTTGCCTTCACCGGGGCAACTGTTGCTACCCTCTCGTCATCGCCCCGCCCTACACTTAATGCGGATTGGCTGGCTTGGGAGGTGGTAGCAGCGTCAGTTAAATAAACGATCGCTGATTGGTGGACGAGCCGTGTCTGTCACTTTCACCAGAGCCCAACGTCAAATGACTTCTAATGTTACTTTTCTGATTGCTCAAAATGTCAAGCAGATAGATGGAAAAATATGGAATGTCAGGTCATTAATTTCACATAAAATGTTTCTGCCGCTGCTTATCTGCTCGGCCCCCTCTATAAGCTCTTATAAATAATTAATATTGTACAACATTCAGAAGTTCACAGTTGATTTGAGTCACTGCAGTATCACCAGTTGGCCTCTGAAATCTTTATCTAGTGTGTGTGTGTGTGTGTGTGTGCATCAGTTGTAGTGAACACCAACATATAGCACCCTAGTTATCCTTGGGGTGAAGGGATAGTGATCTCCATCCAATGCAAGGCAGAGCAGACAGCGAGACGGAGATTGTGCTGGTGACACACAGCGCAACCCAACTGATGTAAGGGACAGAAAGGCCAACAAAAGGTCACAGGTGGTGATTAGATAGCCAAGAACCCTGTTGACATCTTCTCTGGCATCATTTGCTACTTAATCACAACGTTTCTTGTTCTCCATGTTCATTGTTGCCCTTAAAGGTCTCCGGTCTTATCTCTGGGCATGACGAAGAGTGGAGGTGAATTGAGGTCCTTCTCTGAGATGCTGAGGCCTATATAAAGTAGGGACTGTCCAGAAAGAAACACAAACCACTCAGACAACCTCAAGCAAATTTCCAGCATTTGAGACACCTTACGACATCTTTTCACTCTCACCATGTGGAAGGCATCACTCTTGACCCTGGGCTTGTTGGTGGCATTGGTAGAAAGGGTGCGATCCAATGACGGCCATCCCTCTTTCTATGGGGTGAAACTGTGTGGAAGAGAGTTCATACGAGCTGTCATCTTTACCTGTGGTGGTTCTCGCTGGAGGAGAAGCATAGGAGACTCAGGTAAGAGTGTGTGTGTGTGTGTGTGTGTGTGTGTGTTTGTGAGACTATGGATACAAGTTTATTTTTTATGATATGTTTTCCTAGAGTCAAATTGAAATATTAAGGGATTTACCCTTGCTTTTTTTTTATCAGCTCTTATTGGAGAAGAGGCCTTTGACCCATGGAACACAAATCCCATCCCTCAACTCACCAGTGAGCAGGATCCTGCACAGCCCCAAGCATGGAGAGATCAAACATCGGATGTGGCATCTGTGGCTGCAGGATTCAGCCGCTCAGCTCGCTCCCCAATCTCAAATGAGGTGCTGGAGGCTTTACGGAGTGCAGATAGGAAAGGACGGGATGTGGTGGTTGGACTGTCCAATGCCTGCTGCAAGTGGGGCTGTAGCAAGAGTGAAATCAGCTCCCTGTGCTGAACCTCCTCTCTCCTTAAATATTTGTCTTGTCCTGTCACTAATGCAGAGCTCTACTCTTTTCCTATGTGATTCCTTAATTTCTTCACATTTAAAACTTTTAAAAGTCCACATCCCATCCAACTCACCATCCATGTGTTGACTATTGATACAGGAATGTGACTGTGTACTCAAAATGTGTCTACTGGGATTGTTGCTGATTGATATATGTTTAATAAAGCTGTGTGTACTTGGTATGAAAGTCTCTGTTCCTCTTACAGAAATGATACTAAAATGATGTTAGAATACTTCCACTTTTTTCCAAAGCCTTGTTTCAGAAATAGTTTTGACAAGCATTTCGAAATGAAAGGAAGTGTGACCACACATAATGGTGTGGTGTGATATTCAGTCAAGTATAGTGACTTTCTGTGATTCTACAGGGGTTAATCCCTTTATATGAACATATTTACCAAACCCCTAAAATCCAGTACGACAGACCTGCAGCACACTGCCTCTGTGAAGCCTATAAGTTTAGACCTTTATTGTTTATTTCAGTGTATCCATGGGAGTTTGCTCATCCTCCTATCAGAGATGAATCATCACAGTGATGTTGACACACATTATCATACAAACTCGACATAACAAGGTTCACAATGGTAGTTATTGTTGTTATCTTGCAGTGGTGTTGATGATATTGTGTCCACGCCCTGTATCAGTTCCCACAGATCAAACATACAGCAGTGGAAAGCTGCAGGAATTTGAAGCTGACACCATCTGGTGGTCAGAAATGAGACACAACACAAAACGAGAATTAACGTTAGAAGAATGTGATGAACAATTAAACTAATTTAAGAAAACATTAAACACTAATAAACAACTGTTTACCGGATATCCAACAAACGATAAGCTCAGTAGTTTCTGCTGTCTACTCGGTTACCTTACCGACGGTCCGGCCAGTACGGAAGCCGAATATGATCACACGGATCACCCGGCTTGATTGCAAGGCATGCAATCTCTGTCACATACCAGCTAGCACAGCAACTGCACATATCCACTGATACCAGAAGTTTGTATTTCGGCTACATAGATCGCAGTCACATTTTATTTAATGTTAGTAGTTATATCGTGGCTGCACTTTTGTCTGTAGAAATATAGATCTACCGCATCGGAGCGACCAGGTAAAACCTTTCGCGGTACTTTCAAGATGATGCTAGGTAGCCATGCTACTGGTAGCTGCTGGGGTTGATATGCGACTGCTCTGTTAGGACTATCAATGCGCTCCGTTTGCGCCGTCTTTGTTGCTTTGATTACAAACAGTGCTTTGACAGCGCACCGCAGCGTCCTAATAGCTAACGTAAGACAGCGTTTAGCAGATGTTTTCTGTGTGAACAGCGACGATAAGCTAGCCTGCTATCTGAATGAGCCAGACGTTTGCGCCTGTTCCGTCTGGGCCTAATGTGGAGAAAAGGGCTGGTTGGGTCGCGACTGATGGTCAATGCCACTGTAACTCACTAAATACGACTGCGTAGCGGTACTTTTGGGTTTCATGTAGCCAGGGACGGTAAATGTTCATAAACGTTAAAGCTTTACCGACAGTGTTTTGCTACATTGTGGACAGATATATTTACAGTGAATGTAACCGTAGCTTTCTGTCTGAAATTAATGCGAATATTTGACAAGTTGTTGTTATTGGTAACGGCAGCTAACGCTTGTTAGCGGTACTGCGTAGCTTACGTTACTTGTACGTGATTTGAGTGGTAACGAGTCGGGGGGGGGTCACAGGTGGGGCTGGATGTGTAGCGCATGCTTCGTAAACAAGTAATGTGTGTTTTTGTTTTCCTGTAGGATGGAGTGGCAGCCAGATGAGCAGGGTCTGCAGCAAGTGCTTCAGCTACTCAAAGACTCCCAGTCCCCAGATACAGCAACACAGAGAGCTGTGCAAGAAGTATCCTTTGATCTCTCTCTCTCTGTGTGTGTGTGTGTGTGTGTGTGTGTGTGTGTGTGTTTGAGTGATAGTGAGCGTGAGAGAAAATGGTGTGAGATTTTTTGTCTCCCAGAGTGGATGACAATGAAGCCTGACTGGGTGCGTTGTCATGCGCAGCTTGCATCAAGTGCGATTGATAGTATATTTATCCACACTGCTCAAATGTCAGACTAGAACACAAGGTATTGGAGGGTGTGTGAGCTGTTGCTATGTGCGTGTGGATGGTTCAAATCCTTAACAGAGCCTGCAGAAACTGGAGCAACTTAACCAGTTTCCAGATTTCAACAACTATCTCATCTTTGTCCTCACAAGCCTCAAATCTGAAGGTATGTGTGTGCGCGTGTGTCAAAAATACAGATACTAATAATGGAGCAGGAGTGTCATTTTACTGAATAACCTTCCTAACCTCGCTTCTCCCGTGTAAATATTTATGTATCGAACTTCTTTCCCGTTTTTAAAATGTATTTATACTCTGCCTTTGTGCTGCCTTCCTTCTCAAGACGAGCCCACTCGCTCTCTGAGCGGCTTGATACTGAAGAATAATGTTAAGGCTCACTACCAGAACTTCCCTCCCAATGTGGCTGACTTCATCAAACGAGAATGCCTCAACAACATCGGAGACCCTTCGCCGCTTATCAGAGCTACGATCGGTGGGTATTTGAGTGAGAAAGAGAAAGCTAGTGTTGGCTGTGTTTCCTAGTCAGTGTGAGTCACAGCTCGTCAGACTACTGTATGTAGGTGGCTGAATTTCTGCAGGTAATGTGGCTGTGTGGGAGTGAGCACTGTATTTTGTTTTTAAATGATTGAATGCCATGGTGGGTTATTGAGTTGTTTCTCCTGCATTTTAAGGCCTGTGTTAACTTTTTATTATCTGTTATAAAGGTATCCTGATTACGACCATAGCCTCTAAAGGAGAGCTGCAGACCTGGCCAGAACTGTTGCCTCAGCTCTGTAATCTGCTCAACTCGGAGGACTATAACACCTGCGAGGTCAGACTCACATGTCTGCACACACTAATAGCTTTGTAATGTTAATGTGATAATCCGATTTATTTCTGTTTCTTTTGCCTTTTAACATTATTTCTTGATGATTTGTTCTGCCTTTCAGGGTTCTTTTGGAGCTTTGCAGAAGATCTGCGAGGATTCATCAGAGTTGTTGGACAGCGATGCTCTGAACAGACCTCTCAACATCATGATCCCCAAATTCCTACAGTTTTTCAAGCACTGCAGCCCCAAGATCAGGTCGGTGAAACACCAGGGTTTTTCTTTGTGACTCTGTCTCTGCTGGCTCTTTTCTTTCCCTCCTCAGCCTTTCCACTGTGACTCTCCCTTTTTTAAAATCATCATTATAGATCCCTATTGTTTGTGTCTATCTCAGGTCCCATGCTATAGCGTGTGTGAACCAGTTCATCATTGGTCGAGCTCAAGCTCTAATGGATAACATTGATACCTTCATTGAGGTTAGTACCACAGGATTCTGATTTGGTTTTACTCATAAGATTCACCTTTAGCCCCTTTCACAGATGCAGTATGTAGCAACCTATCTTTCTGTAAAATGTATGTGTTTTCACTTTCAAACACAGATCCCTGTTACGGATGACTTCCATTGTTCTTTAACGTTATCCAGCTTTATCTATGCTGTGTTTGTGCGATATTTTGGCATCCACACATTTGCTGACCTTGCACATTCTTCCCCCCTCTCTCTCCCACACATCCCCTGTCTCTCCTTGTCTCTTTCCTATCTAGAGTCTGTTTGCACTAGCTGGAGACGAGGACAGTGAAGTGCGGAAGAACGTGTGCAGGGCTCTGGTCATGCTACTTGAAGTCCGCATTGACCGCCTCATCCCACACATGCACAGCATCATTCAGGTAAAGGGTGGGACACACCCCACTTTAAACAGGAAGTGTGTGGCTTTTCCTTCCTCCTTTGCCTTATCATCAACATCACCTCTTGTTATCTGTCACCAGTACATGCTGCAGCGGACCCAGGACCCAGACGAGAACGTGGCTCTGGAGGCCTGTGAGTTCTGGCTCACTCTGGCTGAACAGCCCATCTGTAAAGAGGCTCTGTCTGGCCACTTGGTCCAGTAAGTGTTCACATGCCAACGGGTTGTAGGAGCTGAAAATCAAGTGTTGAATTAATTTCATATGAGAATTAACATGGTTGTCCCTTTTTTCAGACTGATTCCTATCCTGGTGAATGGGATGAAATACTCTGAGATTGACATCATTCTTCTGAAGGTGAGCCAGCCCTGGATAAATCAGATGCTCTACTCGTCTCTTCCTTTCGGGTCCGTTCTGCATTCATCTTTCTCTCTGTTTTCGTCCAGGGCGATGTTGAAGAGGATGAGGCGGTTCCAGACAGTGAGCAAGACATCAAGCCTCGCTTCCACAAGTCCCGCACCGTCACTCTGCAGCACGAAGGAGGGGAGGGCGAGGAAGGAGAGGACATCGATGAAGATGAGGACGACGATGATGATACACTGTCTGACTGGAACCTACGTGAGTTACAGATGAAAGATAATTTATAGTCTTTTATCAACATTTTGAGCAATGTTTAAAGCTTGGTATAGAATTTTTTTTAATCACTTAATAATTTTATTGCAAGTCATCTAATGATGATGGTCGTCCCCTACAGGGAAGTGTTCAGCTGCGGCGTTGGACGTTCTTGCCAATGTGTTTCGCGAGGAGTTACTTCCCCATCTCCTGCCCCTGCTCAAAGGCCTTCTTTTTCATCCTGACTGGGTCATTAAGGAGTCTGGCATCCTAGTGCTGGGGGCTATTGCTGAAGGTGAGACTCAGCACAGACTTGCTATTGAAATACAATATAAAGGAATTATTTCAAGGGTCAATATGGTGACCTGTAATCCTTGAGTATGTTTTGATATTTCTATTGCCTGAGATAAAGAACAGAACTTCACAACAGTGACGAGAGAGCACTCTTCCACTCTTTATGCTAAGCTAAGCTAACCGGCTGCAGGAAGTAGCATTATATATTTCATGTGCACATGTGAGAATAGTATCGATCTTCTCGTATTTCTGTTGGCAACAAAAGTGAAAAAATATATTAAAATGTATGAAACCTTTTTGTGCTTCCAGGCTGTATGCAAGGCATGGTTCCTTACTTGCCTGAGCTCATCCCCCACCTCATCCAGTGTTTGTGCGACAAGAAAGCCCTGGTCCGCTCCATTGCCTGCTGGACCCTGAGCCGCTACGCCCACTGGGTGGTCAGCCAGCCCCCTGACGCTCACCTCAAACCCCTTATGACTGAGCTGCTCAAACGCATCCTGGATGGCAATAAGAGGGTACAGGAAGCAGCATGCAGGTATAATTCTTAGTTTTTCCATATTTTTGTCTCTCCTGTGTTTTCTCACTTTCTGCCTATACATCCCTCTAACCCATCATGTCTTTCCTACAGTGCATTTGCCACCCTGGAGGAGGAGGCGTGTACAGAGCTGGTGCCTTACCTTAGCTTCATCCTGGACACGCTGGTTTTTGCTTTTGGGAAGTACCAGCACAAGAACCTGCTCATCCTCTATGATGCTATAGGAACACTGGCGGACTCTGTGGGCCACCATCTAAACCAGCCTGTGAGCACGAAATGCACAAATTTACACAGCCTTGTTTTTTAACATGTTATATTTTTTTTTAGTAAAGGATCAAATAATAGGCCAAAATCACACTCTTGTGTTTTTAGGAGTACATACAGAAGCTGATGCCTCCGCTGATAGCCAAGTGGAACGAGCTGAAGGATGAAGACAAAGATCTCTTCCCTCTGCTCGAGTGTCTGTCGTCTGTTGCCACAGCGCTGCAGAGTGGCTTCCTCCCCTACTGCGAGCCCGTCTACCAGCGCTGCGTCACCCTGGTCCAGAAGACACTGGCTCAGGCCATGGTGAGCAATACACACACACATACACACACTCACATGGATTTTAACAGAGGAAATGTATATTTTTGATGCTTTACATAAATTACACTTCCCAAGTCCCACGTCCCAAATCTGATGTATCTCCACCTTTTCTTTTGTGTGTCAGATGTACAGTCAGCAGCCAGACCAGTATGAAGCACCTGACAAGGACTTCATGATTGTGGCTCTGGATCTTTTAAGCGGCTTGGCAGAGGGACTGGGGGGCCATGTGGACACGCTTGTGGCCCGCAGTAACATCATGACTCTGCTTTTCCAGTGCATGCAGGTGAGGAGAGCCTGTGTGTGTCAATGTATTTACATTCTGTTATTAGCTCTCTACATGGAAGCTTTCATTGTTAGTGGGGGAGTCCGCCATTCTGGGCTGGATTCAAGTTACCTGCACACTTCACTTAAAACAATGCACACATGTACTCCACTGTTACTGTTTGTAATGTTATCTCAATGATGGAAGCCTCGCTGTGCAGTTACAGTGGTATCAGATTGTACTGTACTGTATATGTGACTGACAGTGCATTCCTAGTAGTACTGCTTCTCAGCTTCTCATGGCTTTTATTGTGAAGCAGCCACAGGAAGTTCACTGCATTTGTCACAGCTTTTACTGCCTGCCATCTCTAAAAAGTCTGTTTGCAAAACTTGCTGCTTTTAGTGAGCTGACATTTTTTTTTTGCAAGACTGTAATGCAACAGGAAGTGAGTAGTTAGTTGTGCCACAGGACAACTCTTTAGGTCTGTCGACGGTGTGTGTTCACATTTTTCTTTGTCTCTCTGTCTCTTTTGTCCCAGGATACGATGCCTGAAGTAAGACAGAGTTCATTTGCTCTACTGGGTGACTTGACCAAGGCCTGCTTTCCTCATGTCAAACCGTGTATTGGTAATTATCTCATAGCCATCACATACACATACAGTACATATATATTGTCCCCATCATCCTCTTTTTTTGCGTTTGTTTAATGTAAGGAGGACATTTTTTGTGTGTGTGTGTGTGTGTGTGTCACATACAGCTGAATTCATGCCAATCCTCGGGACAAATCTGAACCCAGAGTTCATCTCCGTGTGCAACAATGCGACCTGGGCCATAGGAGAGATCTGTATGCAGATGGGTGAGTTGCAGCAAATCTACTTACATGTGATGCCGTCAAGTTCTTGTGCTGTCAAGTATGAGATGTATCTTACTTTAATTTACCACCCATCAGGCGTGGAGATGCAGCCGTACATCGCTATGGTTCTGAACCAGCTGGTTGAGATTATTAATCGACCCAACACCCCCAAGACCCTGCTGGAGAACACCGGTATGTGAATACACAGATATTTTTCATACCTGTTTTTCAAAGGGAAGTAGACAGATTTAATAGTTGTGTGTTTGTACTCACAGTTGAAAATTAGAGCAGATTACGCTCAAAAGGGTATTTAGTGGTTCTCATGGGAGAGGTTAGTGCAGTTAGCATCATGATACTGCACACAGTCTGATCTAACAGCAGTCCTGACTCCTTTTCCAGCAATCACCATCGGCCGACTGGGCTATGTGTGCCCTCAGGAGGTCGCTGCCATGCTGCCGCAGTTTATCCGACCTTGGTGAGCGACCTTTTCTGTGTCTTTCATTCCCCATGCAATGTATGAAACCTATGTGGTGTAATTAAACAACATCTGCGTCTATCACACATTCAGCAGACACACTCTCCCTCTCATTTTCTGGTCTCACCACATTCTCTCCCTTTCCAGTCTGCATATAATTATGTTAGCTTATCCGTACTAGGAAGACACATTTGTGGCATTTCTTCCCCTAACAGGCAATGCACATTTGTTTCTGTTGTTCTGGTTTTTTCCTTCTTAGTGTTTTTTTGTGTGAGCACAATTCCAGCAATACACAAGGGGCTGCAGTATTGACATGCTTTAAATAAATTATTGAAGGGATTAGAATCTTCAAGTAGTGAACACTTAAGCCTGTGAGTTTTCTTAAAATAATTCCCACATGGTAAGATAATGACAGTTTGGCCGTTACCATTTATTTGACTTTCTTAAAATTGCTTTTAGCTTACTTGTTCTCATTTTGTATATTCTCTCATAGACAGCTTAAGAGAGTTAAATTCTTGGCAGTGACAGCATCAAATATATATTGAATTAGACACTTTAAGTACACCCTTTTTTTAATATAACATTAATTACATAAAAACATAAATATCATCACTCATACACAAACGCTCTGCATACTGTATATACTGTCATGTCATATTAATAGTGCAATGGTGCAGAGTGTAATGTACATATTAGATTAATGTTTAACATGTCGATTTTGTTGTCCTTGTTGTATGTAGGCCTATTCCTTGTATGCGTACACATACCTGGCCAATAAAAGTGATTCTGAATAAGTTTAGCAGCTGCTAATTGGTTGATAATTGCAGGTGTACGTCACTGCGGAACATCAGAGACAACGAGGAGAAAGACTCTGCCTTCCGTGGGATTTGCATGATGATTGGTGTGAACCCAGGAGGTGTAGTGCAGGTGAGACAATGTACACTGCAGGCATTACATTATTGCTTTAACAGTCTGTGTGTTTGGCTGTAAACTCCTCTTCCTCTGTGTTTGTTCAGGACTTCATCTTCTTCTGTGATGCTGTGGCCTCCTGGGTGAATCCTAAAGACGATTTGAGAGACATGTTCTACAAGGTGAGGGGCTCAGCGTGTTGATCAGGGGTAGAAATAATGTCCATGTCTTATCGAGGAGCAAGTTCTTGTGTTTACACAACCAGTCCCAACTAGAGTCTGATTTATATTCACCACTAAATTATCACACTCTTCATTCTCCTCTCCCTCTGCCGTGTGAGTCACTGTGAGCTGTAGAGACCTCAGGCGAAGCAGAGAGTGCTGCAGTTTTCTGCTATGAAGCTCAGCAACACAGACACTGCTCTTGTTGTGCAAAGAAATGAAGTGAACACACTCCCCCACTGGAGTTTATCAAATAAAGGCCAAAAGGCTCTGCGTGCAAATTTAGTGTCAAATTCACAGCAAAATCCACCAATGCGTGTACATACACTAATGACGAATTTCTGTAATACTCGCATAATATTTCTGTTGGGACATTTAACCATTGTTGGCCAAACTAACCTGGTGACCTGGTGGTGAGTGTTCTGTATCACTATCATCTTGCTACTATGTAATGAGGTCTGGTCTGGTCAGAGCAGCTAGTCCTGTTTGGTTTCTTCTTAACACAATCAAGATTTTAAAGCAACATATTTTTGGCCACAAAGTTCTTTCAGGGTGTGACTGGCAATTAAACAGTTGGTAAATTTGTAAAATAAATATGTTGCATATAAAATTCACTTTGCGGTTCAGGCTTAAAACAAACTTGCAGTCCAGGGCGTTGCAGTTGTGTAGGCATTGTATGTGTACTTTGTTTCCGTCTGGTGAGGTGCACACAGAAATCTGCACAAGGCAGTCCACACACCAAAAAACCAACCAGTGCTCCTGCTGGAATAGTACTACATGTATTGCAGCTTTAATAATTCGTAGTTTAATGAAATTGCAACAAGCTAATCAATATTTTTTTATATTAATAATGGACAAATTAATATGTGTAATGTGAGAAAGTCAGCATAACAAAGAATATGCATCATTGGATGATTTAAAAACTAAAACAATAAATGTCTTGAAACTAGATTTTGACACAGACACGATTTGTAAGAGGGTCCCAAAATTATCAATGATCACAAAAAGGTGTGTAATGTTTAAGAGGCTTTACTGGAAGAAACCAAATCTAATATTCATAGATATGGTTTATCCGTGTATAATCACCTGAAAATGGGAATCTTTTAGTTTTTGTTAGCTTAGTATGAGCTGCTATGACCCTGCCTACAGAGGGAGCAGGTCTTCTTCCACAGAGGCCGCCAAGTTGAACTGCCATGTTTCTACTGCAGCACTAAACACTCACTCTAGATAGGTCCTTTCATGTTTGTTGTGAGTGTGTTTTGCTGCCACCATAGTTTCTTCTACATGCTTGGAAGGCTGAGCTGCATTCATCCAGTTCTGGGGGGGGGACACTCTGGTCCATTAATGCAAGACCCCTGTTAGTTGATAATGTACTTCAGTGGTCAAAATTTAATAACAAAGTTGCAATTAGTCAATTACCACTTACCAATTGGTAATTAAGGTTTGTTGCAGTCAATAAAACACTTACTTGCAGGACTTCTGTTGCTTCAACAGAAACAATTTGAACTCCTGGCAATAGCTGTAAATGTGTGTTGTCTGTGGCTCAACTGCTTAAGAAATGTACTTGAGGATGTGCCTTAAATGAATCCTCCCCCATCTTCTGACCATTCCTGCAGATCTTGCACGGTTTTAAGGAGCAGGTTGGGGAGGAGAACTGGCAGCAGTTCTCAGAGCAGTTCCCCCCACTGCTGAAGGAGAGACTGGCAGCTTGCTATGGCGTTTAGATCCTCTACATCACCCAAGAGGTAATCCCACACCCTTCGTTATTTTCACTTCATTATTTTGACTCAAAATCTAAGATATGTAAATGTTTATTCAGAGGTTAACTTCTTTGTGCCCACTCTCCCTTATCCGTCCTCCTAGGTGAGCCAGCAGGAGGAGGGTGAATGGGAAACTCATCCATCTGTGTATTGCACTGCCCAGATCTGGGGGGAGGGAGAGGGACGCTATTGGCCGCTCCCCCTGACGGACGGCCCCCACGCCCTATGTGTTTGTCCATAGAGGGAGGGTGGGCGGGTGGGAGGGAGGGACAGAGGGACACCTCTAGATTAACTAGGCAGGGACCCGACACAGAAAAACTAACTGGTAGGGACAGATAGAGAGGGACAGAGAGAAGGACTTGGAGGAGAGAAGGAGGGATAGACAAGTTGGGAAAGAGACCAGCTCAGAGAAAGTTAAGGGAAAGAGAGGGAGGGGAAATCAGTAACGAGGCAGGGAAAAAGAGCTACCTAAAGGTCTGTTACTTGGCTGGGAAAACGGGGACAGTTGAGATTTTAATGGGATTCTTAAACTTAAGAGTAACCGATAGCTTGACCGACAGAGACAGACCAACGTACACAGACTCTCACACATACACTTGCACATGCTGTACATGCAGTACATGGAACTGACTGTGGGTGGCACTATTATTTGGACTTTTTGAGACCTACTACATGTAGTTAGGGACAGACAGGCAGGTGTCTAATCTCTGTTCATTTTCTGGGTGATATCTTTTTTTTCCGGGGAATAGGATTCAATATGAATTACTTCATCTGTAGTCACTGAATTCTACTTAACTGTAAGATAGTCTCGCTATCCGCATCTATGTTTCCTACCTTCGTTTTTGACCAGAGTGCTGCTTCACGGAGCTATCCATCTATCAGACATATTCCTGTCACATTTACTACCTGATCAAAAGAGAGAAGAAGAAAAAAAATAAGAGCAAGTGTCTTTCCTTGTGGCTTCACAGAAACCATTCCTGTAGGAAGGGAGGATTAGGGCTAACACATTTGTTTTCTCACCAGAGGGGAGGAAATTGTAGAAAAAAATCACATCCTTAGTTGTCTCTTTGAGATTTGTGTGCGTGTCTGTCTGTCTGTCTGTCTGTGTGTGTGTGTGTGCGCGTGCATGTGCAGTTTGTAAATCCTTACTTTGGCATTCTGTGTTAACAGTGTGTGAAATATGTATTGTTTTTGATATGGTACCGAGCTAAAACTTGACTCCCACCGCAATGTCCTTGGCACCTGTTAACTGTGACCAAGTGTTTGTGTTTGTGTGTGTGTGTGTGTGCGTGCGTGTGTGTGTGTGTGCGTGCGTGCGTGCGCGCTAGAGTGATTGTGCATATGTTTCTGTCTACATTCGTACTGATATCCATTTGATGCCATATTGATATCTTAAGTAAAACAGTGATTGGCAATGTCATTGTTATCTTTATAATGTTTTAAAAATGGTCCATATTCTCTTTGGTTGGTTTTTTTTTTTTTTTTTTTTTTTTTGCTGCTACTGATAATTTTTGTTTCTATAGTGGACTTAAATTCGCACAATTAACGCAAAAAATATTTGAATTAATGCTATTTTCAGTGACTTAAGTTGTTTTTGCACTTTTTATTTTATTTGACCTTTTCCTTTTTTGTATGGACTTTTTTTTAACCTCACCCATATGATATGTCTTGACCCTAATGTCAGTGTTTGTCATACTGTGTTGCACTGTGAAATTAAGTGTCTGACTGGCGAAAATATCCCAATACTAAATGGCAAATAAAAACAACTTTGTGAAACTGGGACTAATCCGCACCTTTACAATGACTAACTTTGCCATATTGCTGAGGTGTGTGCGTATGTGTGTGAGATCCTGCATGTGTGTGAGATCCCGCATGAGTAGGAGTGCATGAGTACCTTTTTTGCCTATGAGCATGTTTTGGATAGCTAGGTGGCGTTCATATGATGTGTGCACAGCAGGGGTGCATATTAATTTTAGTTTGAAAGGGTTTGTAGCCTGCCCCAGCCTACTTTGTGTGCATGCTCTGTGTCTTTTTTCACACTCTGTGTGTGACTGTGTGTGTGCAGTGGTGTATGTTTGGAAGTGTATTTCAGAGTAATATGATTGCCCTTTACACACCAACACACAACCTCAATTCACAATGAGAGCACAGTATACTTAAAGGAGATAACAGCTAGGACACTGCCAAAGAGCCACTGAAATTTAAAAACAATAAGTAGAGAGAAGCTGCTATTTCAATATTTAATAAGTGCATCATGATGATATAAGAATACAGGCACCAAAGGGCTTTTAAGATCAATCATGGAATAAGATTTTGCCAGCAAAACTGATTACAGGGATCTATATTTTTGCATTGATATTCTACCAGTGTTTTCCAGCACGTAGACATTTGGAAACAAACCGTCACTGGCACTTGATTTGACCTAGACTGTGACCACTAAGATAATCAAATCAATCAGCAGTCGCCTCAAATACCAGACAATCTGAACCCCAGTCTAGTTCCTTTTCCACAGTCTCTTAGAAAGCTTGTACGACAAAACGTTTTTGGTTGCTTGTTAATTTTAGTGTTTTTTTTTAATTTGTGTAACTGATGTTTTTAGTTTCATCAACAGTTTTTGTATCAGAAGGATCCGTGTACATTTTCTTTAAATGATACTATAGCTCTGAGTTTTAAGAAAAGGAGTAGTGACAGTTTTTTTGAATAGGTGCAAAAAAAATGGGAACAAAGGAGGGATGAAATAAAATGAAGAACAAATGTTTTTTTTCTAAATTCTGTTTATATAATAAAGAGCATGATATTGTTGTAATTTGGCAGAAAGACTTTGGTACCTCTTGCTTTCCTATAGATTACTTTCACCGGTCGTGTTCCCTTTTTTTTAATATCGGAATGGAAATAAAATTGAGTCCGTTATATGATTAATAGTTTGTGTGTGTAAAATCTCTGGATTCTTGAAATAAATCCTGTCATGCATGCTAAAAGCTGGATGTTAGAGTTTCCAGTCTGATGTATTTTGTGAGAAAATGAAGGGTTGGGGTATAATGTATCTTTTAAAAACACAGTGACGTAAGAGTTTCATCTCAGCTATGTGTATGTCCACAAGTAGAAACCCCTGTGACTGACCAGCTTTATTCCACACTGACGCACACAACTGCATCCTCAAATTACACATATTGGATATTCTGATGGTTTCAACTTGAGTGGAGTGTGTGTGTGTGTGTGTGGGGGGGGGGGGGGGGGGGGGGGGGGGGGGGGGGGGGGGGGGGGGGGGGGGTGTGGTGTGGGGGGGGGATCAGCCACTGTAAATCTCTTCACATGCTCAGCAGTAACATTTATCCCCTCCATCTACATTTAAAATACTGTAAAAGTAAGTGTTTTCTTCCTAAACTGAACTTCCAACCCCAGCACGTTCTCTCATTTCCAACCACGGGATATCACTGGAAATATGATCACTTCACGGGAACTCCTCACTGACAAATTAGATCAAGGTGCGTATATGTGTGAGGATTAAGAGAATATAAAACCTAAAAACCTAATACTGTCTTAAATACTGTCACACCATGCTGTGACATATCAGTTGTTTTTGTTGCTCGTATACATGCAGCAGCTGCTAGTTCCTTCAAACCTTTGCAAATAGATGTTTTTATTTATTTTTTTACTTTATTGCTGAAAACATAATTGAATGATGTCTGATTGTATTTGATTTTAAAAGACTGAGACAAAATTGTTCAAACCAAGTTGATCAGGAGATTTTTACTATGGAGGCTAACTCCTTCAAACTTAAATATATCTATATATCTATGATGTCATAATATAGTGACTTTATACTATTCTATGATATATTAGCGAAATCTGAACAAGAGTGTTTAACAATATTTACCACTGTAGCAATAAAGAACAGGCTTTGACCAATTAGACTTCGATTTGAAGCATCTTCATCAAGCACAGGCCTATATGAAGATAGCAGATAGGAGGACAAGAGTCTAGACTAGTGGTGGCGGAGCGGAACCAGTTATCTCAGATATTCACCCATAGAGGAATAAAGGCAGAACATAGGGGAGGAGTTTTTTCTTGGGAAGCTACATTTTGCTCGCATAAAGTTAAATAATATCTCACTCTTTCAGCTCTGATTTTGGTTAATGGATCAAACTCCTCTATGCATCCCCTGTGGCATCAGTCAATATTAATGGTATGAAACCTATTCTCGTTCTCAATCAGAGTTTTGGTTTGTGATATTTGATACAATAAGTGGGGTTTTGGGCACCCGGTTAGCTCAGTGGGTAGAGCTGACGACCCATGTACGGAGTTTCTGCAGCGGCCAGGTTTCGAATCTGACCTGTGGCCCTTGTCATCCCTTCTCTCTGCCCCCCTTTCCTGTCTATCTTCCGCTGTCACTACCATAAAAGGCCAAAAAAAATAAAATAAAATAAAATAAAAAATTAGGGTCTTATGTAAAACTGTGGACCCTAACCCAAAGCCACACAGTGAGTTACTGCATTCACCACTCTGTTTGCTAGTAGACTCACTCACCTATTCACAATAGATGGATTCATCAAATACTGCAGTGCATTAGGCTTGAGTGGATTATATTCTCAAGACAAGACATTCCACAAAACCTGCCAACCCTTTTCTGAAAATTTTGACACCTTGACTATCAACAAATAAATAACTGAGCTAATACTTTATTTTTTTCCCCGCCTGGTATGCATGTGTGTGTGAATGAGACTAAGAAAATGGGACCAAGAACCGGTGGAGATGGGGGTGGGTTGTATTAGGGCTTACAGTAGACAACCACTGAACACTGTTTACACTACTGTCTACAGTGTATGTTTTATTTTCTGTGCAAAAACCAATAAAAAGATTTGGGAAAAATTGAGGACGAAGCAGACAAAGATAATATCTATACGGCTTTATTGTGCATGTCTCTGTTTTATAGCTTAAACCGATATGAACAGGCTTTTCCTGTTCTGTAGGTATCCTTATTTGGGCCTTTGTTCGCATCCCAATGGATGCTCTTTCTGGGAAAGGGAGACACTCCAGATGGCCAAAGACAATTATATGTTTTGGTAATTAAAGTTCAAAGTCAAGATGTTAAGATCAGACAATTTAATACTCTGGCTTTATCTTACATTGTGTCTCTAGGCAGGTTGTTGGCCAGAATGAAAGAGTACTATGTCTTGAAAACATAACAATCATTCACCATGGCAAGAATGCTGTTAGCTGCTAATGTGCTCTCTGTAGTGAAGTAGATGAGGATGATTGTTTGTTGCGTGGTTGTTTTTATTTTACTTCATAAAAGTAGCATTATGACATTGTAAAAATACTCTATAACAAGTAAAAGTACTGCATACAATGAAAATTCATAGGTATATTTTCATTAATCACCTGAAAATAACTATTGTTGTGCTATTGTTACCATATAATGAGCCGTTTTTTTATCTACAGAGGGAGTGGGTCCTCCACGGAACCGCCATGTTTCTATAGTAGCCCAGAACGGACAAACCAAACACTGCCTCTATTTTGTATTTTGCGAGTTATTTGGCCACGTTTCACACGTTTCTCATGCCTGGAGGTCAAGCAGTATGTAGTTGGTTGCAATCTGCAACTTTATCACTAGATGCCACTAATTCCTACAAACTGGTCCTTTAAGTAAAAGTCTAAATCCTTAGTAACAAAAAAGAATCCATTAGACAGCAGGATGGCCCCTGTCATTGTAATGCTACGGTATTATACACTAGCCTTTGATTATTATTCATTAACATCACTAATCTTATAGCTGGTCGAGGTGGAGCAAATTTTAACTACCACACTATATGCTTCACTATTTGGTGGTTCAACCCCTTAACAATGTATCATTTTATAAATTACCCTAGGCTTTCTGTGGAAGATTTTAATATAAAAAGTAGGCTACGGTAACTAAAGCTGTCAAATAAAGCAAAGTATATAGCAGAGGGGGTGCCTGGGTAGCCAGTACCCCATTCATCAAGTCCTTGCAACAGTGGCAATAGGTTTAACTCCAACCTGTGGCCTTTTGCTGCATTTCATCCCTATTTCTCTCCCCTTTCCTGTCACTCTTCAGCCGTCACTATCAATTAAAGACAATAAAAGCCCAGAAATTATTTTGAAAATAAATAAATAAATGTAGTGGAGTAAAAACTAGAATATTTCCCTGTGAAATTTAGTGGAGAAAAAGTATAAAGTGACTTAAAATAGAAAGACTCATAGGAAGTAAAAGTACTTACATCCGTGATAACAACATTAGATTAAGATCTGGTTGTTGGTAGCCGGGAATGTAAAGTGAATATAACCTGCTACTGAGAAAGGAAGGCTCACCCAACTTTTCACGATGTGTTTATAGCAGACGTTCTGTTGTGGCATTTACACATATTCTGAAAGTTTATTTCACATTATGATACGTTTCAACCAAGCACATTTGAGAAAACATTCCTCAAGAGGCTACAACAAGAGATCAGAGGGTCTACACTTTTTCTATCTAGATAGCCATCTGTCTTTTAAATATTTTTCTTCACAGAAATCCCTCTAACATTGAAGAGAAGCACTGAGGTGATCCAACGTAATGTCATAACTTAGTCTCTCCCATTCCCTCTGTATTTACAAGTGATATGCTACATTACAACTGACAAACAAAATGTTAATACAAAGACAACTACGAGGACTCACAATGAGCTCACTGTAATTTGAAAAGACATGAAACTATTACTTCAACAAATAAAACCTACCAAAGTTCCAACAGAAAAGGGCATCTACAGCAAATATGGCCCTAAATCAGACTGGGTGCATTTAGGCTGTTATCGACTCATAGTCACTACTCATGGCTCTGAAATGAATATGATTTAATATGGTTAAACTATACCTCAAATGTGTTCTTAAGTACAGTACTTGAGTAAATGTACTTCGTTACATTCCACCACTGCGTCTCAGAGTCAAAAGTTGCTGAAGATCTCTTGTCTCTTGTTCCAGTCCATAGGAGGTGCTCTCTTCTTTTTGCGGCTGGCGAGGGCCTTTTGTTTAGCCTCAGCAGCTGTGGGACTCAGACGCAGGCCACTGTCTGTGAAAGGGTCCGAAACACGGCTGTCGTCCTCATCAGGGACCTGCAATACATACATACACGTTTTACACACACACTCACCTACGCCTCATTTTGTGACTGTTGGCTTACTTACAGTATTACTCTCACGCCTCCTCTCTCACCTGGATGCTCATGTCTGAGCTGCTGATCTCCGAGTGGGTGGTAGAACTTCTTGAGGACTGAGATGCTGAGCTCCCGTTGGCCCTGGATTTTGGAGACATTTTTGTGATCGGAGAGTCTGTCAGCGTGACGTTTATGATTGGTGGATCTGTGGCGGGGAGTTCAGTGGTGGGAGAGGGGGTAGGTGGGCCGCTTTCTGTGGCTGATTCATCCACATAGACCTCTGTGAGACAGTAAAGAGAAACACATGAGACATTTTGTCCGGAGGGTAAATAGAGTTGTGTATGTGTGTGTACAGTTTAACCTTTGTCATGGCTGGTGGTGGGTGTGAGCCCCAGTCTGTGGAAGAGCTTGTCCGTTTCCTGGTCGACTACTAGGAGGCGCACTTCCTCCCCTCCTGCTCTAATAAATGCCACCACCTCTGAGTGCCTCAGGCCCTCGATGTTCACTCCGTTCACCTGAGACAGAGAAAAGGAGATGTGAAAGGCAACAGAAACAGTGGAGGAAAGTGAAGATGAAGAAGATAAAAGATACAGAGGCAATAATTAATACAGACAGGAGTCAGGGAGGAGATTAGGAAGTAGCCATAACACAAGCGGTTCAGTATGTCTTGCCTCACATACCAAAACACAATGTGTGATTTGAGTAGAAGCAAGTTAATTTGCATGAATTCCTTTCCTGCCTCGACACTCTTCCTCTACACATGTTAACTGCATACTTCTTACAGGTGGAAATGGAAACAAAGTCTGTCCTGTACAAGCACACATATCTGCAAATCTGTGACGCACAAGGAGAAGTGCATACATGTTCACATAGAAAGGCACAAACAACACCAGCCCCTCCTGTCGTCTGTTCTTCCTTTTCCCCTTTAAACAACACCTCTCTCTCCCATCCACTCTAAGCCCGAGTTCAGCTAATCCAATGCCCTAATGCTCTAATCCAATCACACCTCATATTAGTGTGCAGACCCGATTAATACTGAGAGTGGTTGCAATGTTTTTTCCCATCAAAACCCCAAAAATTTACCTCTGACAAGGGAGGTGTCTGCGTATTCTGAAAAAGGGGATGGGGGGTAATTCTTCTAAGTCATTTATTTTACTGTGTGTGTGCTTTGGTTGTACCTCCACTAGTCTGTCTCCGGGCCTAATGTCTGCATTCTCAGCAGCTGAACCGGGGTCCACCGAACGTACAAACTGTCCACCCTTTGTCTTATCGCTGTGCAGATTGAAACCGTAGCCATGCTCCCCCTTCACCAGGTGACACAGCCGGGGAATGAGCTCAGCTGGCGGCTCTGGCGAGGGCTGCACCTGCAGCTATAATGGGACATAAGACAACGTAAATTTGAGGATGAAAACTTTACAAAAACAGATATGTGTTTTTCCTACTGTTCCAGGCAGCCATTGGTTTCCATTTATTCGTAAAAAACCAGAAGCTTGCTTGAATTGTGTATTCTATCAACAAATCTGTATTCGTGTTTTTAATCAAAGTTACATTATCTGCGTGTGTTAATGCATTTTAAGTGCAGATTGATTTGAAAGGTCTGCACTGCTTTATCATGCAAAGATAATATGTTAATGTTGATGGATTACACAATTCAAACAAGTTTAGATTATCATATCAGACAGAAATGAATGAAAGCCAATGAAAAATACATCCAAAAATATAAAGTTTATGGCATGCATTTGAAAATGTTTGGCAAATATTTCAACTATGATTCTTACTTACGTGATTAAAACTTGGGAAAAAAACTGGTATGGCCCCATAAATGTAGGATCATTTTTGAGTCTGTAGTTTGTGGTGATTGGTTGTATTGGACTGCACTATACTGAATGTTTTGTCCCCTTACAATAAAACCACCACCACAAACCAGAGAATTTAATCAACGCTTCTGTGACAGTGTAAACAAAAACTGAACATGACAAGCTTCACAACAATAGGAGTCACTGGAGGGATGTTGCGCTGGATTTCACTTGATTGTGCAGGTTGGGGCTGAGTAATAATTCAGTATCGCATATCAACTTTCAGTACTAAGACGTCATGATCAGTGATTCCAAACAAATTGTCATTTAAAATGAACAAAACTATAACAATTTGATTATCTTATATTTAATTTTGCAAATATTTGCCATGTTGTAACTTAAATTGATACTGGAAATAAATACTTGTATTAATATTGTAATATTGATTTCAGATTGATCTACTACGGGTGTACATATTAAACTAGTAACTCAGTATTGTGGCCGTAGGAGAAAGTGGCTGACAGGATGAGCCAGTGGGCTAAGTGGATCAGGCTGAGAGACATTAAGACTGGTCCTGAGCCTAATGACCAACGACAAGAGTTGACACATTGCATGACTCACCTGCCGACCCGACCTGTGCCTCTACTACAACATGTAGTTAACTGTATGTTTGTGTTCTGTGCCAGGACCATGTGTTAGTCCGAGACTCACACACACACACACATACACACACATACACGGAAAGAGTGTCCACAGGCTCGTGAGTGTGTATGAATGATAATATGTCTATCCCTGTAGCAGAGTACATCCCTGTCTGTGAGCTGTAGTGATGGAACAGAACGCCTTGGCGACAGAACGCCATGGTGACAGGTCAGGTCGCTGTGGTGACGGGTCACCGTGTCTCCTACTGGTTTTAGAGATCTCCATTTATGTTGCTGGCCTGTTTGCTATTTTTGTCATGTCGGCCTAAATTAAGTGAGACACACACACACAAATACACACATACACACAGACACACACACAGGCTACACACTACACTGACCTGGAAATATTGTATGTGAGTATTTCCATGTTACAGGCATGATAATCAAGTCAGTTAGTGCAGGAACAAGTCCATTGATCAATTATCTGTTGGACAAAGAATTTATTGCCTTCCACTTATCTACTAATCAATAATTCTTTTGAGCAATTTTCAAACAAGATGCAAAACATTCACTGTTTCCAGTTTCTTATATGTGAGAATTTGGTTTATCTTCGTTTATATGACTGTAAATTAATCAAATATTTTTGGATTTTGGACTTTGATGTCATTTGAAGCCGACTTCTTGAACTCTGGGAAATTGTGAAAGGCATTTTTATAATTTGATTGACATTTTACATCATGTATCAAACCAAGACTTCTACATAGTTGGAATTACAGTGATTCGTAATCTTTGTTTACCAACACCTGAGGCATATTTTCTTACACTATCCTACAGACAAATGCCATAAATTTAACGGGAGAATTTTAAAAATCACTTTTGTTCTGAGCCTTTTGAAAAAAAATTGCCTTATTTAGGGAAGCTGATCAAAGTGTTTTACTTGTGTGTGTGACTGAGCCAGACTGTTGCGTGGCTGTGACTGCAGTTATGTAAGACTACTGTATATGGGCATGTGCTGCCATAATAACGTCATGCAACAATGAACTTGTGACTGTATTGACAATGTGAATGTCACAAGATGAATGACACAGAAGAGGAGAGTTTAGAGAGACAGTTGTCTGGGCACAGGGCTTCAGTGGTGTCAACCTGGGATTAATATGCCATAATGGTTTCCTCATTGAAGAGGCTGAATTAGTGGACGAAAATAATCCCTCACATGCAAGGCACTCATTGAAAATGTTTAGAAGTTGATACTGTGGTGTCGTCATTCTGTAGAAAGATAGCTGATTGGTGGTCTTCATGCTTTTTTAGGTTAATTTTAGGTGCTCTTAACAAAACTGGTTTGTAAAAAGGCCCATTCTCCGGGCATTCTTAGAGCAAGGAGAAAAACATATTCAAAGCCTTTATTTTGTCTGGTATATTAACGGTTAAAAGCACAGACCTATTTGTGCACTCAACAGACCTCATAACAGTGGAAATGATTTCATAAATGTCTACAATTCCTAATTCAAGGCTCCCTGTTACTCCATATAGAGAAAGTGGACACAATAAAGTGTGCACAATTCATCAGACCTTCTGAAGGCTTGTGAAGCTTATAAAATGATGTTTTGGTTGGAGGTTAAGCTCGTGTTTGGAGCCACAGTTGTTGGAAATGTAATAGGCTCCACTATGCTGTACAGGCTCTGCTGTTATTGCATATTATGTTGTTTATTTGAACATATAACCAAAACTGAGAAAGAGAGTCGGGATGGCCAGCCAAGGGGCAGCCTGTATTTACCCTGCCTTTCGGCTAAACAGATGGCAGTTTAACATGAGCCACTGGTCCTGAGGATCCTGGTCGACTTTGTTTGGAGCCTAAACACTGAGCTCAATCTCCGACAGACAGTTCCCGGTTATTTCCGCAGCCAGGCTGACTTTAAGACGTCACTCTGTTGTCTGGTTGGCACTTGTGGAAATTTTGTTTTTGCCTAGTCACACTTTCTGGCTCGACATTTAGGAATATGAATGAGGTTGTGTTTTGTGCACATTAACGTAGTGTAGATAGCATACCAAAGAATGTGTCTAAATCTGTTTGCTTTTTTTAGTTGTAAGGTCAGAGGTGTGTGAGGTCCCACAGTAGGAGAGAGTGAGACTGCATGCCCAAAATAAACAACACTAATAGATAATACTTATGCAAAGAGTTTGGTTGTGCAACATTGCTATCTTAACATCTGATCCCTCCCATGTCTGCTGGGTACTTTCTTTCATCCCAGCAGACACTCAAAGCATGCTTTGTCAAAATCAACGCAAATAAAAGTCAAGCAGACTAGATGAGTGATGATCACCATCATCACCAAGCCTTAAGTTCAGCACCGGTAGAGGAAGAACTTTGGGCAGTGAGAAATCTCAGGTTCTAACTTCCTGCTTAATTGGACTGTTTAAAGCCCTATACAAAACAGAATAACACCAGGGAACAAATGTTTTAAGGCAAATCAGTGAAGTGAATACATGGTTTACACCTCCACCTAGTGCCCACTTTCTTACACTATTTTTCCAAAATAATCATTCAGTTTGACTAAACTATACCTACAGTTCTGTATGTTTTTGTAGGAAAGCTGGTCAGTTTTCGCGGGGTTTTGTCTCGGGTGTCTGCACTCAGGTGTGAAGAATTCTACAGTTCAATGTGTGAGGTGTTAACACTCAGTATGCACAAAGAGACAGCGCTCTTTAAATACAATATGCATTATTAAATGTTCACACTGCTCTGAGACTACGGTGACTTGTAAACAGATGTAACACTGGTTTCAGATCATTTTAAGCAGATGTTTGAACGGCAGGTAAAGTTAAAACCCCACTGTTGCACTGTGGTGGAGAGGAGGAGACACATTCCTTTAAACCTTCTGTACTTACAGTTCTTTTGTTCACTGTTTTATTTGTACTCCCTGCAGACTCTACAATGGACTTTACAGCCTAATTTAGACTGAAGAAGTGGGCTTGTGCAATGTCTTTATGCCCATGTTGGTATTACATTTGTCCAAGACATCCAGCAATAGAAAAAAAAACCTAAAACTAATAAATTCAAGCAACAAAATCGTTTCAAGTCAGCCAGTCTTAACTTGCAGCCCTGCAAAAGTGCCCGCACATGGATGTTTTCTTACCCCCTTTGGTGGCTTCAGTTCATTCTTTTACAATGTTTTGTCCAGTTTGTCTCAGTACACCTGAGGCCTGTTTTTCTCCTGTTTTTGAAGTTTTCTTTAGAGAAGTCACCAGACTCTGTCTAAAGGCACTGCTTTGTGACTAAATCCAGCCAGTGTCTTAACACAGTAACACACTGGCTCACTGCTGCCAGCCAGAGAGACAAAACTAACCATTTCAACTCCAGAATTTGGACTCTTCCATCTCTTTTCTATTCTAATCCATAAAAACCCTCAGAATTTTTGACATGTTCTTCGAGTGACCACTAGCATGGGCCTGATGCATTGATATCCATCCTTACCTCTGTGTCTGTCGCTGTACTTGATGTCACTGAGGATCTCTTGACCTTGCCTTTTGTGATCGTGTGTGTGGGCGAGTCTGCAGCAGGAGGGTGAAATGAGAATGTGTGGTTGGGTTTGGGTGACAGGGGTGAATTATCTCTGGGTAAGGGAGAGGTACAAGGGGTAGGCCCCGGTGAGGGGCGCGGGGAGAGGGTTCCCATCTCAATGGCCAGGTCCTCGGTGCAGGCCAGGCCATGACTGCTGAGGTAGTCATCCGTGTCCCTGTCCACCACCAGCAACCTGGTGCGGTGCGGCACCTCACGGATACGGTTCACCACCTGCAGGGAGGAGAGAGGAGCAAAAGAGAGGAGCTTAGGACAAATTTAAACCATTAGTGTGGTGTTATGTGCATGTTGTTTACTCAGAGGTGGACTGCATATAACATACTTTTAGCATGACAGAGACACCCAGTGATTACCATTACACAAAGCTCACTCTGACCCATTTTAGTAGCCCCCCTCCTCCTCCTCCTCAGGCAAAGGAAAAAGTGGTCTAACAGGTATAGAACTCATTGTTTCTACCTCAGAGGGTTGATGTTCCTCTCATGGTTTGTCTCTACCACGCAAGAGTAGAGGGAGTTTTTTTGTTATTTGAAAAGAAAAGAAAAACTTTTTTTTACTGAGCCATCACTTACTTGGTGGTGGGTTTCGTTCTCCACATTCTCCCCGTTCACTTCCACCACCCGGTCCCCTGGTCGCAGCCCGCCCAGGTCAGCCGAGGAGCCCGGTTCCACTTTGCGAATAAACTGTCCGCCTTTATTCCGCTCGCCGTGCAAGTGAAAGCCATAGCCGCGCTCTCCTTTGGTCAGGAAACAGAGCCTGGGTCTCAGCTCGCTCTCCATCCCGGCGCGTCAATAGGGGGAAAGCAGGTCAAAGTGTCTCAGGGGAATAAACAGGTGTTTGGTCCAGGAGCGGTGGAAAGTCTCTGGCTCTTAATCCAACGTACGGCTGCGCGCTTCAGCGACCAAACGATCACCATCATTCAGCATGATGCGAATCCATTAATAATCCACAATTGTTCAGAGAGCACAACTCAAAAACTAGGCTAAAACTAATGAGTGTTTAATCCATCATGCAAATGCCAGGGGCGCATATAAGAGCGCGCAAAAATGGTGCACAGTGTGCGTAAAACAGTGGCCAAAACACACGGACGGTGGCCAAATCCCGTCCATCGGAAGAGTAATCCAAGAGATCAGAGATTAGAAAGCTGCTCCTCGCACGTAAGACTTAATTCCTCTCGTTAGCGGGGCGTGTGTCCTCCTGTCCGACCAGACCCGGTGCGGGAGCGAAGAGGCGTCAACAACAGATCCCACTGTCTTGCCTTTAGCGCACACCTGACGACGCAGCGCAGCCGCGATGCTCTGGCAGAAAAGTATGGCCTATAAACAGTAATGAGGCTGTGAAATGGTTACTGTAAAGAACATTTGAACGCCAAGATGCGTTTGAAACATGTCCAATGTAACGCAAATTGCTCCTGTTACAGCTCCCAGAGAGGCAGAGGCTAGCCCCAGGTGGTGGAGGTGAAACCAGACTGACTGTGACCTGAGAACGGAAATCTTCCTTATCCGCCCTCTATCCCTATCTTCACTGGAGATCAATAAAGGGACGGTTGCGTAAAAGGGGATTTAATGTTTCATGAAATATAAGCTTTCCTTGTGTTTGTGATGTGGTAATTCAGGCCTACTAGCATTTATCCATTCAAAGAGAAGTCTCTCAAGTAATTCAGGACAACCTGGTTTAAGGGTGTGTGTTCTTGATACTGATATTGGCGAGGACAAGTTGATACTGATATTGGCGAGGACAGCAGTTGAGCTTTTTTTTGTTTTGTTACCTGTGACAGAAATCCTCAACCCTTCCGATGTGCCCTTAAGCAATACATCAGATCCATATGCAAGGTTTGCCCTATGGGTGCTCATTCAGCAGCTCAGTGGGCAACAATATTTTCCCTTAGTTAAAAACTTCATTAAGAATTGAAAACCAACACTAAATAACATAATGACACAATGAAAAGCTACTGCCACAAATATGTGCATTGAGAATCACAGTGGCATCAGTTCTGTGTAATAATAAGACATTCTTGTATCAAGATAAATGCAGGGGTAACTAATAACAATAACATGGCTGGGTTCCATTTAAGTGTGCCAGGGAGCCAGACAGCCAGCCAACATGAAATACCAGGTTTCCTGTTAGTGACACGCCTAATGATGCAGTTGTTATTGTTCATTTCTCCTGTGATTCTCTTGCTATGACAGTATCATATATTTTGAGCAGTAACCAACAGGCTGGCTGCACAGGTTCAGTCATGTTTTTATTGTTGTTTATGTTTTACTCTTTATTAGTAATTATGAAGCACTTATTAATGCTTTGTTCTGCATGCAACCTTCATCTTCAGCAACCTCCTAATTACTTCTTATTGATAGTAAGTAAGGAAGTTATTGTACATGAATTACAATCTTAATAGGCTTTGCTCAAAGTGGGACTTATAAGAACACTAATTCTCCCTTAACAACACTTAATAAATGTGGTTTATTCTTATGTAACAAAACGCAGAACTACATGTGTTAATAGTGTCCAGAAAACTCTAAATTAAGTCTTTCTAACTCAGAATATGTTCCCCATTCTAAAGTGACATCTTGATTAGTTATTAGCAACTTAAACTATGAAAGTAAAAAAACAAAGTAAAATATTTTAATTCAAGTTGACTACAGGTTTAAGGCCTCAAAGTCTTGTGACTTTGGCCAGTACTGAGCAAAGCACATCAATATAATAATTAATGTACAACAACTTCCTTACTTACTCTCAATAAACAGTAATTAGGAGGTTATTGAGGGAAAACTTTTAGTTATGGCCCTAGTAGTTGTAGAATATGATGTGATAATCCCTGTAGCTAAATTGATAAGGAATTAAAGCAACTTGTGTGTTGTCTATTTAGTTCATGTTGTTTCATAATGGTACACTATATATTCCAAGTACAGCATTTATGGGGAACTTTAATATTAAATAACTATAAATTAGTTTACTCTTGATCAACTGAAATTAAATATTCTTTTAAAGTTAATGTTCTTGTTATTTGTCGTCCATATGCAACAGACACACTCCCTCTACTGGACAAACTGTGAAAACTTGAAACATGACCATGACATTCATGTTCAGTACATACATTTGTTTTAATTTGATAATAAAGAATGAAGCACTAACAGTACAAAAATATAATCTCATATAAAATGCTAAACGTGTCGTTCTAGTGTCAAACAAACTAAGTGATGAAAATACAAATATCCTGAACGTATATTGACATTAATATTTAGCTCAGATGTGTGTTTTCAGTGTGTGCGTGAATAAATTCAAGTCTTCTTGTTTAAAATTTGGTCACAGCTCACACAAAAACAGCTAAATCAATGATTAACTTTGCTTTTAGGCCTCCTTCTCTGCGTGGTAGGGGAAACAGTGGGCAGCAGCTCCTTCTTTATCCTCTCGTCTTTAACAGCAGATTCCTGTTCAGGCTCAGTTTTTGTTTTAAAGGAAGAGGCCGGACTTGGAGAGCGTGGGGATCCAGCTTTAGGCCTCTTTGTAGGAGAGCTCTTGTGGGCAGATGGACAGCTGTGCTGGTTCAGACATACAGAACAGAGAGGGTTGACGGGCAGACAAACCTGCTGTCCGAACCCCACGAGCAGCCAGTTGATCTCACTCCACAGCTCCCTGCAACGGAGAGTGAGAGGAACATCTCAAGCTTTTGGCCATTTGGGAACACCGCTCTTAAGATATATCAGAAGGCAAGTTGGTTGCATCGGCAACTACACTGCTAGATGCCACTAAATACTGGACCTTTAAGGCTCTTATACAGTCGCCGTTCATGGCGACAATTCTGGCACCTCTGGGCATCTCTGTGTTCCTTCATTGAAGGATCGTACAGATGCCTGTAGAGGCGCACCTGCTCGGAAAGCTTGCCCTCGAACTCGTCCATCTTCCTGTTTCCGCTTTGGCACGCTCAGCTGAAAAAATAAAAGAGTGGTGCGCGACCTCACGCGACCAGGCCTAAATCCTGGCAGGTCGGGAACAGCGAGTGTATAAGAGCCTTTAATCTGATGTGATAAGGAAAAGATGTTAGCCAACAGTTTCTACTTTTTACACCACCAGCAGTTATGGAGCAACATTAGCTTTCATTTGAAGTCATGTCTCAAGTCCAATATTCCCTCTCCTTTTAGCTGTTTTGGTCTCTAACAGTTTGTGACTCTTTAGCTGCACCTGTCTGGTTTCAGGTCGGGTTTAAAGCTTTTTGTTGCAAACAAGGTTGATGACAGCAGCAGTCTTCAGGCTATAAAACCAAAACAATGAACTGAAAGACTCAATAATGTTCAAGGGGAGCAGTCGAATGATAATTCTCTGTGGGTTCATACAGAGTAGCAACCCCTCTCTATTACATGTAGTCATGTGATCCCATTGTTAATAAAAATGTATTTGAGTAAAGGACCAATATGTAGGATTTAGTGGCATCTAGCAGTGAAATTGCAGATTGCAACTAATTGAATACTACTTGCCTTCCAAGCCTGGCTTGCAGCCAGTGTTGGTGGACTAGAAGAGGATTCCTATCTTTGTAGATAAAAACAACTCATTCTAAGGTAACGAAAACACAATGATTCTTATATTTAGGTGATTAGACACTAATGAAAACATACCTATGAATATTATATCCCATTTCAATAGATCCTCCTAAATGTTACACACTGGACCCAAATTAGCTTTAACTCATCCAGGTCCTGGTGATGGAAAATTAAACAAAAAGTGTTTATTTCTGTATATTATTATTTAACTATGACTTCTACAATTAAATTCTTTTTCTAAAATGTGCCCAAATCTGACATAAATAACTGTATCCCTATGGTATCCCAAGATGCTACTTCTCATACTTTAAAAAGCGACAGACATTTTGCAGATACACTTTGATTTTAAAAGTTGTGTACTACCAGTCAACATATCAGTCAACCCTGTGCTGTATGTGTCTCGGTTAATCTCGGTGACTCTGCTCTTTATAGATTTGTTGGCTGTTAATCAGGTTGTACGGATCAGCAGTGAATCAGTCATGCTGTTACCTGGGTAACCACTCCTCCAGGACCTTGCGTGTTTCTTCTGGGTTCTTTGCAGGTTTCTTCAGCCAGCCCAGCCTATTAGAGATACGATGCACATGTGTGTCCACACCTGAACAAAAACACAAGAATATAAATGAGCACATGCACTCATATACATGGTGATGTGGACTCTCCCCACTATGTTTCACTGTTAGTCTACTCACAACTCTGCTGATATACAGTATTCGTTCCATTTCCTGTTATTTTTCTAGGCTGCAACTTTATCAACCTCAAATTCCTTGAATTTGTTAAAAATATAGATACACATTGTGGTACAATAGCATGCAGGGAGTGAGGTGTTCTGATGTTGACTTCTGTAAAAGGATATTTAGTCCCTGCAGACATCTTTAGGCTGCCAAAAGAAAGAAAACCTGATAACTACTGCCTGAGGCAGACTGAAGCTTGCAGTTCAGTTTCCGAATATGTGAATTCCTGCTGCTCCGTTAGACATAATTTATTTATTTGTAAGTGACTGTGCATGCTCCAGGAATGTGTCCCCACCAATGCCAGACACCTGGTCCCAGGCAATGTCCATAGCCAAGTGAGCCATCTTAGGGCCAACTCCTGGCAGGCGGACGAGCCCCTCCACGCTGTCTGGGATGTCCCCTCCAAACTCCTTCTGCAACATGGCCGATGTCAGCTTCAGATACTTCACCTTAGTCTACAGAGGGAGGGTGGGAGAAACCATTCAATGAGGGGCAAAACCAAACAAAAATGGAGGGTGATTTCAACTTTAGTGATAAAACAAAAACAGCCTGTATTACCCTCCAGAAGCCGACAGGGTAGATGAGTTTCCCCAGTGTTTCATCGTCAGTAGCGAGTATATTCTCTACAGTGCAGCCGTGAGCTCGGAGCTTCTGCATCGCTGCTGCTGTCACCTGGTCCTTGGTCTGACTGGACAACATGAGCGAAACCAACACCTGGAAACGTCTCACCTGTGCCAACAGAGAAGACAACAGAAGCAGCAAGAATAATTTATTTTAACTAGTAAAAAAAAACAGACTTAAAATAAACAAACCACACCTACCTGTGCAGGGGCCTCTGTGTCGTAGCATTTCTCTGCTCCCATCTTATCTACAGGTGCATCACGGCTGTGTCTCATCTCACGAATGTATCCTAATTGTTTCTTCCAGTCCAGAGGTTCCCAGTGCTCTGTCTTTACAGGTGTAACACCGTCATCCTTGTCATATTCCACCTTCAGCTGTCTCCTCCTGCGGCCGTGTGAAGACAGCAGTGGAGCGTCCGGTTCGGTTTTTGGACGTGCTGTACCGTGGGGGAGGAGTTCAGAGCAACCACCTGAATGAGCACAGGGAAGAGGGAATGAGAAATATCTGACCCGGCACGGCAAGGCAGTATGTCTGCATTAAAGAATAAAGGTATATCTTATCTTATCTTATCTTAAAAGAAAATACACTACATGGCAAACAGTGTAGACATCTGAACAGTATAAGTATGTGGGTACCTCGGTGAACCATTCATTTGTAAAACAGCCTTCACTCCTCTGGGAATACTATTCACC